TTTTTTTTTGCCTCCGTAGGTCTGGTGACGCTGCCTACGCGGCTTAGCAGGTCGGCACAAGGTCATCATGCCCTGCCCTACCTGGAGGAGGTACCTTGGTACCTTCAGGTACGTTAGGCACATGCCGTCCGGCCGGTTATTAGTTATTAGCGACATCGATGAGTTTCACGGCCCCTGCCATCCGATCCATTTGATCATAAAATGTGGGACGAACTCGGATACAGTGAGTAAACAGGGCTGAAGTACCTACGTCCGCCCCTGAAAGGCCACCTTCAAGACCTGCTGAAAGCAAGTAGTGGGCGTAAACCACAGGACGACAGGGCCGTTCGCCATTCCCAAAGCTACCAAAACTTCAAATTTGTTAAGCTATTTATTTTCTAGTCCAGTCGAGTTCAGCTTCTACAATGGCTTGTCGCAGCCAGCGACTGCGTATTAAAGGTCTGGGGAGCGTTTGTTGTTTGAGCATGTCGTCGACTGCTTGTCGGGCTACAGGGGGGGGGGGCATTAGAGGCTACGGACCGTTTCCCCCAAACGCTCCGGGGTACAACCCCGCACGCTCTGTATCTGTCCCAAGCAGCCCACCAGCAGTCGATGAAATGGAAATACTCCAATGTTTCGGCGAAGAACCATAGGCTGCCGAATCTGTAAGCTCCGAAGTAAGATTTGTCTGTTCCGATTTTTACCTTGGGGCGTTTTACTGCTCATCACGGAATCATCTCATAAATAACAGCCGAGATTCGGGATCTTTTGCTTACAGCTCACATGGGTGAGTAAGGTGAGCAAAGGTATAAGTTGTCATGCCCGGTACTAGGTTGTATGAGATCTGGGCCATCATATCGTCGGTAATTGGCTAAAAAAAAACAACATTCGGTCGGATTTTGCAGCAAGGCAACTCCGGATGATGCTAAAGCTCTGTAGATCTGCCTTCTACTGCCATGGCAAGTGTGGTTCGGTAGTAGGATGGATGAGTACGGTTTGGTTCTCCAGGGTGGCTGGCTAGTATGGGCGTACGTAAGTACGCCGCATCGGTCCCCGTGTTTACCCCCCCCCCCCCCCCAGAAACGTGAGAACCGCCAAAGGTCTGGGCATTGAGGCTGTGCAAAGAAAAGTGCAGAAAAGTGCAAAGGGGCCGACGAGAGAACATGTCCAGGGTAATTCACTTCGGCACTAATTTCATAGATTGGTGACCTGGATTTGACGTGAGGTACCGACACGTCGTTTCAGTTCCAAGATCACCCACATCCCCCATGTTTGATTCAGACGCCAAGAACACATCATGTCTTGACCTTGCCAAGAAACGCAGGTTCCCACGTTTTTGCCAAGACATCATGATATCGTGCTTTTGATCCATGCAGGTTTCTGCTGGTTTTTTTTTTTTTTTTTTGAATCACGCACTATCGACAATGCTGTTTCTCACATTGGGTTCCAGTGGTATAGGTTTCTGCGGTCCTTTACGCAGTAATTTGTCCGGGTTCGCACCTCCGTAAGACTGCCTTTAGACACTGGCACGTGAGTGACGATGACGATCTGATGGAAATAACTGCGTACTAGAAGTGCGCTGGAGCTTTAATCGGATGATGAGAGTGAGGTAGCAGAGAGTCTGCATCACCTTTTTTTCGGGACTTTCTGTATAGCCTTGGATGAGCCGATAAAAGAAGAGGGGAATGAATCTGGGGAGGTGATCATGGCAGGGCTTGGCGAACATGGGCTTAGAAGCTTCAGCTATACTGAACCGTAGGTAACGAGGCCTGGTAATCCTCTTCACTTGCTAGAGGGCGATGAAGGGGGTCTTGGCAGTGCCAAGAAAGTAATCAGACAGGACGGATGGGCCCAGCAGTTAAGCCGGGCTGCACCTACACGCATGGGATAAGCCCAAAATGGAGGAAATTTGAATGTTGAGGCTGTAAAATAGCTTCGGGACGTAAACCGCTAGAAGTCTGGGCATCGAGGCTGTGCAAAGAGCAAAGAGTCTGGATGAGGGAATTTATGTGGGGCAACCAAGAAGCGAGTTTCCCCTCAATGGAAGCAAAGTAAAGAGCAATTCGCCAAAGTAATCAAGATTGCTCTTGATTCTCGAGGCAACTTGTAAACAGGTCGAACTGAACCAGCAGGCTTCTGGCTAATTTGACTGGGGTTATCAAAGCTATATCATCCCAGTCTTTCCCACCCAACTCATTATGCCTCGATGGCATATCTGCATCAGAAAACTTCAACCCTTCTTTGCTCGACATCTTCCTTTCTTCCGCCCATCCCCGATCTCACCATGCCGCTTTCTCAAGAAGTCACCGTGGCTATCGTCTTTGGCGCTCCAGGCCTGATATTGGCAGTCTTGTCACTCGTGGTTGCATGGATAGCGATGCGAAAGGCTCGTCGGAGCCCGGCTGAGAGAGACGACATTGAACTACAGGCGAATCCTTATCATTACTCTTTCCCACCCACATTTGCATACACCGATACAGGCTATCAGCATAATCAACACCAAATTTACCAGGAATTTAACCGCCCGAGCATACAATTACCATACGAGAGACCCTATGGGGGTAGAGACTCGATAGTCCGTCCGAGGCAATGGCAACACGGCCGTCTACCCATCCCGTTCGAATTCAATATTCGGCACCCACAGCTGTAGCACCCGGCCCCACTACGGCATAGATCCATGGGGAGCCCCGATCATCCAATTTAGCGCCTTGGCCAGTGCAGGAACGCCTAAACTTGCTTCGAGCATTGGCGTTCCATTTCTGTACACCATTTCGCTGCCGTTGGAAAAAGTGGCGTCAGATCCGGTAGCCGTCAAACCTTCACCCTCGCCAAAGCTACACACACCATCTGCATGTGTATTGTCACACTATTTTAGCTCCTGTCGACACACCAAATCTTTCGCAATCAGTGCCCTACAATACGCATGCCCAAACCTCAAGCAAGGCGTTGCATCTTGTACTTTCAGTACGAGACCTACCTACCTCTGTGCTTACATCCCAATCCGCCGAGTTTGTATCACATCCTTGGTCCTTCTTATTGTACCCAACCATCACTACAACCTAAGGTACCGTAGTGAACAAAGCTTCACATCAAGACTTATGCCTCTTACATCTTACATGGCTCCCCTCTCCCCTAGCCTCTCTTCCCCCTGCTCACGCGCGGCCAACTTTAAACTGAGGCATTCTGCCTGGCATCCTGGAGAGCAGGATGTAAATCCTCCTCTCAGCCAGACCAACATTCCCCCAAGGGGTCTGATCTGAAACTCGAAGCATGTTAACACTGCAATTCTTGCATAACATGATGCTGTCACCTCTCCCTCACCCTCTCTCTCACCACCTAAATTACCGACGACAAATCTCGCAATGCCCCTGCATCCAGTCCAATACGTACCCACAGCGCACAGGCGTTGTCGAGGCCGACGGCGCTTGTCTCTAGAGCTTTATTATCTTCGACTTCTTCTGGGTTAAGCACCAAATCCGCATGAAGCTTATGGCGGGGCTTATCGGTACTTATCTCATCGACTGCGAGTTGGCTACAGTTACATTATGAGCCACAATTCGGTGCACAATTCCTCCAAACTCAGTGTGAAATAGGTATGGGATTGGAAGGAAGTTTACACTGTTTGTCCCCTAATGGCCACAATTTCGTAAGCTACGTACCTGGAGCCAACTCGCAGTAGATGGGATAATGTAGCTGCCAGCCCCGAACGGATAAATACTGATGCCATCCTTTCTGAGTACCGGGAAAGGTTTCTCAAATTGGCTTGGGGCATGGCGATTGAAGCAGGAGTTGGCCAACTGTGGGGCTATTGTCCCGTTTTGTTATATTGTTACTTCCTGGAGTGCGGCGTTCACTTGACATTCCATAGACCGTACACACCTTCATCATGTATTATAGTATCACTTTTTCTTTTATGTAATCAGGAAAGCATGAAGAGGCGTGTTAACTCGAATCTTAGCTTTGGTTCATTACGGATGTCAAATCTCAAGCCATGCTTTTGGCCAATTTCCAACTTAAGCTCAAACCTTTATATAGTCCTATCTGTACTACGCAGCTGTAGTCCCTTTGTCACATGTAATATTATCACCGATAAGAATTAATCACAATGAAAGTGTTTTGATTTTCATGCCGTTACATGCGCCGTACGCGTATATTTTAAGAGCACTAAGTTCAATACTTCGCCCGCCTGGTTACGAAATAGGTCATGCTGAAATTAGTGAACACAACAAATGACGTATTTGTCAAAGCATGCACTAAAAGAAAGTGGATGTGCATCTGCATGTACTTATACATAGGGTGATGACCTCTACGAATCAGCGTAGTGTTATCTAACAGGGCAGATAGGTTGGCCTTTAGATCAGTAATATAAGTGTGACGTGTCAAAGCAAGTCGAAAACCTTGCCAGTGTTACTGGAGATCGAGGAATGCTTTCAATTTAAGCTAATCAAGGTGGAAATAAAGTTCGCGATGGCATGAAAACACCATCGAACTCCGATCCGATTTGGCAATTGCGGCAGGCAAAGAATGAACCCAAACGAAAGGGACCTAAAAAAGGGTATTAAACCCACGTCATCCGAAAACTGTCTTTATCTTCCTGAGCTTAACGGCCTTCATAGCCAAAACTGCCATATCGGGTGTGTATTTGCGGTTCATACATCAGATGCGTTAGCAGTCCGGGCCAAGTTTTGGGTGATTACACTACTAAGTAGACAGCCGGGTGTGGTGACCTACTGAACAACTCCACACTTTAACTGATTCCTTCTCGGGTACTGAAAGCGCGGCTCAAAGAGAGCTCAGGCTCGTCCCAGTCTTGTATGTCGACAGCTCAGAATAACGACACCAAAAGAGGTCGTGAAGCAAATGCTGATTGTAATGATTTTAAATGGTATCTCGAAATGCTAATCTATATATCCGCAGTAGTAATCCGCAGTGCTTTTAATTTCATCCGTAGTAGACTCCGTTGGATCCATACGCCAGGTCGCCTCGAATTGCAGTTGTTGTTTACCACGTCGCCGCTTTTCTCACTCGTTCACATCCGCCCCAAACTCCAGCAACAGCTTCAAGATATCTATCCTCTCCAAAACTACTGCCAAATGCACCAGCGTCTTCTTCTGGGCATCTTTCAGTCCGATGCAGCGTTTCAAAAGCCCTTCAAACTGTCGTAATCGGCTCTTTTCCTCGCACCACTTCAACAACGCCCGCAGCTGCTCAATGTCGTCACGAATGATTGCCCTATGAAACACGCTCGTTCCCGAGTCATCTGGTATAGTGATGTCGGCACCCAAATCGAGCAATGTCCGCGCTGCTACTGTATCTCCCCTTTCGACGGCTAAATGAAGCGCAGTCTTCTCTGATTGGTTCTTCGCATCGACTTTGCCTCCGCCCTTGATCAGTAACCGTGCTATTTCGATATTGCCGCGCATCACGGCACTTAGAAGCGGTGTGCATTCTGTTATGGTATCGTTGGGTAGAATTGAGCTGCATGAGCTTGTTGTTGATGACGGAGGTGTGAAGACTTTCAAGCTCGGGGGGGTACCGATACTATCGACTGTCGACAAAGCCACGGAATCAGTAGAGTGTATAGGATCCTGGACGACCCAAGTCAGTAATTGAAGATTACATATGGCGATCCCATGGTTACACACGTTAAAGTCTGTCAGACAGCTGAACGCATCGCTCGGGCTGTTGTGTGTTTGTGCTTGGCTTTGGCTGGTTGGAGGTGTGGAGGAATGTCCATTTTGCGTTGCTCGAATCTCGCATATTGTATTGGTCGTCGGTAGCTGTAATTGAGGTTGATTCTGTTTTTGGCTCTGCGTTTGTGATGTCGATGTCTCTCGCAGGGCTGTTTGGGTTGTGGTTATTTGTGTGTTGGCCGGATTGAGCGTTGCATCAATGCAGTCTAGGCCGTTGGCCGAGGCACTAGGGGATTCAAAGTCCTCCAAGCCTGATACGTCCAGGAAATCGACCGTGGAGTCATTTTGGTATGGCGTATCGAACAGTTCGGGCGTCCTGGACCTAGTGTTGCTTCCGCTATTGCTACTGGTTTCATTCCATCTTTGTTGCGCCGCCGCGGATTTCAAATGTGGGAGGTCGAAAAGAATCGCCTCTGCAAGCTCGATACGCATTCGTTGTCGCGAACCTGCACAGATCTCGTGTTAACAGAACTCAATATCCCCGCAACTTCATCTGAGTATTGTACGCGCGCATGTGCGATTTCCAACGTAGTTGGACACTCTCAGGTTCCCGGCTGCCGACAGCTAGACTTACGGTAATTTCGTTGCGCAATCCGATTCTGCGCTTTGCGTCGCTCGTTAATGTCGGTGATATGAGACCAATCATCATCCCGAGTAGCCATGGTTGTTAGTTGCTGGAGCGGTTGCTGCTTACAGACATCAAGAGCGCATCTGTCCTTATACGCGGCTTCATGCTGCGTTAAAGTAGCACTAGGCTTCCTAAAGGATTCAACCTGAGACGACGTCCAGCAAGTGCCCATTTACGCACACATAAACTCTTAGTATTGTTGATACCACGCTCGAAAGTATAATTTCTGGACCGTCACATAATAACCTTTGGCCGAATCCAGAACTGTCTCTTTGCACTTCCGTCTGGAAACCTGGAGCCTGACTCGCGAGTAATGTCTCATTGAACCTTCTTCTTTCCGTCGGCGAAGACGGCATGCGAACTCAAAGAGGGAACCCAAGCCCGCCTCGCCTTGCTTTCAAGTTCCGAGGCTGATTGCACCAGCCGAAAAAAAATTATGGGCCGTAGTGTCATTTGGCAGTTTAAGGGATTCTTATCCTTAATCGTAGTCTTTCAAACTGTCGCCCCAGAATCGCGGCATGCCACGGTAGCATGGCCATGTACCCTGGAAATCCCAGGACCTCCAAAACTTTCATTCTGTGATTTATGTAGGTGAGAGCTTCCCGAGTCATTAGAACATTTCGTGAAGCTGGGGTTCAACTTTTTTTAAGCAGTGTCGCACAACAGCTTTTTCTTCTATCCGGAGGGATGGAACCTTCGGAATAGTTCTGTTTTCTGTGAAACAAGTTGATTCGTCAAGGGGACGAACAATCAAAAGAAGTTACACGCTTAACTTTCAGTAGGACTTCAATGAAGACAAGTTACTCGCCGGACGTGAATGTGTAGAACTAAAAACACTGTATTTTTAGGGAGGCAGGCATGCAGGCGAACAAGCGTCTCTGTCTAACACAGGTCAAACTCCCAGTTAGCATTCCTATTCAAGCACAAAATTGACATTTCTTAGGTTTGGTTTATGCAAGTGTCCAGATCGGAAACAGCGCAGGGTTCCCTACCCGGTTGCTCAAGTTGATATGCATCGCACATGGTCAGAGCCCCATTATGATTGGAGAACAGCTTGCAGACATGGACAAGCACTTGTGGAACCCTTGCATATGATCCATTTTCAACGCAACAGAGCTTGCCATCTCGTGATATCCGGATTATCAAAAAATGTTAATAGCTAGCCTACGGAGTAATAGACTTTGAGTCGTTCACCATAGGCTGCAGGTACGCAGCATGCTCGTCCAAACCCGCCACATGTTCTGGAGCTGCCCCACAGCAGGTGACATTCTCTCGGCAGAGACTTTGAACGCACTTGCTGTCTATTAACACCGACATGCTCAAGGGTTCTAGGTTTGCGGTTTGCCATGGTTTACCACGGCGAGGATTTGCGCTGTGCGTCTGCTCCATGTGTGCTACGGTTCCTGATTCCACGCGGCGCAATGCAAGACGTCTTTGACTCGCCATGCAAACATAATTCCAAGCATACCCTTGTTTCTCAAATGAAACCATATCCTACCTTGCTTCGAGCTTAGGCGGATTTTTTTCTCTTCTCTTCTCCTTTTGAAAAGTCAGGGCCGCTCAAGTAGTTGGAAGGCATCAACTGCATCGATAATTATACCCCTCATTCCAGGTTGCTTATTCGGCTGGCTGCTTGCTGCAATTGTAGCTGAAATCTATCCGAAGAGCATTTCTGGCTCACAAATGAGGGTCTGTGCATGGCCTCCACTAATGGTGTGGCCACCAGTCCAGCTTTGAAATCGATGCGCTAGAAACCTCGAACAACTACTAGTAAACAATCAAACCTAATTTACCTTTCTCTTGCGTAAGTGTACTAGCATAACCCCGTGCTCGAAACAAGTAAACCATCAATTAAATCTCTACGTTCTCGGAAAACACCAAATATAGTTGTTAGATACCCCAGTCGCTTTGTGCTTTTTGGGCAATACCATAGTCGTATTCAATCTTCGAGATTGTTTATTTCACTCAGCACCAACAATTCAATTCTATCAATGGCAATGTCAGAGAAGCCTAACAAAATAGGCTTACCGGTGAACTTGGAATTGTCAATGCGTTCATAAGACGTAGCAGCACTGGGAATTGACAAGACATATCACCCTAGAATATATTCCTTAGGCTCAAACGTGCCGTCGTCAAATGGAGTCTGAAATTGTTGGTGAAACTTTCCTTCTTGTCAATAAAAATGCCTACTGCTCCTGCTCGCAACCTTACCAAAGATATTTCGAAGATTTTTAGGGCAAATTGTTATCGACTTGTCAGTGTTGGAGGTCTCCTGAGCTCGAATTTCTTGAGACTTTAAAAACCAGCGGGTTTGCAGCAGAGGCGCTGCAACCAGTTCGGAGATTGAATAAATTCCGCCATTTTCTTAGAATCTCATCATCCTAGTTGTGTTTTAGCTCAGTCACGGTATCCGAACCCTTCGCTTTAAATTTTTCCACATGATGCTTTAAGACAGAGCCAACCTGCTAGCGCGTGAGCCCGTTGACCAGTAAGCTGCGGCACAAACCTGAACCAACGATGATGACTTTGAACAAGCTCATCATGCTTCACGCTTGGAAAACTGACAGTAGCTATAAAATATAACCAAAACTTTCACTTACATGCGCGGGACTTTTATTTCGGCCGATCCTTTCGCTCACAAATCAATTAATTTTGGTGACGCATCTCATTCGGTGAACTATTTTACCGATTCGGGTCGTTCAGCAACCCGATTACCGACGTGATTGGCGACAATTCTACAAGTAACCAACATTGACACGTGTAGTCTTTAAAACACTATATGTTTTGACATTGATGTCGCCTATTAAAGGCACCGAAATGATATTTCAAGCAGCTCTCAGTTAGGGAATCCTCCGCGTGTGCCAACGGATCTGAGAATGGTCCCAAATAAATCGTGGTTTTGTTCTACAAGGCCATCCTGGTCCCAAGAGCGACTTGTCAGCTTAATCACTCATCTACTGTTCACAATACGTAGTTCAGGCATTTATCGAAACTGTTGACGATCGTCTAACAATTTAGTATACGGTTCAAAAATGCTTAATGAGCCAATACATGATTCAGGATGAGTCGATCAAACGCTGCCGATCTCAGAGGATGAGCAAAACCAATCCGCATAGCCATCGGTATCTTGCGTTATAGACTGGATGACTGCCTGTCAGCCCTTGACAATGGCGTGACTTATCACCCTACTAGAAACCCCTAGTGTAGTATACAGTGGCCTATAACCGCTGGATACAACTGAAGGTTAAACTATAAAGGTTGTAGGTTTGAATGTTAGAAGAACATAACTACATTCCTTTAGTTTTCTTACACGTGATTGTGAGATATCCTATTATTTAGGTTTAATTGAGGACTAGCAGAGATTCTATTTAGCGTTCTTGTATGCATACGCTAATATTGTATTCTTATTGCCATGACGCAGAACAAAAAAAATTGGCCGTGAGGCATGGACTGCCATTTCTGGCTATTTCTTTTCTTGTCCCGCTGGAAAGGCTGTAGTGACTTGATTTTTGTTCTTTGCTATCCAAATATCCAGTTCAGCCAGAAACTGTAGGTTTCACAGGGGGTGAAACGGAATTCCGTTCGTCAATAACAAATAACAGTAAATTGGTTCTAATCGATGGTTCATGATTGTTGAAAGTGGTGTTGTTGACTAGAAGGTGGGGATATTTGTCACGCAGTCAATTTGCCCACCACTTATGGGGTAAAAAAAGATGCTTCCATTCATTAGAGACTGTCTAGGGGTTATTGGGTTGATTATATAACCGTCTATTCGGTAATTACCGATTTGAAGGTTTTCATGCACAAAATGACATCCCCGTTAGTTTTATATGGGAAACAATAGCCGGGTGCATGGGTTGAATGCATGCCCCGATATATGCAGTGGTCCGTGTGACAATATTCCCCCTTGGCCTGTCACGTGGGTCTGGGAGGCTTGGGCCTCTCAGCCTGGCGGGCGTGTGGCTGGAAGTGCCACACGACTCCGTATTCCGGAGGCTTGGGCCTCTCAGCCTGGCGGGCGTGTGGCTGGAAGTGCCACACGACTCCGTATTCCAACTATCGCAACAGAAACACCACAACCTCGACACTTTGCATAGCTAGCCACTTTTAGGGATGTGATCTGAAGTTCAAGGCCAACCTGTCAAAAATTCAATCCCAGATGGTCAATACTACTCTTTTCTTTCACAGTTTTGACACTCAATGCTTGTTTCTCACCACGACTCCAACGTTGTCATCCTTGACTCGGCATTCGACTAGTGTCTCGGGGTCCCTATCTGGCACCTTTGTCAGTGGAATGCATGATCTCACCAGGCAGGCTCTGCCAAGATTGAGGATCTGCGTAAAAGCTTAAGTAGGAAATGAGCCAGCTGCTGTTTGGGAAAAATTAACTTCGTTAGAAGGAAAAAGGTACTTATACATGGTTAAGCTAAGAGGCATAAAAGGGAGAAAGGAAGAGAGAATGACGAAAGGGTGAAAAACAATTCGAGGCTTGCGACCACAAATTACTAAACACATTCAATGATAGCTCGACTGAAATGGACGTTGATAATTAAAACGCAGGTTCGCAACTCCTCAAAAAGCGGCAGTGTATGTGGTCCCTGCGTGGCCGCTTTAATCAAATTATACACTTCAAGCAGTGCTGATGAGATGTATCACTATGATTGGTTACATTGAATTCCTACAATTAGATAGATAAAATAATAGCGACTTGGTGGTGATCCAAAGCCAGTCCAAATATGCTGTAAAACTTGGCGCTACTGAGCTTGGAGTCTGATTGATACTAACCGAAAAGAAAACTACATTCAAGGCACATCTTGTCTTACCGCGCTTTGATAAGCAGCAGGGTATAATTACTGGTTAATAAGGGAGGTGAGGTACTCTCAGGTAGCATATGTCATTATGATTCTCACAAAACCATCACACAATTGCCGATCGCTGCTGTTTCCGTCACCAGAGCTCATACAGCTCGAATGACATCATGAGGCGAACCGCTACGGTCGCCTTTATCAATAGACAAAAAGCCAGTAGCTTTCAGAGCCCAGTTTATTCAACGCTACACGAGCAACTAAAAACTACAAATCTGAACTTGTCAAATCAATCTATTGCACACCCACAATCAAACAATGGCCCACCTCGCAACTCGCCAGAGGGTACTTCCAGCCCTCTCCCAACACGCCCGCTCCTTGCCATTCGCTCTCCGCGCAAATGCGGTCTCATCACGCCGCTTCCTTACCGATAAGCCAGGGCTAGCGGGAACAGATATCCGAGACGCAGCCGACGCCAGGAAGACATCGCCGCCGCAACCCAAGATCTCAAATGCCAGTGTGCCGGGCCAGGGGGAGAAGCTCACTAAAGAGCAGCAGCGCGAGGTCGATGAGCACAACCGGGATTTCGAGGAGAAACACGACAGGGCCCAACCTGCCTCAGATGACAAGGTGAACAAGAAGTTCTGGTCCAGCGGCACTGAGGGTAGTAAATGAGTGAAGGAACTTGGGCATGGACAATACGAATTGGTGTCATAACGGCTTGTTGATTTTTTTTTTTTATTTTTTTTTATTTTCTTTTAAGTATTACTGAAGGAAATTCATTGTTCTATGTGATACCACAAAACCAGATATCCAGTTTCTCTAAATTAGCGTCCTTGAGTGTATTGTCGTCGAAAGATTTCATCATGGGCTACCGCCCTGAGTATGCAAAGAACTATAAACAACCAATCAACCAGATACGAATATCTTTCCGGGTTTTTCCTTCTATCCTTTGGACGGAAGTCTCCGAAGACGAACACTGACACGGTGATGCTCGGCAGTCTTGGCGAAAATGAACGTAATAAAGGGAAAACTCCCGCCGTTTGGCAAACAAGAAATATGACCGGATCCTCGACAGGAGGCCATCATGTTACATTCGCATTAGTAACAATGGAATGGTTCCAAGAAATCAATATTTGTTTGACACAGGTTTGTTCGGGCTTCTTGATCACATCCAATTGTATCTCATGGGACTCGATGCATCAATATCAAGGGATTCAGCCAAGCTTCTCGGACCAACGGAGTTAAACAATGTCCAACTGTAAAACCGAATAGCCTGGTCACAACAGCCATATGATGCATCTGTTTGAGTTCACTGGTATTAGGCTGTTAATCATTCACCATGGGCAAACCCACTGTCCATCACGGGATGTTCGTCCTAGAGATGTTGATGGGTTGAGCTTGGCGCATCACAACGTCTTTTCTGCTTTCTGACGTCTGGAAGGGCACCACAACATCCCTTAAACCCACATATGCATTGCGTTATACGCCCCTGACAACAGACGAAAAGGACCCGTGAACCATGGCAAGGCCGACCAGAACATGTCTTTGCTCAAACGGTGACAGATAACCCCCAGACTTGGACTGAATCTTGAAACGACCCTAAAATAAATTCTCCAATAAGCTTAATAGTGGAAAGTTTCAAGGCATGCAGACGGGCCGCGGACAATAAGACAGCCTTGGATCAGTGGCCTTGGCGACCCTGCCAGCATTAAAAAGATGAGTAGCAAAGAATACCAGAGTATTTTTAGCACCTGACGTGGTATTAAGTCCGAAGAGCAAACCCCGATGCTTCAGTTCCGATGCAATGCCAAGTAGCAGCATCCAATGGTAACACCAAGCAGCAGATGTCTCATTCTGAGGAGCGGGGGGGTTGAACTTGGTTCTCGCATCAGCCAATCTTTCCGCTCAAGTCCCCTCGTTGATCACGGTTGTTCCCACCTCCTGGCGTCTTGGCGTTTGCCATTCAGTGGTAAGGTAGAACAGCTGGCCGCATCTCGAAGCTCCCCTCGAAGCTCGCCATCGCCAAGGCTGCGAGTTTAGAGTTTACTGAGTCGACATTCTATTACGAAAGTGACTGAGCCACCTCCGTGTCTCTGTTCAACGACGGCAGACGAAAAAAAAAAGTCTGACAATCGCGCAGGCGAATGGGACTACGACTAAAGGGCAACGTAACCTTGGCAGCGAGTGGTGCTTGGCGCAGATGCAAATCCAAAGACTCAGAAGCTGATTCTGGGCGGCTTTTGCGCCCGAATTCGTCAGCACAATGCTGCGGCAAGCTTGCCATTTGCTCTCACTGCTGATAGGCCTGAACAAGAAGTGTGTGATGCTGCAATGCACCACGTCTGATGCCTCCCATCGGTGACGAATGCGGTTGGCGCGTTTCCCAAGATGTTTTTCTGGAGAATAAGAAACAATACCACTACATGGACAGCTCGGAGCACACGCGGCCATCCAAGGCTGGCTGGGAGGGCTGAACGTTCGCATCGCCACTTGTCAGTCCACAGATCAGGGTCCCAGGTTCACACTGCTGATCGTTACGGGTAAAAGCCCATCGGTCGGTCACAGAAAGAGACAGATCAGCAGCTTCACGTCTGTTTTGTGTAGACTCGCTAACCCTCGCTGGAGAGTCTTGGCTGCGCGCACAAATAATGTCGTCGCCCAGACTTTAGAGAGGGCCAGCGGTATACATAGTAGTATAGCGTGACTCGTGACTCGCAGCACCACAAAGCTTCGCCGATCCAAGCCAGCAGTACCTGGAAGTCGAGTGTCAGCAAAGCTTGGCTGTGGACATTTTGTCGCCAGAAAAAAAAAAAAAAAAAAAAAAAGAGGGTGGTGGTAATCCAGGGTTCGTTCAATTGCGCCGATTCTGCATGGTCTTCGGTCAACAAGAAAGGCAATCCGGGAGATAGACCTCGGGAGGTTTCATCCACGCAAAAAGCAAAGTCACACGTGTGCATGGGATAATTGAAAGAGGGAATTGCTCGCGTGCTCTCATACCCAGTCGATTGCCACATGTGCTCTCAGAAGAGCAATTGAGCACACGACAGTCGGACAGTGAATTTTTCTGCGAGTGTCTAGCGTCAGATCTTGCATCTTGGCGACATCACGATAAATTCACCACCGAAAATTCCGCAAGGACATCCAAGATGAATCGACAGCGTATTGAAAACACAACGTGCTCGCAGAACCGTCTGTGACTGGCTGGATTTGCCTGTCTGATCGCTTGTCGGTACCTTGAAAGCCAAGAAGGCCAAGATGCTGGTGGCACCCCATTACACCAATACCAGCTCACGATGTGGATGTTGTATACTACATGGTCGTCTTAGTAGAGCTCGGCGCAGACTGGGCATCCGTCAAAAACATCCACTCCAATGGATCCTACCGGCCAGAACCATACTGAACTGCCACTCTCAGTCGGCGCGATTAAGAATTTTTTATTTTTTATTTTTTCAGAGTCTCTTTATTCCTGATCCGCGGTACGGCGATACCAGCTGAGGCGAATGCCACCGACAAGGTGGAACATTGAACCAAAACAGATACCCTGAACGAGGAGGGGGGGGTTCAGCAGAAAACTTGGGGCGAGAGGAGACAATCCACCTTCATCCCCCACGTCTATTGCCCCCCAGATGTCTTAATAATTCCCAACATGGCGTCTTGTATAAAGTTCGTGGCGCTCCGGACCTTCTCTCGACCATCTTGACCCTGAGAGATTCGACAAGTCCCTTCTTCTTCATCCCCTTAGTCCGACCTCCTCTGAGCTGCCCATTGTCGTGGTGAAAACCTCACCGCCCTCTAAGGCTCGCTCTTCCTTACCTCCTCCTCCTCCATCTCTCTCTCAAGGTCGGACCTCCTGCAAAACAAAAGTCAGCCATCATGGCCGTCCTCACGCAGTATGACTGGATCATCGCCATAATCAGTATTGCCTTCTGCGGCAGTTCCTTCGGAAACGGCGCCAACGATGTCGCCAACTCCTATGCCACCTCCGTGGCCGCCCGGACCCTGACCATGCCCCAGGTCGGAGCTCTGTCCATGTTGACCGAGTTCTTCGGCGCCGTCGTCCTCGGTTCTCGCGTCACCGGAACCATCAAGAACGACATTATCGGCCTCGACCGCTTCCGTCAGACCCCTGCCACCCTCATCCTGGGCATGGGTTGTGCCGAGTTTGCCAGCGCTTTCTGGCTGCTCGCCGCTACCAAGATGGGCTACCCCGTTTCCACCACCCAGACCATTGTCGGTGCCTTGGTCGGTGTCGGTATCGCTGCCGAAGCCGGCGTCTCTTGGTCCTGGAAGGACGGCAGCGTCTCCCAGGTCGCTGCGTCTTGGGTCATTGCTCCCTTCATCTCCGCCGTCTTCGCCGCCGTGCTCTTCGGCAGTCTCAAGTTCACCATCCTTGAGCGTCAGAACTCTTTCGAGAAGGCCATGAAGGCCATTCCCTTCTACCTGGCCTTCACCGCTGCCGTCCTTGCTCTTTTCATTACCATCGAGGCGCCGGGCGCCCCCTCCCTTGAGGAGCTCGGTGCTGGCAAGGCATGCGGTATCATCTTCGGCGTCTTCTTCGGTGCTCTTCTCCTCGCATACGGCTTCTTCATGCCCTACGTCCACCGAAGACTCGTCAAGGAGGACACCCGCATCCGCCTTCGCCACATCTTCCTCGGCCCCCTACTCTACAAGGAGAACTGCCCCATCTACCTGCCTGCCAAGGGCAATGAGATCGTCATCGACTACTACGCCAACACCGAGGTGCCCGCCGAGAACCAGCCCGATGTTGAGAAGCACGCGGCCAAGACCGAGAACAACACCGGCAAGGACGAGAAGGCCGTCAACAACGATAACTCCCCCATCACTCCCGCACCCCTGTCCCTCGAGGATATCGAGCGCGGCAAGAAGGCCCCCGAGGGCGGCGCCGTCGTTGGACAGTACAAGCGCCAGCCTGAGCCCGAGGAGCGCTTCCTCGCCCCGACCGCCCACCTCCCCATCCACAACCCCAAGCGCATCTGGAGCTTCGTCAAGTACTTCTTCCTTCAGGGCGTCACGCGGGACTGCGTGAGCCACGCCAACGCCCAGCTCGCGGCCGTCCACGGCAAGGCCAAGCAGTACGACAACCGCGTCGAGCACCTGTGGACCTACGCCCAGGTCGCCAGCGCCATGATGATGTCCATCGCTCACGGTTCCAACGATGTTGCCAACGCTGTCGGCCCCTGGATCGCCGCGTATCAGGTCTACCAGACCGGCGAGGTCAGGGAGGACGGCGAGAGCCCGATCTGGATTCTCGTCGTCGCTGGTTTCCTCCTCGGTGCCGGTTTCTGGTTCATGGGTCACCACATCATCAAGGCCATGGGTAACAAGCTCACCAAGATGAGCCCTGTTCGCGGTTTCTCCATGGAGCTGGGTGCCGCCATCACCGTCTTGCTCGCCAGTCGTCTTGGTCTCCCCGTCAGCACGACCCAGTGCCTGACTGGTGCCGTCGTCGGTGTTGCCTTGATGAACTTTGACGTCGGTGCCGTCAACTGGCGCCAGGTTGCCTTTGTCTTCTCTGGTTGGTTCATCACCCTGCCCTGCGCGGGTCTGATTGGTGGTCTGTTGATGGCCATGTCCCTCAACACTCCCCAGTTCGGACAGGGATAAGACGTCCTACACGGGATTTGCTGTAAGAAATATTTGGCATCGCGGGGCGTTTATTATTTGGGTTAGAGAAACGGAAATACTAGGGTGGCCTATTATGCTTGTGGCATTGGAACATGCCAATTATCGTTATGATACATTATGAAATAATAAATGAGTTAAAACATCATCTTTGTTATCCTTTCGTAAACAGTGACACGGAACCTATTGTTGACATAATGACATGCTCTGTTGGTTGATCCAGCTTGACAGTTGACCCACTAGCATGCAGCAGGCTTCTCCGCGTCAAAGCCAGTGGACCGTCATCTGTGCATGTCAATGCTACACTGCAACTCAGCTATGGGTGCATAGGACTGAAGACTATGGGACATCAGGTGAGAAGCGACTCGCCGCATCAACACTTGTATAGAAGTGAAGGCGACTTCAAAACAGGTAATTAGTGACGTGAATTTGCATCTGGTCAAAACACTCCAGTGAGTTGGTTGTGAGCCTGACAGACTTTGCCAATAGAAGGAATCTATGAGGAAAGGAATGGCAAGCAGAAAATCATGTAGTTAATGTAACAGGCCTTTACCTGGATGATGAAGCAAATAGAGTTGTGCTAAACTTACTCGCAGGCCGACATTTGAGTATTTTTTTGTCCACCCAATTAAGCAAAAGACGACGAGATCAGCCCTTCTTGAAAAGTTTTAGCCTGTATTAAGAGAGGTCGTCATTATTTGGTTGAGCCACTGTACTTGTTTTGATTGTGATTTTCACATACTTGCGTCGCGCAAAATAATCAATATTTGTTAAAAGGCCAACTCATCAGTTCCTATCATTGACTCGCATTACCTAGCAGGTAGAAGAAACAACCTACTCCTTGTAGTTTCAACTTGTTCTAGTCATTACATCGTCTGCCTCTAGTTTCGCCGCACCGTTGATCCCGCTCTTCCTAGCTGCATATCGATACTTAAAACCTCCCCGGTCCGTCGTTAGTCTCGCCGCGTGCCTGTTCTTACGTAGAAAAATGTAGTAGAGTGCATTAGCGCTTACATCTTCCGAGTCACTTGGTTTCTAGGTATCTTCTTTGCTATGCCCCGCTTCATCTCCATTGTCTTTAGCTAGGCTGATTCAATACACAAATCCAGTTTCTTCTCTGAGTTAAAGCCTGAATCATTCATCTCAGATACCAGCAAATGAATTAAACCGACGTGTCGCATTCCATTTATGACACCCGCCTGGATAACGATAACCTTCCAATTGCTTGCGAACCCCGCAGTCACCTGAATCCTTGGGGTTTCTCATCAGACGTCATGTATGTTTGACCAACAGCCCGGGCGACAACACCCCCCCTTCGGAAACAGTGTTCATCCCACCACTTGGTTGGCTGAGAAAATTTACGACCACTCATACAATGTGTCATTTTGTCGCATCCAACAGGACAAGGTGACCCCAACTTTGGCTCGCTTTCTGGCGGCTTTAAACCAGATCACATGCGTCAGCAAGTAAAACCTGGGACGATCACCAAAACCAAACGAGTAAAAAAAAGCTATTGGCGACCAGTAATCTTTCAGGCAATGTAAAAGACAAAAAACCGACGGGAGCACTGTTCGGATGCACTGTGATGCGGAAGCACGGAAATTCCCAAGCCCAGCTACAAACCTCTCTTAGATATGAGTGCGGTAATTTACTACTAAAAAGCTGATGAGCGGCCCGCACACACCTTCAGCGATAGGAAATGGAATCTCGGATACATCCCGAGACCCGGCGCGCCGGGGCGTCGGTGATAACACGCCAGCCGGTCATTGGTGCAACAAGTGGGAATCCCAGCTCAGTGTTTGTCCATTTTGGGCAAATCTGGGTTATCGTACAGATTGAGATTGGGGAGGGGAGAGAGAGAGAGACTACTGCACCCCATATCTTGTTCCCGCATCCGCCGTTCGGTACACGCGATTGTCGTTCGGACTGGGGATCTGGCTATCAAACCTGCCGACCGCGAAAAGCCGGCCGCACGGATGGGGGGACGAAGAGGGTGTGATGATTGATGCTCGGGTTCGGGTCGCCTTACACGTACCACGTTTACCCCAATGATGTTGCTGGGCCGTATGTGAGTGAAGTACTTATGCGGCCTGATGGGCTGCTATTCGGGAGCATTGATCGTTCCATTGTGTTTCATCTTCTTCAAGCTGTTAGTCTGTGAACGATTCTCCATTTCAGCTGACCTGAATTTCATACAACAATCCTTTAAGCCGTCCGATATTTCCCCTCATCTTTTAACAATCACTTAGCAGCATCACCACAATGGGTTCTTTGCCTGCTGGAGGTTGGAGACAGCTCGACGTCGGCGTCGTCGGAGGTGGTATCGGCGGCATGTCAGTTGCGATTGCTCTCCGTCGAGCAGGCCATAAAGTCTCGGTATATGAACGCAATGATTTCGCCGGCGAAGTCGGCGCATCCGTTTCCTGTGCCGCAAACGGTACGCGTTGGCTGCATGAGTGGAATGTGGACGTCGCAAAGGGCGACCCCGTCGTGCTGAAAAAGCTCATCAACCGCGACTGGAAGACGGGCGAGCCGGTCAGCGTCTACGACTTGGACGATTACGAAGAGCGATGGGGATATGTCTACAATATGTTTCACCGACAGTACATGCATGCGATGCTGAAAGATACAGCGTTGGGGGAGGGTGAGGGAACGCCTGCCAAGCTGTTTGTTAACCACAAGGTGAGACATTGATGACCTCCGAAGCCGATGACGTCGTTTAACATTAGCGTAGTGTAAAGACATCGATCTCAGTACCGGGGGAATAGAGTTTGAAAACGGGTATTCTGCCAAGCACGATCTCATCATTGGCGCCGACGGCATCGGCAGCGCCGTGCGGGGCCTCATCGGTGTCCGCCCCGAGAAGCGCCCTGCCGACTCGAGCTGCTTACACGCCAACGTGCTCACCGAGGATGCGGTCAAGGCCGGACTGGTCGACTACTCACAAGATAGCGCTCTGGAATACTGGGGCGGCCAGGAGGGGAAGTGGGACAAGATTGTCTTGTCGCCGTGCAACGGAGGCAAACTTCTGTCATACTACTGCTTCTTCCCGAGAGACAAGGGTGACTACACCAACCAAGCTTGGGGAGTTGAGGACAGACCTGTCGAGGAACTGCTGGCTCCTTACCCTGAGCTTGATGCTCAGGTTCGCGCACATCTTGCCATTGGCATGGACATCCAGCCGTGGCGATTGTGGATGCAGTGAGTGTTCCCATAACGCGGGCTTGAGTGTGCTTTAGATCACTTACTAATGACCTTCAGCGACCCTTACCCTTACATTAACAAGAATATGGTTTGTCTGTTGGGAGATGCAGGTCATCCGGTGAGTTGTACTTTTGCTGTGACTTGAATCATCGCTGACCAAAAAAGATGATGCCCCATCAAAGTCAAGGAGCCTGCATGGCCATCGAGGATGCTGCTGCACTTGGTATTCTCTTCCGTCCCAAGTACTTTAACGGAAATGTCGACGAGACCCTGTCCATCTACAATGAGGTGCGCCTGCCTCGTGCTACGAGGGTTCAATCGGCAGCCGCCAAGGCAGCTTACAACATCAACGAGCGTATTGGTGAGTTTTATCAACAGGTTTTGGTAGTTTTTTGTCTTACAATTTTCTCTATCAGGTTTCTCAAGCAACGCAGGCAGCTGCAATACCTACAAGGTCGAAGACGAGAAGGCCAAGCTGACGATAGAAGAGATGAATGCGTAAGTTATTAGTCGCTCTGGTGATATCTGGACTTATCTGACGGGGTACAGTTACGACATGTACAAAGATATCGAGGAGGTGATTGCTAAGCGCGCCGGAACCCCGTTTACTCAGAAGTTTACAAAAGGTCTCCCAATCGGTATGAAGCTTCCGAATGGAGTAGTCATCGGAGAGTGAAGCAGGTCTCGTCTCTACCAGACAAGGCCCTTTTTTGAAAATTTTGAGGTTGTTTGGAGTTTTGGGAGGCAAATGTGCAATACCACGAATGGTTAGGCTGTGTTGTGGGATAACTTTATGTAACTTGAATTGCATTACACGAAAGTCGATGTGTATTGTGTATAGTTGGACCGTGCATTTATAATACGGATTGTGCTATGAACATTTATGGGAACGACTTATGACCATTTCACGACGGATACGGACAAGCGGAAATGTGCAAACCAAGACGGATGAAGAAAAATGTGGACACGCAACCAGACACTTTCTCTCTACTAGTAGATCGATCGCTTTAAACGCTTCTCCTCGCAATCTTAGGTTTTCCATGCTTGACGTTGCACGTAAACAAAAAAAAATGCGTACGCTAAACCTTCAGAACCCCATCTTGTTCGTATCGCCCACTCGCATCATGACATTCACCCAAGCAACATGACGAGCAGAATCTGACCTGGCACCATCGAGCAAACTTTTTCAGCCAACCGTATGCCAACTTTTTGACTACCGCCTCACCAAAGTCCAACAACATGGGCTCATATCGCGACCATGCGGTGAGCGCGACCCCCACCCCAGGGTTCAGTCACCAAGGCAGATGAGGGGTAAAACAAAAAGGCAAAGATAAAGGATCTGCTTCGATAGCGCAGGTTGAGGATATCACGAAAAAAGAGGCTGAAAGGGAAAACACTCGTCGTCAACGTTTCATGCGGCCAAGACCCAGAGGCAAAGGGCGGTGGATGCGATCGCCCGAATCTGAATGGAAGCCCTGTTGACATTTGATGCCGACATCCAACGCGAATCGCGCTAAAATGACATGGAAGTGGATCTCTGGAAGAGATTCTGCATGTGTTCCGAGCTCCCGGCGACTATTGTAGACAGGGATTCTCGAAGGAGGATGGAAGGAAAAAAAAAATACTAATCGTCTAGGAAGCTTTGACGCGTCCGGCGGCGAACCGGTTCGTCGAGCGGTGAGGACGGTGGTGATTATGGCCTTCGCTATTTGCTGCCCAACGTCGACCTTCCATTTCGTTTACCTAGTAGTTCCCCTCCCGTTCAGGTCATGGTTCAGGTCAGTTGGCCAGCCACATTGGTGGGCCGTATCCTCGGCGACTCCTAAGCCGCTTGGATGGGTTCGTAGGCTCACGGACTTGGACTGGCAATATTGATTTATCAACTGGTGGATCCCAATTATTCTCGGTTTGAACCGACCGGCCCCAAAGTACATATAGATGAGCTTCCAATCTTGAAATTCCTGTCTCTTGTCATTTCCCTCCCTCTTTTGTCTGGTTCATCTCTGTTGGTCCTGATACCCCCTCCGAGAGCATTGCTGTTGTTGCTGCTGTTGCTGCTGTTGCTTCTGCTGCTGCTACTTTTCTGTTTGGCTTGGCAGTTGCTTTTTTCCCTAGTCACAGCGTCGTCGATTTTCAGTTTTTGTTTCGAGATTTTCTTATTGTTATTGTTTCCGAGATTACGGCCGTCGATATACCCTTGCCACAATGTCACCAGCGATCTTCGACTCGAGGAGAAGCGCCTCTGTTTCTGCCGGAGACCATGAGCGCCGCAAGTCTGGAAGCGGCTTTCTTTTCTTGAACAACAGATTCAAGAGGTACGTTTTACTTTTCTCTCTCTCTCTAATTTCTGAGTGTTCTCCTTCTTTTGTTTGTTTGTTTTCCCCATTTGGGTACACAATCGAGTTGTCCCGGACACGAGAAAGATATCCTTCTTCACCGCCATTCATCTTCTCTTCAAACCACCCTTGCAAGTGGCCAGCATCTTCTCGCTACCCCTGGCCTTTTTTATGCTGGACCCTTTTTGCCCCGCTTCTACAGGCCTGCGAGATCTCCACCGCGATGCCTGCTCTTCCTGCTTTTTCTCCAACGGCCGCCAACTGTATGTTTCGGGGTCTGTCGAGTTGTCAAGCCCCTGCATGTCTTTGACGTGTCTCTGCCCGCGATCCCATCGTCGTCGACACCCAATGTCGCCACTGCCAATCAGTTGTCCTGTCTTACACGGGTGTTCGTAGTCCGCCAACACCACCCGGAGGTGACGCACCCGACTCCTTCGGCCAGTATCACTACTGGTCCAAAGAGCATGACTCCTCCTCCTCCACGGGAGGCCCTCAAGGAGGGCGATCCATTACCCCCATCTTGCGACATCCTAAAAGACTGCTGCCGCCACGACCGCCATCAGTCCCTTCCCGAGTATCTTCTCTTCGGTAGCTCTCCTTTGCCATGCCCTCGTTTTCCATGCCCCTGCCATTCTGCTTCGGTTCCTTCAAGATTACCACAAAGAGCTTGAACAAGCCCAAACTATTACAGTTGTCAAAATGGTAACCCGCATGGAAGAGAATCCAAGTCTAACATGATATATAAAACAGAGCTCCCACCACCAAAACCACCAACGAGAACGCCATCTCTACGCCCCCCACGCCCACCTTCGGACCAGTCAAGGATGGCGGCTACTTCAAGCGCTCTGACTCCGCCCGTAGCATCCCCTCCCTGGCTCAGACCACCAACAACAACGATGCCGAGACCCCTCGCCCCATGACCGCGATGCCCGGCCGGGAAAAGCCCTTCCTCGACACTAACCAGCCCGTCAACGGCGAGAAGGAAACCAGCTCAGTAGCTGCCGTCGAGAAGAAGGACGAGCCCACGCCTACTGACGGTGCCCCCGTTACAAACGGAGCTGAGCCCGTCTCTGCTCCCACACCTGCTGCTGCTGCTGCTGCTGCTGCTGCGCCTGCCAAGGCCGAGAGCACAGTTGAAGCTCATCCCACCGAAGATGAGGGCGATTCTTCCTCCGACGAGGACGAGGACGAGGAGAAGGCCGATGCCGAAACGCAGGAGCCCCAGGGTGCTCAGCTGGCCACCCGTGTCGCTATCGTCCCCGCTCGCGTCCCGACCCCCGAGGCCGACAAGAGGGTTTCCTACCACGAGGATGCCGACCTCCACGTCAAGGTCCGCGAGTCCAACGGCACTCCCGCTGTGTACTCGGTCCGCTCCGCGGCACTTTCTACCGCCTCGCGCGTCTTCAGGGACTTGCTCGCAGGAGACAACACCTCCAGCGTCATCGACCTGCAATCCCCCGCCGACACCGCCGCCGGTCTCGATGTGCTCTTCTCCATCGCCCACTTCAAGTTCCACCAGCTCCCCACCAGACCCAACGTTGACCTTCTGTACGACCTTGCCCTGGCTGCCGACAAGTATGCCGCCACGCATCTGCTCGTCCCCTTCATGAAGGAGTGGGTCGTCGCCCTAAACCGCCACGTTCTCATGGCCGGCGCCCGCAACGACGAGGACAAGACCCTCGTCCTCAGCTGGGTCTTTGGCGAGGCTCGCTGGTTCAGCCGCGTTCTGGCCAAGGCCGCGTACAAGTCGCGCGTCGGCGCCGACGGCGCCCTCGTCGACTCCAACGGCAGGCCCTGGAGGGACCAGCCCATCTCCGACGAGGTCATCAACATGCTGACCGCCACCCGCGCCGAGGCCGTCGACAAGATCGTCAAGGCCGTCAGCAACCCCGTCCACCGCCTTCTCAACCCCTCGTGCTACCCCGGCGAGGAGATCCGCTACTGCCACGCCGGCACCGACGACGGGACCGCCGAGGACTGCGAGCAGCTCCTCCTCGGATCCGCCATCATGGGTCTGACCAAGGCCAAGCTCTGGCCTCCCCCGGAGCCCGCCAGGGTCAAGGTCAGCGCCGTCGAGCTCGCGAGGGCCTACGGCGAGGTCCGCATCCGCCGGTACCAGACTCCTGGCCTGCGCTTCAGGGATAGCGCGGCCGAGGGTACGCCTCTGGAGGACCCCCACGCCAAGTGTGGTTTCGGTCACCGCGAGGCGCTCGAGAAGATCCTCAACACGCCTGCCAAGGTTGGTTCCAGCGTCGTCAGCCAGCTGATCACCAGAGCCAAGAAGTCGGGTGCGTTTGGCGAGGAGCTGTTTTCCGATTTGAAGGAGTACGTCCAGGACGACGGTGTTGCCGTCGAGGGCGAGGATCTCAAGAGCGACCCTGTCCACTACAAGCAGGTCCGCGAGAAGAACAACGGTGTTGTCGAGAACAAGGTTCCGGCTGATGGTAAGCTAGCCCCTGCTTTTGAAACTTGCGAGAAGGAGTCATGTAAGCTAACATTCACCAGATGATGATGAAGAGGACGACGAGGATGACTCCAGCTCCGAGAGCGACGACGAGTAAATCGTCATGATGGTATGTGGTGGTATTTTCGGATTATAAAAGCGTCACGGATATATGTCTCGTTTGTGTATGATGTCTCTTAACATGATTCATTATGACCAATACCCTTAGAATGTCTCTAGATCTAATTTATCTTTTGCATTTCACGGTGCTTATTTGCGTAATATGAACAATGTGAGCAAACTATTCGCGTGTTGGCTTATAGTTTCGGGACTATCGCGTTTTGAATGTGGTTTTGCTCTTCCAATAAGTTGTGAACGCCCCAGAGTAATGAGAGCTCATCCATAATGCAGTATGGGTGTCGTAAAGTATTATATCCGCCCAGTGGCACTCAGTAAGTCTGTAGTTGGCCTCTAGCTTCTGTTCCTCGATCCTACCTCACGAGACCCCGCGTGTTCCACATGACCAGCCCCTTGAACCTCGGGGGCCTCGGAGTATTTCGCATTCAGTTCCTCTCGGTAGTTTCGCTCTCGTGGAGACAATATGTCCACCATTAGGCTAAGCACGACATGGCCTGTCGGAGAGTATCTGCTTGTTCGAATTCCGTGTTTTGCCGTTGACACCGCAGCCCCTCAAAAAGATCCTAAAACAGTTTAGCATGAAGCACATGTGAGCAGGATTGAGTCTCTGTTGAACAATCACAATTACATTCTCTTAGCAATATGTCTCGACTCAAGACAACTCGGACGGCTGATTGTCGTCCGCCGCAAGGGGCAACGAGATGTATATGCCCATTCTCGAGGCCTTCCAGAGCGGATCACGCGGGAATGGGCAGAAAATGAATCTATTATCGAACAGTCCACCAATCCCGAGACAACGACAGCGACCATGCATTTAACGTTGGCTGGCGGGCTTTTCCCCTCCCCTACTAGTAGGCCCATGCATCGCCCCATATAAACGGCGGAATCATTGCTAATTTGTTGTTTTACCTAAGACGGAACCTCCCAGAGATACGTGTACTTGCATCAGGAACCATCTCAGTCCAATAAGCACGTTCAGAGTCGCGTGTAAAGTTGCCGAGCACATCGGTCTTCGCAATAACTGAGCAACCCCGCCATTCGTTTCTGCCACGTACGACGCTTTTGTTTTGATTCTTTCGTACATTGCTATAGGGTTGACGCGACTAAGTTGACGGGCGTGATTATAGTATTCTAGGTGTCAGCTCATACACTGAGGTGTTTCTCTATAAATTGGTTGATTGCGGGGAGAAAGCGGAGGAGGCCTCATTTGGCAGGCAGATTAAGTCTCTTCCATTGGCGGCGACATCTAATAATGCTGACATTTCCATACACTTCAGTTCTAGACTCAAGGAGTCCACTGAATGTGCATTTTCGACTTTGATTTCGGTGAAAGTTGAAACGCAACAAAGAGTAATATAGTCCACCGCCTAATCAATTGTGCAGCATTAATTGCAGTTGTTTCGTAGGCTAGTTAGCCACATCATCTAGCAATAGCATCCAGAGTATGCAGCGCTCTTGATGCGTTGCACATATACGCAACTAAGGCGGCTCAGCCTCGTTGCCGATGTCCAGTTGTTTTCAGCTGGCCTCATTCTTCATGCATGTGCACATCACTTCCGAGCTTACTAACTCCAGATCGCTACAGTAAATGGACATCTTATCCTAAGTCTTGAAGAATTCATTCGTGGCTAATTTGCTTTCAATGCATGCTAAGTGAACTAATTACTTATTTTTCTAACTGACTCAATTTTCACGTTGCGACTTCTCTTCGGATGGGAATTCCTTGTGAGCAAATTTCGAACCGTTTAGCGGCCAAAATACTCTTTGCGACACAAATGTTGTCAAATTAGTTCCCTAACAGGAAAACCAATCTGGAGTTCAAGCTGCATTTACAGACGCTTTGTAATACTACAGGGTATATGGCAAGTCATGCCCTCCAGTACGTCACTGGGCATGTCCCATACATGCAAATCTTATGCATGCAGCCGCCTACGGCTCGTCACACAGTAACACCGCCCGACAGCCTCATTTTCTGAGTGGACGGCGAAAAAGGGGCTGCTGCAGGCTTGCATATTCCTCCCGGCCATCCTGTCACGACAACCGCAGAAAAGCGTTGCTTACCAGTCTCAGGAGAGGGAAAATTTTCTGCAGACGCTTGCTTTTCTGCAAGTTGATGAATGAGAAAATTGAGGCTCGAGTGTGCCCGGCCACCTTGCAAACCTCATTTGCGCAAACACGCCAGCCACCTACGATTTTGGGCGTCGAAACACCATTTCGGATGGACTTTCTAGTTCTAGTTTCGCACATATCAACTATGCAAGGAGTCGAAGAAGAAGTTCTAGACGGTCTTCCATGATTGTTGGGGGCGTATATTCACCCGTATGTATGTCGTTGGATCCGGGAAGACGGAAGTAGCGCTTCCCTGTTATTGTCCGGGATACATGGAGTATGCGCGAACAGCGACTAGAACTCGTGTCTCCACTGTAGTAATGTACAGTAACTAGGAACATACTATGTATCTCCAGGGCCCCAGCCTCTCCTTGGGAGCATCGTCTGGAGACGTTCGAAAGGTCCACGGACCTCGTCCGATGGAGAAGCATACCGCCACTTAGGCATGATAGTCGGCCAATGAAGCCATTCGCGTGGGTCTTTGGCTTTCAAACTCGCAAGGCGGGGACACGAATCCACACGCCCTGTTCTCCAAACGTTGATCTGATAAGTTAGACATCGGCATACAGTCAGATGACAACGAACAGTCAGCTTCGTGGCATTCAAAGTATACCGTCATACGAAGCAGACCTAAAAAAGAACAAGACCGAAAGTTTCCGATTCGACATAGCCACAAAGGACTCGGAAGACCTGGAACCAAAAGGCTTTCGTTCATTTTGTCGTAGACGAAACCAAGGCTAAAGGGCAGAAAACCAGACCGGCCGGGGTCCGGCCTCAACGACGAGGCTCGGCCCGCACAGCGGACGAATCAACGTCCACCACGTCCATGTCGAGACCCCCCCGGCCTTCGCCGGGAGCTTGCAGGTTGCAGTGAAATTTGCTGCTAAATGTATAGTGCAGTGCAGTACTATCTCAACCCATGTTCATTTCGTCCCAACCGTCACAACCTAATCCAGGTAAAGCAAAGTGAGCGATGCCCAATCCACAATGTGCAACACGCCATGCGCACAAAAACCTGGGAAAGGAAAAATAGAATGAGGCCAGTCGAATCCATTTCCGCCTGTTTGCCCTACTAAATTCACTGGCTAGCATACCCTGCTCCCTATATTCCTGACTCATCTTAGCACCTCTGATTTGCTTTCCTTTTCCCGTGCCCCATACCACCCCTGTAAAATAGGGCTTGGAGAGTGTTTGGCCCTCGACGGCGTCAAAAAACCAAAGGAGAGGCAGACAACTAACTGCAGACGTATGCTGTATTAGTGAGCGGGACTCCTCCGCAAAAGAAATCCTCCAAAGAGGGAAAATATGCAGCAAGCTGAAGCAAAACAAACGGACTAGAATAGAGGGAAATTCAGCAGAATCAAAGACGAGTCAGTTGCGTCTAGAAGATGAAAGATCGCCATCAACGGGAGACTTACACATGTTCAGTTTCGCCACTTGGGGGAAATTGTCTCGCAGTTGTATTGTAGGTTTTGTCTCTCCTTGTAGCCCAAACCAACTTGCCCAAGCACATGGTCGCCCCCCTTGTCTCCCGCATTTTGGCCCCCCCAGTTGGGCGGGACGCGAAAACGGATCCTGTATGGGGCCCAAGAATCCATGGAGTCGGCCCTAGACAGGGCCAGTTTGGTCGTGGAAAGCGTGGTTTGCTCCTCCTGACAGCGGCATAGCCCAATGAGCCCAAGACATCCCTGCCCGAAGCCAACGAAATGACGATGTTGCGTTTGCAAGTTCAACGCTACTTTGTGTTCCGGATGTAGGCTGGGGGTTTCCCGCCAAACCGGCCCTGGGTCGTGGAGGCACAAGTTGGGCCCGCCCTGGAACCACACACGCCCTCACCCCCGGGGGCATTGGCTTGACTGGCTTGACCATGCCGTGTCTCGAAAGCTCGAGGACCACCCCCAATGTGCTTGACGTATGAGCCCTATTGGACGGGGGTAAGCGCGTTGGGGCTGGCCACGGATGAAGGCGGGCAATGTCCAATATCATTTTCTGCCGGTTGGGTGGTGTTGTACGTAGATCGCCCTCTGTTTGTCTCTCTCCTTTTTCTTCCCTCCCACAACACCATTCTCTGGATATTTTGACAAAAACAACTTGACACCCGTATCCAGACTTCCCCCAGATCTCTTCATTCTTTTTGATAGTAGATCCCAGCAGACCCGATATGCAACTTTACCCCTCATCAACTTACCAATACACTTTCAATGTCACTCGCAAAGTTCACCAGCCCCAGATCAGACATCCAGCTTGGCACATAACTTGAGAAAACCACAAAAAAAGATCTCCCATATTACATATTACCAGACTCTCTCCCTCCTGACTACTACTCCACCCATTCCTCATCAACAACTCCATGGCTCCCACTCGTGACATACTGCCCGCCAAGGGCCGTGTCGGCCGCTTTGGCAGACAGAGACGGCCGTCTGTCTCCATCCCCGACAGCATGCCTCTTGAGAGGCTCGACATGTCCAACGCCAACGTTTCCGATATCTCACTTGCCCCTATGGAGCCTTCATCAGACAACAGATCTGATTTGAGCACAAGCACATCAGGAAGTTGGAGAAAAAAGAGCAACAATGGAAAGCCTCTGTTGTTCAAGCCCCCTTCTCTGCGCTTCCGCGCTCGCCCTGAGATCGACAGGCCATGGAGACGTTCTAACCCGGAACCCACAAACTACCATTCCGCCGACGACACCAACGACTCGGACACTGAGTCCAAGTACAGCTTTGACTCCCGTTCCACTATCACCACCGCAACAAGTGTGGCCTCAGACGACCAAGACTCTTACCCCAGCAAATCTACTGAGACCGTTTCTGCTACTCGGACTGCCCCATTTACCGTAGAGAAGCAAGTTGTAAAGTCCAGTACTGCCCCTGTTGCCCCGGCCAAGCCCGCAAACCTTAGGGGAGCACGCGTCGATATCGTGGCCCCTGCCAGCAGGACTCTTCGCATCGAGGTGGCCCCTGCAGCCCCTGCCCCTCCTGTAGTTCAACGCATCACCTCACAAGAGCTTCGCGAGCGTGAGCGGGTTGAAGATGGCCTCCTCAAGGAAATTTCGCGCATGCAACAAGAGACCAGAAGCCTACTTGGCAAGCAGTCCGAGACTGACAAGAGGCTGGAAGACGCTCTCGAAAGGCTGTCGACTTTGTCTGCAGACAAGGAGAGAACAGAACAGAGGCTTTCAACTTTGACTGCGGATAAGGAGAAGACAGAGAAGAGACTTTCAATCCTGTCTGCAGATAAGGAAAAGACGGAGAAGAGGCTCTTGAATTTGTCCGCAGACAAGGAAAGGACAGAGAAGAGGCGCAGGGATGAACAGAACATCAGGGACAAGGTTTCCCGCGACTTTGATGAACAAAGCCGACTTCTCGATGATGTAAGAAGCGCTCTTAATGAGCATGAAAGGAAGCTCGAGGATGTGCAGAAGGAGAGAGACGAGCTCAAGAACATCAAAGAGCAACTTGAAGCCAAGTCCAACGACCTCGAGAAGCAAATCACAGCAGAGAGGGATGCCAAGAGCGAGGTCTCATCCAAGTACGCCGCTCTTGAGAAGGACGTTGCCGAACAACAAAGGATCCGTGCCGAACAAGAAAAGGTACATGCCGAACAACAAAAAACCAAAACCCATTTCGAGGCTCGCTGCTCCAACTTGGAGAAGGACCTCGGTGATGTTCGGGCCGTCACCAAGGAGACCGAGCGTGCTCTCATTGAGCGAATCGCCGCCCTGGAGTTGACCAAGGACAGCCTCAAGCTTCGTGTCACCGGACTCGAGACTGAGCTGGTCCTCAAGGGCACCGAGATTGGCGACATCACTGCCGAGCGTGACCTTCTCCGCATGGACGTTGAGAGATACAAGCCCCAAGTCGATTCCCTCAACAAGGAGAACGGAGCCCTCACCGAAGTCAACAAAGGCCTGCAATCACGTATCGATACCCTCGAGGAGCAGAAGAAGGGCCTGGAGGCCAACGTTGAACAGCTTGAGAACGAGAAGAAGGACATCCAGGACCGCTTCAACGCCATCGAGGTCGAGAAGCAAGAGATCGAGGTTCGCGTTGCCGAACTCGAGACGGCCAACACCAACTTCCTGACCCGCATCGACAGCCTGGAGATCACCAAGGGCGAGCTAGAGGTTAGCAAGGCCGAACTGGAGATCAACAAGGCTGAGCTTGACACCCGGGTCAAGGACCTCGAGGGCGTTCAGACCAAGTACGACAAGCTCAAGACTCGCATCGAGACCATCAAAGGACAGAACACTACACTCAAGTCGCAGGTCGGAGACCTACTCAAAGAGCAGGACGACCACAGCTCTCAGATTCTCAACCTCTCAGATGAGCGCAACAGCCTCCGCTCAGAGAACGCATCCCTCAAAGACGAGAACGTATCTCTCCAGGGCGAGAACGCATCTCTCAAAGATGAGAACGAATCTCTGCAAGGTGAGAACCAATCGCTCAGGGACGAAAACGAATCTGTCACCAGTGAGCTCCGGCGCGCCGAGTCACTTATTGGATCAGCCGCCCCATCTGTAGCTGCCGAGAGCGATGCTGGTAGCGATGCCGGTACTGTCAAAGCCGAAGATGATGCTCCCCCGCCACCTGAACCCGAAGTTGCACCCCCGCCACCGCCAGCGGAAGCCCCTCCGCCACCCCCAACAGTTGAAGAAGTCAAGGAAGATGCCGTGAGCGTCAAATCCGGAGCGCCTACTCAGGTCTCGAAGGCGGCCCCTGAGGCTGAGGCTGAGGCAGCCCCAGCTGAAAACGACGCCACGACTGAGAAAGCCGAGTCGGTAGCCAGCACCCCCTCGGAGCCCGCCGTCCTGGAGGAGCTCCGCGAACGCGTCGCCGACCTTCAGGAGCGCAACGACCAGCTTCAAGCCGAGACAGTTAAACTTGGATACCTCACCGCGGAGAGAGACGACCTGGCCGCCCGCATCGCTGCATTTGAACCGGAGAGGCAGGGACTATCTGCCCGTATCGCTGCCCTCGAACCGGAAGCCAACCAGGTGCCCCAGCTGCGTCAGGACAACTTGTCGCTGACGGCCCAGCTCGGTGCCGTCAACGCTCAGCTCGATGGCTTGCGCGCTTCTTATGAGGCCTCGGTGGCCGAAGTGCACAGCCTGCAACAGCAAATTGGATCGCTACGTGTACGCCTGTCTTCACCGTCAGGAGAGTCAAAGAAGTCGTCGTCGCGGTCCAAGACGAAGGAGAATGATAAGAAAAAGGAACAGTTGGTGGTGGTGCGAGACCCCAACGAGCGTGGCAGGATGTAAGTAGAACCCCTCCCCCTAATGGCGTATACATGGCCGTGATGCTAACCCCCTCTCACAGTCAAGTTATGCGACGAAGCGACCTGCGTGCGATGAGATCCTCTTCTCAGTCAGAGGGCGATAAGAGCGATTAAGTCGCGATATTTACATTGAACTTTTAAGTCTACCAGACATGGGACATGGGCATACCAACACAGCATGCAGGATCCATGGTAGCAAACGAACGATTATGATAGCGTTTCCTATGTATTTTTTTTTTTTCATTTGTTGGTTCATTTACATGCGTTCATCGGTTTTCGCAAGGTCTTTCATTCATTGGTTTCTTTTGTCACGGTGGGATGGATTGGAACGGAACGGAACGGAAGCTGGCTAGACTTGTACGGATTGCATGGACGGGCTTGGGTCAGACGGGTGCTCTCGGGAGCGCATAAAAAAACATGCCATCATGTAGACTTTCTTGTGCCGTGTAGCAAATAGTTTTAGATAGCGTCAGCTCATGTCATAATTCCTATTACTAGTTATTGGTTAAAATCGTTGTGCCCAGCTTGCGCCTTTGCTTCTCAGGCCATTTCGTCAGGCACAGTTCGTTGGGCGCAACGGGTCTAATCAACAAACGGCTGGCTACCACCTTAGCTTAATGGTGGAAGCTTTGACGTACATTTCTTTGGATTAGGTTGAATCTCGCTGGCCACACTTGAGCCATAGTAAACGCCATTGGGCTATGTAGCGTGAGAACCTATTGGCACGACTGGTAATAGATGAAGGCCAATAGTTTGACGCTTGTGGCTTGAAATGGCAATGCTTGATTTTCCCAATTGCTTTTACCTTAATGAAGATGTATCAAATCAGTAGGATTAAATGTGCTACGGGAATGACTTTACGCCTCTCGAGAATCAAGCTTTCAGTCCCGCCAATGTCTTATCGTTGACCTGAAATTTTCATATTGCTTCAGCCGATTTCAGTGAGGAATTATGATAGCTTTGATGGATGACACTGAAGAAGCCATCTCCGTTCTTGGCAAACGGCCAAGGCTTTATGTGATGATGACATCTTGACAGAGACTTCCTTGGCTTGTTCCAAACGCAACAGAATCCGGCTTGATGCATCATTAAATCTCCGAAATCTGGGAATGCTCGCACGTAAGTTTTCTGGGGATGCGTGGCCATGGGCTGCTTGCGGCATCTGTTTGAAGCTGCTGCCGTACATAATTACTCCTCCATGAGCCTCCGTTCTAGTGCTCCGCCCCTAAGCCTTGGATTTGAAGAATACGAAGAATGGACCCGATTGGGCGGTTGTCTGTCTCACTCACACGCATACGGCATAGAATGTGGCTGCAAGCAACAACACAACATTCCAACCGTCGATCTTGGTACGGAAACGGTCCAGTTTCCGTTGGGGACCTGAACTAAGAAAGCAGCCCAGTCAAGCCCACGAGCTTATTTCCCTTTGGCACTCCAATCAGGTATATATGATGAAGTCTCGTCGCCCTTTCTTCACCATAACTTTGTTTTCTCCAGCACGGTCAGTTTTCTCTCTCTCTCTCTCTCACTTCACACGAACGAGTCAATTTCATTTCTTGTCGGTCAATCTCTCAGCTACTTGATTCGATCTCTCTCAACTCAAAGTCGCTCGACAATCTCCCCAACGTTCAATATGAAGTTCACCGCCGCCACCATTCTCGCCGCTGTCGGCCTCGTTGCCGCTCAGATCGGAGATATTCCAGCGTGTGCCGCTACTTGCTTGGCCCAGGCATTCAGTTCCAGCACCGCATGCCAGCCCGGCGACTTCGCCTGCCTGTGCAATCCCGCCACCTACCAGGCTCTCATCACCTCTATTACTCCCTGCGTCGTCAGCAGTTGTGGTGAAACCGTCGCAACCAGTAGGTCCTTTCGGGTTATCCTGAACGAGTTTAGAAAGATGCTAACCCTTCATCCTCAGCCCAAGTTCGCCCTGCAGCTGACAGGCTCTGCGCTGCCGTTGCTGGAGGTGGCGGCGCCGCCTCCGGCAGCAGTGCTCCTTCAGCGGCTTCTGGAGCTTCTGCTGGTCCGGGAGCTACCGCCGCGGGAGCAGGCACCGGCGTCACTCAGGCTCCTGCTTCCTCTGCCGCCGGCCAGCGTACCACGAGAACCGTTGCTGTAACCAATGTTGTCACTCGCAATGGCAGTGTTATTGCGACTGCTACATCGACTGTCGTTCCTGTTACCGTCAACGGTGCTTCTGTTCAGGCACCTGTCGGTGTTCTGGCTATGCTGGCTATCGGTGCTCTCGCTGCTCTCTAGACCACTGCAGTTTGAATTTTGAGTAGCCTAACTGAGGGTCTGTTGTCAGAGTAATTTACTATGACCGTATATGATGTAGCGAGTACCTGCAGGCTGGCGTAAAAGTAGTTGAAGAGTTATAGAATTTTAATGTTAATCACCTTTTATATCACAAGTAATGATAGCCTTGCTCAGAATGCTTCGCGATGGTATTCAAGTCTCAGCTTTGTCCGAAAGCTGTAATCCACTCTAACGATATCTACATGACTGAAGGAGCCAGTAAGCTTTGATGGCCCTCGCCCCCCCCTGTTGTCCGGTATCATCCCTCTTTCCGTCTCGCATAATAACAGCTTCTTGATACCAAATACTCGCAGGATAGTATTGGTATGACCTCAAGGGGCATCTTCTCTTGCGCGGGCTTGTGCCTCCTCGAGAGACATGGAAGGGTCTGCGTTCATGTAGTGTTTGGTAACAATATGTCGGCGGAGAGTGTCGTTTCGGGAGAAACTCTTATCGGGGCAATGAATACATTGAAGGGTGAATCCGCTTTGGGGCTGACGACCGGTGTCTTTGGCACTATCGCTGACGTTGGTGGCGCTGTTGTTGTTGTTGCTGTCGTTGTTGTCAGTGTCGTTGGCCTCCTGCGGAGCGTTTGTACCAACGACACCAGAGACAGAACCAACAGGGGCTCCAAATGCTGTAACACCGCCATTTGCGCCTCCGACAGTTGACTGACCAGTGTTGTGGGCTGGAACTGCTGAAATTTGAGTGGTTTGGCTGGCCTGGGTTGAGAATGGTCGAGAAAGCGGACCCGGAGCAAAGACCATTGGGCCAAAGTTGTTGGGAGTTAGCTGGGCAGCGAGGTAGACACGGCCATCAGGGAGCATTATGACGGAACTGTTCTGGGTCAGTTTGAAATCTCCACTATGAGAGAGCTCTTATTGACTTACTAATTGAAGGGACTAGCCATCTTGAGTGTCTCTGTTCAGCTGTGATATCTTGTCTTGTTTTTGAAGTTTGGAGGCGAACTAGGAGGAAGATGGGAAAAGTGAAAAAGAAAAAAAAGTCAAAAGGTAAGGGGAAGTAATTCGGCATCTATTCTACTCAATTCAAAACTATTTGTTTGCCAACAATCTGAAGTCGTTAGGGCATCGTGAGGGCATCGTGAGCCTAGCTTCTTCTTGCTGGAAGGCACCAAGTACGACGACTTTTGAACATTGTAGATACGTGCACTTTCCAAAACATGGAATGACCATGAATGATCAGATTATCATTCATCTCTTTGAGTATTTGTGAGGTGTATTACACAGCTTCGACTAAGAATGGGTGACTCATCTTAACTGCCTACCCCTTTGTGGTTGTATTTGCCTGCTTTGATTGTCTCTTGAGGCTGCTAAAAAGTCCTTTTTGCTATATTCTCAGCTATCCTTTACTTAAAAAATCCAATTATCCATGTGTAACAGGTGTCAAATACTTGATAGTGCTGCCTAGTGTAGATGAGCCTTGGCGAGTCACTAGCCAAATTTAGGACATTCAAGACCAGACTTATAACAAATAGGCGACAGGTTCCTTAACTCGTTTATATTATCTCTAGAGATTTATTGCAGCCTTTGGAAAACACGAAATGAGCTCCTCGAAGCCCTCAATCTTCATCTCTATACCCCATCACTCCTAACAGCAGAATCTTGCAGAAGTTTAGCATTAGATGACTCCTGGCTCAATTGAATCAGCCTCGAAAGTTGCAAGTACACTCGAGCCATTAATAGGGTTTGCCATAACTTAGCCAGCTATTACTAGCTTATGGGCGTGATTAGCTGGGGGACTGATGGCAAGGTAGCAGACGTAAATACAAGAAGCTCAATATATTTGGTATGGCTTTTACGCTTCTATCTTCAACAATATACCCCGAGCGAATTTGCTGTCCTTTTTTTTTACCAATAACCAACTCAAACATGTCGTCATAATCACCATGCTAATCTTCAACACATTGACACCATTGTAGAATTTGATGTTAATTTGACTGATCCAGGCCGATAATCGCATGCCGAACAACAACATGATAACATAACCTTATCACGTTTAGCCATTTGCCCGGGGAAGATGAATACATTTGTAAGCTAGATCAAAGTTTCAGGCTTGGCCATGTCCTGTGAGCCCAGTTTTGTGGAGAGAAACTTACATCGGAGTCCGCTGCTCCGCACCTGGCCGCGGACTTTCAAGCTGTAAGAGCGGACTCGAAGGAGCTGCTAAAAATATAAGTGATTACTTGAATATTGTATTCAATTTTAGGAATGTGCGATATAGTGAAGACCTGAAAAATCGTTTATGTGTGCAATTTATGGAACGTCTTAATCATGACCTCTCCAGGCTTCTACATCGACCACAGCGGCAATCTTACTGTTACCTCACATCTACCTCCCGTCAAAGCCGAAGACGGAGAGCTTTTGATCGAAGTCCTGTATTCGGGCGTCAACCCAGCTGATACCACGTACACGACAATCCTGGAAATTCACGACATTGTTTTGGGAGCCGATTTCTGCGGACGTGTTGTTGACGCCTCCAAGGTTAAAAATTCCCGTTTCCAGGTTGGCGATGCCGTTGCGGGGTACACTTACACGGGCAATGGACGGCCTGCGCGGTACGGCACCCACCAGGCCTATCTAGCGACGCCGCCCGAAGCTGGCGTGTTCAAGGTTCCTGACGGGATGCCGTACACTGATGCCGCCGCTCTCATGAGTACTCTTCAGTCCGCGAGCGACGCCTTATTCAATCGGCTAGAACTTCCAGTTCCGTCCGACTCGATAAAGTCCGCATCCTTGGACTGCACATTGATCATCTGGGGAGCGAGCACGACCTTGGGAGTTGCAGCCGTTCAGCTGGCCCGGGCTATAGGCGTTCGCAATATCATTGTCACAGCGACAAGCTCTCGGCACCAGTTGTTAAAGGATTTGGGGGCCACACACTGCTTTGATTATAAGGACCCGGATGTCTCCATTAAAATCAAGGACGCTGTAGAAGCAGCCGGGTTTGAAGATATTCGAGGATTTGAAACGGTCGGCAGGGCAGAGTCCTATCGCCTTTTTCTCGATACAATGTCGACCTTGTCGGGCAACCGTCGATATGCTTTCTCATTCATGCATTCGGACGAACGTCCCGCGAGTGAGATGCTTCTAGGTGGGAGACACTACGACGTTCATCTTATCTTCAAAGGAGGCCACAAAACCGTGTTCAAAGCTCGACCAGAGGAGGCGGCGAGAATCTGGACTGCTGTTGAGTGGGCAGTTGCCAACTATGGAGTTAGGTTTCGACTGCCTAGTGTTCGCGTGTTCGAAGGCAAGGCGGAGGACGCACTGGTAGCAATGAAGGAGATTGCTGAGCCTGGCTCATTTGGAAAACTAGTCATCAAGCAGCCCATGCAGTAGAGCAAAGCCGTGCTAAAAGACTTTGAGCACACTGAGTCCGCATTTCAATGTATGTATGCTTCTAAACTCCATCATTATCACTCCTCAAATTTCATTTTTTTGCATACAGTGTTATTAGAGGCTCAGTGGTTTTTAAATCATAGCTATAAAAGTTCTTTAATCGATACCATATGAAGGAGAAACTCTAGTAATACATGGCTTTGATGCGGTCGACGAGAAACGGTATCGATGTTTTGTTAGTTGCATTGATGACATAGTGCTCCTATGAGTGCCTACGATGGCAAGAACCATCACAACAATGGATTTGACACGTTTAATATAACGCCCAGAAAGTCGGCATCAGAGTAATATCAGTCAGCGGTTACTTCGCCGTTGATTCGGATGTTTAGATGACTCCAGCTGGGATGTCCACGCAACTCTTTTCATCTGCAGCAAGCATCAACACTGGAAAGCATAGAGAATGTCGGATAATGTTGATTTACCCAGTGATGACTGATATCCCGAATCAGCCTCGGTACCGACCTAGCGCAGCAAAGAAACGAGCATGCAGAGCCCGTTTCCTTTATGTGAGAATATCTCGCGGGAGTTGATGACTATTAATAGATTCGGTACTTCAATGGGGGGGAAACTGCCGACGGAGATCGGAACTTTACTATGTTTCCTAATCTTTGAAGTCAAAACTACCAGTGTTGTGGAGTTTTCTGACTTGATTAAACCCCGTCTGTACATCGTCGTCATGGGGTTGGTTATCTCACTGATTGGGTGAAGCTTTTCAGCCTAATCCGGCTAGCGTTGTTGCTGTCCTAAGTCAGGCTCGCCTCAGTGTGGGGCCTAAAGTAACTCAGGCACATGACTGAGTCGCTTGGGGACCTACTACTTATATATTATACGTAGCTTATATACAATGCATAAACCATGTGCTGATCTATTTTGTAGTAGTAAAAAGGTGCTTAAACTATTGCTTGATAATATTAATTAAGGTTCTATTAATTTGCGGGGTATTGATTGCTCTGCTTCCTTAGACCCTTAAAGATGGGTTTCTTATGGGTTGCGGAACAAGGTCACTGTTTTTGATACTTAGACGGCTGTAACAAGCGTGAGTGGAAAGAAGTATATCAGGGAGTTTGGCACTGTATTGCTCTAGTGAATAGAAAAGGAGACAGAAGCGTGCGAGCGTTCGTCTACAATCATTCTTCCCACTTTAGACGCACTCAGATGCCGACCAAAAAAAAACCCCGTCTCAGGAAATGCACTTTTTCTTTCTTTTTCGTCTTTTCCTCTTCTCGTTTCCTGTTCTCCACCGTTCCATTATGAACCTTGTCAGTCCGATCACCCTTGTTATTCAAGCATGCAGGGGTTGCTTGAACTACCTGCATAAACCCCGCTTCTTTGTTGCCTCCTAGGAGTAAGCATACCTATCTTAAGAACTGCCTCTCCCCCTTTCAAGACTTCAAGAACAGCAAATTTGTCAATTCGTCCTCATTTAATCTCCGCGGCAATGTTTCGTCGCAAGAAGACGCCTGCCAGAGAGCCTCGCCAAGCTTTTGGCTACGACCGTGATGCCGTCGTCTCACTCGTCAAGGGCCACTACCGCCTGCTCGTGGACATGGGCCATCTGCATCCGGAAGCCCTTCAGGCGCCACCCGAGACGGGATGGACCGATGAGGAGCTTAATGTCGACGCGTTACGGACCCTGGGACGCTCCGACAAGGTCATTGACCTTTTACGACATCTTCCGTATCCGAGAGCGGGACCCCCCGGTAGTGACGAAGCGGGCGACGACGCGGTGGTCTACTACGAGACCAAGGTTCTGTCCTACCTCAGGAACAAGTGGCAGCCCGAAAAGGACCCAGACCCAAATTGGCATAAACGGCCGTTTGCCATGCTTGGCTTGGCGCCTTTTGACAAGCCCTTGCCGCCGCATATGGTATCCTTGACATATGACGAAGCAGCCATCGGAGTGATTTGGCTCATCGATACAGAAAAAGGTTTGGTTTTTGAATATTTGCATCTTTTTTTTTTCTTTCCATAATTTTTGTTTCTGCTGTATAGTATGCTAACAGAAGCGCAGGATGTATGTATCCTCAGGGCGACGATTACTACCATTATGATGATGATGAGGCCGAAGAAGACGCGCCATGGCTCGCCGCAAAGGCGGTTTCATTCAAGACCTTCTTCGACAAGATGCACAAGGACATCTCAAATCTGAAGCTGGTCCCAGCACCTGCGGCGGGAAACTTTGGGGCCGCTATTCGAAAAGTGAATGACCCGGATGCCAAGGTGAGCCCCCGGTCGCGAATACACACAGCTCTACCCCTGCTGTGTATGACATCCAAAGTCATCGGGGTATTGATAATCTGCAGGCAATGAAGAAGTTGTACCGTGAATACGGTTGGCCAGATGCCTTCAGGAAAGATGAGTTTCTCAGGGCTGCCGTGCCTGCTCGCGCGGCCATCTTGGACGACGAGTACGACTGGTCAGACGCGTAAACGAGTTTCTCTGCTCAAACCAAAAAAAAAAAGAGCACTAGTGTAGTTTCTCTGCGATGGAGGTAACGGCATGGGTAGAATTCAAAATTACAAAGAAGCGAATATAGAAGATTCCCATCTTCCGGCGAATCCTCCCTCTCGCACTTTTAATCCGTGCAGTGTGCACTTATCAACTGACTGCAATACAGTAGTAATACGTCGGCCAAATCTGCGTACCGCAGTTCTCCCCGGCCGGCCCAAGGACGGGGTTCAGCGCAAATAGAACCGACATCTCGATGCCATTATCCGTCGCTAGCTGCCAGCAAGACGAACCGTTCCCGGCCTGGGCGAATTTGCTGCAATTGTCGGGAATGCCAGCCTGCGTATTCGTAGGCTTGGCCGGAGCCGTGGTGGTCGCCGGTGGCGCCACCGTCGTCGTCGTCGTCGTTCCCGAGCCGGCAGACACGCCGACACAGTAGTAGTACGTCGGCCAGATCATGGTGCCGCAATTCTCGCCCGCGGCGCCCAGCACGGGGTTCCACCTGTAGAACAGCGCGAGGTCGATGCCCGCGTCGGTGGCGAGCTGCCAGCACCCAGCGCCGTCGCCGGCCTGCGCCCACTTGTTGCAGCTGGGGTCTGTTCCCTCGTGCTGCGGCGTCGGCTTTGGGACGGACGAGGTTGTCGCGGACGCGGTCGTCGTTGGGAGACTTTGCGTGGCAGTTGGGCCGGCGGTGCCGTCGCCGGGGACGCCGACGCAGTAGTAATACCCGAGCCAAATCTGGGTTCCGCAGTGCTCGCCGTCGGCGCCCAAGGCCGGGTTGAGTTCCCATAATCTGGTCTGCGTGATCTGGGCGTCGTTGGCGATCTTCCAACATGAAGCGGCGGTGTTCTCCGCCTTGACGAAGCGGTTGCAGTTCTCCGGGATGCCCTCTTGTTTACGATCGGCCGGGACGGTGGAGGGGTCTGTGATGATGGGGAGAAGCTCCGTGCTTCCCGGACCGCCGCGGACGGGCCCGTTGGAGTCTTCGGGGATCTGGTCATCGGGCGGCTTCACCCAAGTGCCACCAGGTCGTCTGGAAGGTCAAGAGTTTCAGCGGCCGAGCCCTAAAGGGTTGCAAGCTAATGGGTTCGAGAACGACGGGATACTCACGAGATGCACAGGTACTGGTTTTCAGTCAGATGATCACAAGCACCCATCAGGTTAGGATTCCAGGTCATGAGCTGTGCAACGCTGATCGGCTCCGTTTCATTCGATATGGCCTTCGAGATGGTGTCGCTGTTGTAGCGATGGAGACGTTAACACTTTGTGAGACGGGGATGGAGTGTTACGATGCAAGATGGCGGTACTGACCAAGTATCTCCGGCGTTAACGCGGAGTCGCTCGCAGGCTTCCGGCACGCAGACGAAGTCGTACGAGTAGCAATCTTCTGTACTAGTTGCGTACATGAGCTGGCCCGTTGCAACGCCATACTCCTCAGCGAGCTCATTGCAGGCCTCGATACCGTCCAGGCTGGCATACCGAACATCGACGGCACGTGCAGTACAGTTTGTCGGCACCACTGGCTCAGCTGGCTCCGGCTCCGGTTCGGCTTCGTCGGGATCATCTTCTCCGTCGGGGATCTCTTCATCAATGCCGGGGTCCGAGGTGTCTTCCTCAGGGTCCCACGGGGACCCGTCATCGCCAAGGATGGGAGCGCCCGTGGACGGGATATCCGTAGGCTCCGGGGCCGTCTCGTTGAGCTCCGTGGCGTAGGGGTACAACGGGACAGCGCGCGTGGCCAAGGGGCCGACGCTCGTCTGGCAAACCGACTGGATGTCCTGGAACTCGCCAACGAGATAGTCAGAATGGTCGGTGTCTGGGAGGAACTCTGACGTCACGCGGCGATAGAGCATGTTAAGGAAACACTCAGAACAGAGCAGATCATCATCGTATAATGTCGAGATGCGGCTGTTCTCAGCGGACACATTGGCTGGGTTGGTGCACCACGGGTCCGTGGGATTTGCTGCGCAGTCGACTTGGACGACATCCGAGCCGGTCCAGTTGTAGGACGCGGGCAGGCACCATTTGCTGCTCGTATCTCGCAGGCAGGCCATCTCCAAGCCCTCTGCGAAGCGAAGACTGAGCGTCTCAGCCGGCACGGCCCGGTCGCCGACAACGAGCCAATCTTCATTGCAAGCGGAGGCCACGGTCTCTGTCCATGTTCGGACGTTGGCCTCGCAGCCTGGGACGCACAGGGTCCTAACATCCTGTTCAGTCCAGTAGACATCGTCGACTTTGACAGTCCATCCGAACAGGTCTTTGTCGCATGGCAAGGTGGTATTGCTGGCGGTATTAGTGTCGTCTAGATCGACGTAGGCATATTCATGGGCGGAGGACTCACAGGGCCTTGACGCAGTTTTCGCTGATACCGAGCATCTCAGCCATCGGCTGGGTTGGAACGAGTGGATATAGTTGGAAACCCAGCTCGCCAAAGGCGAATGGCAAAAGTGCCAGCCCAGCAAGGCCTTGCTGAATCGACAACATCGTCACAGACAAAAGAGTGGAAGCTTGTGACAGATGAAAGGTGGGCAGGGCGGCGACTGCTGGGTCGGAGTAGATAGACTGTCCAAGTTTTAATAAGACTCGTCTAGTCGGAATTCCCAATAGTTTTGATATTCCCGCACGCGCTGGAAACGCAGATATGCTTCGGATATGCCCCCGGGTCTCCGTTAACCCTTGCCTCGGCTGGGCAGATTAAGACATTTCTCGCCGAAAGCCTAGATCTTGCTCAAAATAGGCACCAATATTATCCTCGGGCCCTCAAACACCGCATGTGGCTTATGCATATATCTTTAGACGGACGCAATGGTAAGGGGTTTCTGACCGGGACTTGTTTTCTCGATGATTGCGATGGTGTATGTTGGTCATGAACCACGAACTCGCATATCAAGCTCATTGCCAAGGGCATCTGGGCCGACCAAAACTAATACCAAGCCCATGGATTCCAACCCTGCTCAACAACTCGCCACTAAGGAAGCGAGCGCAAAGCGGGAGGGGGTTGTATTGAGCTGATTCGACAATTTAAACAACAAGCACTAGGCGCTGCAGGTCAGATTTGACTCGTCCGAGGCCTCTGCAAGGGTGGTAAGACATCCTCTTCTGCAAGGGCATTCCCGCCCCTAGCGTTGCGGGAACTGATTCACCTGCCCATTAAGGCGCATGAACCCCTGCATTCGGACGCTGCCGGCAGACGACGATTTGAGAAATCTTGACCGACTGAGGGAGATGTGCTCTTCGTCTCCAAGAAGACGATAAGAAATGGAGGAAAAAGAATAGAAAGCTCTTAAATGACCATGAGCATCCGCACGAGCGACGAAACTCTTGATGCCCATCCACAGAGTCTTTGCTGAGTTTCATTCATTTCCCACTTTCTCTGCAACCTCTTCTGCTGGTTGATCTACACAGCCATGCGGTTTCTCCAGGTTTCATGGACCGCTTTGGTCCTGTCCACTCTTTCACGTCACGTCGTCGCAGAGTCTTATTTCGCCCTCAACTCAGCTTACGGTCTTTTGCGAAACACTGTCGCTGCTGAGGACCTAGAGCTTCCCGTGGGAACCTGCAACGCCAACACGCCATGTGTGAACGGTGCCTGCTGTAGTGGTGTAAGTTATCGGTCTTTATTACTTCTTTACTTTATACCTATCCCGAGTATGTTAGTTAACTAACCCTTCTCTATTGCCATGTAGAACGGCAGCGGTTTGTGTGGCTACTCTCCATCTGAATGCGGTGCCGCCAACTGCACCTCCAACTGCGATGCCAAAGCCGAGTGTGGCCAGTATGGCAAGCCTGGGAAACAGATTTGTCCCCTTGGAGTTTGTTGCTCCGAATTCGGGTAAGCCATTCTGTAGTGATCCTCATTCGGATCGAGTCTGAAGGGAGGCTCACATCGCCCGCAACAGCTTCTGTGGCTCAACCTCAGAGTTCTGCGATGCCGGCTGCCAAAAGGGCTTCGGCGGCTGCGGTGACGTGAAGCGGCCCTCCTGCAGCAAGGACGGCGGCAGCATCAACAAGCGGTCCATAGGCTACTATGAGTCCTGGGCCAACACCAGAGCCTGCAGCGCTGTCTCCCCCGAGGACCTCAACTTGGACGGTCTCACGCACATCAACTTCGCCTTCGTCTTCTTCGACCCGTCCTCGTTTCAGATCGTTCCCATGGATAAGAACGCCGGCACCCTCTTGAATCGGTTCACCAAGCTCAAGGAAAAGAAGGCTGGCTTGCAGACCTGGGTCAGCGTCGGTGGATGGTCATTTAACGATCGTACGTGCAATCGCGTTGTCAGCGTGAATATATGCCCTCCCCCCTTCGTCCAAGGCTGCCCGTCGACTTCATCCCAAGGCAACCAGAAGACTGACTTGGTTCTCGCTTGTAGCTGGCCCTTACCAGAAAGCCTTCAGTACAATGGCATCGAGCGCTGGGAACAGAAAGATGTTTATTGATGGCCTGATTAAGTTTATGGAGGTGAGAGTGTAGTCTGCCCGAATAACAAGTCGGCACTAATATTCTTTTTTATCCAGAGCTATGGCTTCGACGGCATGGACCTCGATTGGGAATACCCAACTGCTGGTGAGCCTTCACAATCATAAAACCCCGAGCAATCTCATCAAACTAATTTTAATCCAACCAGATGACCGTGGCGGCACCGCAGATGACACCGCCAACTTCGTGTTGTTGTGCAAGGAGATCAAGGCGGCGTTCGGCAGTCGCTTTGGCTACTCCATCACCCTGCCAGCGTCCTACTGGTACCTACAGAACTTTGACCTCGCCGGCATGCAGCCGTTTGTTGATTGGTTCAACATAATGTCTTATGATATCCACGGCGTGTGGGATGCCGCCTCGAAATTCGTCGGTCCTATCGTCGCTCCGCACACTAATCTCACGGAGATCGATATGGGCTTAGACCTTCTCTGGCGCGCGGGCCTCCAACCCGAGAAGGTTGTTCTCGGTCAAGGGTGTACGTATTTCTGATTATTGAAGGTTTTGACAAACTAATCTCATTATACCTTACCTTAGATTACGGCCGCTCGTTTACCCTGAAGGACCCCAGTTGCAACAAGCCGAATGGTGTTTGCCAGTTCTCAGGCGGCGCCAAGGAAGGCCCGTGTTCCAAGGCTTCTGGCATTCTCACCTTGCAAGAGATCTTTGATATTATCGAGCAAAAGAATCTTAAGCCTCAGTTCGACGAGAAGGCAGGAGTGAAATGTGATTATCTCCCTGGTGTGTGCGACGAGGTTTGATAACCATTCTGACAGTAAGGCAGGGATTCATTGGGACAGTGATCAGTGGGTGTCCTATGACGATGCCCAGACTTTGATGATGAAGAAGTCATTTGCAAACTCCCGTTGTCTAGGTAAGTACAACAGGTGGAAAGTCGCCTGCCCTCTTGTTGAGATGAACTGAGCTGACTGGATACTATTTTAGGTGGCTCTATGATTTGGGCTCTGGACCAAGTAGATCAATCGAGCAAGAGTCTGCAGTATCCCGAGGACTGGTCGGACGAGGAAATCTCCTTGTCGGAAGAAATGATCGCCGACGAAGAAGTCAAGGGCGTCTGCTACACCACCAAGTGCGGCGAGTCTTGCCGGAAGGGTGACCATGAAGCATCGCAGATGAACGGGCAGCCAGGGCTTTCCACCATGGATCGGTGCCCTAAGAACAAGTTTCGCCGACTCTGTTGCAACAAGGGTACCACCATGGGCAAGTGTCGCTGGAGAGGCTACCGGGGACTTGGCCTCGCGTGCACTGGAGGCTGCGCCGATCTAGAGACGGAAATCACACAGAACACAAACCATCACAGCGACAAGGAGGACCAGACCTGCAGCGGAGGCACCCAGAGCTACTGCTGTGCAGGCTTCATGCCACCCATCAGCAAGGAGCAGATGGAAGAGAAGATCAAGGACGAAGCAGCTGACGCCGCAATCGCTGCCGCTGAAGCGTTGGCTCTCGAGGTCGCAGCCAAGGCATTCTGTCGAATCGCCATCACGGCAGCCCTCACCCCCTTGACATTCATTCCTATCGTCGGTAAGTCCAACATTCCACTCCCGTTGCGCTGTCTATATGCTAACAAATACGCTCCTCGCCAGGCTGGATCATCCGTCTTGCGATTCAGGCTGCCGTTCCTGCGCTTGCCAACCTCTGTGCTAAGGGAATCGTCAAGGGCGGCAAATCTGTCTTCAAGTTCCAAGGCAAGGACTACGACGTCAAGCTAGATAAGCCCCTCACCACCAAAAACGACCGCGGCGACCGAGACAAGTCAGACAAGGTGGATGAGAAGGACAGCCACTGCAACCTGAAAGAGAACAAGCTCCTGGCTAAGCGCGCAGCGCTCCGTCCCAAATCGGAGACGTCAACACGAACCATCCAGATGCGCCAGACAGTCACCAAGACTTGCAATGGCGCGTTGTATCCCCAGCCATGTCTGCACTACCGGTCCGTTATCCAGAACCAGAACGGCATGGCTACCCTGACCTGCACGACAGCGGCCGGCGGCGGCATCAGACCCGTCGTTGAAAAGTACAGCAAGGACCATCATACCAAGTGGATCAACGGGTGGATGCAGTCCGCGAACCTCAACTGTCAGCGTGATGAGTACCCTCCAGCCGCCATCTGGCAAGGACGCGACATGAGACAATGGATCCGTCTCGTGCCCGGAGCGCAAAACGGAGGTGCCGGTCAGCTCTTCAGGGGCGTCTGTCCCGCCAGGTACAGAATGTCGCCCGAGCAAGGCAGACGCCTCCTCAAGGTCGTCCGCAACTGCAAGCGCCTCGTCTCCAAGTACGTGGTGACCCGGACGGCGACCACGAAGGTGATGAAGATGAAGTTCACCAATATGCCGAACCTCGCGGACGATGGTATCCCCGACAACCCGTGCTACCCCAGGACCCTCATTGACGACCCGGGATTCGCGCTGATGACCAACGACCCCTGGTACAACGCCCACCCGGCCAGCAAGCGAAACACCCGCTTGTATCGAAATGCGCCTGGGGCCAATATCATCGCTGGCAAGACCAACCGTCCGGGCTACAACAAGAGAGACGATGAGCAAGACTTTGACCCGGAAACCTTTAATCCCGACGACGTGTGGGTGGACGAAGGCAACTCCACGCGCAAGGCGACAGATGAGGAGCTGCTTGACCAGCTGGGCTTTTTGCGCTGCGAGAACGGCGACTGCGAGGCGGAGCTTGGCGATCTCGGGGTCAAGTCCTTGCCATTCATCAACCCCAGCTCTACTGTGCCTATTGAGGTTGTAGCGTTTGCCACACCGGCGGGCGCTCTTCCTACATCGCTCGCCAACGTGCTGGAGACGGCGACATCCATCCATCAGGAGGCTAGGTCGCTGATCACGCCAGCACCGCAATTGGAGTACGAGTACGAGGTTGAATATGAGGACTAATTTATCTCAGTCGAGTGTGGGCAAAGAAGAAAGACATAATTTTTGCGAAGGCCAAGTAATTACGAGGATGGATGTGCCGAAGTGGTTTTTACAATATGGTGTAGCCTGAAATGACGAAGAAGATGGCGACCGCATAATGGCCACCAGTGAACAAGATTCGTAATTCACGGAATTTGGCGAGATGATATTCATCACAGGAGCGAAAGGCGCCTTCGAGGATCTGTTGAGAGTCGTAGTGGAACCATCGTGCGTGATGGTGCCAGGATACCAGAAGTGCTATAAACCCTCAAAGCCGAGACCGCCTATTTTTTTCTGTGTAAGAGCGACTACTTTTCCTGTGGTTATATAATACCTTACTTACTCAGCTCTACTATCGTCGTCGTCGTTACAACTACTGTTATTATTATCACCGTTGTCGTCGTTAATACAACGATCGTAATTATCATCGTCTTTATGCGTGATACGAGTACTTGATTACACAGGAAATGTAGCCGCCTGGGCAGGCATGACTAATAAAGAACGCCTTATAGGGATACTAGGCGGTTAAGTTATTGCTTTAGAGATATAGGATTATAGGGAGAAAAGGGAGAAAGGGACTTATCTAGAATAAAATAACTAAAGTATAAGTTATATAGAGATAAAATAAAGTAATCACTCCATATGAGTAACTAAAAATTATTATATTCAAAAAAAGTAATTACTTTTATAAAAGATCTATTTAGGACTAATACATAGGATAAACTTAAGTCTACTTAAGATTAAACTTCTTTAGCTTTTTAATAATTAACTTATAAGTCTTACTTAAGACTTAAGTTATACTAAGTAATAATCATTTTATAACTCTTATTAAGGACTTGACTAATTACTAAGACTGTCACAGTTCTTCCTGCTAGCACGTGGCTACAACAGGCAGAGGTCGAAACCGCGATAAGAACAGAGATGTCAACAGTATAAGAATAGTACGAAAGTCAAACAAACGGGCACAAGGCAATAAACAACGATGGATCGATAAACGTAGGTATAGACGGTTGGCTCTTCTATTGACTGAACCTACTGACTATGATGCTGTCGAGGGTCTCTCTTATACAGGTGCGGCTAGCACGGGAAATGTCACGTACCCCTGGTGACTGTTCCGTGGAACTGCGACAAAGTTGCATCCAAGCCCGCTTTGCATTATACTTGCATCGTAATCTAGTGCATTTCAGCAGGGCTCGCATCATGGTCACCTATTATAACGCAGCGGGGCTTGCCCAGGAACTTCAAGCACAGGCTCAGGTAATTAGTTACATGCTCAGGCTCGCCTCAGTTTAAAGCGGCAACTGCTCAGGACTGCGGCCACAAAAGGTGGCGGAGATCAGTGATACAAATCGGGTTGTCTTCAGTCGGAGTTTTCTATAATTCTCCGATTCCCCTCCAATTTAGATTGACACATCAATATCTGGGTGCGGGATCCACAATCCAGCATTATACCATCATGCTAACTGCGTCTTTCCGTCTTACAGACCAGAGTATGCGGCTTGGCTCGCGCGCCGCAAATGAAATACATCGTTTACGACGTCGAGGCTTAGAAATCTTGGCGAACTCTACTTCATTTCGAGTCGATTGGTTGGAAGTGCGAGGTGCCACTCCGCTGTGCCATCAAACTGAGAAAGGCCGAGAACAATAAACAGGACTAAGGCTTCTCGTTTCGACTATAAATATGATGTATTCCAGTTACAATAGGATAACTGTCAACTGCAATCCCATAGTTGTTCAAGTTTATAACCATTCTCTTTTTCCATCTGCCCCATCGTACATCTATCAAACGCAATCATGAGACGCCTTTTTGCTACAGCTGCAATTTCACTGACTGTCCTTATATCAGTCGGCGTGGCAATCGGTCTTACGTACTTGCCTTGTTATGCAACTCTTTGCTCTGAAGAATTCTTTCCATTCGAAACTAGGCTGCACATAGCAATCTTTTACGCCATGTTGGGCGTTTTTGGCGGCATGCTTTTCCTACGAGCTAACAACAGCTTTGTTCGAAGTATGAGTGGCTCACTTCTCTCGTCCGAACTCCCGTATTTCCATAAGTACATTTCTGTCGGAGGCCTGGTAGCAGCGTTTCTCATTGTCAGAGTCGCATTAGCTCCAGCTGCATTCTGGATCCCAGCACAACTCACTTTCTGGGGCTTACGGGCAGATCCTCTTGGGTGGACAACAGCCAAGGTCCGGCTCACAATATCCGGTGTCACAGCGCATTCTGCGGATATTCCCCTCGGCCTTTTGATCATCCCGGTGTCACGCAACAGTTTGGTCGGCCGCGTTTTCAGCTTACATCACAGTACGCTTTTATACGCACATAAATCATTGCCTATCTCTTTATGGCAGCTAGTTTAGCGCATGGAGCCAGTTACATTGTGAGTCAACATGCTCTCCAGCGTTACGAAACGTTGATTCTAACGCAAGAATAGACATATGCACTTGATCCGAGCAGTGACGGGGACGAGGCCAAAAACCAAGCTTTCAACACTGGAAATCCGACATTGACTCTTGAACAAGGAGAAGCACGAAGCTATTGGTTCAGTACGACTACATACACCGGTGCTGCGATCCTCATTGTATTGATCTTGATTACGATAACTGCACTTCCTCCCATCCGTCGCAGGAGTTACAACCTCTTTTATTACAGCCACATAATATGCAGCATTGCCATCTTTATCGGAGCCAGTATTCACGCCAGCACCGACTTTTATCTACTTATCCCAGGCTTGTTCCTTTGGCTTGTTGATTGGTCATGGAGACTCTTTGGAGGCGAGGCTGGCGGGCTTTCGCAGCAAACAACAGCAACTCTGGAGGATGCGGGAAACGGGTGGTATAGAATATCTCTGCCGCTGAAAAGGTCATGGAACAAGACCTCCAATACAGGATTCACTGAGAAAGGCGTGTCGGCCATCCACCCGCTATCAGCCTACTATCTCAACATTCCCGCTGTTAGTAGGATTCAAAATCACGCTTTCACGGCGGCAAAGTCTACTTCCATGGACTGTGGACCGGTGTTTCTCTTCCAGAGGACCCAAGGAAAGAAGCAGAAAAAGCTCGACAAAGAGTGGACATGGAGACTCGGCGCCCTTGTCACGTCAGAGAAACCCAGCACGCAACTCAAAATACGAGTGGAGGGCCCATATCAGCCAAACGATGAAAAGTTCAACGCTGCATCTCACATAGTTTGCATCGTGGGCGGTACCGGCTTTACAGGCGCTTACAGTCTCGCCATCTGGTGGCTAAGGATGCGATCTGCTGCCGACAATTCTAGATTTACTCTTGTGTGGACTGTACGGCACGCTCAGATGACAAAGGTCAAAGAATGGCTTGATCTTCAAGAAGCAGCTGCCTCGACGCCGAATCTCAATGTTGTAGCACATATCAGCTCCGAAAGCGGAAGACTGGATGTCTCTCAGTGGATTCGATATTCTTTGTCCATTGACCAGGATGGGCCAGTGAGCTTCAGAACAAGTACCACCACAAGAGAAGGAAAAGCATGGGTCTACAGCTCAGGTCCAGAAAGCCTTATTCGAGCGGCTCAGCGCTCATGCATTGAGATTAACAAAGATATCAGTTCATCCAAAAAAAGGGGTGAGAACACATTTATATTGACAGTGGATTGTTACATGGCCAAATGGGAAGTATAATAGATATCAGGTTCGCATTTAGAACTAGACGACTTCAATCTATGATTTTTTTTTTTTATCTCGATATCGGAGATTATGGCCTTTTCGTTAAAGTCAACGGCAGCCGCTTGTAACGGAAGACTGAATATGAGTGATTTAACTCCGACAAAAATTTGGGTTAATACTCAGACAGTAGTTGTCAGTCCTGTACCAAATTATCACTCAATCTGATTGAATGCTTGAGCTTCTTTTTTTGCCAAATCCACGTTTTACTGGTGATATGTAAGTTGTGTTGAGTAAGACAGCCCAGATCTGAATTATGAGCATGATTTATCTCCGTAGACGACTGGTGCCAGCTGGGTGCTGTGATAGATGGCAGAAGTTTATCTCCAAGGTACTCAAAACCCAGCGATGTAAATTGGCAGCCTGTTTGAAGTTTTTCCATCAACATCAAGTCCGGGCTTTCTTGAGGCATGTACATTATGGGGTTAAGCGGGCAAAGCTGTACCAACGTGTATGATTTGCGTCGCTATTGGCTGTGTGTTACCCTTGCCATCGTATGGCAGGCGGTTTGCTGCCTAATCTAACGGGATCCTCTTTTCTCAAGCTGTGCCGCATCATATTTTCATCTGCTTCAAAGTTCTCTACGATAAGTTACGGGTGAAATTCCATGATCATAACGATATGAGGCTTCATTTCGCCTCGTTTGGGGCCTTCTTGGCCATCTTTCTTGCCACCGTAGGCTCATTCAAAACCGCCAACATTCAATCACCCGATGCTCACGACTGCTGCCAGTGGGATCGTGTATCATCCGACTTGCCTCAAACAGACGCCCTCTACGATCCGGGTGACAGCCGTGATAAACACGAACTCAAGTCAAACGATCCAATTGATGTGTTGGACTATCTTAGCCAACACCCCGATATTGATGTCAACAGGTGGATGGAGCTTTCCTTGGATGCTTTCGAAGCATTTCCAAAGACCGAAAGGGTGCTACTGCGGCTCGCCGTTGAAGCAGGCTATCCTAGCGTTCTAGAAGCGCTATTGGAAGCCGGTGCAAATCCTGTTATCAAGGATAAGTTTGGAGACCCTTCAAGCGATGCCGTTGTTATCGCAAGCATAAAAGGCGACGTTGAAAGCATGCAAAGTCTAGTCAGGGCTGGTGTGCACCCAGATATGACGCTAACATCAAACCAAAAGCTGCGACCTGGCTGGTTAGGGAATCGCAATGCACATGCAAGGGATATGATGAGCAGGATCATCTGGAGATCATCCCCGACTCACATCGCCATTAACAATAATCACACCGCGCTTGTTCAGTGGCTTCTCGCCACGGGACGAGTCGACTTAACGAGACGACAATCTGGCGAATCACTTCCTCCTCTTGAAGCAGCAATACTTATTGGCCACATGCCAACCTTGAGGGTGACAATGGAACACTATGCCGCCACGGACGACGGAAACTACCTGAAAACACTATTCGACGACCCCACATTATTGGTTTATGCCGCGTGGACGGGAGATCGGGATGTCATACACTACGTTATCAATCGGTTTATCTCGCCACTCGAAGACTCTGAATCTGAAATCCTCGTCAAGCAGCTTGTCGATAAAAATCTGCCATTTATGGTGGCAATCCTTGAATCGTTATTTTCAAGTCCGAGAACTTCGCCTAGAGTGATTCAGTATTTCTTCGACTACCTTGGGCAGCTTGACCACTTAAATGTTTCAATTCTCTCTCGCCTGCAGCAGGGCTTGAAACAAGGCTGCCAGGTGGCTGCTAATACGGACAATATCGACGTTTTCACTCTCCTCATGCAACTCAACGAGCAAATAACAACTCACTCATATGCTCCCGAAGAGAGAACACATCATTCTTCCGAAATTCTGAAAGAATCCTTCTGCTGGGCATTTGCTCATGATAGTATAAGTGTGGTGCGATATTTAATTGAGGAGAAGGGAGTAAATCCTGACAATGCTGATTCCTGCAATCTCCCAATATGGGGTGGCCAAGACATTTTCTCAGTGTGGGATTACAAGGATAACACTACATCACCTACGAGGAGTGGCTTGCTTTACTCTATTCTTACTGGGAACTTTGCTGTAACCAGCTACTTGATGACAAACTCGAAGAGTGCCAATATCTCAAGCTTGAATGATCAAGCATACAGCTGGATCTTAAAGTACCCGAACCCTTGGAACCAGTACAAAAATTCCAAGCCGCGAGCTAGCTTGGATGAGACAAAAAGTGTCCTTCATTCACTTCTGCAGCGAGGCGTATCAGTTTCTCACATCTCGCCACCCACCCTTCCAGACTTCCGGAACAAGCAGGTTGTGGTTGATGTCATGGAAAGCAAACATGTCATGGAAAACAAATTTGAACAGCGTCGTTCCGGGGTTTGTCTCTGCTGGGGATATAAGGATACCATTCGGCCAGAACCCCAGTGGAACAATACAGCCACTGTTCGGCTAGACCTGAAAGAAGAGGATAGTGAATGGTGGATCCAGCTTAGCACTCTGCACGGGGTGGTCCAGGAGCAAGTGGTTTCTTCTGAAGAATTATAAGGCGGTGAATGTCGGATAACTCACGAATCAGATTATAATCAAGGCTTGAAACGAAAATCTCGATCATGTTTTAATTGGGTGATCCAGGAAGCTGCAACCCGCTTGTTGATTCATCGCCGTACATCGGAATCAAGTAATGTATTTTTCAAGTGTAAGTTCCACGACAACTTCTGCTGGAACTTCTTCTCAGACATAAGACACAAGAATATAACACCAGTTTTTCCTTCCAGAAGAATATCCCACTTTACGGGCACTACTCTGATCTCAACACGAAAAGTCAAGAGCCCTCCATACCCTTGGTTTCTAGCCGTGTTGCACAGTAGGAAACGTCCTTTGCATTAGATTCCTCTCATGCTTTAAAATTGCGAATCATTCATTGGAACATCGGCGATTATATAGCAATCGTAAAGTAATCGGCGATGAATTCGGCTAGCTCTGGCCTTGTCCGCATGGAGCATTCATCTTTTTGAATTGAAGAAATGTTTTCTCTATTCCACGCATGTCAAATGCATCCGTCTAACTGGAAAGACAGAATCTAAGCAATCTAGATTGGGGGAAAAAGGTCATTCTAGAAGACAAGACCAAGTTTTAGGGCGCTTTGGCTGTCATATGGCACGTGTGAGTCTTGATCAATTTCCTACTCTGCACCATTTTTGGTTCATTTTCTAGGCTTTTCCTTTTGGTAAACAGATGGTTCTGTTTTCTTTCTACTTTGCGTCAAGTTCTATTGACTTGAAGTACAATTTTGTTATTGGGCCAGACTCTGCAAAATATCATCATGCGCTTTCGTAATTGCCTGTAGCAAATATGTCGTCTTCCCATCTCGGACGCACTTCTTATCAGGGGTTTCGAATATCGGTATTTGGGGAGTTGTACAAAAAGTGGTGAGCCTCAAGAGCTGACTGTCCGGAAGAGGACAAGGCGGGCCATCAGCTCGCCAGGGCTTCACCTCATATTGTGTGCAGTCCGGCCACGTGCAAACCCCAACACGCCACTCGGTCTGGGACCAATGACAAACGCCGTAGGAATATTAGATGAAAGCTTGGATGCGGCTGAAATACGATTGGCCAAGCTATGAGTTCGGCATGGTGTCTCATATCTAAATGAGAATCGCATTGTGAACATCTGCAACAGTATCTTTCGGCCGGCTCTAAAAGGTGCTAATTCAACATCTAATTCCCAACTCGTATTAGCTCCTCGATGCTGAAGTAAACCATCGTTAGCCCCGTAAAATGGGTAGCTGATTTCAATACGGAATGTCTTCTCCGTCACATACTGAGGACACTATTCAGCTCATACTAAGAACGCCCAGCTATGGTCCAGCAGCGACATAGTTTAACAAAATACTAATCCGGTTTTCACAAATCACCTCTGTATCACAGAGCCAAGTCCTACTGACTTCGGTTATCATACGATATTCAACCTTACTATCACTACCATGTCAGGTAACTGCCAAAGAAGGAGTCCGTTTTTGGCCAGTTTAAACCATCAAGTTGCTGATTCCATGTGAACTCAAAGCCAGCAACCTTAGCAAGAAATCTGAGTGTCATGCAAACGGAAAGCCCAGCATGTGAGTATTTGATGGTGTCGTTCCATGTGCCAGGAGCTTCAGTAAGTTTAGCGGTTGGCTATAAAATGCATCGTATTTCGCACTTCGAAATGGATATCACTTCTCAACAACAGCCTCCTACTTCAATACTTACAGAACAACACTCTCCACTATAAAACCACTTGTGTCTTCATTTCACACAACGCTAAAATGTACGTCTACTTTGGCAAGCTCAACTGGCAGCATTACGCTGAGAACGAGACCTTCGCTCTTGTTTTGCCCAATGGCCCTGTCCGCACAGGCGACCCTGCCTACATCTTCTTTCAATGGACCAAAGACGAACACGGCAACAAAAAGTCCAACTGGTTCCAGAATATCATTGTCAGCAACGCTTCCAAAACTGAGGGCGGAGATGACATCTTTACTCTCAAGCATCATCCCTACTCGTGGCAAATCACCACTCAATCAGCCTACAACAAACTGAATGTTACAATGTCGAGAGCATGCGACTTAAAGAGCAACATGGTACTCAGTCGATACTGGAAGTCTCAGGGCGAGACTTCAAACGAAGCATCCCGGGTTTGGACCGGGAAGATCAACTGGCCTACGTACGCAGAAAATGAAATGGCCATGTTCATTGTTCCAGAGGGCTTCGGTGAAGGCAAGCCAGTTCTGTCTCTCTGGCAATGGACTAAAGACGCACACGAACAGAAGCCAAAAGACCCGTCTTTCCGCAGCGAGCTTATGAAAGTTGTGCCTGGGGCTGCAAATGGCGTCAAGTTTACTTACAAGTCCTTTTACGAGCTTACCTGCACCTGGAACAATAAGACAGAGAAGCTTGCAGTTTATATGCAAGGTGGCGGTGATAGCAAAGACCTTGGAGAATTTGCTCTTTCTGCACTCCACGACCGGCATTCTCAGTGAGTAATACTGTTACTTTTTGACTACAACTGCTAATTTTATTTTCACAGTGATTTTAACCCACCTGAATCTGCGCCTAAGAAGGCTGAAGCCGAATTCCGTCTTCCTCAGGTGCAACCCTCGCTTCCTCGCATTCTATCACCGATGCCCTTTCCACGCACTCTTTTCGAAACCTTGACTTACGCTGCATCTTTCGTTGATCAAGCCGGCTATCTTGCAAAGTGTGCTGAGGAGGCATGTAACCCTGTTACCTCACGACTGAAGGAGGACGAACGCTAACTTTAGTCAGGCATTCAAAACTCTTGATGCCGATTTCCACACGCGCGGCAACCACCTTGAAGCTTCCAGAGCTGATGTCAATGGGCTCAAAGAGCAATGTAACAAACATATCAAAGACTTAGATGCCCAGAAGGGTGCATATTCGGTGCTAGAGAAGAGGCTCGCCGACCAAGAGGCCGCAGCTAGCGCCAAGGAACGGGAGTTGAACAAAAAGATACAAGACACCATCATCGAGAACAAACGACACGACGCCGAGGATCACGATTCGATTGATCGGCTGAACAAGTTACTTGCGGAAAATCAAGCAAAGGCGCAATGCACTGAAGCCGGTCTCCAAAAGCGTTTGACTGAAGCTCTGTCCTCCAATGCCAAATTGGATTCTTTCCTAAAGGCCGCATCGGCTGAGAACATCAAACTGAAGGCTAAGAATGGAGACCTTGAGACCAGCGCAAAGATACAGCAAAAGAATATTCAGGCTCTCGAGGCAGAGAATAAGCATCTCAGGGAGCTTCTTGAGGATAAGTCTAACAAAGAGATGGAGCTCCGGAATCAGCTCGTCATTACCGAGGACCGATTGAGGAACGAAAAGGCTGCTTGTGAGCAGCAATACGCTGCTTTTCTGGTGGAGAACAAAAACCGGCAGAGGGTGGATAATGAGCGCAACCTCCTATCGGTAAAAGCCAATGAGTTGAGGCAAGAAATTAAGGCCCTTCGTGAGAAGTTGATCACCCTCAACCATGCTCATGATGGGCCGTGGAAGGGAAAGATAATGATACACGCATAGGATAGGGTCCTTAAGGTTTTGCTATTTGGTTCTAGTCTTTCTAGTCATGAATTTAACCTACTGCACCCTAATGTCTTGTTGTGACCTTCCAGTGCCTAAGACACCAAGTATCCTCCCTTCAAAAGACCACTGCAGGTTCACCTTGAATTAATCATAAGGCTAGCTCCCATGCCCCAGGTTAGAGAGGAGCTGTAGGCCCTAAAGAAAGCCTGACAGTAAAGATCATGGTGCAACTCAGAAAGTAGGAAGCAGTGAGGTACGTACTGAATCTCAGAAGACGCGTCATCTTCCATTCCCAGATTGGGATGCTCCTCAGATTTCTTCGACTCTCGTTTCCCCTCTCCATCGTTCGACCGGTAGAGGAAACAATTCAAGTTTGGCGACTCTTCTAAGATGCCGTTGGACAGCCGGTCGGGCATGGGGGCATGCAGCTTACTGTAATCGCCAATCATCGACCACGCAGCTGGGGTTAGAGCTAGCTGGGCGGTTGCAGCGTACCCCGCAGCTTCGTACGACAGGCAGTTTGGGATCAACTACGCCCTGGTGATAGCTGTTCATGATGCGGAGAAGCTTCGGTCTTCACTCGGTGTCAGCCTTTGTTCTGCAAGCTACGCGAGCTCCGATAGCTCGTCCATCTGAGGAAGCAGCTTCCAGGGGTCGAGACATGTGGCTATTGGTCAATTAGGACAATTTCCTATCATTATGGATTCCGAAATCTTCTTCGCAGATACCGAGGATCTTCAAGCCTTGGCCATTATGTATGGATATAAAAGGCTGATTCCGCCAGACAGCAGTGGGCATATGAGCAAAGGGACAACGCAGTCTTTATTGTACATCATTCACCTTTACTTTTAAGTATTAACGCAAAAAATGCAACTTCCGACTGTTGGAGACGGCCAATTTGGCGCCGGACTCCTCCTTTCTGGAGCTGTCCTAGGCATTATCGCCCCGATCCTCGCAATTCCAATTCAAGACAGCCCTCGCCAGCGCCTTCTCGACGGCCACGGCCTTCCCACGAAGTATCGATCTGGGTCGCCTCCCTACACTCCCGGTCACAGAGACAAATACGACGGTCCCGTCGACTCTGTGGGAGATAACCTTGATCCATTGCCCTGGCGCAACGGGCTTGGAGCTTCGGTCCTTGGCCCATGGAACGAAGCTCGGTCCAGACAGAACCCAGATCTCGTTCGGCCCCCTAGCACCGACCACGGAAATTTGGCCAACATGCGATGGAGCTTTGCGGACTCTCATATTCGCATTGAGGTGCGCCTCTTACATTCACTCATGCTTCCGGCACAAATGAAGCGGTGCTGACATGTGAACTTCAGGAGGGCGGATGGACCCGTCAGACCACAGTTCGCGAGCTATCTACGAGCGTCGAATTAGCAGGCGTCAACATGCGACTTGATGAGGGCGTTATCCGCGAGCTTCACTGGCACAAGGAAGCCGAGTGGGCCTACGTACTTGACGGAAAAGTGCGTGTCACCGCCATCGACTATGAAGGAGGCAACTTCATTGATGATTTGGAGAAGGGAGACCTATGGTATACACCCTACACCTTATAAAGAATGTCCCAAGTCCAGTTGCGAGTATTAACATAAATACTACAGGTATTTCCCTTCTGGTGTTCCTCACTCACTCCAAGGTCTTGGTGAAAACGGAACAGAGTTCCTCATAATCTTCGACGATGGAAGTTTCTCCGAGGAATCTACTTTTATTCTAACAGACTGGCTTGGTGAGAGAGACTTTTTTTCTGTCTCTTAGTGTCTTTGGGCAGAGACTAATTGGAGAATAGCACACACACCGCGTTCTGTAATTGCAAAGAACTTTAACCTGGCACCAGAAATTTTCGCCCATATCCCAGATGGCGAGAAGTACATTTTCCAAGGAACGAACCCGGGTTCGATCAACCACGAGGCCCCCACAGGCAAGGGCGTGAAGAAGTCGAAACACCAGTTCACCCACAAGATGCTCGCCCAAGAACCGAAGAAAACCTCTGGTGGTCAAGTCCGAATTACAGACTCGAAGAACTTCCCGATTTCCAAGACAGTTGCCGCTGCGCATGCAATCATCGAACCCGGCGCCCTACGAGAAATGCACTGGCACCCTAACGCCGACGAATGGTCCTTTTTTATCAAGGGACGCGCTCGAGTTACGATCTTCGCATCCGAAGGCAATGCCAGAACCTTCGATTACGTTCCGGGAGACGTCGGCATTGTTCCCAAGAACATGGGCCACTTTGTCGAAAACATCGGCGACGAACCTCTGGAGATGCTCGAAATTTTCCGCGCCGATGAATTCAGAGACTTTTCGCTATTCCAGTGGATGGGCGAGACCCCGAAGAAAATGGTCATTGACCATCTCTTTGCCGACGACCCTGAAAATGGAGAAAAGTTCTGGGATAAGGTTCGCAGCGCCGAGAAGGATGAGATTACCAAGCCGGATGCTCTCGGAGAGGAAGCTGCGTCAAACGAAGAACTCTGAAGGAGCACTGCCTCAATGAAAGATTGGAAACATGACAGGTTGGCTTCACCTACCTGTGCTTCATTGTTTGTTTCAATGTCTAAGTTTGTATCGTTTCCTGCAAAGATTTATTTGCAAACTTCAAAATAGCTACAATACCATTTCTTTACAGCTGGCTATAATACAATGATGTTTACAATTCAGCAATATTGTCTTGTTCATTAGCAGGATATCCTAAGTTCAGTGTTCAACATCCTCATTCACTACAGAACACATGTCCTCAAAATTAACTCATGAAACTTCCCATCACAATGTGGGCTCTCTTGGGGCACCCATGCGCTCTGCGCCCAACTTTCATCCAAACTCTGCGGATTACTCAGTTCCCGCTGCCAAGACTTAACTCTGTATCACCATTCAGTCAGCCGCGCATAGATCGCCCCTCTCGCATCTTGGACTAGAAGCAGAACACGTATACACTTGGTTGTCTATCAGCAACAACGCATCACTCATTCAGTGCATTTCCGAATGTTGTTGCCGACAGGTATCCGAAGCATGCCCGTGGCAAACGATGTACGCTGTTCCTTGAATAGATCTAATCTAGAGAAAAGAGGGGGTCATGTTCGTGATCACTTCTTTTGTGTGGTTGATTAGGACTATCATAGGCCATCCCCTTGTTGGAAACCCCCCCGGTCTCTCGGCCAGACTCTAGTAGCCCAGCGGTTTCGCGCTTGCTTCCATGCCGTTTTGGACTTATCGCCGGGCACCATGGCGACGCTACAGAAACGACACTGGATCAAGAAGGTGGTGGCCGAGATCAGTGTCAATGCGTGCGGCGTGACAAGGTCGAACCCCGCACACTGGGAAGCAGACGGGCGAACAACAAACATCATCGATTTCGGCCAATAGTTTCGTTTCACCAAGCACGAGTATGCGGGCGGCGATGGGTGAGAAGCAAGGCCAGGCCAGGCTAAAAATTTGCCTTCGTCCAATCCTTTTCCGCAGCGGCAAAAGCGCAGGATCTCATGGATGGGTAGAGCGAACCAGAGTCGCGAGCGTGATGACACCCATTCCTATTCTTGGAAGTTGGAGATGGAAGAGGGGTAAAAAGCGACGGGAGGACGAGGGCAGCGGTTGGAGGACAGGCAAGCCAGCCCCTGGTTGAAGGAGAATGCCATCCCATAGAGATCGCATCCTTCGCTGATTCGTCAGTCGTACAACTATACAACTTTCTACTACTACATCACCAAATAGTCAATAAACATGGGCCTGTCAGTATAATGCTACTTGCTAGGCAGGCAGTACGACGGCAGCATTCGATTAATACTTCCCACACAGATATGACTAGGGAGCGGCACTTGCGCATCAGCTCACGGCTGTTGTTCCACATGGCCCACAACCCGTGCTCGCCGAAATCCCCCATCATTAATCGTAAACGGGTGGAAAACTGTCACCCTGCCAGCTAGGCTACTAGTAGGTCCTGGCTTACGACCCCATCCCCGGTCAGAGCCGGATATAACCCCCGGTGTACATGGACGGAACACGGCACCTCATTCGCGGGCTTGGCATGCCCCATTCGGCCATGGAAACTAAAAGCTTGTCCCGTCGTATGGAGGACTATCAGCTCCACCGGACAAGGGGGGGGACTGGAGGGTGTGAGGATGGTGGATACTATTGCCCACCAACACACGACATCTCGCCTCGTCATTGCGTTCGTTTCTATCCTCAGCAGACTAGGCCCCTTGCTAGAGCCGATGACCAGGACGGGAGCGCTATTGGACGGGTATGTACCCCGCGTCTTGGCCTGGTATTGACGACGGGAAGGGTCAGGGAGAACAAACGACGTGGGATTACGCCCGCGTCAGACTAGTGTATGGTATCTGTAAGCCTAGTGGTAGACAGGTAGACAGGTATAGCGTTACAGGCGGGCTACGAGTATGATTCCATATCTGGGAGGTTGAACATGACCTTTTTCGCTGACCGAGAGTTGAGGGGGCCCAGTCTGCTTACTATGGAGACTCGCTTTAATGTGACACGAAGTTCTTTTTGGTGCATTTGCAGATGACGAAAAAGACCCAGTCGACGTTGCTTGAGCAGAGGATAAGAGGAAGTCGAGTAGACGCATGTCTTAGGTCTCTGTAAGCTTGTTATCTCTCCTCACCAATCCGGATGAGGAAATTGGATATGTAGCCGCCAAGAGTACCTTACGAACTGCAAATGCATGCAACCCAAGACTCTTGGGGGTCCATGTTACTTGAAAGATGTTACAAAGTACCTTGGTCAGAATACTAATGGTTACTTGGGGCTGCGAGTCAGCCACTACAATCTCTTTCGCGTGTTTAGGCTCTCCATTATTGTTTCTCTTTAGGCCACACAGTGGCGAACATTCTCTGTAACATCCAGCACAGATTATTTGTGCGACCGCCAAGACACCCATCGGTGCTTTGGTGCAATACAGAGCCACGAGCAGCCAAGAAAACAGACTTGGCAGTTTTCTTAGCATTGCGGCTCTGACGCGCCAAGAATGGGACAGAATGGCCATAAAGAGTTTGATGACTACGTGCGCTGCGTACAACAAGTAGGAAAAGAGATGGGATGATTAAGGTTTTGTCGTCTTGGGGGAATGGATGGGCACGCGGACTTCCGTCCCAGCTGACTTGTTGCTCTCCAAATCTGGACTCCGTTGCCTGCTGCAGTGTGGCAGTTTGCGTATCTTTATGGATGTACGTACTTGTAATTTCTCCTCCAAAGGAGCATTAAGCCCAACGACGTCCATCCAAAGGCGCCCCGACCCTGGGCTGAATATGATGATCTGCAACCCGTTTTGTTACCACACCTACGCCCTTCCAGTTCACTCGCTGTCCTTGGGATGGGCCGGTTTCAAATTGAGTTGGACAGGCATGCTATCAGCTGCGCCTATCCAAACGGCAGCTCTTATTTTGGGGAGAAAAAAATGTGATAACATTGGATTCGTAGCTATTGTTACCTTTCCCAGGAGCGAGCAAGCTGCCTAGCTCGCCTAGCTTGTCTCTCGTTCGTCACAGCTTGACTCCGCGCGAGGGGGCATCCTACTGTACGACGCCAACTTGACGAAACTCCCACCAATGTGAAGTTGGCGATGCTCGAATGATCAAACTGTGATGAATTGCATTAGACCCGGTCATGTCGGCATGTGAAGGGATACCGAGCGTCGCCCGAAGGAGGGTACGGCAGTTCAGCCAGTCTTGTTGGCTGGATGAAGCTGTACATCGTCGTGATATGGTGGCCTTGTTGCTTATGTCTAAATTCTTGGCTCACACCTCCCAAGGTGTCTACCCCTCACTCCCAACCCTCCATCTCAGTTGTTTGGCCACGCTGCGCGGACGACTTCGTCCAAGATTTCAGGTTGCTTTTCCATGTGGCCTGTGTTGCAACGGGAGGACTTGCGCAAGCACGCAGCTGCAATACGCAGATCAGATGCGATGCAATGAAGCATAAAGCACGCCTCCATCATTGATTTTGAAGTAGCCGACTGGTTCTTGTTATCTCTGGAACATTGTCTGAATATGAGTTGAAGAGGCCACGGGTGGCGCTTACATGACTGGACATCCCCTTATTTGAGAAGACCGGATTCATCTCAACTGCTGAAACCAACCTGTCTGTTCTCAGATCAAGTCTGCAAGCCCAGACGTCTTTACTTCTCTTTTCTTTACCTTTTTTTTCTCTTCTTCCCATCTTTGTGCTTCAGCATAGGGATCACTGTTGCCAAAATGGTCAACATCAAGGGAAAGATTGAAGCCGTCAAAAACGAAATCGTGACGGACACCAGCACCAGCCGTGCCCGTGACTTTATTGTCTCAGGGGCTCCTAAATTGCCCTCTGCAGCAGGAGTTTATCTTCTCGAGAAGGTGCCTATCGTACAGTGGCTGCCGAAATACTCACCAAAATGGCTCATCACGGATTTCATCGCCGGTCTGACGGTAGGAGTCATGCTCATCCCGCAGTCCCTAGCGTACGCCAAAATTGCCACTATTCCCATCGCGAACGGTCTGTACTCAAGTTGGTTGCCAGCCGCGTTTGCAGTAGTCATGGGAACTTCGAAAGGTAAGTCCATATCGTGAACTCTGAAGCTGCAAGAACCATTTGTCTGACTCATTTTGATGCTTAGATCTCTCAACCGGTCCCACTTCCATTCTAGGTCTCCTGACGGCCGAAATCGTGCATGATTTGAGCGCAGAGGGTTTCGACATCACCAAGATAGCAACATCCGTTTCCCTCATGGTGGGAGTCTATTCACTCATTATTGGTCTCTTCGGTTTCGGCTTCCTATTGGACTATGTTTCCTACCCAGTCCTCACAGGCTTCATCTCAGCCGCGGCTCTGGTCATTGCTTTCGGCCAAGTTGGCTCCCTTGTCGGCCTGTCTAATGTGCCATCCGGTGTTTTCAACGTCATTGGCGACGTCCTCAAACGACTTCCACACTGGGACGGCCCGACCTGCGGCATTGGGCTTGGAACTCTCATAATTCTCATCGGTCTCGAGAAGGTCGGCAAGAAATGGGGCAAGCGCCATTTCGCTATCAAACTTCTGGCCAACTCCCGAGCCGTCATTGTTCTCGTCATCTTCACCCTCATCAGCTACCTCGTCAACCGCGGCCGAGACAAGGCTGACTACGCTTGGAAAGTCAGTCAAGTCAGCACCCACGGTATCACGAAACCCCTGATTCCGGAGTCGAACCTCGTCAAGAAAGTTGCGACTAGAGCCATTGCCCCACTCGTCGCCAGTACACTTGAACACTTGGCCGTCGGCAAGGCTTTTGGAAAGAAGAACAACTACCAGATTGACCAGAGCCAGGAGCTGAATTATCTCGGTGTTGTCAACATCGTCAACAGTTTCTTCAGCACAATGCCAGTCGGCGGTGCCATGTCCCGCACAGCTGTTGCTTCTGAGTGTGGCGTCAAGAGCCCTCTCACCGGATTATTTACAGCTGGCTTCATCATTTTGACACTTTACGTTCTTTCACCAGCATTGTACTGGCTTCCTTCCTCGACCCTATCTGCTATTATTGTAAGTTACCTCATATTGAGCAACAAAGCGATGTGTAGAGACTGACAGTAATTCCTTCTCAGATTATGGCGGTTGTTCACCTCTTCGGCCCTTTGTCACTCTTCTACCGCTTCTGGCGTATCTCTTTTGCCGACTTTGTCGCCTCAATGGTTTCCTTCTGGGTCACCATCTTTGTCAGTGCTGAAATCGGTATTGGCGCCGCGGTTGGCTGGTCCATCGCCTGGACGATGCTGCGCTCAACTTTTGTCAAGCCCGTCATCCACTCCAGCTCCAACAATGCGACACATACCATCCCGCAACCCATTACTCGCATTGTCAGCACTGGTGGAGGGCCCGGCGTCGGCACTGAGAACCGCACCGAGAACGCGGGTATCTCCATCCCAGCTGATACCATCGTTGTCGACTTCAACGATGCCATCTTCTTCCCCAACGCCGAGCGCGCCAAGAACGCGACGCTTACAGCCATCAAGCTGGTCTATCCCCGCGTCGAAAGTAGTCTCAGCCAAGATGACCGCGACCGCCACTGGAGTGTTGCTGCAGAGAAGCGGCTGGAGAGGCTGCGTGCGAAGAATGATATCCGGCTCAAGGAGACGCCCCTTGCTGTCGTGGTTTGGGATTTCACCATGGTGCCGTTTATCGACACCTCGGGTATTCTGACGCTGAAGGGATTGAAAGATGAGATTTGGACTCATGCGGGCAAGAATGTACAGATTAGAATGGTTGGCATGTCAGACAAGGTGCGAAACCGCTTCTGGAGGGCGAAATGGAAGCTTGTTGATTTGGAAGAGTGGCGGGATGACGATGCTGACCTGGTATACCCTTCCATGGAGACTGCCATCTGGGATCGCGAGGGAGACTCAGGGGCTGATGTTTCGAGTGAGAAGAAGGGATGAATGATAAAGAACTAGGGTGCTCGAACGGATTGGCAACAGTGCATATATAGGTTGTTGAGTATGATATCCTTGCGTTACTGCTTATCTAGATGTGGCTGTGATTAAGTACCATTGGCGGCCGATCACTTTCTGGCCTTGAACAGCTTCGACAGCATTGGGAGACTGATGATTACGGTCGCTTCTCAATTTTGATTGTTGAGGGTTGAAGATTCGAGTGCCTCTACTTTTCAACGTCCATGTATTTCCTTTTTTGGCAGAGAGCTGTGGTGAATTTTTTCATTCACCTGTACCTGGAAGAACCAAGTCCCAACCTTTACCTATGAAACACCATTCTCGAGTTTTTCCACCTCGATCTTGCCCCATAAATCTCTGCAAGGCAACGGCACTGGGACCACAACAACAATATCTTGTTCTGCATGATAATTCCACCTACTTGTGCTCTTCTCCAGCTTCACCATCTCAACCCCATTGAGTTCCCCCTACCAGTAATCCCTCTGGAACTGGTGTCTTTGTCACTTCGCCATCATTCAAGGTACGTATGCTCAATGGAAAATGACTCTTTTTTGTGTCCTGTAAGCCTTATGATCTGATAGTATAGAAATGTCAACGAACTTCACGCTTGGTACCACCTCTAAGAATACCACTGGCAACATGAAGCCCATGAAAAAGGTTGCCTTTTCAACAACTGAGGAGTATTGTAAAATCTGTCGACTCCAAAAGTTAGTACAGGCCCAGGCGGCGCAGCTCTACGCCCAAGAGATTCGGCATCAGAAGGAGGTTGAAGCACTAAAGGGTTTCTTCCTTCAAGAAATCACGCGACTCAACGCCGAACACCAGAAAGAAATTGACCGGGCATGGGAGAGTCACGATTTCCAGATGGAAGCAATTGGGTCATTCAATCTTCGCACAGAGCTTGATCTCCAGAAAAAGCTGGCTTAGAAAGCCCACGAGCTGGAGGAGCTGAAGAAGACATCAAAGGACTCCATTCAGCGCCAGTGATGAAGCGCCTCCTGTTGCGGCTGGATTCTGACGGAGATTCACACGATTGATCTTGGAAGGTTGCTTGATGTTATCTTTCTTGGGTGCTTTCTTCGGTCACAGAGGGAGAAGTCTTGGTTCTTTTCGGTACCTAACTATGGGTGCTGGTCTTTCATAGAGAAATAGGAGCTTTTTCTGTCTTGTTCTTTCCGCCAGATGTTGAGCACAAGGTGTCTGAAGTTTTCCTACGGCATTCATCTCACAGCAGGCCTCACTATCCCAGAGCTTTCCCCTGTGTCATCATCTATGCTTAACAAGAGATTGGGAAGCGAACCAGAAGTATCTTTTCTTGCTTTGTTTGCTTCCTTCCCCTTTCGTTTGTAAATACCCTACCTTCCTCGATACCTTATAGTTAAGGTAGTGAATCAAGAAATTTCTAACGTGATATTGCTTCCTCGCTGGCTTTGAGGCAGGAAGGAGGTAGCTACCCATCCCGCACTTTCCTCGAGTGTTAATTACTGATTTGTGTTCACATCCTACTCTATAAAACCCCCCCTTCTCATCCACACCTCTTCCCACAAACAACCACATCAAGAGAAAAGCACCATCACCACTTCCGTGGCACAAACTCGCTTTTTCATCTCTTTCATCAACATCCAACCCCATTCTCATCTTCTCTGCCCTGTAAGCCTTTCTTAGCTTATTCCTTGTATCTTACAGACACTGGCAGCTTTTATTTAGCCTTTACTAACAGTTCTAGATCAAGGCACTAAATTCACAACCAGCAGAACAACAACACAAGATTCTGTCACAATGTCTGTAAGTATCTACTCTGCACATTCTATCTTTTCTTTTGTTCCTTGTTTCATCTTTGAAGTCTTCAAACAAATACTCACATGCCGGCAAACAGGCCACCAACGTCGACCGTGATGACTTTCTTGAGTACGAGGTTGTGGAAGTCGGAAAGTACACCGCCGCCCAGCTTGCCGAGATCAAAGCTGCTACCCAAAAGGAGGTAGCCCACGCGATGCAGAACGAGTTCGACACCAAGATCAGTGAAATGAAGGCTTCTCACCAGAAGCAGATGTTTCAGCTGATTGACGAACATGCCAAGAAGCTGCAGACTACCATCGAGGCCGCTCTAGAGGACTCCCAGAAGCTTCTGACTGAGCAGAAGGAAACCCATGAGAAGGAGCTCAAGGCTATGCGCCACGAGAAGATTGCCAGACACAACGGCGATCTCCAGAAGAAGATGGAGGTCTACATGGAGAAGATGCGGTCGGAGCACAAGGTTTCTACCTCCATCGCTAAGCAGTGGCACATGACTGAAGTGTATGGACTCAAATCTTTTCTCAAGAGCCAGGAGGATCACATTAAGCGTCTGGAGGAACGTCTCAAGGTTGCGGAGGATGCCAAAAAGAGCCTTGAGGCTCCTTTCGGGGCCGAGACCGCCAAGAAGGGCAGTAACAGCGACAAGTGAAGGGTGGAGATTTTATTGGCACTGAAAACCTTTCTGGAACAGCGTCTTCACAAGCATTTGTTGTGAGTGTGCGTAGAGGAGACAGTTTGTGTTTGGCCTTTGAGAGAAGGTGTAGATAGACAGAGCCAGTGAACGTGGGTCTGCAATCACACACTTTGATACGCGAATGAGTTTTTTAGCAGTTTTTATGTGTCCTGTGATAAAATGGCATATTTCAGCAGCGGATGATCAGCTGTGTCGGCCACAACAAGAATTCAGTCCCTTCACAAATAGGCCAAAGCTTTCAGTACTACGAGATCCCTTGTTCCCTAGGTCAGTCCATTTTCGCTGTATCATGACAAAGGCAATTATCACAAAACTCTCAAACAACAATACTTCTATATCCCTACAATTAAATGAATTTTTGAGAGACTAAAGTTGAATCCAAAAGCTAGGCTCCCATCAACTTACACCAGTCCAGCCTCCCGGGCGCCAAGCCGGAGTAGTGGATCCCACAGCACCCCTGTCAGCCTCGACCCTGAAGAGGACCCATACTTTAGGCGGTGACCCGATTAGGAAGCCGAACCACTCTACACCGACGATCGGCGGGGCAGTTTTCTCGGTGAACAACAATTTTATTCCTCGTCGCCCATCCCACCCTGTCGTACTCCCCGTACCGCATCGAAAGAAAAAAAAAAAAAAAAGTCCACCACAGCTCCGCGAAGTCCCTTCCCATTTACCACCCCACGAAGCCCACTGAGCAGGACACATGCTCAGCAGCCCTTCACGATGGCGTCCCACGAACAGAACATGCCGTTTATAAAAAACCTGGCCTCCAGCGGTTCGTCCCCCCTTCCCCCCCGTCTGGTCGCTCAATTGGCGGCTCGTCGCAAAAAGCGCAACAAGACCCTCAAACAGCAAACAATAAAAGCTAACACCTCTAACTCTCAACAGACCGTAAACTCCGCACTCAGGCCCTGACCTCCCTCCAAACCTTCCTCGGCTCGCACCGCTCCATAACCCGCATCGACGCCCTCAAGCTGTGGAAGGGCCTCTTCTACGCAATGTGGATGTGCGACCGACCGATCCCGCAGCAGAACCTCGCGACGGAGCTCGCGGGCCTGACGTCCTGCCTCAAGAACGACGACGTCGCCACCTGGCTCGCCGCCTTCTGGGAGACCATGTCCAAGCAGTGGACCGACATTGACGTGCTGCGCATGGAGAAGTTCCTGCTGCTCGTCAGACGGACCTTCGCGTCCGGCCTGCAGTGGGTCAGGGACGGCAAGTACGCCGAGGGCAGGGCCGACGCGCTGGCGGGCGTGCTGGCGGACTGGCCCTTCGAGGTCGAGGGTGACCTGCGCAAGGTGCCCATCGGTCTGCGTCTGCACGGCGTGGACATCTGGGTCGACGAGCTCGCGCGCACGGAGATCATCAAGGAGGGCGCCGGAGAGGACGCGGTGGCGTTCGCGAGGAAGATCAGCAAGCTCGTCGAGCCGCTGAAGCGCTCGCCTGTCAAGACTGTGCGCGTCAAGGCTGCCGAGGCGCTCGAGGACGACAGGCTGCCGTGGGTCGAGGCCAAGCCGGTAGAGGAGGCGGACGGCATGGACGAGAGCGACGGCGGCGACGACGACGACGAGTGGGGTGGCATTGCCGATAAATAAGGGGCGCGCCTCCGCTATTACAAGGTTTTATTCTTGTCTTCTGCCTCGATTTTGTCTTTGCATCGGACGGTGAACACGGCGTTTTTTCTTGTTTTTTGGGTCTAGAAAGGGAGGCGGGCAAAAAAGAAAATCACTTGTGAATATGATTATTCTGGGACTATCCTGCTGCTTCAAGAGGGGGGAGGGGTGGTTTGGAAGAAAGAAGAAGAAGACGAAGACAAAAAAGACATGCAATTATATGTGCTCGACGCTATTTCTATAGTATACATTTGATATCCAATGGCTGGCTCTACCGGCCAGGCCTGCGTCTCGGCCTGGGGGCGGGACGGTATCGCTTCTTCCCATCTTGGTCTATCTGGGTATCTCGACTTTTTCTGAAAAATTCACTCGCCTTTCCGCTGCTGTGTTGTTACTTTTCGCCCGTGACCGTCTCTCGTGTACGCATCTTGACGCTCACTCGTCTAACCTTCGTGACGTCCCCCCTCTACGCCATGATCCTGTCGCCAATGGTGATCTTGTCCCAGTTGGTTGGACCCGCGGCCTCGTACCCGCCGGACTTCGAAATCACCTTGCCCAAGCCCGGGTGGATTTCGGCCTGGAACGGCTCGAACGGCACCTTTTCGCCGTCAATGCTGATGTAGCCGTCCTTTTGGTTGCGCGGGATAATGCGGTACGCCGTGATCTTCTTGTAGGACACGAGCGGGTTGTCAAAGAATTTGCCGGTCTCCACCGACAGCAACATGCTGAGCTGGGAGCTGACCGACACGTCGCCGTCGATGCAGACGAGATCCATGAGGCCGTCGTTGGCGCACGCCGCCGAAAAGAAGTTTGCGTCGGCGGCCATGTATGCCATCTGCGACTTGTCAGTAACGCTCATATTCCGTCAAAAAGGGGGGAATAATGCTCACGTTTCCACAGTAAAAGTTGCCCATCCTGTCGTGGGGAATCAGCTCCCACCCCTCCGGCAAATCGTCATTAATCGTGCCGAACCGCAGAGGCGGTAGACCCTGCTGAGTAGAAGATTGGCCCGAGCCCGCTTCGTGGGACTCTGAATTGGGAGCATCCGCAATGCCGCCAAAGTTCGCCGCCGACGCGGTGCTCATCTTCCGCTTGTAGTGCTGCTTGACCTCGTGCTTGTCGTCGATTTCCACCTTCACGGCAAGATCGCAGGGGTAGCACTTCTTCTGGAAGATCCTCTGCAAGAAACCGATCGTGAATCGTGCGCCGCCCATCCATCGCATGTGCTCCGTTGCCAAATCACTCTCGGCCACGACGCCGAGCGCCTGGCTAAGGAAACTCAAGATCCGCCGGTCGCCTTGCGTGATGCTGACGAGGTCCAGCGGCGTCTCCACACCCTTGATAATGGCCAGCGCAGCCAGCGACGGTCGATACGTGCCGTAGAGGTTGCAGCTCATCGCGTTGCCCGAACCGCAGGGAATGTGCGAAACGGCAATCTTTTGCAGCGCCTGAAGCGCATCGGGTCGCTTCCCCAGGCCATTGAAGACCTCGTGGGCCAAGCCGTCGCCCGAGCAGGTAACAATCGTGTCGTAGGCGTCCACGTCAATCTCTTGCGAAATGTCAACCGCCTGGCCCGAGAATGTCGTCAGGGTCACGTCCATCGGCATGCGCGCGGCTTTGAAGAGGGGCTCGCAGTCGCCGCGCCACTTCTTTTCAGCGCCTCCGGGGCCCGCGTGCGGGTTAACCAGGACCTTGGCTCTCTTGCATCGCTTCGCGGGTCCATAGGCTCTCGTCAGGAGTGTGTCGGCCCAGGCCCTCACTTCCGTGGCGTCGGGATCGGAAACGGGGAAGGTCCAGGTCGCGGCTTGGACTCGGTGCTTGGAGACGTATTTCGCATAGTCGATGGTGAGCGTCTCACCAGCAAGCTCGGCCCAGAGAACGTTGTAGAGGGGGACGGTAGTCGCTGTTGGTGCTGTTTGGGAGGTTACTGTTAGTAGGCTGAGGAGAGAGAAGAGGGCGGCCAGGAAGATCCAAGCGGCTTACCAGAAGCTCCGAACCCAGCGAAACCACAAGTTCGGTTGGCCTGCTTTGCGGTAGGGTCTAGCGAGAGTCAACCAGCCGGGCGCATCACGGGGAAGCTATATGAAGAACCCACCATTGAGGACCAGATTCTCGGAGGTCAGGGTCAACGTCTTGCCGTCGAGTCTAATCATCTCGGGTAGTCCACCTCGAGAGGCAGGTTTTCCATAAGACTGGGACGATTCGGAAATGGACTCGGGCATCGTCTGGGGACTGGCAGCTGGTGCTGGTATAGTGGCCATGGTGAAGGTATCTCGACGGGCTCCGCGGAGCGCACTTCACATGGTACAGTAGGCGCAATACCGGGGGGTCGAGTGGGTTCCGCGCAACTCGGAAGCACTAATAGTTTCGTATTTGTCTAACAACTGGAAAAGCCTGAAGCGACAGACGGGGCAACGGGGAAACGAGGACGAGAATAATAGTAATAGTAAGTATAAGAATACTGGAAAGCTCCCGGGGAGAGAAGAACGGGAGGAGAAAGGACCAGCAAGGTTAGCAGCACCGAGACATTATCAGTTATCGACTTTTTTGTCTTGGTCTAGGGCCCTTGCTCTCGTTGTCTGTCACTAGTTGGTTGCTTTCTTTCTGCCCGCACCGGTTGTCGTCGCTTGTGCAGCTTTTCAAGTATAAATACGAGACCCAATTGAACACACTAAAAGAAGGTAAAGGAGGAGGACGACAAGAGAAACGGGGAGAAAAGAGAATGGCACCGGGCGTTGCATAAGACTGGACAAGAATTGGTCAGAAGGAACAGGTCCCGAGGCATCGTCGCGGACGGCGCCAGACCCAAGACAGAATGGACTGTGCTGTAGGGTGGCACGGTGGCACGGATGAATCGGAGATTGTGACGCGGACAGGGGAAAAGGGCGTGCACTAAACATAGAGGTAGGGATAGAAGATGACCTGATGTGTCAGCAAGATAACGCGGTGGAACCACGTACCTCGCTACCGTTGGCACTGATTATCAGAGCTACGATAAGGAAGCGACACAACCAAGGAACGGATGGGACGCCTTCTGCAATGTGCCCAAAGGCCCTAATGCGAGGGGTCCGCGGCGCCCGTACGGGGGGTGTAAGTTAGCAATAGGTACCTGTGGTGTCCCGTAGCACCCTGTAAGGTGTGTGCCAGCTCGACCTGCAGCATGACATGACAGTACCTGATACCACTTGTTTCCTGCTCGGGATGTTATTCTGGCTTACTACTATAGAATCCTACTTCCTCACATCGGTCAGACCTGTGAGACACGGCTAGATGCATGGTTCAGGCGCATATTCTCTAATAAGAAAATAAAAAAACCCAACCCAGATACCTACTCACTGTCTAGGGTCGACCAAGACAGCTGGCCACCAAGAGGCGGCAGTGGCGTGAGTAAGCCCTGCGAGGTACCAGACGACAGTGTAACAAGAGCTAACACCGACCTGAGATGTCGCGCGACAGCTTCTTGGCCCCATTTCTCATACGGGATAGTTGGTGCCAATTTGGTCGTTACGAATCACCTACGTCGATGCATGAGAAGACGTAAAAGGTAGTGCACTCCGTCGAGTCTGTCTTTCGGGCCGTGATACCCAAATTAGACGTCATTATTCCTGGGCCAGGACTCGAGGCCGCATAGCTGAGCTGACATTGGCTCAAAGTAAGCTGAGGATTCGCAAATAAGAAAGGGAGAAAACGCTCTGGACATCAAAGATCCAAAACGGGGGAACAATGCATTCTTGAATTAAATACCAAGCCATAAGAATGAGAGATTCGGTACGTACCCTTTTATCTTATCAACAACGGCGTCGATTGTCCAACGGCGACCATGGCTTTCGGCGCCTTCCACCGCTGTGCTGCGTCTTCGTTCCTTTGTTCCCCCCCAAATGCGGGAGCGGAGATTCCCTAACCGGCAGCGGCAGCATGGGACAGGTGTCGTCCCATGCCTACCACACCCAATCACATCACCCCGTGTCTTCTCGATCTGGCAATAATTGGCCAATCAGCTGTGGGCCGCATCGGCTACGTACCGTCCTGATATCGGGATAGAGTGCATTGCATCTGTGTCTCTCAATCTCATGCTCATCGTCCTTGACTCACAAAACAGCTACATCTCATTATACCAATCCTCAAGTGACTCAGAGACTCTGTCTTTGTTCTTATTAGACGCCTCTTCACACAACCAATTGGTTCATCTCGAAGACACTCCGACCTTTACACCACATCACACAAATACACATACAACTCCAGAAACCAGAGGCCCGCCGCAAATGGCCTCCTCTCAACCTCCGGTCGCGGGGTCCGATGCCTCACTCCCCCTCATCGACATCAAGCCGCTACTCAAGAAACTCTGGCCCGTACCGGACGCCGGCCTCGCCGTCACGCCGGACGAGATCGCCGATGCCATCTCCCACTTCTTCACCCACCAGGTCTCCGACGCCCAGGCCGCCTCCCTCCTCATCGCCCTGCACTTCACCAACCTCGACCGCCGCGCCGATGTCATGGCCCGCTCCGCCCACGTCATGCGCCTCGCCGCCGCCAAGGTAGACTTTGACGACCTCTCCCGCGTCGTCAAGGCCAAGAACCTCGCGGAGGGCAAGTACGCCGGCGGCCTCTGCGACATCGTCGGCACCGGCGGCGACTCCCACAACACCTTCAACATCAGCACCACGGCGAGCATCCTCGCCTCCTCCCTGCTCCTCGTCGCCAAGCACGGCAACCGCGCGAGCACCTCCAAGTCCGGCTCCGCCGACCTCGTCAACAACATGCAGCCCCGCCCGCCCGTGCTCATGGCCGTGTCCCCGGCCACCATCTCCCAGGTCTACTCCGCCACCAACTACGGCTTCCTCTTCGCCCCCGTCTTCCACCCGGGCATGCGCTACGTCGCCCCCATCCGCAAGGAGCTGCCCTGGAGGACAATCTTCAACCTCTTGGGCCCCCTGGCGAATCCCGTCGAGGACATCCTCGAGGCTCGCGTCATTGGCGTCGCGAGAAAGGAGCTCGGCCCCGTGTTCCTCGAGGCCCTGCGCATCGGCGGCTCCAAGAAGGCCATGATCATCTGCGGAGAGGAGGAGCTGGACGAGGTGAGCTGCGCGGGGCCGACGCTCGTCTGGAGGCTCAGCGAGAAGACGCCCGGGGGCGAGATCGTGCAGGACCACTTCAGGGTGCAGCCGAGCGACTTCGGCCTGGACGCGCACCCGCTGAACACGGTCTCGCCCGGAAAGGAGCCCGCCGAGAACGCCGAGATTCTCAGGAGAATACTGAGCGGCGAGATGGCCGACAACGACCCCATCCTCGAGTTCGTGCTCATGAACGCGGCGACTCTGTTCGTGGCCTCGGGCATCTGCGAGGCCGACTCGAGCAACATGGGCCCCGGCGACGACGGCAACATCATTACGGAGCGGGGACCCGGCGGAGGACGCTGGAAGGAGGGTGTGCGGAGAGCTCGCTGGGCCGTCAAGAGCGGCGAGGCCTGGAAGCAGTGGAAGGCGTTTGTCGACGTCACCAACGGATTTTAAATCAGTCATTTTTGTTCTAAAAAGAAAAAGGTTCATTGTATGAAATTTCGCTCATGAAAGGAGACTTTTACAGCGTTCTCTTAATTGGAAGACAAGGGAAAGGGATGGGATGGGATGGTCACGGCCTCGGTACGGATGGCAACACGCGAGCGAACAGGCTCCGATCAGAAAAAAAACGGAAGTCTCATAAAGCTTTTTGTAGCCCTCTTCTATCACAACTTTTTTTATGCACTATATATCCTCAGTTTTAGCACATGCGGCAAAGCACACGCGCTTACTCCCGACCTTTTTTCCCAGCCGTGGTATCCCGCTCACCGAGGAAAGATATCCGCCTATGACCGTATGGAAATGTTTCCATCGTGTTCGGGTATTTGGACTGCACATAGTGCACGTTGAATGTGGCGGCCAGCTCATCGAGTTGGTCCCGCATCCCAGAGCGCAAAGTTGACCGTGGACACCCGCCCTTCTAGGCGAAGATGGTCACTTCGGGCCACCGCTCGTGGGCCGCCTTCTTGAGGGTCTCCGCCTCGCTGCTTCTCCATGCCTTGAGCACGTCGTACACCTCGCTGGCAAGCTCAAAGGTTGCATCAGGAGCCTTGACCACGTTGGCCAGATCGCTCTCGGCCTTGGAGCGGTCATCGCCAAGTACTCTTCGGGTCTTGAGGGCGGCGACGATGTGGGGCGGGCTGGACTTGTTCTTGGCCAGGAAGTCCTCGTTGTACTTCTTCAGGTCGCCAGCAGGGGGGGTGAACTCCGACTTGATCACCTCCTGAACCTTGGCCGGCAGGCTCTCAAGAGCCGGTCGGACAACGTGGGCGAACTCGACGACGCGCTCGTGAACGCCGGGGTGGGACTCGTCGAGGGCACGAGCAGCGTTAAGAGAGCGGAGGGCAAGAACATACTTTTCTGTAGATTGTTAGCGTGATCTATATGTCAAGGCAGGAAATAAAATCTTACTCCGGCGCAGGTAAACGTCGAAACCGGCGAACTGGGCCTGGATGTTCTTGGGGCTGTATTGCAGAAGAGGAGTGACAAAGCGCATGGCGGCGGCCAAAGGCTCGGCGTCCAAGAGCTTCAGGCCGAGAGGATCGTCATCCTTCTTCTTGGGCTCCTCGGTAGCCTTGCCCTTGTTAGGGTCTTGCTTGGATGCGCGCTCAGCAGCCTCACGCTCAAGACGCTGCTGCTCCTTCTTAGCCTTCTTGGCAGCCTTCTTCCTCTCTGAAGCGTCGTCGCCGTTGGCATCACCGTTGACACCGTTCGCCGAGGGGCGGTCGGCCCGCTTGAGGTAGAGGGCGACAGCATCAAGAGCAGCTCTTGAGTAGAAGGGGTGGTCGCGCAAGTGGTCCTCCCATCGGACCATATCAACGTAGGCACGGATCTGACCCTTTCTCAGAGAGAAGCTGTGGAAGTCGAACTGGTCTTCTTGCCAGACATCGAAAATATTGTGAATGGTGTGGAAACGCTTAAGAGCCAGGGCATCGTCGCCTTGGCGGGCAGATGCCTCACCATCCTCGGTCAGGTACCAGATGCACTGCATATCCAGAAGATCCGCCAAGGGGCCTCCGACGGTGTCGGCTCTGGTGAACAAGCTCATGGTCTTCAGCGCCTTCTCGCTCTCGTTGTTGCGTAGCTGGTACTTGGCGGCCTTCGTGTTAATGTAACGGTCCTTGGTGTCCAGAGATCGGGCATGGTCCATAGTCTCGGAAGCCTTCTGGAGGTTGCCCTGGTGCTTGTATATCCTGGCCTTGGTCATGTGGAAGTCGACACTGTCCTTGACCTTCTCGATGGCCTGGTCGATGTATTTGTGGGCCTGTTCAAGATCGCGGCTGAGGTGGTAGTTGTAGTGCTGGGCCAGGAAGTAGAGGGCGGCGGCCTCGCCCTTGGAGCGGTCTCCGTTGGCGGATTCCGAGCTGGAGCTCTGTGACTTGACATACTCCTTTGCGAGAGCCTCCAGCGCCTGCTTCTTGGACGAATCGGAGTAGAGGTGCTTGAGGTTGGCGAAGGTGGAAGGGACGCCCTTGTTGAACATCAAAGTCAGGTACTCCTTGGCGGCAGCGCTGAAGTCATCGCCTGCGTCGGGTGTCAGTAAGTGAGTGCGAGGGAACTCCTGGTAGACTCACCAGACAGGAAGTTCAGGGGCAGACGGCGAGGGGCATCTGAGCGAGGGAACTTCTTGGCGTATGTCTCATAGATCTGCTTCTTGGTGTCGTTGTCGCTGTGAGAGAAGCCGTGGGCGCTCTCCAAGCCCTCAAAGTAGGCAGGACGGTCGGGGTTGCGCTCAATAAGAGCCTCCCAGGCGGCAACGGCCTGCTCCTTCTTGCTCAGCTTCACCAGGTACTTGGCACGCAATTCCAGGTACTCCAATCTGTCGAGGTTGGTCTTGGCTGCGGACTCGAGGTGGTCCAGAGCTCTTTGGTAGTCACCCTGCTCGGCGATAATTGTGTTCTTGTACATGACGGCCTCAGAGTTCTCGTAGTCGGTGCGGGAGGGCGTGGCCTTCAGGGTTCCCTCGTAGGTGGTGAGGACGTTCTCGGCCGCGGCTAGGTCACCTGCGAGGTGGTGAGCGATGGCCAGGGCAGTCCAGCTCTGGCGCAGCTGGGGACGCGCCTGAAGCATTGCTGTGCGGCTCTGAATGTAACCGGCATAATCGCGCATCTGCACCTGGAGGATAGCCAGATCGCGCTGGATCTGGGTCGACTCGGGCTCGAGCTTGAGAGCGAACTTGTAGGCCTTGATAGCCTCCTCGAAGTTCTTGTTGGCGCGGTACAGCAGGCCGTAGACGTGCCAGCAGATGTGCGACTTCATGTCGACCGTAAGGGCCTCCTTGCCCAAAGCGAAAGCCTCCTCAGTCTTACCCTGCGCATTCATGATCAGGGCCTTCATGGCCATTGTGTCTCCATGCTTGGGGTTCTTCTTGAGGATCAAATCAGCGGACTTGAGGCCGCGCTTGTACTGCTTATCCTCATAGGCGCGGATGACGGCTCGAAAGAGGGAAGCCTCTTTCGAATTCAGAGGCTGCGGCATCGGGTCGGTGTTGGGGGGAGGGACTCGAGTCGGTGGTATCTCAATAAACTAACGATTAGCCGTCGAGGAGAGCGGTCTCGAAAGAGGCTAAGGCGGTATTGGAGGTGCCGGAGACAAAACTCTTCGGATGCCAGTACCGATGCGACGGTTCGGAGAGGGGTCCTTTCGGAGGGGGAAGGAGGGGTAGCTGTAGTCGCGTGACCGGACAGCTACAGTCTCAGAGAGTAAAATAAAATAAAGAGGGCGATTGATATGCGAAGGGCAGGAGTCGGTTGTGTCGGGGACCGAGTCTCGTGCCTTGGCGGGGGGGGAGAGGTGGGATGTTGAAAGGTGACGGAAGAGCGAGTCCACAATCGGAGCTGGCAGACGGATCGAGTCAACGACGGAGGTTGAAGTTTGGCTGGAGACGGTTCGGCCACACAGATGTTCCCAAGGCTGGGGCCGTGGCCTGCGGGGCTCTCTCCAAGTTACTATTACTATGGACAGTCTGGTAATCTGTATTGTGATAGGTAGTAATTATTACAGGTATGTGCCCGGTCCAGTGTGCTGTGACGCCTGCTCTGCTCTCCTTCCAGTGACCGTCAGCGCTGAGCCTAGTGACTAACTACAGCGATTGGTGGGGCAGCAGCGCAACACAAACCCCCAAATCCCATTTTCACCACACCGCATGTGCGCACGTTCCACCTCCAACGGCAAAAACCACCACCAAAAAATATGGTGGGGGGAAACTCTTGAATGGATTCGGCTCGGTACTTCATATTGCGGCAGCGAGAGCCTCAGGGCTTGGAAATACGTACCTGCCAAGATCCGCCTGCTTGGAACCTCCGGCTCAAGGCATTGTCGGCGGTTGTTTTGTTTTCGCATGAAATATACTTTTGGTCTTTCGATTCTGTACTTGTTTTCCCGATGTCTCTACTCTGGCTCTTTGTTTTCTCATATTGTCCCTACATGTCAATACACGGAAAGTCATGATACACTTGTTGTCCAACAGTTTCGGTTCTCTCATTATTCATAGCTTAGAGTGGTACAAGGTTGGTACACGATATGCTGTTATACACGAATATCTACAAAACGATGCGATGATGATTCAGGCGGCAACTGTTAGTTGTCCCCCTTTACACCAGTTCGCCTGCGCCATCCTTCAAAAGCCTCTTCCCATGTATCAGCAGACTCGCCACATCTCTGCTTGACCATGTCCCATGTTCTTGTGCGCACGATATTCTCTACGCCCTTCTCTTGTCGGATCAACATGGCGAGCCTCTCTGTGCGAGGCTCTCGCGGGAAGAACCTGCCCGAGTATGGGTCGAGTCGCTCATCCACAACCCTCTCCTTATCCTTCGCTTTTTCTATCTGGAGCAGAAGGGCCTCTGGGTCGTCAGGGTCGGGACTCGTGGCAACCACTCCGCAGTAATGCAGAACCTCGGCTCGAGCATGCCATGTCGGGAATAGTGCCTGGTCTTTGAAGTTCTGGCACGACTGGGGATCTATTTGACGCGAGAGAGCTCGTGGTGTCCTTTGTGAAGTCGACGAGGGGTCGAAGCCTGCTCGAGACGGCGTCACCAGCGCATTAAGATTCTGGGTTATCGCATCATCGATGCTGGCTCGTGACAGTCGGAGAAAGTCTGGGAGAAGCGCGTCAGCCAAGTTTCCTATCCGGAAACTCCGGGAATGCCCAAGTATTCTTACCTCTAAGCGTGCCTGTCGAGAAACAGAACTGAGGTGTGAGGTGCGGCACGGGTGGCGGTTGGGTCATGATGTCGGGAGATGAGGGTTGCGATAGGTTTGCGACAGGAGCCACGGACGACGGCTCCTTTTTCCAGAATATTCCCGCCAGATTGAGAGGTTCTGCCGATGGTGATATATTCGTAAGTTGACTGAAGTGACCCTGACCTGACCTGGCTCTGGTGACTTGCGACGTGAGACGGTGTTTTGGGACAGGAAAATAACCCTCAGGCGATGGTTCAAGTCGATTACGTCGACGGAAGCTATTGCGCTAGCTAGGGGAGCTTGGGACATGGAGTGCCTGGCAGCACCACTAAGCACAGTGAGGAACACCTGTATTATCCGTTCTCTTGTTCTTCGTAGTGGACTGAGAGCCTTCCGGCTGGTGCCGGCTGTCCAATCACACGCCTTGCAAATAAAATAAAAAAACGACATGGAACCTTATGTCATCGGGAGATCCTCGGCCGCCGATAAAAGTGGTCCGTGTCTCACTCGGGTCTGTCTGGTCCGTGCTCGGCCCAAGGTCCCCGGTGGTCCAAGCTTCATGGAATTTCAGGGATCGAAAGCTTCAAGACTCATTGTCTTTATTTTCTCTCCCTTCTTCCCACGTGTGGCCGCCCTGAACTAAAAAGTGCCAATCTCCCGTACGCGCACGCAATCAATGTTTTAGCGTCACGTCAGTTGTCGATAGTGTTGAAGCCACAACTAGATTTATCATTCTTCAACCCCAGCTATGCAAGTGCTCGACTTGACATAATCATAGACGAGGAGCATCAACCGTTGTTTCCTGGCCACCACTACCACCACCACCACCAGGATCCCCATCCGTTCCCCCTGGGACCCTGGATTAGGTACCACGGACGAACCTGCTCGATCTGTACTGTTCCTTCATTCGCTTGTTCCCCCTTAGCTGGCCGTCGAAATGGGGCATCGAGTGACGCCCACTTGCGTCCTTGAATGAGTAAGTTTGCTACCATATTTCTCGTTTCGTTGATTCTCCAATCTTTTGTCGTTCCAGGGCCAGGTTTAAACAAGATCTTCTATTTCCTAATTCTCGGCTTCCACCGTGCAACCTTCAAAGATGACATCCTTGTCCTGTACCTCCGAAGTGATCTTCAGAACAATGGCACCAGATTATGGCAATCACCTGCCGCTACCCTCTTGGCGAGTATCCAGACAGCCGGGCTCACCAACCCTCATTTCGCCAAATGACCCCCAATAGTTTCCCCTTGCTAGTATCGCCCCAAACACCGTTTTAGGATATACAGTTTCGGGTCAGTCTTTGGTTCGGAATGGGTCGTTGCCATATTCGGCTCCCTGGCCCCGCGATTAGTTTCCTCAGTCCCCCTCGTATCGACCAGCACAAAAGAAAGCTGCTTTCTCTCCGTCCTGTCTGGATCCATTCTGCGATCTTGATGTTGCCTTGCGCCAATGCGTCTCGCCACCTAGATGACCGGCGATGGACTCCCCGGGATGTCTGCCCGGCGCTGGCCTGGCCGACTTGATGCGGATTTCACTGCTTCTCACCGAGAGGTATGGCCACATGGCTAACAGTCTTAACACGGCTCCCGTCACCTTGGCCGCTCTCGCCAAAGAATGTCAAGCCACCACCGACGCCCTCCGTCGATTCCAGTACCTCCGTCAAACGATTCCAGAAACCCTCGTTTTCGATCCCGTACTCCTAGACGACTCCTGCCATGAAGCTTTGAAGTCAATCTCGACCAATTTATCCTCACTTGACCATTACAGTACACGGATCCGTCCTTCGACTAGCGATAGTGCCGTGGATATGTCCATGGGTCAGCTCACCATAATTTGGAATGAGGACAGCCTGAAGCAAACTCTACGGCAACTCAAAACTAGCCGCCAATCCCTTGCCTTTCTTCTTAATTGTGTACCAAGGTGAGTCAAAGCTATCTGCTGCATCTGACTGGTGCTCACGCCGCTCAGTGAACATGTGACGTCCAAGAACCACTCTACCTTTATGCACTCGTCCCGCCTGGTCTCTTGGGACTGCGCCATTAGCCCAGCCGTCCTTAACAAGGGGAGCCGACTACGCCTTTCAACCATCGGACCACGTCCTCGCCCGGATGTCTCGTCAGTCTGCGACGTATCTGGAGTTTACTCTGCTCTGAGTAGACTACGGCCGAAGCCCGGTACACTGTTCAAGCAGAACATGCGGACGACCAAAGAGCTGCACGATGCCATCGACCGAGGGGACGAAGCTGCCGTGGTGAAGCTTCTCTTGCAGAGGATCGATCCAAACGCTCTCAAGCTAGGCTCAAAAACCCCGCCCTTACGCCGAGCTCTGAACCGCCAAATCCCATCCATCGCCACATTTCTCGCCATCGCAGGAGCTGACTTGGAAGACAACAGCGGAAATGGGGAGACAGCTCTCATCACTGCTATTAAGCAAGACTTTTCGGACAAATACATCTCCTTGCTATGCGATCTTGGCGCATCCGTCAATGCTGTTGATGCCATGGGGTGTTCGGCAGTACATCACGCTGCCATGTCACCGAAAGAAGACGACGATACCCTGGCCGTGCTAATACAAGCTGGGGCCGATGTGGACCGCCGAGACATCGGTGGGCGAACACCGCTGATAGCTGCCGTGCAAAACTACCGATTCAAATCGATAGAAAAACTGCTCGAGTACGGCGCAGACTTGGAAGCTCGTCTGCAGAACGGCCGTACTGCTCTCCACGTCGCCATCTCGATGAGAAGCAGCCCCCTGGTGGAATTTCTTTCAGACCAGGGTGCGTATCTCGATCGGCGGGTGAACGAGCATACCGCTTTGACCTTCGCCATCGCCACTGCCTCGCCCGACATTGCGGAAGTGTTGATCGACGCGGGCGCCAATGTTGACCACCCGAGCATGAAAGGGAACTTTCCACTTTTTGCTGCTGCCGCTGCTGGAGACCTGCACACTATGAAGCTCCTGTTGTCCCGAGGAGCCAAACTAGACGCTGTCGGCGGGGAAGGGTATCTACCCATTCACATGGCCGCCCATAAGAACAAAGTTGAGATTTTGCATCTGCTGTTCAAGTCCAACTCACCTATTGATCCCTTGACCGAGCATGGCGAAACCCCCCTTACTATTGCCATGCACCTGGGCTGCTACGAGGCGGCGCAGTTCTTGATTGAGGTCGGAGCAAACGTCGACCACGCCGCGCCCAATTCAGAGAGAATTGTTTGCCAGGCGTTAAAAGCCGGTAACACGCGTATCGCAATGGCTCTTGTCCGAGGCGGCGCAGATCTGACCACGCCTTTGAGACGTGACGCGAGTATGACCCCGGTGCACCAAGCAGCGCACTTGGGCCAGAATGATGTGCTTGCGACGATGATCACAGCTGGGGTTGATCTCGACCAACGGACATGGCCGGGCTACACTCCATTGTTTTTCGCTGCTGCCGCTGGTCACATTGCCACCGTCCGCCTTCTCCTTACCGGAGGGGCCAACCTCAGAGAGCGATCACAATCATGTGGGAACCTTCTCTTCGTGAGTACGGCACATCCCGCGATGATGAAATTTTTGATCGACCTGGGCTTGGATTGTAATGAGCGCGACCATCACGGCGCCACACCGCTCCACTACGCCGCCGTAAGAGGCCATATAATGACGGTGAAGCTGTTGTTGCATCGACGAGCGCGGATGGTGCATGCTAGTGCTGTTTTTGAGACGTTGGAGGACTACAGAACGAACGCTGCATATCGCCAGGGAACGCCTGCAGGCCTGGCCAGACAAAAAGGCCATACTAAGATTGTTCGCCTACTTGAGGGCACCAAGTTTAAGTCATAAGCTATGCTGTCTTCTTGGGCAGTCCAATATTCGCTTGTCTTGACTTTTCTCTCATTCATTTTCCTTTTTCTTTTCTTTAATATGTCTATTGGAGACCTATTTCGGCATCAAAAGATACCCAACATTACCAGCCAGGCGTTAGTTCATGCCGCTGGTACCTCACATCAACCACGTTTCCTATCTCATTTACTTGGCAGGCCTCACAGAATGTATGTCTAATTCTCAACATAAAACTACCGCACATAAGCTGTAGCCATCTGCACTATCATCAAGTTCCAATATGCTGTTATTGAAAATGAGGAAAGAAGTCAGACAGCTCTGGCGTCTTGTATAAGCCCGCAGGCGCTTCCCGGAGACTGATGAAAGCCTCAACAACCAGAAATACTCTTGCCACAGCAAACACAACCAATATAAATACAAGAACCCATGATTTCACCATTTTCATCCAGGGTTTCTGGTACGACATGCCTGACAGACGTGTCCCCGGTGCTGCACCGGACACGAAGACATCGAATCGCGGCCAGGCTTGCCGGGCGAGGAAGAAGACCCAGAGCATTATGCCCGAACACGCTATGATCAGTGACGCGACTAACCACAGCGTGCGCTCTACCGTGGTAGGGAAATGGTCGGTCCAACCTGAGAGATGGAGTCCGCCGTAGGCTGCCGCCGTCATCGCCAACACGGAACGCAGTACATCACGATGCACGTTGACCTGTCCTAGCCCCAGGTTCGTCAGGGATGGTAGATTGACAATGTGCGGCATAATGTAATCTGTCTCGCCAAGGAACACGCCAATTTCAGGCACGTTCGTGAAGTAGTACGGTGCATACGTCTGACGGCCGGCGCACTGGTCCCATAGACTTTCAGCGGCCTTTGCAATCTGCGCCAGTACAGACGGGTGGATAGGTTTGTAGGTCTCCTTGCTATGCTGAACATCCGAGAATACCCTTCTACAATAGATGCCGCTGTGCCGCAGCGCGAGGTTGTCGTATGGGGGTGCAAAGTATGTCCGCAGGCACTCGGGCGCTACTGTCGGTTTCCCTTTGTCGATGTGATACTGCCATCCGGAACGAGGCACGCTACGTTTGCGAGAGTCGAGAGTCATTGGTGTCGGACGAGGTCTGAGATCGCTAACATCAAACCCAAGAAACCTGGAGGGGTCCATTGCGCCAGGCGACCCGATGGATAAGTGAGTTGTAATGAGGAGTCTTGTATCCTTCACTGAGTTGTCCCCTGTTGCCGCAGTGCCGGGCCCCTCAACGGATCCGGAGGGTAGGTATATGAAGCACCGGATATCAGTAACTCCATTGACCGCGCTGATGGATGAACACGCAGACATGAGCGAGACAACATAACCGTGCCCGTCAGCCAGCACTGTCGGATCGAGCACGTCAAGGGGCTTGCTCCACCACAAAAGATACAAAAGAACTGCGCAAGCGACGTGTCCGCAGGTGTTAATCTCAAGCAGCGACACCGGGAGACGTTCAATAACCCGGCCGATGACCTGCGCCACCATCCACCCAGCCTGGATACACACGAGCGATTTGGCCATCCAGTCGGCCTTGCTCTTGTCCTGGATCTGCGACTCGTGAATCTGGGGTAGCTTTCCTATGAACGAAAGCAGTCGGATCCCCTCTGGTGTAATTGTGACCCTCTCAACACCGGCTTCTTCGCCATAGCACGCCCGGTCGACAACGAACCCGCCCATGACGGCGTAGAAACACTGCGTCATATCCCACGTGTGTCGAGAAAGACCCTCCTTCCCTTCTTTACCGTCACCTCTATGCGCAGCATCCTTTTCAATCTCCCTCTTCAGCCAGCGTGCGACGATATACTGCGCCGCCGCCGTCGCGACGACAATCTCCGGCGCGAAGACGCCGTACAAGACCCACTTGGCCCGTTCGAGAGCCCGGCTACGGACCGTGGAACGGGCGGCGGGCACGTTGAGATGGAGCGCGGTCCAGACGCATATCGTCAGCGTGAGGACGCACGAGCAGATGAGACCGAATGTGCCGCGGCCGTCGGGCTCTGTCACCCAGCCTGTTGTTGCGCCGGAGTCGTCGGCTGCGATGGGCGTTGAGAGGAGTAGCAGCGAGATCAGGGCTGGCGTCATTTGTAAGCTGAGCTGTGTACTCGATGCGTTATTTCAAAGTGTTGGTTCATGGTGTTTTCTGTTTGGCAAAGATGCTAGTTCCGGGATCTGTAAGCTGACGATGCGACGGGTTTTGACAATGTTTATCACTGGAGCTGCTTGCTGTGAGGGGGTTCGGTGAGCTGTGATGTGGTGTGGTGCGGTGCGGTGCGGTGCGGGAGTGTCAGTGGCGCCGCTGTGCCTCGCCAGTCTGCATAGAGCTGAGGCACGGCATAGCCACCACCAACCAGGGGTCGCGAACCAATGGTGCTGCATCACGATAAGACTTGTATGGCGAATTGGCTGCTGAAAATGGAAGAAGCATGCCAAGAAGGCGTTCTAGGGAATATTGCGACGGTGCGGGCATCGTACGCTGTGAAAGATGCGCCGCGTCATGTGGGCAGAGTTTGGTGGTTTGCGATCGAGTTGCATGGGTTTGGGGATAGTCGAGCAACCATGATGAGTGACTTGAGCTAGGATGTTTCGAGAGTTGAGTTAATTCTACTTTGAATCAAGGCAAGCAGTCTCGATTGCTTGGGGCCGGGGATGATGTTCCGATCTATTGTCGTTCATCGCATTATACTACTTTAAGTCGTCAACGGAAAATTGCAAACAATGCCTGTTTGTATGTTTCAGCAATGACTGCCTGGGCGTATTCATCAACGTCTGGATACCAGTTGCACCGAAACTGGAAACTGGAAATTCCAGGCTCTGAATGCCATGTTTCTGTGCATACCCTTGTCGTTTGGTAGTTAGGTGCGATCCTTTATAGTTCCACTCTTCTTGTGGTAGGTAGTTCAATTTAGCCCGACGTAGATGTTTGCACTGGTTTGTGAGATTTCTGCTTCAAAAGCTGCTTCCGACTATCCTGTACGATTTGGCAGGTGTTAACTTGTGTTACTTGAACAACTCTATAGCCGAGCCATTTACCACGCATGGGATGAGGTTTGCTGCAATAAATTAAGGTGCGTTTTATACCCAAGTCCTATCCAACCAGTGGCGCAACTGATTCGCCGATAAAGAAACCAGTAGTATTTAAGCCCGAGAACTTACTTGCAGGTTTGTTCCCTTTCAAGGCTTTGTGACAATGAAGATGTGTTATAGCTGTTCTTGCTAAAGATATCCGACTGAAATGCAGCGAGCCAACGTGTGCAAACATTATAGTAAACCTGAGAGAGGCCCTGGCCGATGAAACTCGGAGTTTCTACAGTTGACTGTTTCGAAGCATTCTGAACACTTTGGAAGCTGTCAATTGACATGTGTTGATGGCGATCGTTGTTATAAAATTGGCCAATTCAGTCACTTATAAGCTCACTACAGCCTTTTGACAGCTTTTAAAACCTGCAAAGAGTTGTTAATCTCTTCATTTCCAGAAACGAATAGCGCCCCATCGTGAGGTGTCTCGAACCCAAAGCCCGTGATTGTGCAGCTGCACGAGAGTGGATAGTATCTAAGCCCACAACTGCAACATCTCCACCATCAATCCCGGCTGTGTGTTCTAGTGGTCATGATTTCTCGTTCACAATTACTGTGTACTTGATCCCGAGAAGGTCGCAGGTTCGAGCCCTGCCACGGTCATAGCACTATTTCTTTTGGCGTTTTCCGTCTTTTTTCTTCAGGTCGAGACTCTATTGTGGCTGTGGGCTTTGAAGCCTAGCTGGATTGAAGCTGTTTATGTAATCCAGGGCTAGGAAGCTGCATGTGTAGGCCCTTAATGAGATAATTCCCACGATTGCGGTGTTAATATTTGCAGCCTCAGCGTTGCCTGATGAAGGAGACTTGAATCGCGAGACCGAGAACGAGGGAGACCTGTTACGTATCCTACCAGCGGTTATGGAGTTGATTGCTGATGGCTAAGCAGTCTTTAGACTTTTGTATGTGTTCGAAAGGGTTTTAGAATCATACATGGGCTGGCCGGTTAAAGGAAATTGCATGACGGTAAAGAACGACAGATCGAGAGGTACTCTGTGTAACGGAAGTAGCGGAATGTCCGGTTACTACAAGATTCAAGTCAATGCGCTAAATGGGTCTACGGAGTTTGATGGTCTCCGTTAGAGAGCGGAGATAACGAGACAAGGTTTTACTAACGGATCTTATACTTTGGGGCGTAGCTAGTTGTCCTACTCGTGACACTGCACCCGGTGGGATGCTTGTCTCTCCGAATACCGCGTATCAAGTCCGAGTTGATTAAAAGAGTTAGCTTGAGAAGCAATTCACAAACCATGCAATTAAAAACGAGACTACAATGACAAGTAACCCAAAGTATAATATATAGAAAACTGCGAGCGCATAAAGATGTACTCCCTAGATCCCCTTGAGTACGAGCGAAAGTAATACGATCTTCCCTTGTATAAAAACGTAACGACCTTCCTTCTGCACAATGGCAATCTCATTCAAACACGAAATAAGAGTTTAAAAAAATTCCTGAACACCTACCACATCACGATACTCATCATGAAGTTTGCCGCCCTCAGCACGTTGATGATCTCCGTGGCACTTGTTGCTGCCCAGGATCCCCAAGGGTTCCGCGGGCTTGGTGGTAATTAGCCGATTATCCGGAGCTTTGTAACATACTAATCATTGACCAAGCCGAGTGTAAGAAGAACCGGGACTGCTGTCCTTGCGACACAGGCTCCGTAGCGTCGCTTTACTGCAACCGTGAGTACCAAGTTTCGTTGCAGATGACATGAGTCTAACTGTTGTGATCAGCCGACAAGTCGTCATCAACGGGATTGAGGTGCACGAAATTGGCACCTACTCTGGATTGGTGCAAAAACCACCCAGGCAAATGTGGAAACTGGGATCAACTTTCAGGATAACTGGAAACGTTGACGAGACCAGACTTGGGCAAATCTATCGACTGTCCACAGGCCACAATATAAGAAAATCTACAATTCGCTCGATTTCTCTAATGCACAGTGATATTTTATTACCATCCTGGAGAACGCAGTTTGGCCGTTTGTCTTCCTTACAATAGTACCGAGACATCAAGTGCTAGGCTCTAGGCGGGATGTCTATGAAAACCCTCACTTAGCTGTCGGACCACGAAAGGAAATTGGGAAACGCTCCTTGAATTGTAACGCTCAATTATGTAATGATCATCAGTGCTGGAAGCTGTGGTATACCCGCATTGGAATAAAGGCACAGTTCTTTTTGGCATAAGTGGGTGTGTTTTGCCTCGACACGCAAGGTCCATTAATGTATCAAGGTAGCAGATGCCTTCAGGTGAGTGACTGGAGCGTTTCTGAAATGGCACAACTGGACATAGCGGGAAGCCGACATCATTTATCATGATAAATTAGAAGGCTTGGAGGAACAGTGAGAAATGACCAACACAGTGCGATGTGATTGAAGATTATCACACAAGTCTCAGTCAACAATGGAACTTCAACGATTGTCTTTTCACCAATAAGCAGACTCGAGTTTACATGCCATAGTAGGTCGATTCCTGCACACCAGACGCTAATTCAGGTTTTTCCACTTACTGGTCTGCAACCATCAGAAGTCAACTGTAGCTGTACCTGGATAGCAACGTTGATAATGATTGGGTCGCTTCGTTCAAAACGGCGCATGTATGCAGTCATGCATAACCACAAACACAGCCACGGTTATCAAGGCTAAGCTTGATGATGCCAAGTCTCTTGAGGTAATCACAGCCAAAGCTCTGGAGTCCAGCAATTTTCACCGTGTCCAATTTCACTCGGAAGTAGCTCGCATCTTCCAAGTATTACACCCAGAGAGAATCAAGAACATACCCAAGTTATCCTAAGATCATACACACCTCATGGGCTCAGGTCTTTTCCCGAAGAGGCAAAATGGCGGTAAACCCTCGCGTCGCAAGCCGCCTCACACATGCAAATATTGCGCCACAGCTGTGATAACGCCACCGGCAGAGTCTCGCCAAAAAGTTGTGACGGAGTGAGTAATTCACAAGAATTCGATACCAGTGCTAACCAGCAAATCAGAGAACCTACTACTACTACCTGGTTAAATACGTTTCCGCACAGCATGGAAGACGTGTTCGAAGCAGCCGATTTCGGATGCCCTTTTTTCATGTGGCTCTGGGACCAGATCCTAAGGTCAGGGACTAGCGGCGAGCAACTTTTGCGGACAAGAATCGCGCTCCTTATCCAGTTTGCCAGTGGGGACCGAAAAGATGCCTTTCGATGCACTGTCAATATTTCAACCCATCATTATACCTGGAACCCAAACCCTGCAATATTCGACCTTGTGTCCGACGCGTGTAAGTGACATTACGTCTGCACCAGAAACTAATCGCCGGAGATAATCTAAGAAAGTCGGTAGGGGACCCCACTGCGGAAGAAGCTATTGAGCGGACGATTGACGGTGGCGTCTTTCATGAGAGCGGACTCGCCCAAATACGTCGTCGGCTGGACGTTTGCTTTGAGTCACACGCAGATTGTCAACAGGAGCCGGGCGTCCGGCCCTCTCAGTTTTTATACGTCGATGACCTGCAACATGACACAGTTAGTCTGAAGGCGATAGACCAAGCCAGTAGCCAGCCTTACATCGCCCTTTCATATTGCTGGGGCGTGGACCAACCCATCAAGACAACCCGTTCGAACTGGACGAGCCATACGGATCAGATTAACGTTGATTCACTTCCGAAAACCATTCAAGATGCTATCCACGTAACCAGGTCTCTGGGATTCCATCTCCTCTGGGTCGACAGTCTCTGCATCATTCAGGATGCTCCTGAGCTTCTGGCGAGGGAAGTTGATAACATGGCACACTACTACACCGGTGCAGCCGTCACCATCTCGGCAGCTGCATCAAAGAGCTGCCAGGACGGGTTTCTGCGGCCACTGTACAAAAAAGAAGACCCCAGTCTACCCGTATTCCATCTGCCTGCACATTTGAACGAGTCCAGACATGCCAGGGACTCGCACTTGAAGCTTGTCCCACCCCAAGACCTGAAGGAGCACATTGACAGCAGAGGCTGGACACTACAGGAGTCCATGCTGTCCACTCGTCTGGTCACTTTCGGTGCTCGTCGCATAAGCTGGTCCTGCAGAACAAAAACATATGGGCACAGCGTGGGTCCTGCCATTCTCCGACAACAAGTCTTGGGTCTGCACAGAAATGCCGAGAGCAGATACCAGCGGTTACGGGACAGATTGACCATAACCGCGCATGACTCCCCAGAGCGGTTAATTCACATGAACCACCACGACGGCCCTTTCTTCCAGCTGTGGTCGGCAATCATAGAAGAATACTCCTCTCGCAGCCTCACCGCCCCTGAAGACCGGTTGCCGGCGATCTCTGGCATTGCGAAGATGATGGAGTACATGTTCCGGCCTCCGACCAGAGGGAGAAACATTTACATGGCAGGATTATGGGATAAAAGAGACCTACCCATCCAGCTGCTGTGGATGTCGAAAACATCGCAGGCACCGCGGCCTCCTGGCGCCTACATCGCACCGTCTTGGTCATGGGCAAGCGCCTCAGGCCCGGTATACTGGAGAATACCACAGCGAATGCTGACAAGCAAGGAAATCGCCCCTTACGACTGGACGTCCAGGTCGGAGGTGCAAAACGTGTCTATGCAGTATGCCAACGACAACGCGCCGTACGGAGCCGTCGTTGGGGGATCCATCACTTTGAGCGGCTTCACGTTTGACCCGAGCCAGGTAAGCCCGGGCGATATCCAGCTCAGGTTCGACACATATGGCGAGGTGATTCCCTTGGACGCAGTGGACTGGTCGTTCTGGTGCGAAGTTGGCGATCTTCTCTGCGTCCACTTGTTCAGTTACGAACCGGACGTGGAAGACAAGCTTCAAGGCTTTCCTCACGGCCTCATCCTGGCATCCAACGACGACGGTACGTATCGTCGCGTGGGCGTCTACATTAACCATAAATGGGAGCAGACGCCAACGAAAGATCGGCATTACGATCGCGACATAATCATCGTATAACCGGCCATTTTAGCCAGCCTATCCGGGCACAGCATCGCAACTTCACATGTCCCCTTTTTCTCTTTAGTTGAAAAAAGATCCACCGAGCCGCAGTTACGCAAGCGCGTCATGCTCCTCGTCGTTGTAGTCCAGAAAAAGTTCACCTAAACAAACCGTCGCGCAACGAGTTGATTACCATGTCGGTACAGCCCGGCTGCAATACGACGCTGCAATTCCCATTTACAGAGTGTGACGTCTGTATACGGCCGGGAGATGATTGGCCCGCATGCCCCAAAGATTCCCCTCCCCTGGAAGATCTCCCGGAAAAGACCACTTCACACAAATCACAATTCCCCCCTCGTCGGCATTTTGCACGACGATTCTTGCTCGACGGCCGGGACGAGAAAAGCTTGGCCCTCCGCCAAAAATCATTTCCGCCTATCACTTTGTTTGCCATGACGTGATCTACAGCATCAATCGATGGGAGGATCTGGCATGCTGCTTGTCTTTATCCGGTCCCCGCTGCGCGAACCCCGCGTTGCCCCGCGTCGGCGGTACCCCCCGGGATGCCCGAGGCCGGGCTAAGGCCGGGGGGTGTTGTATGACCCGAAGGGTATATCCGTCTTTGGTGAACATTATAAAAAGAGGGCTGTATACATGACACTTTGAAGCTCCCGTAGGACGTTGTTAGACTAGATTTGTAACCGGGATCGCTTTTACGATGAAGTTTCTCACCAGTGCCGCGCTGCTCCTCGCAGCCGGCGTCTCAGCCATCAAGAACCCCGTTCTGCCAGGGTAAAGTCACGCAATGCCCCCCCCCCCTCCCCCCAATTACACGCACATCTCACATCTCACATCTCAACTAACCAACACAAAGATGGAACCCAGACCCGGCCATTCTCCGCGTAGAAGACACCTACTACATGGCCGTCTCGTCCTTTACCTACTTCCCCGGCGTGCCAATCTACAAGTCCAAGGACCTCGCAAACTGGGAACTCATCTCGCACGCCCTCAAGACGCCAGAGCACCTCCCGATCTACGGCATCTCGGCGGGCGAGGGCGTCTGGGCCCCGTCCTTCTCCTACAACAACGGCCTCTTCTACATCACCTCCATGACGCGCTGGGGCTCCGACCCGAACTGGCGCTCGTGGCCGCGCATCTGGTACATCTCGTCGCCGGACCTCGTCACCTGGTCAAACTTTACGTGGGCCGAGCCGTACGGCATCGACCCGGACATCTTCCACGACGTGGACACGGGGAAGGCGTACCTCAACCTCATGGGCGTCAACAACAACTACGACCGGTTCTGGGGCATCACGCAGTGCGAGATCGACCTCGCGACGGGCAAGTGCGTCGGCCCGTACCGCAGCATCTGGAACGGCACGCTCCCCAACGTCCCCAGCGCCAGGCCCGAGGGCCCCAAGATGTTCAAGCGCGACGGCTACTACTACCTCGTCCTGGCCGAGGGCGGCACGAGCACCGGCCACCGCGCGACCGTCGGCCGGTCAAAGACGCCCGAGGGCCCCTACGAGGGGGCGCCCAACAACCCGCTCATCTACAACGGCGCCAACCAGAACCTCACCATCCAGTCGACGGGCCACGCCACCTTCACCGACACCCCGGACGGTCAGTGGTTCGCGTCGCTGCTCGCCCGCAGGAACGTCAACGGGAGGTCCCCGCTGGGGCGCGAGGCGTTCCTCGTAAAGGTCGACTGGGACGGCGACTGGCCGACCATGAACGGCGGGGAGCCCCTGCTCCTCAGCCAGAGCATCGAGGGAGGACCGGACCAGGAGCACCCGAAGCCGCGCTGGACCGACGACTTTTCCGGGTCCGAGCTCGGCGTGAGCTGGTACCAGGTGCGGACGCCGTATACGGAGAACTTCCGGCTGAAGTCGGCCAAGTCGGCAGCGGGCGGCCCCTCCCGGAAGCGGGTCGTGGCCAACGAGTCCGAGTCGTCCGGTCTCGTTTTCAACCCCAACGTCTTCACGCTCGGCGACCGCGACACGCCCGCCGCCGTATTCCACAAGCAGACGTCGCTGAACATGACCTTCTCCGCGAAGCTGCTGCCCACCGACAAGGGCTTGGGTCCGAGACAGTCGGTGGGTATCGCGTCGTACCTCAGCGAGGTTAACCACCAGGACATTGGGGTGCGAGGGTGCTGGAACACGACTGGTCTGTGTCTGTACGTCGACCTACTGCCGACGTCTGACGGAGCGAACACGCGACCCAACGTGAGTATTTCCCATCGCCCCTCCCATTACGTTGTCGACATGAGATTAACTCTAACTTTCCAGTCTACCGAGTACCCCCTGAGCGAGTCGACGATTCCCGCGGACCTCACGCTTCACGTCCGCGCTGCCCCGCTCAAGTATTCTCTCGGATACTCCCGCGGCAACTCGACGTCGCCGACGTGGGTGAAGGAATTCAGCTCGAGACAGATGGGCTCGAACCCCGGGTACCCCAACTTTGAGGGCTCCATGTTCGCGCTGTTCGCGAGCGGCAACGGAGAGCCGTGGCCGTACGACGCGCCCGACGTCGGCTTCCGCAGCGTCGAGGAGGTGTACTTTGAGGAGAACCTCCCCGACTACGACACGTTGAGGTGATGACGAAGGGCGGGGAGGGGGGATCGTCGGCCGACGAGGTTGATTAAGCCGCAAGGGGCTGGGGGAGGCGATACACTAGTTCGCTTGGGGAGGGGGGGGGGAGTTCGCGCCATGGCAGTTTCATTTGTGGGATCGTAATCTTATTCCTTAATACGAAAAGATATATTCGATAGATTCTTTAACTCCATGTCATTGTCTTCCCCATGTATTATTGTCAAGACTCGGATTGCCTCGTTGAATTGGTGCGCATTGGCAATTTCGCAGACTTGGTTGGTACTGCGTAAAAAAAAGTCGACCGTGTAATATAGTTGGCGCCAACCGTTATATGCACGATATCAATATTAACTGTCGGGTGAAATTAGCAAGAAAACTTTTTCTGTTAATGTTGGTTTCCCTTTTCGATCTCGGGCCCCGAAAAAAAAGCGATATACATGGACATTACGAACTGTGCCGTTCGGACGCATCAAATATCAGAAATGGAACGATCTGCCCCGGCACCATGGGTGGCAAGATGACGGAACCCTAGCACATCGCTAGAGAGGTCGCTGCGTCGTCCTGACTGGCTCCGGCCCGAGGTAGCCTACAAGCGGCCGAAAAAAGACGGGACGAGGTGAAAGATATGACGAGTGCAAAGACGAGCGAACGCAGAAGGGATCTTCAGGCACGAGATCGGCAGCAGAATGCAACCACCCGGTATGCGAGGCGGCAGCCGGCATAGGCCCGGTCGCTACTCTAGCTTCAGTAGCTAGTACACAATCTCGATAAGTAGGGATGACAAAGGCGAAGACAGCTAAATGGCCGGGAGTCATAGTTGAAGTCATAATTTGCCGAGAGAGGAGGGGAAGAAAAAAAAAAGATTATAGCCTACTGCATGTTGAATCGATAGCGCCGGGATTTGGGCTGAAAAGGGGGATATTCTGGAAGCTCTCAGGAGAGATGAGATGACGAGCTTGGTGGGGTGCATCATCGATCAAATCAAGACTGTTGATATGGCGGGGAACTAAGCCAGCTCGGCTCCAAGGCGCGAGATGGACGAACTACTTGCAGTGCAACTTGGAAATACGACGTATAGAGGAGCCAGCAGCTCTACGCCACACAAGGGATACAGGATAGGAACAAAAAGAAACGGCTCCCGTCCGGGTCTGCGGGGAAATCAAAAGAGGTAAAATGGCATTGCAACGTGGGCGATTAACGAAGCGAGGCGGCATGACATGGTCCAGGCATGAATGAATGCTGGCTGTGCTACAATGTCACCGTGGGGATTAAAGTCATGGATCCTTTTGATGATATTTGGGTAACGACGGAGCCTGACCGGGAACTGCAAAATGAGATTGACGAAGCATTGCGTATTGCTCAATACTACTAGTAAGTAGTAGAAATAGTAGTAGGCGTACATGTATGACTTGGGGGCCGTTGGGGCTGCTGAGCACATGCAGAGCTGGATCCTTGAGGGAACGCATGAAGAAGCACAGACTGTTGGAGATGAGCAACGAGAAGCCATTATTGGGTACGAGGTTGTAGAGGCTAAAAGAAGGATAGGGTGCCAGGCCGTTGTGGGTGTGGCTTGGAGCATGGATGATGCCAGGCAGGAAAGGAGTACGAGGGTGTGATAGAACAGCATCCTTTACTTGCAGCGAATGGAGTAAACGGAGCGAGCCGACAAAGTGATGGGCAACTTGACTGGTGCTTAATGCGCAGTGCTAATGGGAAGGGCCTCTGAAGGCATTGACGAAAGTCAATTGACGGATAATTTCCAGGGGTGGCTTATCAGAGACTACCAACCTCGAAGTTGGAGGAGGCGGAACATGCCACCTTTCAGGATAGCGCTCGCGACGTCACATGCTCTCGGACAAGACTCCCGGAGAACGGAAGGCATCGAATTTGGGTTCCGAGTTCCTCGTGAGAGTTCCCCGTGAGCGTTCCTCGTGAGAAGCCGTTTTATGCAGGGCGGCAGTTTTTCTGCCTCCTTGTAAATGACTATGTTATGGGCGCGTCAGCTATGCTGCCAATTTGATACGACCAAAACAAAAAAGTCGAGGAGAAAGAGTCGTCCCCCCCCTTGAGACTCGAATGTGATGGGCGTGTGCAGGTTTGCACCCCGAATAGGCGGCCGGTCTAGTTGTGGCTCTCTTGGGTCTTGGTGCTGAGCTGACCTGGCTTACCATGTCTTGACAACTTTATCTGGGGCATGGAGTTGCGAGGGGGCGCCAGGGGAGGGGAAGACGGAGGCACAGGAAGGGGGGAGAGGGGCTTGTCTCGTGCAGAGCAAACAGAGCAGGGTAGCACGGGGGTAGGGTGTAACCGGGATTAGTGTGTGTGTGTGTGTGTGTGTGTGTGTGTGTGTTGGTGTTTAGGGTGGCTGGGACCAAATGATGATGAGGTAGATGAAGATGATGTTGTCAAGGCCACGGAGAAAGATGATGATGGCCATGATGTATTCGGCCGATAAAATAAAGCCCGGGGCTGAAATTGAACGACAAGTCCAAGCCAAAGCAGCGCCTCAATGATCTGCTGCGCGTGTGGCTTTCGTGGAATTGCAACTTCATGCAAAGTCGTGGTACGTTAGTACAGATGGGTTGTATTACTGAATTGGGAGGGGGGAGAACTGGAGAGAACTGGGCCTGGCGGTGAAATTGGATGGAGATGCCAGGTACGTGGAGGGGACGCGACCAGACCGAGGAGTGGGACATGAAAGGTCAGTATCTGGTTTACGTAATGTGTCAGCAAAATGAGGGCAAGGAAGGAGTGGAGTGAAACCTCCAAAATAAGTACTTTGGAGCCGCAAAGAAAGGGGAGGAACAAGTCTCTGGAGAGTACCGATGGGGAAGGGAAGAGACGTACATAGTACCACATACATACTATGTAGTATAGTATACTAGTACACGCCTCTCTCTCGTTCTCTCACAAACAAAGCAGGCGCCAGTCAGTGGTTGTGCTGTGCTGTGCTGTGCTCATCTGCTCATCAGAGCTCTTTCTTAATATGGGTGATATTGGTTCTTTTCCGAAATCGTTTATCAGATGCAAGATGCAATATTCTAAGATTTTGTCCGATATATTTGTCCCTTTTTTGATGACGCTGCTCTCAAAAAGGAAGGGACTTTGCGTATGTATAATCTCACTTTTTGAAGACCCGGTGTCCAGTATTCGTTTTGTGTCGGGATGCATTACTATTCTCTGTACATAGTATGCATGATAAGGCGTGTCCTACAGAGCTATCTGCACTGCACTGCACAGCACACCCCCAGCGTCGTACCCCCATCTGTAAGATACCTGTACTTGGGGGGGGGGGGGGGGGGGGGGGAGTAACAGGCGGCGTCTGAGTAAGAAAGTTGAGGCGTGGTGGGAATTAGGCGGGCAATGGCCAGGGGGGTGAGAGTTGAGGAGAGAGGAGAGAGAGGGGGCAGAAATCGTTCGATATTGTTCTTCTCTCCAGCGTGTATGGGATTCTAGCCAAAGGGACGGGGCCTATTGGGGGCCAGTACGGGGGCAGCCAGGAGTTGGGGAGCCCCTCTTCCGAGTCGCAGAATAAGTGAAAGTTGCCCTATTCAACGCGTCTAGGCAGGTCGGGGGAGGGGTGTTTTAGCTACCATGGTTAGAGGTTGCTGTTTGATCAGTGGTGACTTGTTTGGTTAGAACCGCCAAAAAAAAACGGGAAGAAGTCTGGGAAGATGCCGGCGGCTGCTGATGCTGCTGTTGCTGGTGGCCTGTGTAGCTGGTTGCTTACGTAGTAATGATGCTAGTTTTGTTGGTGACAAGAGCTGGAGGCGTGTACCTGCCAACTTTTTTTTTTTTTTTTTTTGCCTTTCCCTTCCTTTGGCTGGGTGTGTGTGTGTTCGGAAGGCGGACAGTTTAGGAAGCTAAAGCAGCTTTAAGACGCACCTTAGCCTTTCTAGCGTCGGACGGGGTGGTCCAGTCGAAGCGCGGCCAGCGGTTGTCCATTGCCAAACCCACCCCACGGCTCGCTTCAGTGGAAAGGTCGGGACGAATTCCACTAAGCTAAAATCCCCTAGTGGTGCAAAGGGCCCAAAGCAGATGGGCTGTCAGTGTCAAGATTCGCCCTTCCAGGGCTAGCTTATTCCTACCTCCTCGGCCGCCGGTACGTACCTTGCCTGTCGTCCGGAAGAGTCCCGACCAATCATAGAACTCTTTGGTGGGAAGAGGATTTTCCCATAGTATCCGTACGTACTTCTCCATTCTTTTTTTTTCCACCTGGTCTCTTTTCATAGAGGGAAGGCATACAGAAGATGACAGGACAGGAAGGAAGTAGGCTGTGTGTGTACTTGCGGTTGTGTGAATGCATTGACATCTTTTTTTTTTTTTTTCTCTCTCTAAACGGCAAGATCCCGCCTTCCGCGCGGCTGGCACTTCTCCTTCCCTCACCGTAGAAGCCACACACACTAAGTAACCTCTCACCTAGGAACTAGCTCTCTCTTTCTCCTTCTCACCTTGAGCTTGGTCCACTCACAATCCTCTCCGTCCTTTTTTTTTTTTTTTTTTTTTTCAACACTTTATCCATCACCTTATTCTTGCTTTTCCTCTCCCCGCCGCCTTATTTTATCCAAACTGCACTTGATCTCCAACGCCCTCCCCCTGCAAGACGCCGATACAATCGGCCACCCTGACCCATCAGAATCAATCCTCAGGAGGCGTATCCCCCTTCTATAATACATTATCCAGTCACTGTTCACCATTGCTCTCCACCATCCTGGATACCGGACAGCAAACACTGAACAAGGCAGCAAACCGACCAGGAACAAGGCCCAAATCGAACCGATCCTAGACTCCCCACGCCGGCCCGTTGACCTGCACTCTCGCCTCTGCCTTCCGAATTCTCGTCTCGTCTCCTTGCACCTGGCAGACAGGCCTAACCTGTGCTTCTTTGTTTTTGCCCTTTCCTTCTCAAGAGACACCCCTCGTCCAAAACGCACCCATGGGCTTGCCATGCCTCCTTCTAACGGTCTTCGTCCCTAACTACGAATGCCCCCTTCTGCCGTCTTGGAGGTCCACTCGCACCAATATCACCTCAACCCTGACCAATACAACCCGCGTCTCTTCCAAGTACCTCGCCCGCTGATAACTGAGCTTGAGGTACCTCCCCCTTGCCTGTCGTACCTCGCCTCCCATCAGGTACCTCGACCTGTAGAACCACACACGTACACACACATCCATCCATCCATCCATCCATACCTACATACATACACACACCCACAGAAACGTCAGAACCTCACAGGTTCAGCTACTGGCACGACCCCGTCCTTCCAGGGCCCCAAAAGGCTGCGTCCCGGACACGTACGGGGGACGGATACACCCCGACCACCCCCTGGCCCTTCCGCCCTGCGCGCTCGCGTGGGAAACAGCCTGTTACCGCAGACTCTAGGCATAACTGGGGCCAACGAACGGGACGAGTCCCTTCGTCCAGCCCAGCATCCATCCAGACGCGAAAAATTGTGCAGGCTGAGCATTGAGAGGCCAGAGAGAAAGTCGTCGCGGCACTGGCACACACACACTTCTCCCTCCTTCTCGGCCGACAGCCCACCACACTCCCGAACGGCAACACATCTCCATTGTTTGCACATTCGATTTGCACATCGTTGCATACACACGCGCTCCGTAGCGTGCGGATTCACCTCCTCCTCTCCCCTTCGTCGCCCCCCCTACACCTACTTTGCGGGCCACGGATACACCACAGGGGTCAATCGCTCGCTTCTTCTCTTGTTCCGACGACCTTCCGCCTCGTCACTCGACGACACTGGCCCCGAACACACCCCAAGCGACCTCCTCTTCCTCCTCTTCGAACCTCCTCTCTCTTCGCTCACACCCATCGGCCCCCTACGCGTACCCTTCCCTCCTCCTCATCCTCCTGCTGCTGCTCCTCCGCACCCCCTCTCAAGCCTCCTAGCCAACCCCCCTAAGCAAGCAATCAAGTGGCAGCAGTAGCGGGCAGGCAAAAGACGCCTATACGAAAAAAAAAAAAAAAATCTCTCGAGTCGCGTCGCTCGCTGGACAAGACTGGGGACCACACTCGAGGCACAGCACCACAACAGCTCGCCCTCAGTCGTCTTGTCTGCCCAGGGTGTCGCGCATCCACGCATCCATCCACGCCTCCTCCCCTGGTCGGCCTCACAAATCCAATCGTGGCTCCATAAAAATTTCTAATTAAAATCGAAATGGCTCAAGAAGACAACCCAAGCATCAGCACCAGCACCAGCATCAGCACGAGTGCCAGCACCACAAGCGTGCCTGTACCTGCTCCTGCTCCTGCTCCTGGTTCTGCTGTCGCTGCCACTGCTACTGTTACTACTACTAGTACAGCTCCCGCGCCTGCGCATACACCCACGCCTACAGCTACGCCTGTACCCGTACCGGTGTCTGATGCTAACGACGACGTCGCTGCTACGTTGACGACCTCTACTAATTCTGTCCCTCCCCCGACCACTTCGACCTCACCACCACTTCTTCCTCCTCCTGTCTCCTCTGCGACGCCGACCTTGATCTCGACCCCGACTCCTTCTGCCGAGACTTCGTCAACCGCGATTGCGAACGCGTCCGCAACAGCTCCTGCTGCACCTGCACCTATCACTACCGCTGAATCTGCGCCTGTGGCTGTTCCTGCCTCCGTTGCTCCTGCGCTTCCTACTCAGCCCAACGGTGACGCGCGGGCGTCCTCTTCGCCCGCCATGTCGAACAATCAGCCGCCTCCTGGCCACCCGAGGGGCTATCCGAGTCCGAATAACTTTCCTTCTCCCGGCGGCATGCCGCAGGCTCAGTACGGCTACCATCCTCAGCCGAGTCAACCTCCCGCCGACCCCTACCGAGCTAGCCCTGGCGCGCCTGTCCCCTCACTGCCGAGTATGAAGAGTCTCGACCATCACTTCCCTCAGGGCGCGCCCCAGCACCAGTCGATGCCGATGCAGATGCCAATGCCCCCCAACGCAGGTCTGCCGTACTATCTGCCTCCGGGCGTACAAAATCCATATCTGGCGCAGGATTTGAACAATATGAGGTATCCTATCCCTCCCGGTCACGATCCTAGGTTGATGCGTGGCCCGGGAGGTCCTAAGAAGGTATGTCAAGGGGTTTTGTAGGAACCGCAAAAACTATGTTGGTACTCTTGCATAGCCTAGAATTTTGAAGCTGACTGAAGCTTTTTTCCCACCCTTTCTAGGAGATCAAGCGGAGAACAAAGACAGGCTGCCTGACGTGTCGCAAACGTCGCATTAAGGTTAGTGGTGAATTTCGTAATATTTTCTTACTCTTGCGGTGCTATGAGACCTCGATGCAATTGAGAAAGAGTTTTTTTTTCTTCGGCTCGCCGGTGGGAACGCATTGGGAAAAGAGGAATTACAAGAAGCGAGAGAAAGAAACAAGCAAACAAACTTTACGATAAGCGAACCGAGTCGTGTTTTGGCGAGGGAAGAGAGAAAGAAAAAAAAACGGTCGCTTGAATGTCGCTTGTCGCTTGATCTGGAGCTACTGCGAAGCGAGGAGCCATGAACCACGTCCGCGTCCCGGGATCGCGCCCGCGCCCGCAGGGACGAGCAATCTTCCGTTCCTGCAGAACCGACCGTCAGCGCCCGCCCGCCCTTTCGCCTACGCCCACTGGACACTTTGCCTAGTCTCGCCTCACGCCTCGCTTCACCAACCACAAACACGCCCCGATCGGCGTCCCGACTAGCTTAGCCTTGCGCCATTGTTCACCTCCAACTCCATCCCGCCTTACCTCATCCCTCCTCTATTCATTCCTCCATTGACCTATCGCGAGTCGTCAACTTCACTCACAATTAGTCTCATTCCATCTCCAATTACCGTGTCTCATCTCATCTCGAGGCATTTTGTTTACCGCCTTCTCAATTTTTGTTTCTTTTCTTTTTCATTCATACTACTCTTCTCTTCGACGAAACTAACCTCTGCAGTGCGACGAAGCTCATCCCACTTGCAACAACTGTAAAAAATCCAAGCGCGAGTGCTTGGGCTACGACCCCATCTTCAAGCAACAGCCGGGTCCATCTGCCATTCAGCCCGCTCCCAATACCCAGCGGGTGCCGACTCCGACCATCCCGTCCATCCCTTCATCCGTCCCTCCGACGGTCCCTACCGTACCTTCGACCCCCGCTCCTCCGGTGCCTGTGCCGGTCGCTTCATCGAACCCTTACGGCAACCAGCCAGCGGTCCTGCCCAGCACATATAGTGCTGCCCCTGTTACAGCGTCTCACGCCCCATTGGACCCAGCTCTGACTTCGGCTACGCCCAGCGTCAAGTCTGAGACGACGTATGACTTCGCGGCCCCGATAGATCCTGCTCTGCAAAGTCTACCCGCCGCGGCCACCGTACCTTCTACGCAAAACCAGTCGTTCTCGGGCGAGCAAAGGGCAGGCTTCGACAACCATCTGAGAGGTGCGACCCTCCCGCAGTTATTGTACATGCCTTGTTCTCTTTCAGCCGTTGCTTTGTCTTGATCTTTGTAATACTAACACGCCGCCTTTAGCCAAAGGGATGAGAATCGATGAGCTCATCGGCCTCCTGGGCCCTGCCGCTCCCACCCAGGAGATTGCCCTCACTCCGGAGCTCCTCACCGAAATCGTCAACATCTACCGCGAGGTGTACGCCATCGGCCTCCAGGCATTTTTTGAGACCTCTTGGTTTCACACCAAGGACGCCCATGGCAAATACGCCCTCGAGCACAGCCAAGCACTCCTCAGCCAGTTTGCCTCCTTCGTCAAAGTTCTTCAGGCAGTCCCAGCCAATGACCACACTCAGATGGCCCATTCTGGCGTCCTCGAGACTCGCTTGATCTGGGCTCTTGCCACTCTGCCGTGCAGCAGCGCTTCTGCCACGACGAACACGGATGCCAAATTCTTACCTCCTGCTGAGGACCTGACGGAAGCCGCCAACCGAGTTAGGGTCCTCGAGACTCTTCTCTGCGGCGACTTCCTGCCGTCAAACCCCCTCGCACCCCCTGTTCCGGATGCGAACCCCCATCGCCAGCAAGAATTCGAGTTTTGGCATAATCTCGCCGAGTTCTTGTGTTACCACGATGCTGTCAAGCGCGAAGAGATTCTCGGCAGACTCCGACTCCAACTGGGCGGCAGGGAAAACCGCGATCTCATCTACTCGATTGCCATCTCACGCGAGATCTCCCCAAGGGTCGAACCGGGCTTTGAGAGAAACATCCCCCAACACCTGGACGAATCCGATCCCAAGAATCGACTGTACGTGGCCAACAAGTTCATCCAGGACGAGGCGCAGGTCACGGGTGGAACGACCAACATTGTCCGACGGTTCAGCGAGATTGCCATCCGGTCCTACATCAACCCGGGCGTCAACATTGCGCGCCCCAACCCGGCGATCCCCGGCCACCATTGACGGCCGCTTTCTACCAGTTTCCCATTGTTTCAGCATCATCAAGCTTTGCAGCATTTTCTAGGCTCAAGGGATGGGGAGGGAACTTTAAAAGTTCGTGTTTTGAGGCGTTTATCGGAACGGAAGGAAAGCATTGTCTTGTTTTCCTATGTTTTATTTTCCTATCTGCTTTTGCATGCGGGCGGCCATCGTGCCGCTCGTCTCTCTACAACCTTTTTTTCACGGCCGACGGCATCTTGTACAATAAGTCTCAGTTAAAACTAGTGGTATTCAGGCATGGCGGTGCGGTTGGCGAAAAGAAAAATGGCGAGGAAGTGACAGACGGTGATTTGGTTTTGAGCGTGAAAGAGAGACCTGTCGATGGCACCTTTATATTTTTTTTTCTGGTCCACGACTCTTCTCCAGGGCAAGCTAGATCTTGGGTCTGAGAGGTAGTCAGAGCTCTCTGTACGATACTAGACGGCAGTTTCACTGGATTGATTCCCCTATTGGGTAGACCAGCATATAACTCAAGAAACATCAAGTGTATAAAATGCGTCTGTACAGTGATGAATGCCTCGAGCCCCAATGCATCATTGCACGATTCTCCTCCTCTCACAGTCGTTCAAGATGTGACTCGCAAGTTAAATACACACGAGGTTGCGGCATGGGAAGGCGGCGTTGCGTGGGAGCTACCAGGGTTGAGATGATGATGTGCTCGCTACGCCGGTCCGGGGTTCCGGCCGGCTTGCTGATGGCCTGCTTCTGGGACTCCTCTGTGTGTGTTTGGAAGAATACATCTTGCAGTCGCAGTTGGCACCTTGCCGTCGCGTCCGGGAAAAGGGAAAATAAGGGCTTTTTGAAATGTGTGAGCCACACAGCATGCTACACAAATTTACACGTATACTTATCGTTATTTCACAAGGTGCGAGGGAGAGAGGTGATGATGGGGGGTGCTCGAGGTGAGGTACTTCACAGACGCGTCACTGGTCTGCGATACCGGCCGGCGTTTGGTGTGTTCACCTTTTTTTTTTTGGCGCCTTGGACTGCACCGTGTGTTTTCCGGCTTAGACTCAGAGGCCGGATAAGTGTTGGATCCTCCTTTGGAAGTTTACCGAGGGAAACCCAGCGTAACGTATTGAAATGTACTGCGGTTATTGAGGGCTGCTTGTTGCTGTAGCTTACCGTTCGGACTGGGAATCTAGAGAAATGAGATCGTACTTGGTTGTATGGCAGCAATATGAGGGTATTTTTTCCACGTTACTTTGAACATCAAGACGTGAAATAATAATTATATCTAATGCCTACGCAATTGATACATTGCCATGCGCACCAAAGGGACCCAAAAGCTGTATCTGGGCTCGTCCCGATTATCCCCCGAACAAAATCTCAAAAGTGGCAGCAGCACCCCACCGATCATCCCCCACCTTCCAAGTCGGTCGGTCCCTCGAGGGAAAGTCACCCCGCGCCGGCGCCGAACCTTTGGAGGGGCAGCAGCCAGAGCTGCGAACCTACGGATACCCAAACCGCCGCCATCGTTCTCAGTAGACGGCTAAGTATGCCATCGTCACCAGCTTACCATTGGCCCCGAATTCTCACATTTAATAGACTCTTTCAGCACGGCTGTAAACTCCGACTCGACGCATCAAGATCCCACCAGTCAATCTTCTCAAGCATTGGCCCCAAAACCACACAGCACCCCAAGAACCTCACTCGATACTTCGCAACCATGACGAAGCCCAAGGTGCTCCAGCTCGGCAACATCCAACAGTAAACGGCCCCTCCCCTCAAACTGGAAAAACTCAAATAGCATCCCCCGCTAATTCCCGCAGCGCCCACGACGCGTGGTCGGCCATCAGCGATGTCGCCGACGTCGTCAAGCCCAAGGCGACGAACCGCGCAGAGTTCCTCGAAGAGTGCAAGTCCGGCGCCCTCGACGGCGTCGTCGCCATCTACCGCACCTTCTCTAGCGCAAAGGTCACCGGCCTTGTCGACTCTGAGCTCGTCGCCGCGTTGCCGTCAAGTCTACGCTTCATCTGCCACAACGGTAAGCTCACACACACCTTAGCACTAACGTCGATATCGTCCCGGAGAACGAAGCACAAGTGCAAAAAGTACTTAAGTGCGAAGCGAAGACTAACAGGACGCTCCAGGCGCCGGGTACGACCAAATCGACGTAAAAGCATGCACGGCCCGCTCCCCCACGCCTCTCCTCGTGTCCAACACCCCGACGGCAGTGGACGACGCCACAGCCGACATCAACATCTGGCTCATGCTCGGCGCCCTCCGCAACCTAAACGCCTCCATCCTCAGCATCCGCGCCGGCAAGTGGCGAGGCACTCCGGCCCCGGCCCTCGGCCACGACCCCCAAGGCAAGATACTGGGTATCCTCGGCATGGGCGGCATCGGCCGCAACATGGCCAAGAAGGCGAGGGCCTTTGGCATGTCGGTGCGCTACTTCAACCGTACCCGTCTCAGTGACGATCTGGAGAAGGACGCGGGGGCCGAATACGTCGATTTCGAGACGTTGCTGCGCGAGAGCGATGTCATCTCGCTCAATCTCCCTCTGAATGTGCGTCTCCCTTTCGTCTTTGTCGTCTCGATCTCAAGCAAAGAGAGAGAAAGAAAAACCAAGTAAAATAAAGGAAACATACTGAAAAGTAGTAAACAGCCAAACACACGACACATCATCTCCACCGCCGAGTTCGCAAAGATGAAAAAGGGCGTGGTGATAGTCAACACGGCGCGCGGCGCCGTCATCGACGAGGCGGCGCTCGTGGAGGCCCTCGACAGCGGCCACGTGGGCAGCGCCGGCCTCGACGTCTTTGAGAACGAGCCGGAGGTCCACCCGGGCCTCCTCGCCAACCCCAACGTGCTCATCGTCCCGCACATGGGCACCTACACCATCGAGACCTCGGTCAAGATGGAGGAGTGGGCCATTGACAACGTCCGCCAAGCCATCAGCCAGGGCAAGCTCAAGAGTATCGTTCCAGAGCAGCAGAATGTTGTCGGTGCTTAAGAGATTACTCGGGGGAGTCTGGTTGGGATTGAGTGTTTCTGGGGAGATTTATTTTCATAGCAGATAATGACAAAATAGGACAAGAGTAAAAAAACATCGATCCCCACTACTTGTGCTATATATATAACACAGTGAGGTAGGTGTATTACTTTCGAGACGAATAACTTTCCCTCAACTAGCATGTAATGTTCAAACGACATCCTTACTAATTGGTAGCGTAACTCCCGTGTTACCCATCGACATACAACGATTCACAACGACACGCAATCAGTTGCCAAATGTTAGGACAAGCATATATATTGTCTATGCCGGACCACGGTTGACGGGCCCTAGTCCTAAAGTAAATCTACCCTTTACCCCTATCCCATCCGGGGGTTGAGTCCCTTTTTTTCCCAAGTCGGGCCGAAAAAAGCAAAATACAAATGCCATGGTCTGGGGAATCACTATTCACAAGCCAACGCCTTTTTTTGTTGAAAAATCTCGCAGCCAGGCCCCCCAAGCTTTTTGAGTAACCAGCCCGTAACCGCCCCCAACCGAGATTCCCTTTCCCACATGTGTCATGCAAGTCATGCTGTTGAGAACACACATTGCCAAATGTTATGGTGTAAGCTCGTTGAAGTCATTAATCGGAGTGTTGAAATCCAATTCAAAGATTGGACATTATAATAAGGGTATTTAGTAGCGGTAGCTAGTCTCATGTTAGTCTCGCAGTCAGTGGGGAGGGGACAAGGGGAAACGTACATGTCGCTCTTGAAGGGACCCTCAATGGTGAGACCGAGGTAGTCAGCCTGGACCTTGCTGAGCTTGCTGAGCTCGGCGTTGACGTGGGACAGGTGGAGTCTGGCGACCTCCTCGTCGAGGATCTTGGGGAGGACGTAGACACCGACGTCGAGCTTGCCGGCCTTGGCGAACTCAACGTACTTCTGGCCCCAAGCGGCATCGCCGCTCTTGAACAGCATGATCTGGGCAAGGACCTGGTTGGTGAAAGAGCAGGACATGACGAAGGAAGAGTGGCCAGTGGCACAGCCAAGGTTGACCAGACGGCCCTCGGCGAGGAGGATGATGTGGCGACCGTTCTTCATGAGGAAGCGGTCAACCTGGGGCTTGATGTTCTGGACGCTCTGGGCGTTGGCCTTGAGCCAGGCAACGTCGATCTCGATATCGAAGTGACCAATGTCTGTAGAGGAGGTGGTTAGCAGGCGAACAAAAAGGACTTTGCTCAAAACTTCATGAAGTACTTACTGCAAACAATGGCGTCGTTGGGCATAGCCTCGAAGTGCTCGCCAGTCAGGATGTCACGGCAACCAGTGGTGGTGACGAAGATCTGACCCTGGGAAGCAGCCTTCTCCATGGTGGTGACCTGGTAGCCGGCCATGGCGGCCTGGAGGGCGTTGATGGGGTCGATCTCAGTAACGAGAACGCGGGCACCCATGGTGGTCAGGGCCATGGCGCAACCCTTACCGACGTCACCGAAACCAGCGACAACGGCGATCTTGCCAGCAATCATGACATCGGTAGCGCGCTTGATGCCGTCAATGAGGGACTCACGGCAGCCGTACAAGTTGTCGAACTTGGACTTGGTGACGGAGTCGTTGACGTTGATGGAGGGGACAAGGAGCTTGCCCTCCTTGAGCATGCGGTAGAGGTGGTGGACACCGGTGGTGGTCTCCTCAGAGACACCGTAGCAGCCCTTGAGCATCTCGGGGTACTTCTCGTGGACGAGGTGGGTCAGGTCACCACCGTCGTCGAGGATGAGGTTGAGCTTGTTGCCATCCTTGAAGGCGGACAGCTGCTGCTCCAAGCACCAGTTGTACTCCTCCTCGGTCTCACCCTTCCAGGCGAAGACGGGGACACCAGCGGCGGCAATGGCAGCAGCGGCGTGGTCCTGGGTGGAGAAGATGTTGCAGGAAGTCCAGGTGACCTCAGCACCGAGGGCAGTAAGGGTCTCGATGAGGACGGCAGTCTGGATGGTCATGTGCAAGCAACCGGCGATACGGGCGCCCTTGAGGGGCTGGTCGGCGGCGTACTTGGCACGGGTCTGCATGAGACCGGGCATCTCGTTCTCAGCGAGCTCGATCTCCTTGCGGCCGAAGGCGGCCAGGGAGAGGTCAGCGACCTTGAACTTGTGGGCGGGAGCAGCCATTGTGTTGTGTGGTGGGTTGGTTGGTGGGGGATGGGATGGGAGGAGGAGGGGTAAGACAGGAGGATGAGTAGAAGAAAGAGAAAGAAGAACAGGAAAGAGAGGATGGTTGGAGGGGGGGATCAGGAGAAGAAAAAGACTTTTGGAGGGGTCGAGCGAGGAGGGAGAGCAGGGCGGTGAGTTTTTGTCAGGAAGGAAATTTTCTGCTCCTGTACAATAGGTACTTTCGAGGCTGGTCGGCGGTGCGCGGCGTTGGTGGGAGGAAGGAGGGGGAAGGCCCGAGGCGGGGCAAAAAGTTCAGCGAGCTGCAGAGAAGTGTGGCAGGCAAGGTGGGGTTCGAGATGTGAGGGAGAGACTTTGGAAGCTGACACGCCAGGAGCATGGAGCCGCTGGGATCCGATAGCAACAGGTACATGCTATCTACATTCATCCTGCTGCATCTTGGTACGGAGTTATCGTCTGTTCTTTTCCTTCCGTGCCTAACCATGGCCCACCCCTTTCTTGCTCTCGTACTCTCTTACTCTCTCTCAGTCACTCTCACTCGCTCACTTTCTCTGCTCTCTGCTCTTACTCGACCCCTCGGATACCTGTCTGAGACGGGACACATTCCCCTTCCATACCTGAACAATGGATGGTCTCTGCCTTCACAATGCTACCTGGTATGCTTACCGTTGTCGAAGTGGAATAAGGACGAAGGGGGGGGCAAAGGGGGTTTTACTAGCTGGCTTGGCTACATTCCATCCATCCTATTCATTCATCCTTCCATCCTTCAATTCATCCATTCGTCTATTCACTTCCTGTCCCGTCCATCTCTGCAAGGTACACGCGGCATTGGACGGAACGGAACGGTGAAGCTCCCCTCCCCTTCAAAGAAATAAAAACAAAAATACTTACCATGGGCTGTGGTTGGTGCTCCATGTCTCACTCAGACCAGTACCGTCCAATTGGTGTTTTACATGGCCTCACTTTTTTGTTCATTGTTTATCTTTTCCTTTTTTCCAACTTTATTTCGTTTCTTGTTTGAATACCGTCCCGCAAGCCTACGCACAAACAGAGGGAGGGCTAGACCTAAGGGAGCAAGCTTGGAATGAGGTCTCTTCATACCTTACTAACCAGTAGCTTAGCAGCTGAGGCAGCTCTGCTAAGCTCAGGTACAAATGACTTCCCGCTCACAGCACCTCTGGTAGTAGCTTTGCTTACTGTCCTTAACTATTACCTTCCTTTGCATTTCCATTTATTTACGAGTATCATTATTATTGCCCCCCCTCCTCTTGAACTCCGATCGGAGCTGATCTAGCTTTCCAATCTTACCGTTCTTACGCCGGGACCGACTTGCTCGGAGGTAAGCAGCAGTGGGCAAGGTAAGGTACCTCAAGGTAAGGTAGGTAGGGTGAGGTCGGGTAAGGTTAGGTCTGGTAGAATCGAGGTACCTCCCGCCTTGCTCATATTGTTGCCCGGCCACATGTAGATCTGATAGGCAAGAGGTACCTAAGGAACCCTGATGGAGGGGGGGGGGGGGGGGGGGGGGGGGGGCTAGAATTGCCCCTCTTCAGAGCCCACGGGTCGCTATGTGTCTCCAGGTTCAGCGCTGTCCCGCCGCCTGCGTGCCGCCGACACTCAATTTTAGAGGTCCTTTCTTGTTTCCCCTTGATTTACCGTTTTGCTGCGCTAGTCCTCTTTGGGTTTGAAACCCCCTCGAACTTGCCCCACCACGACTTCTGGGAACACGCACCACATTTCCCTCGACTGACTTTTGTCAGGAACTCAACTGGCACTATGCGAATCATGCGAGCTAAATGCTAAGTAGAGTCGTAGCGATGAAAAGCTACCGTGGCATCTTGAGGAAACACAGAGAACCATGACTCTCGGGCACCTTTGGCATGAGCATGGTCAACGCAAGGAAAAGTATATGCGGAAAAGAATTAATCAGTGCTTCTAAAATATCGTAACCCGTCTATTCACGAGTACTGCTCGGAAGTACTATTCATGGTAGTCGATATTGCTTCTGCTGGAGAAAAACTCCGAAAGGGCGGTACGGCTCCGGTGCCTATCTACAAAGACCAAATCCCACATCTGGCATTCGCTACGTAAGGTATGCTGTGGTATTGTATCGTCATGCCTTCATCTCGCAGCCTCCCTCCGAGTCCCGAGGTGCGAGATGCCCTCTCCATACCAACCCCCCCCCCTCCTCTCCAAACTCCCTAGCCGGTCAGCTTCAAGGATGGAGAAATCCAGGGAGAAGATAAGATGAACTGAACCGTCGCTCTGGCATGCAAGAAAAACATCGAATATCGACTCAGTACACTCTGCCTGGGACTAATTACCGTAACGCCGTTTCGAATGCTTGATCCGCTCCCCAGATCATTCATCATTCCCAGAACACCCGTTCTCTAAGGTAAGGTAATCAACTTCTTCTTTTTGTCTTTGCCCTTCCCCTCGACTTTTAGTTCTCTGTCCGTCGCGTCCGAACCGCAAAAGGATGACACCCTAACCCTGCCCCGTTTCTTAACTTCTCATGCCTCCTAATCTTAACTTCTCATGCCTCCTAAGCGTGCTTGGGCAGCAGGTTCTCCCTGACGGCGAACATCTTGGCGCTGATGTTGGCCGTGAATCCGTCCACTTGCTTGCTGTACTGCTCCACCTGCTTCGCGTTCAGCATACCCTCCAGCCGGCTGGGCTCCTGGGGCAGCTTGAACAGCCTCTGCCACTCGTCCTCGGGCAGCGGTGCCTGCTTGGCCGCCGCGCGCGCCGCGTTCTCCGCCTTGCGCTTGGCCTGCCACTGCGCGATCTTGGCCTGCTCACGGCCGAGCTGGCGCTGGTAGAACTGGAAGTTGTTGAGATCCGTGTAGTGCGACTCGATGCTCTCGAGAAGCAGGTCACACGTCTTCTCAAGGAAGGGGTCTATCGACAGGTCGAGGTTGTCGACCGACGGGTGCAGCGGTTGCTTGATGGGGTCTTCGCGCAGCTCAGACAGGGAGGTGGGGGGCTCGATCTTGTCCTGCTGGGGAAGTTGGGGGAGCTGGTGGAGGAAGGAAGTCAGGAGGTGGGTGTTGTGAACTTCGACGGGGAGCTCGGCGAGGATGTCCTTGAAGGACAGCTTGGACTTCTGCAGGCTGTATGCACACCATGATTTAGCAATTGTGAACCAGATATATAAACCCTTTGTCTCTCATTTTTCTTCTTGTCCTCAAACGGCTCATTCGGCAACGTACCTCTCGGTGGTGAACTTGCCCTCCTTGTAGGCGGCCATGAAGGTAGGGGTAAGCTGGAAGGCGCGGAGGCTCAGGGAACCCTGGGAGCTGCGGCTGACATCGTGGACGAGAGCGACTGTCAGCTCGTTGTCCTTCTGGTAGTGGTACTGGTTCTCGATGAAGCTGAGGTTGACGAAGTTGCCCATGGCGGCGCTGGTGTACCAGCCGACGCTGTTAGCATCGACGTTGACCTCCTTCAGGTGCTTGATCATGTCGTTCTGGTAGACGATGTTGGCCTTCTGGCGGGGAGCAGCAGCGGCAAGGGCCGAGGCATCGTTCTGGTGGCTGTCGGTGTTTGCGACGTCGACCGTGGGGAACTGGAACGAGTTGGTGACCTCGATGACGCCGTCCTGGTCCATACCGACGATGGCGCCGGTGGCAGTGGTAGGGAAGGTCGTGGATCCATGCTTGACGATTTTCATCACCACCTAGAGGTGCACATGGTCAGTCATAGGTCGGGATACGTGACACCATCTTGACACCGAGCGAAGGCCAAAGTGAGGAGAGGCAGAGGTGGGGCAGGATTTGGCAGGACTCACAAGGGCCTCAACGCGAACCGCCTTAAGCGGCACCTCCTTGATAGCATCCGCCATTTTTGCGATACGATCGAGAGATTCGTGCAGGTTTCAAAAATTAGGACGGTGTCGAGTCTGCGGCTGCGGAATCGTGGGTGTCGCGATCTTGGCGTCGGAGTCGAGGGGGGCGCTCGTCGTGATGCGAAATATCGAACTTTTCGCTACTACGAATTGTGGGAGGGATTGTGGGTGGATGGGCGGTGGGGAGAGGCAGAATTTGGTTCTTCACCTGCCACAGTGACTTTTGGTGTGTGCTTTCAGTGGGTGGCTCACTGAAGAGAGGGGCTTATGGCGCAGAGCCTGTGGCTGCTGATGTAATATTGAGGATCAAGTCATGTGATGCACTCACCCCCGCTTAGGAATCTTGAGCACACCCCGCAGCCAGCCAGCCAGCCAGCCAGGAAGCCAGCAACCTACCTAAGCGTGCTAAGGCAAGTGCCTAACCAGTAACCACGGCCTGCGCCCGCCTTTTCTTTGCTCCCATACGGTGATCCGTAACAGATTCCACACGCCACGTCCAGAAGGGGAGGTCATCCCACCCATGCCCCCACGCCGAAAGCACTCACTTCGAGTTTAAATTCAACGTCGTCTCATCTCGACGTCCTCTGCTTGCGATCTCCCATCTTTCTCTTCATAACCTAGCCCATTCTGTTCGTCTGCTCTTGAGCATCATTTTGCGATATCACTCGGGGGGTGTCCTGCGCGAGTGTGGGCTCTCAATTGCCGATGAACGTGCCAAGTCCATCTCCACGGCATTTACACTCTGCCTTTCACATGGATCACGAGTCCCTCGCGAACTTTGCGGCTTGACTGTACTGCGACATGCTCACCATGGACTTAGCATGACCGAAACGATGGCCAAACGGCAAGTGGGAAAGATAAAAGCTGATCAAGTGCAAAGACGCCATCATATGCGTTCGTGTATTACGCTGTCTAAGAAACCAGCTCTTGTTGTTGTGTGTGGCCGTTACCAATGCAACCACAGATGCGCCCCAAATTTACAAAGTGTCCTTTACCGTCTACCAACGCCGCCAAAGGTCGTCAATGTTACTCATTTTCTGGCGCAATTGCGACATTTACCCAAGTCATCCAAAACGCCGCCATCAATCACTTTTGCCGCATGCTACTGCCTCCGCTACCCCCTTTTAGTCCGTCCAGTCGATGATCTCCCAGCTCTCGGCACCATCGCGGATGACCAATCGGTGTCGATCAATCCGCCAGAAAGAATACATGGATGCAGTTGCACGGCTTGCCCTGCGATGAGCAGGACCATGGCCTGCCTTAGAGGCATCTGGTCTTGACCTCCAGACGCATGTCGCCAGGTTTCGCCCTTCAGCATCGGGACTTCCGAACCAGTATCTGCCAACGGTTAGTCGTGTTCTTTATGGTTAGCAGACTAAGTCTCTTACTTTAAAAATCCACCCACTTGGTTGGCCTCGGCATGTGCTGCTTTGTCCAAAATGCCAAGGTCTCCGTAGACTGTCGAGGGCGGAATTTGTGATCGGAAGGCCACGATGTAAAAGGAAGTTTCCTTGAAAGTTTTTCCTGTTGTTCGGACAAGATTTTTCAGTTCGCCCAAGACATCCTCCCAGTTGAAAGATTCGACATAGTCGGCTGTGGCGTAGTCTTCGCGAAGGCATTTCAAGTGAGACAAGGCCCTGGCAAGAAGGGCATTCTCATCATTGAGAGTCTCGAGGTCCAGCAAGTGCTCCGGATCTGTGTATGGCGAGTGGATGAGGAACCTGTCAGTGTCGTTGAAATCTACTTCCGAAACGTTGACCGCAAAATCTTGTTTGATTTGTTGAGCGAGGGGGTCAACGACCCTGAGTGACGCCGCGCTCACAGCAGCAGTCATTTTGATGCGATGAACAGGATTTGAGTTGGACAGATGATTCAGCAAAACAGGACTGGTTTGAATAGCCAGAGTCTGCGTTGAAAAACTGCGCTTGACACTTTTTATTTTCCGGATTTTGTCGAAGATTTTTTTCGAACACTGATGAGTCGAACCAAGTTGTCTGGTGAATATAGTGTTGAATGATCAAGCAGTCGACTCAACGTAGACGTTGCCGGAAGGGTATGTCTTTACGGGGATGAGAAGAAAAGGGTTTTGTAAGGTTTGCTGCGGTTCGCCTGTGGAAAACATACAAACCATAAACCGTCTGAAAAAGGAGAAGACCTCGAAATATAAGAAAAGCCCGGAGTCCGGTGTTAGGACGTGGCGGCAAGGTCATCAAGGAAACGTCTTTTGGACTCGGGATTGCCTAACCCAAGCCTGGTGGGTCAGGGACTACACCATCGAGCAAGTCGGAGCGAGTCAAGAGCAGCTGACCAACCGTCAAAGAAGCGGTGTTCATCCCTCAACCATGTTCAGGGGACAGGATTTTTTCTCTCTTGCGTGGCATCTGCGACACGCCGGGCCATGGATCATCTCAATAAAAATTCCCGGCCGTTTGCATGGACAAACATGGCGGAATCATGATGCAGTGGGATGGCGACAGAGCGCCGGTTGAGGATGGCGCAATCGCGTGCGATTCTGATGCCAGATGTAATTTCACAACTTCAGCGAACTGTCATGCAGTGATGCGCAGCCCTGGCATGGATTTGAATTTCAGGCTGATTTATTTTTTTGGAGAAATTTTCCCCATGGATCCGTGGACTAAAGAGACTGTAGGGTGTTCGCAACAAGAAGCAAAGCAAACTACAGGGAACGCCGAGACCACAAACGCTTGGTTGGCAAGAAAACACTAATACAACAAAGAGGACACCAACCGAGGAGCCGCGAGTACCGCTTATGAACCAGAATGGAGGGTTTAGACTATGGATTGGGGGGCGAAATGTTAAGAGTTGGGGAGTGTCTCCCCCCCGCATTCTTCAGCGAGACTATTGCTGGCAGATGAACAGCAAAGAAAGTGATACAGTCGATATAATGAACATCATCAAGAATAGAAATTTTCTAGCATCGAATGGCAAAAGATGTAAAACAAATTACAGCATGGGTTTAGAAATTGCATTCCCAGGTTTTGTTCTCCATTGGATCGACACTGCATCTGGCTGCTGCATGCCCTCCTGGCTGGCTCTCAGGTGTCTATTTCCGCCGACTTGGAGGGCCTCGATTGGTTAGGGGCTGCCACCCGGATGACGGGCCTACCCCGGGTTCCCTCAGGGCCCTAGCCGTCGCCACAGATCCATTTCGGCAGGCGCAAAGAGACGGGTTTCGACACCGGTCGTGGTCCACCCAAAACCATGCCAGACCGGTGTTTCGGAGGTCTGCCTTTCTTGCTCGCTTATGGCTTCCACCACACTATTTCTATCCTCCTCTCAACTAAAACTGCGTAAAGGACGACTCGTCTCAACCGTCTGAAGTAAGCCCCCCCCTTCCGTTTTGGCCTACCCTGTTCTATATATGTATATACACATCTCCTGCCACACTTGTAGGTAGGTCAACGATACCAAGCCGTCACCGCTTCTTCCACGATGCACCCTGCACCCTCCATCGCACGTCACAGTCCTCCGACGACCTCCGATTCGTCCTTACCGCGCGTGAGCCAGACTTTTGACATTTCGTACGTCCCAAGGTAGAGACCACTTCCCAGCGCCGTCCAGACGGCCCGTAACAGCCCTCCACGGAAGAGCCCACGCACACCATGCTGCCGGTAAACGTCCCGCGTCACCTCCAAGCTCCCTCGACCTTTCTGCGCTTGTGATGTTTTTCCAGATTGTTGCGATGAGTCGCCCTCGCCCGCACTCAACATCATCCGCGTCTTGACAACGTCGCTCGGCGTCGTGATCCACGCCGCAAACGCGCCGGCAGCCCCAGCACTTGAACCCGTGACCACTGCCGTCTCCAGGAGGCCCTGCTCCTCGCCTTCTGTCCGCCCTCTCGACCTCGAATCCCACACCGACGTCCGCACGTGCTCGAAGATTGGGAATTGGATCGCCGTGAAAGGCAGGTTGCGCGCCACCAGCGCCGCATACCCTGACCACAACCTCCTCTGCGCCCCGGAGCCGGTGACTTGACGGAGTGCCTCGAGGGACGTCGATCGCCGACCGCCGCCATTGGAGTCTCCGGATTGCTGTCGGCGTAGCATCTGCGCGTTCTGCTTGATGACTTCGGCCGGCGCGAGGACCAGGCATGATCCCATCTCCGCGACGGCCGAAGCCGAGGCGTGAACCAGGGGTTGCGGGACTGAAACCGTACTGGATATAGTTCTTTTCATGCTCTCGTACGTCGCGAAGAAGATGCCGGCTTTGATTTTATCGTGTGGTTAGCAAGCTCCGTCGACGGCGGACTTTTCTTTTCATTGGCTTTCCATCAGGGATTGTGCTTCTTTGATGAATGGGCGTACCTGCTGGTAATGTTGCGAGGACCACGCTCCCGATACCTTGGTAGAGGCCGCGGAAGAGCGGCGCTTTGCTTCCTGGTGATGATGCATATGTCTTTACAAAGTCTTGGCTCTGGTACCGTGTTTTGAGCGTGTCGAGAGGGTAGACCAGGCAGTCTACGGTAAATGCTGCCGCGGCGCCCGCCTGGAAGTGTCAGCCATGAGACGCGATCCGCAAATGATGCCAAAGTAACGCAGGCAAGACTTGAAGAGTGATGTGAATGGCATGCACTTACCGCATATATCTCGTACATCGTCCTGCTATATTATAGTGTCTTTTTCCTGCAGATGAATTCCATGAGATTTGATATGAATTCAGATTGGATCAGATTGGATATCTGGTGGCTGATGTTGATCGGCTACTGTACATTCTGGTTCCTTTGCCAGAATGATGACCTCATAGCTAAGAGACGTCACCCAGGGTCCTGTGTACTCCACTCAGACTCACACGCGCGACAGCGACGCCTTCCTGATATTCATATCTAGATTTGATTCACATTTCGCAGACACTCAAATGAATAAATTCATCAGAAGTTTTCATGCATCATAAACTACTTCATTAGCTGCATGAAAAAGATTGGTGAGTTCAACTTAGGGTTGAGTGAGGCGCTCAACTCTTTCTCACTCATGTAAGCGTCCACTAGCTGGGCTGATTTAAGCATCATTTCATACTTCGTAGGGAACTTGCGTGATAAAATTCGCATGCTTGCTCTGGCAATAATGCAACTCTAAATGAGTTTATGAGGTTTAGCGTGAAGGACTAGCTGTTGTTCCCCAGACTTCTGAGCCAGTAAGCATATCAGCATTGAGTCCTTGCATGCTCTATTCGCTGAGTAATCTGATCTTATCTCGAACGACGTCTAGAGCTATTTAAAGGGAACTGTTTCCCTTTGCAACAACAACAACTCAGTAGCACGAGTTCGCAAACGAAAGCGGTATACTGTGAAGATATCCTAACAAGGGACTGTCGGGGCTGTACACAGATTTTTCTAGATCGTTGAGTCTGCACCTCACACACCAAGGGGCATTTTGTGTTGGAACACGCTGGCGGCAGAAGCTTCACCCATCCAATGCTCTATCGCGGGAATGCGCACATCCATGTGTAGGCTTCACAGAGTGGAACTGGGCCCCATAAGGATAACAACAAGTAAATGGTAAGTTCCTAGTAAAAGTGATGGGTTGTATTACAGTAGTGCTGGTGCTAGACTGAACATGGAAGACCGTATCTTCCACTCAGTCAAAAGTGGAAGGAAGGTTGACTAAGTGAAAAGAAGGAAGTGGTGCTTTCCGGCCCCCGTATTCCAACTATTCAACGCCATGGCCTAGGTAATCATTTAAATTACAAACCGGCTTTATAAAGTCACATAACGATTGGCAATGATAAGCCTACCCATGAAGCACTATCCCCTCATCCAGGGAAACAGATCGCAAGAGCGAGACGAGGGTTAAGACCCTGGGCAGAGAGTGATTAACGTCAGAGCTGAATGCCGGAACAAGGCACAAGAATCTGCGCTACCAGCCCTGGCGAGTCCACCGTCAGGGTAGCGATTAATGGTTAGTGTAAAGGGCGTATGCGGGACGTGCAAAGGTTGTTGGTGGCTGAGACTGGAAAGGACATAAACGTATGACACAGACCCCTACCCTCTCGTACATGCCAAGTGACCAGCCGCTGCTGCATCCGTGGCGGTCCTGGCAGAGTTATGGGGCTGGCAGAGTAGTAAAAAAAACATTTGTAGGGAGCAAAGGAGTAAGCGAACAGCCAGGTGGGACATGGGTAGTAGGGCTGAGAGCCAGGCAATGAGCGAGTGAAGAAGAAACGTTGATATCGTGTAGATGGTCCATGGCTTCAAGGCCAAGGAGGCCTCTTAACCTTACAAGAGGCCTCCTGTGGGATTCAACGTGGGTGATAAGGATTGTCTTTGCTTGACGCTGGATAGGGACCCAAATAATGGTGCCCAGTTGACTCAAAGTCATTGACAGAGCTGTGGTGATGCTTGATTTCTCCAAAAATGCAAAGATGCTTGGGACTTTCACGGTGCGGGAATGATAAGGTACAATCCCACTTTGCATTATAGGGTAGCTCGGTGGAGTTTTCAAGGTGTAGGGAGCGACTGTTGCAATTTATTACCAAACTCAATTGCTGCCCATGCCTAGGCTGTCCTGTGAGGCTTCTCCAGCAATTGATACACACCTAAATGCACAGTGAACTAGTTACACATCCCGCGAATTGTAGCAAAACATCGTGACGGCCATGGCACCAAGTTGTTGGGGGATGTCAACCTGGGACGGCAGGCGCCGCCACCCGATGCTAACAACGTACATGGTTATGTCTTAATGCCCTGCAACCCGCTTAATTCAATATACCGTTCATGATCGAGACGAGTCAGTGGAGTTGGTATTAGTGGGAAAGCTCATGTCATGGCCGAGGCGGCCGCCCGCCCCAGCCAAGGTTGTGGTTGAGACCGTCACAGCATACTGGAAGTAAAATCTTAGTCGAAAACTTGTCCATCATTGTGTGACTCGTGCCAATTGAACATTTCCAGCAAGCTTACTTCGGAGTACGGTGGTGATCTCTTCATTAGGGGAATTCACTATACCATTGCTCGGGCCAGGGCATAAAAACAGTGAAGAACGGAGAGGCTTTGAAGTTACGATGGAAGACAGCATTCAGTCAATTGACTCGCCCGCGGTCCCTGTGATGTGTTACAGCGGTAAACGCTTCCTCTTGAGCTCACTATCCACAGTATACGTACAAGTCGGATCGGTGTAAACCCATTTCGATGTACTTCACTTCCCAATTACGTGCTAGAAGCTGAACGTGTACCAATTTCCCAAGTGATCGTACATGTGGCACAGAAACTGGACATCCCGCCGCCCTGTGAGGTATGCCACGTAACAAACCGGTAAGTGGGGTGGGAAAAGCACAAAGGTATCTTTTAGTGGCATATTTCTTTCAGCATTAAGAATCTCCTGCTGAGTTGGTACATTGTCCTCTGGAGAAAACCCATGGAGCCGATGGACTTCGGGTAATCTTAAGGGTACTTACTCTTTGGTGGTTTGTGAAATTGGATAGTGGCGCCGAAATGTCCAGGGGAACCTTGAACTGAACCCCGACGAGCAACTTTTTTTTCCCGCCTCCCGCAAGAGACGAGCAAACCATGGCCTCTTGTTCCGATGTAGGCGGAGTTGTTTGCAATACGGATACTAACCCCTGATTATTGCGAGCTTCCCCCACCCTGCCCACATGGCGGGTGGGATCATGGCCCCAAGACTCAGCCCTTTTTTCGAACGCCGTTGGACCCACACTCACCCGTACCTGGAATTGTTCATGGTAAACTGCAAGGTGGTAAGGTAGATGGCACTGGGCAGAAAACCGATGGTTGAGATTTTTATCTATATAAAGGACAATTGTTAGAATGCTCATTCTGTTCCCTCTCTCTCGCTCTCTATCTCAATCAACAAGCTTCAAGAAACTTCAACTCTCTCACCCTCTCAAGACAACAAACAGCAAACATTGTTACCTCTTAAATTCTAAGATTCAACCACACCTCCCAACACCAAAGATGTCTCCCGGCTGGCTTGAGAACATGTTCGTTAAGCGCCAACCCGGCCCGGACCCGCTCCGCAGTAAGGCAGAGCCTGTCTTGAAGATGCATTACACAGCCCTTAGAAGCAATCGTCGTATTCTCGGCGTCGAGGGCGACACGAAACCGCGTTACGAAGGAAAGCGAAATGAAATCATCGGAACCTGGGGGAGCAAGATTTATGTCACGGCGCCTGCCGAAGGAAACAGAGAAGTGTGCATGCTTGACTTCCACTTGACCAGGAACAGCGTCGAGTTCAAGCAGCGCGACGGCTATGAACTCAACGTCAAGGCAGAGTCCTACGAGTCCAAGCTCGGTCTCGGCCGCCTGACTTTCAAAGCGGCCAACATGGTTCCTTACGGCAGGGCTGACTGGGAGCTCAGAAGCGAGTCAGAGCTCATTGCTTCAGTGGAGATTGACGATCACCAAGTCGAAGGCTTGATCTGCATCTGGAAGGATGGCCTTGATGCTCTAACGACGGAGGAGCTTATCATGGTCGGACTGTCTCAGATCGAGCAATACAAGAAGATGCTGAGGCACGCAAAGAGTTCCGGATTGACGGCGATAGGTGCTGACAGTGCGGCATGGTTGGTGGGACACCATGATTAAAAGGGCTACTGGCCATTGTACCTGGTGGTTGTATTTAGGGCAGACGTTTCTTATTAGCGTGTTGGAATTGTATTTTCTTAATCATTACTCTTGCCTTTAAGCTGTCGACATTTTGAGATCGATCAGGGAACGTGACTGTTTACAATGGCTATGTTCGAGAAGCTCTTAAATCAACCGGTTACCGGAGCTGCCCTGTTAATCACCCGAATGACAATCATCGATTTGAAACAGGACAGGGAGCCGAAGAAGAAAACCAAGCCCTACTACCATCATGCTAGCTGCAGCACATTTAACTAACAGGGATGACATTGGCCATGAGGAAAGTAGACAAAGTGTGGAGCAGATCAGATAGTATAACGCCTTGTTCACCATGTCTTCGCGTGTGCCACAAGGTGCGGAGGCGAGGCCATAGTAGAAAGACGCAATCAGACCTGGTCTTCTATCGCCATCAGTAATTATGGAGCCCGAATGGTACAGGAAAACAAGCAATGAACTAGACAAAAGACCCTTCGGCAATGCAAACCTGTCCAACCGCCACCAACGTTTAGCGCTCCAGGAGGATTAGCCTATCCAACGTGCTTTAAAACCCGGGGAAGTATCATGTCTCTTCCTTCACCGAGACGGTCTCTATCTTATGGTAGCGGACGACCAATGATGCCTTTGCCGTAGACAACTCAGGACGGTCAAGACGCAGGCCGCCGTGGAAAGTGGAGTGATGGTGGAGCGTCGGTCCTTGAGCAGATCAGGGTCACTCGTGGAAGCCTAAATGCATCTACACTAGGGAGGCTCTTCAGCCTCAGCGGTGGAGCCCGTCGATGAGTGGAAGGGGACGACAGGAAATTGCTCCATTTAATGTTACCCTTCTGGGAGCATGGTGCATTGCTGAAGATGATAGGATCGCTTACAGGAATATGACCTCGACCGTTCTGTTGGATACATCTTTCGTTTATACAATGCCCACCGGGTATAGCATGCAGACAGACGCCTCCACAATTTGAGTCCTCTCAGAGCATTCTTATTGGCCTTCTGTCGTCGAATACGGGGGTATTCACTAAGCTCACCGCCCCCAATCCCAGCAAGGTTGTCAATATCAAATTGCTCTGTTGGCTACCGCTCAGAAATAACATCATAGCTGCCAGCAAGGATGCCAACAGTCATCTTCTCAATACCAAGAAAGCTAACGGGGTCATTGCCATGGAGAACGGCGTTTCCGAAAGGTCTCCGGCAACTGTCAATTTCAAATTGAATCCAGTCGAGGACAAGCCAACAGAAGACGTTGAGCTAGGCACCGACATTATCGGGCTCCATTCTCGGGCTCCACCCGGGATTAGCACACATGTAATAAGCAGATCTATTGGGGCCACAGGGACGGGGACGACAACTGGACATGGGTACGAATGCATGTTGAGAATACCCCTGGCCCAGTCGGGGGTAACGGGACAGCCAAGCTTTTTGTCATCGTATGGAACAGGAACACTCCAGGGCAGCCGACAGAAGCGCGAAACCCACTCCAAATTCCTCCAAAGCCCGTGTTCAAGAAAAATCCAGAGTAAAACTCTACCTTGACTGATATCTAGAAACTACAGCGGCTTGTCTTGGAGGCCTCTTCGAAGGCTTTTGTTACCGTCAGTTGGATGGGATCCGTTACATGGCAAAGCTGGGCAAGATCGTCAGCGACTAACTTGACCTTCTGTCTGATATCTTGAATGAGAAATCCTAGGAATAGACCTAGGCATTCGATGACCATGTCTCCAACATTTTTGACATATTCGACCGCTTATGGATGAATTTCAGCCGTGTGCCAGCATACTCTCAACCACTACAGTTCCATCTCATCTTTCGAAATGATTAAACATCCCGGTTTCGAATCAATGCAGCAGCTTGCTAAATCTAATCTAAGAGCTGATGCATCACAAAGGCAGGATTATCATATAACTTAGCCCATTCATGGTCATGCTCTCCTTCAACGACATTCAGAGCATTGCCAGTTTGTACTTTGAATGTGTCTAGCTCGTGTGGAATACCTACCTTTGGTATTTCTGCCAAATTTTCATCATGAGACATCAGAGGTCTCTATTACACTTCCTTCATTATCAGAAATATGCGCTGGGCAAAACTTGATGTTGACGGCACGGGAAAGCTACCCACTTGTCGATTTACCTTGAGCACTTGTGTACTGATGACCGAGGTGATTCATGGGCAGTCGTTCCTCAGTGTATGACGGTTAATATATGGCTGCCAATCGAGTTTCATCCGTCGATATCTCCTGGGTTCCGTAATATGTGTAAGCCTGCTGTGCTCCTTTATTGCAAATGTTTACAGGATCAGACGGGCACGGCGTGTAGCAGACGGAGTAGTAATTTAATTAGGCAATATCCCATAATGGATGCTCTATAGCAAAAGCAGTATATTTCAGATGTATATCTCAGATGATCCTGGTCAAGAGACGACCGTTGAATAAGATATTTGGATGACATCACAATTGGTTGGAAACGTAGCGCACGGATCCGGCTTGATGTGTAAATAGAATGGCCTTTCTCCAATGTGCAGCTCGGGTGGCTTATCCGCCACTCAACCACTCTAGCTTCTCCAGCTCTCCATCATTTTACATGTCACCCCATCAATCATTCCTTCGATGAAAGTTGTTGTACCAACTTCTCACACAATCGGTGCGACCGACACCATCAATATTTCGAGGTCGTCAGCTACCATCTCATAAACCAGCTGAAGCTTATTCAGCAAGCCAAAAGTTCGGCGGTTCCAGTAGGCTGGAACAATTCAGCCAATTACTTAACCCTCGTGATGCAAGAGTAAGACAATCAGGAATCTGCACATGTTGACTGCGCTAGCGCCTTAAGGTCACTCCCAATGGAAGAACATCTACTACTTGTCTTGTTCACTGCCCTCATTTCAGACCGAGGAGATGATGGTCATATGTCTCGTGCGCCATCGGTGTCCTGACGAGTCGCCTTCTTCGCATCGACATCACTGTCTGGAATTCACTACATGGCAAGTGTCATTTGGCTCAAGGTAGCCACTTTTAATCCTTGGCGATGTCACAAAAGCTTCGGGAGCTCTTCGTCGACACAAGAAACGGCCTGCAACGCTTTACCGTTATTGGTCGACAGATCCAAAGACATTGGCAGCATCAGCGCACGACTAGTCGATACGGGAGACACTTGGATCGCCGGTTATGGATTGCTCCCAGGGCGGCCCGGGAGTCGGGACCGCTGTCTCATTCGGTATTGCAGATCTCATCCGGGCAACTACTAGTATGCAGTGCCACCGCCTTGACACTTTGCCCGGGTTTCACGCTCCGTTCTGCTAGCAAACGAGAGCTTCGCGACCGAACGAACCCGTCGAGCCGTTATACTCCAAACAGCTTCACCGTTTTCGCGAAACGAGCTCTAGTTTAATTCCTTGCCATGTGGTTTCTTCGAGGGGTTCTATGAAGTTGAGGCGAGTGCCAGATGATCCAGCTTCCAGTCACATTTTAGCTTGGCTGCACGTACAGCCCCTTGGCTCGCACTTTTGGGCTCAGTAAACTAATGCAGGTCGTCATCTTGTTTTTCCAACTAGCAGAACTTCTAGATCAGTGCTCATGTGGTTGTGTGCACAGCTCCTCCTTGTCATCTTTAGAAACTCACCAACGCCTTCATGCCAAGATACACCAGTTTGCTATTGAAAGTCCCGTGGAAGCTTCTGTGGCAGAGAATCAAGACAACACACCTTGGAAGAGCGCCACACAAAGCCTAGGCATGCAATCGATGCCTTTTTGATGCATCAATCGCGTTGGCTTCCACGCAAGTTGCGTGCTTCAGGATTTTTGCGGGGGAAATGGTGATGGATTGCGCCGTCTGACTGAGTGACAAGGCTCCAGAGAAGGGGGGGTCACTACATTCGATCCCGATCCCACCCTCGGTATTCAGTTGTGTGTGTGTGTGTCCAACACCTACTGGTGGACAGAAGTTGTTAGCCTAACGCAGCTGAACGTGGCCAGGTAAATACGGCCAAAATGTTGTGTTTCCCAAATAACTCTAGGAATGCAGGCACCCCAAGACGCAGCTGAAGTCAGCCAGGGTTGCATCTATTAACTAATTCGAATTAGCTTCTCCAACTCCCATTCGCGGATGTCCAATCGCCCATGCCAAACTAGGCTCGAAGCTTCACAGGGCTGGACTTGGCTCGCAAAACAAACCTGGAAGAGGTCCGTTGGAATCAGTTTGGCCAGCGTTAAAGAAAGCCATTGTTTTGATGCAGCTGGGCGATGCCCGTGCATACGGTCAACGGAGAGCGGAAGAAGCTCAGCCTCTATCCGTCGGTTACTCAATGTCATCGGTCCCGAAATGCCACCAGATGCACACATTCGCGTGGGCAGCGCTAGGACGCTTCTCCGGCGTCATCCCCCACTTGGAGCCCCATGTTGACACTCTCCAGGATTCGTGATGGAGGGGTATCGCCCATGGCGGTGGCTTTGGGAAGAAACATCCTGGCTGAGGGGAGCCGAACAGCATATTTCGAAAGCCCCTTGCAGTTATTCAGCCATCCACTAGCCGTCGCACCGGATGCCTAAGAAATGTTGACCTGCCCAAAGTAGCCCTCATTGCCGGATGGCGCTTCCCGAAGCAAGTCGTCGATCGAAGTGCAATAAGCGCCGGGCTGTCAGGCGCCGTGGCTTAGAAAAGAACCAGTGTGTCCAATATCAGACGGTGATGCTGGCCGAAACTGGAAGCTGAGGTATGGTAGGCTACAGTAGTCAGTCATCTCATCATTCCGGATTTCAGCTTGGTATTAGCTGCATCTTATGTGTCTTATAAGACCAGGCTTCATCCTCTTTTTTTTCTCTTATTCGAGTGGTTAAAGAGAGCTTCATCCGTGTTCGACTTAGTCATATGCATTAATGCCGTCCATCACCAAATTTCACCGAGAGCTCCACTCTGACTTGCCCTTGCAAACGCCGACCTCCTCTACACATCATTCTATGCATTGGTCACCGGACCTGAGTGACCCTTGAAAATCCGGGGAAAAACAAGCACTCGACGTCTCAGTCGATTTTACCCCATTGCCCCCAATAAAACGATCATCTCACATAGGGCAGACATGGCCTGTCCGTTTCTTCAGAGCACCGTCGCGGTGGCTCCACGGCCGATCTCGGTCGATCAGGAATTTGCCAATATTCGAGAGCAGTACCCTTCTCTCTCATCGACTGGATGCACCACCAAGTTTTGCCAGTCAGGGCGGATGACGCACCTGGACGAGGATCGAGTTGGCCGAAATCAGTCTTATGCCCAAGTCCGCGAGGATGCGCTCGACTTCCTGCAGCAGATGTACAAGGATGGGCTCTTGACGATGGATCAACTCCACCACCGCGCACACGAAGTCCTTCAAGAAATCCAAAAGAACTCACAGGAGGGCAGGTTCGCAGTAGCGTCTGACTGCGGAGCAGAGGCACCACATGCGACAATGGATGGTCTTGTGGGCGGTCTTTGGACGCAAACATTCGAAGAGCTAGAGTTTGGTATCCGAACGGCTTGGAAACATGCGAGAAAGTGCATTATGAGATCAGAGTATAGAAACCTGAGGTATGTGCTTTCTCGGGACATTGGAAATGACTGAATGCTAATGTGACTTTCTAGACTTTGCGACTTGAGGCATGTCCGCACAAGCAAGAAGATGGCCGAGACCTTGATTGAAAACCTCAGAGTGGCCTACAACTTTGGCGAGATCAACCCCACAGGTGAATACTCTTCTCACGATTTTCCGACTAGTTCTAACTGATGTGGTGCAGTATTCGTCTTCCCGCCCAGAGATGTCAACAGCCGCGGTCCCATGATCTGGAACTCACAGCTGTTGTCATTCGCAGGTGTAAGTTGTGCATCGCCTTCAAAGTTGTCCCCACTAACATGAACTCAAGTATCAACAACCTAACGGCGAAATCATGGGAGACCCCGCGAACGTCGAGCTGACGAATGCCATCATTGAGCTCGGCTGGACGCCGCCCCAGCTCCGCTCGCAATGGGACCTGCTCCCCCTCGTCACAATGGCGGAGGGAGAGGATCCCGTCATCACTGAACTGCCCAAAGACGCATTTCCTTTGGTCCACATTCGCCATCCCAAGCATCCCGAGCTCGAGACCCTTGGCCTGCGTTGGGTTCCCGCACCAGCACTTAGCCGCCTTGGCTTCAGTATTGGTGGCGTGCAATATACTGCAACGCCCTTCATCGGGTGGTAAGTTAACTTTGCTTCTGCCATAATGACTCGGCTAACCCATTTCTAAGGTTTATGGATGCCGAGATTGGTGTTCGTAACCTCGCAGATCAATTCCGTTACAACGCGCTTCCACAGATCGCAAAGGCCATCGGCCTTGTCGACAGGGACGTCGAAGACCTACCAGACTATGAACGTCTGGCTGTCTTGGTAAGCACCCCTCCTCACCTGGCTTCAACTCACTAGGACCCTGCTTACAATGTCATGCAGTCTCGTGCACAGCTCGAGCTCAACTACGCCTCGTATTGGTCCTTCGCTCAGGCTGGCGTCAGAATGTCAGACTCCCTAGGCGCAGCAGAACAATTCACGCAGTTCGATGACGAGCATCTAATGAACAATGGCTTCCGCCTGCCTTCAGACCCGTACTGGATCGCACCTCCACAAGGCTCAATCATCCCGATCTGGCACCGCGGCGGCTCCCCAAATTACCAGCCCAAGCCTCTCATCTGCCGTCACGCACAGGATCCGATAAAGGCCTGGCGTCGAGAGCGCGAGGCCGGCAGCGCGCGAGCACTCACACCGCGAGACTCGAGGCTCAACATTTCCATACCCGTGCCGTCCATCTCGCTCACAAGACCCATCACCCCGATATCCCCCTCCGGCGCCGTCTTCCTACCAATTCCGCCGCCGGCCAGACCCCTCACGCCCTTGTCGCCATTGTCACCAAAGGGGCACGGGCGGAGGATCTACCTTGGGTTCTGCAGCTCGGGCAATGTCGCGATCAAGCTATGTAAGAGGCTGTGCACGCAGCTGCAGCACGCCTGCGATGCCAACCCCAAGCTTGGCACCGTCGTGGCCCCGTGCACCCTCAACGCCCTGCCCGTGTCCCTGATCGACGTCGACGACGTGCTCATCATAGTCGCCAGCACCACGGGCCGAGGTGAGATTCCTCAGAACGGCAAGGCGTTTGCCGACGCTGTGTCGAGGAACCCGAGGGGCCTCTCGTGCCGGTACGCAATCTTCGCGAATGGCTCGCTCGAGTACCCCGACACTTACAACCAGGCTGCCATGGACATTGAAGAGTTGCTGAGTAAAGGGGATGCCCAGAGGCTCATCGGTATGCGTGAAGCCGACACCGCGGCCGAGAACCCGCCGTGGTCTGTTCTCGGCCAGTTCTCCCAGCAGTGTCTTGCGGCGCTGCAAAAGACCAACTCCGAGATCAAGGAAACGGGTAGCGAGAAGCGGCCTGCTCGGCCCGTTAGACCCTTCGATACCAGGCCGTGGTTCCAGGCGAAAGTTGTCGGCCAACCAGTGGTTGGAACCGCCTCGGGCGGTATGAAGAGGGTCACCCTGGACTTGGGAGACCGCGAATATCCCACCATGGGCAGTGTATGGATTCTGCCGCCGAATTCCAACAACAAGGTTTCTCGTGTACTTGAGGCTCTTGGTTTACGATCCGACGAGCCCCTGGACCTCCCTGGCGAGCCTACTGTCGGCGAGTTTCTACAGCGTTTCGCCGACTTGGAGCAACCGTTCAAAACCGCAGCATGGGCGGAGGGCCTTTCGTTCTCGCGCCCCGAGAGTTTGACAAAGGTCCCCATCGAGGATGCGGTCCACCTGGTTCCTTCGAATTGGAGACGGTCGGTGACGCTGGACGTGCTCTGCAGCGCGATGCCGACCATTCAGCCGAGAGAGTATTCCATCGCCTCTGACGGATTACGAACCAAGCGAGCAGACGGGAACACGCTGGACTTGCTCGTGCAACATCACACCAACGGGCGGTTCTCCGATAGATACCTCAACTGTTTTGAGACCTTTGGAGCTGTGACCTGCAAGATTCGCCCGTCGGCACACCTGGAAGCCATCGCGGAAAACCAGGATAAGCCGATGATCATATTCACGACAGGGTCAGGCATGGCTCCTGTGCGGGGACTCCTACAGAACCGCATCGAGCAGCTGCACTCCTTGGGCAAGCCCGTCCAGAACACCTCGATTAGCCTGTTTGCCGGTTTCAAGGCTTCGGACGAGGAACTCGTCCGCGAGGCGGTGCGAGAAGCAGACGACGAGGGAATGTTTGACATTTTGAGGCTGACGGGGAGTAACAAGGAAAAGAGGCGGGCGCAAGACGCGATGCTCGACCCGGGCGTGAGGGAGCAGCTGAAGAAGAACGTCGAGGACGGGGCGCTGGTGTTTGCGTGCGCGAGGCCAAAGGCCGTTGACGATTTCTTGGATAACCTCAGCGACGTCTTGGGACGGGATGCAAGAGAGGCGTTGGGCGACCGCTTCGTTGCTGATGTTTATCAGCCTGCTACTTGAGCTTTTTTTTTTTTTTTTTTTTTTCCGCATGGTATAGACGTAACGACTTATGGAGCAAAAGCAAGGCGTTGGGGGTGGTTTTTGGTTGCATACAGCGATTCTTGTTTTGGAATTGAGCGTAGGATGAGAGCTCACATAGGACGCTGAGCATGAAAGCACACGGAAAAAACAACTGAGCACATTCATCATACGTTTCCGCCCGTTATGTCTATGAAATAGTGAACATATCTACGATACATCAACCTGTCATTGCTGGCCACTAAGTCGGTCAAGTACGTCTGAACATGTTAGTACCATTTAGCTAGTTCAATCAAAAGCATCATCACAGATTCACAATAGGTAACATGGATATAATGTTGAATCATGGCCCATTGGGCTTGTCATAATTGTTATACATCATGGCTATTCAAATCATACAATGCCTGGTATCGCTCCACCCATTCCATATATCTTTTTTAAAAACGCCATTTCCCAAATTTACCTGGGGTTCTCGGCCTCGGCAGAAGCCTGAGTCACGCTCTCAGGCGCAATGTATCCCTCGGCAGAGATGCTGTCGGGCACCGACTCGGGGGTGTAGTAGTCGGATCCCTTGAACTGGCTGCCGCCGACGCCGGGGGGCTTGGTGCCGACGTTGTTTCTCACGGCACCCTCGCCCTGCAGGAGGACGTCGTTCTTCTGGTCCTGGGTGCCGAGGGAGGAGATCTTCTTGGCGGGGACGACGTCGTCGTCATTCTGGGCGGGGTCCTTAGGGGGCTGCTCGGGCTTGTAGGAGACGTTGTTGGTGGGGTCGCCCTGGACGCTGACCGAGGCGCCGGGGAACTGGCGCTCGGTGACGGAGGAGACGCCGGCGTCGTCGTTACCCATGGCGCGGGCCTCGCCCGTCTTGGACTGGTAGGTGTTCATGTCGAGCTGGGCCTGGGCGGCGATCTCGTTGAGCTGGTCCTTTGAGGGTGCCATGTTGATTGTATTTGATGTGATTGTGATTTGTGATGGGAGTGTAAATGGTATGTATTGTGATGAAAGTTGGGATAGGACGCGGTGTTCCTGGTGGTCGAGTTTGTATAAATAGATGGAATGTATTTGTTGCTTGATGCTGTAATGCTGATATCGGTTACTGACTGCTTGCAGACTTCAACTTATGTAGTATTTGTCGACGCTCGCCATCTGAACTCTTATGGTCGACGTCATCTTGATGATCTCACTTGGTTGCTGTGCTATGATTTCACTACCCGCCAATTTGTGGTGCTTGGTGGGGAACAACTTATCTCATCGAGACTGATCGAAAGGGTCTGACGCCGCATGGGCGCCACAGGACTCCAAAACCCCTCCAAAAAGACCATGGTCAAACAAACTTTGACGTAGAGGTGATATCAACTGTCCTTGAAAAAGCCGCTTCATCAGCGCACGCCTGGATTTGCACTCAGCGGGGTACTCCAGCTGAGGTAGTTTCGGTGAACGGCCCGGCGCCGGGAGGGCTCCGTGTGTCGAGTCAATTCCCCCGGTGGCTGTCAGCTTGGTGGGGCTGGGTCGCCTTACCCATTGCCTCACCTTGAAGTAGCACATGCTTGAAATCCATCATTTTCTAATTTGTGGTAATCTTAGGCACTGTTGTTTACGGAACAAGGTATCATTTAACTCTGCATTACAGTCCTGAGGCCTAAACAGCCGTGGCTCATGCTTTTAGAGGATCCGACACAGCGCACTAATATCATTGCTGAGATGCACGCTGTTGCGGTGGAAAAACATGAGCAACCAAGTCGTAATCCTGCAAGTTTCGTCCCGGGCATGAAGATACTGAAGCATAAACCCCCCAACTCATTATCAGCAGACTGACACTGTCAGCTGCTGAGCTCACATCTCTACCCTTCCACCTGCGCTTAGCCATCGGTACCGCTGCTGCGGAAGGTGGCGCAAAGAGCAGCGTAATGATGGGTGAGGTCAAGAACGTTTTGCGGTAAACTGGTAGCCTGTATGATGCTTCTGACCTTGACCGCGCCTTCATCCTCGATAAGTGTCCGAATCGTGTGCAGGAGCTCGGGAGAGAACTCCGAGTACCACCTGTACTGCCAGGTGACAAGTCGGATAACAGATGCGACCGTCTCACGGGTGTTCTTGTTCTGTTCAAAGACCTTGAGAATACCAGTCAAGGCCTTGGGGCTGAACCTAGAGGCGAGGCAAGCTCTGTAAGCCTCCACAGCCTCATCCGTGTGCTGGAGTCTCTCGGCGAGCGATCCAAGGATTTCCCACTCCTCGGCCGACTTCTTGTACTGCATGGACTGCGCCCGGTACTGGGCCATCTGCGTGCGCCAAATGGTGTAGACACGCAGGTCTTCGTAAAGAACCATAAAGAGGCTGTCCAGCCAACGCTCACACAACCGCTTGTTGTTCAACTTAGACAGATGGTCATCGTTTTGGGCACCCTGAAGATATGTTAGCCCCTTGTAGCCAGGTCGACAAAGAAAATTGTTACTTACGTTTTCGGCATCACCCTTTAGCTCACCAGGGTCTATCGCATGAGTGGGCTTCTCTACGGCCTCGCCCTCTGCCTCTCCATTCGCTGCCAAGGTTTCAGCAGTCGACTCGGTGTCCGCTGGTTTGGTATCATCCTTCTCATTCTTCGCCTCAGTCTCTGCACCTGAGTCCGAGTCTGAGTCTGACTGATCTCCGTTTGTCGTAGGGTCTGGTGTTCCCCGAAGACCATCGATGCTCGGGTTGCGCTGAGGCTGCACATCCTGCTTTTCAGAACGGTACTCATCCTCCATGACGAAGACGGTGCTTCGAATCTTGAGAAGCTGGTCCCAGCCAATCTTTGCCGTCATTTCCGTAAGGATGCTGTAGGCTTGCTTGAATGTACCCTTGTAGACGGCAGCCCGCAGATTCAGGAGACTAGCATCAACCTGTTCGGAATATCTCGACTCGGGTTCGCTATCGATCTCGTCGAGTCGGGTTTCCGGGAGGGTCGGAAGATGAACATCCTTCGGCTCGGGCATCTGCGGCGCATCCTTATCCTGATATGTAAACATCGGACAGGAGTTGAGGATGGTAAGGGCGTTCTCCCAGTCCTCCATGGCGACGTAGACTTGTGCCAACCTTGCCCAAGTGCCGAACTCGCTAGGGGCGGCGATAGTGCTACGATCAGCACATCCCAGAGCCAACCGGAGCCTCTCCTCCTTCTGCTCGGGAGTGGCGGCAGTTTGGGCTTTCTTCAAGAGAAACTCGGCTTGGGTATCAAGCATAACGTAGTCCATAGGCGACTCCTTTAGTGCCTTGTGGAGCACTCTAACGCCCTCAACCTCCTCGTTGCCCATGAACAAGACCTTGGCCAGGAGAGATGAGACTTCAATATTCTGGTCCCTCAGTTTCTCAAAGAGGTTGATGCCAGAGGCATAGCGTCCGGTCGTTTGGAAGTACTTCAGGAGGCCGGCGGTCAGATGGTTCGAGACATTGTTCGGCACTTGAACGACAGAGTCGGAACCGAGCTGCCAGCCTGAAAGGGTGTCAGTAAGACAACAAGATCAGGTGGCAGAGCCCTACAAACCTCTAAAGAAGAGCTGCTCAGCGGCATTGAGGAAACGGTGTTCGGTTTCAGTATTGGTGACGGGATTGAATCTGCGCACACCCATGATCTTGCGAATGGTTTCTCCACTTCCATCATCGGCGTAGGAGTAGGCTCTCAGGACACTGCAGAGGTAGGTCTCGAGCCAAAGGTCATCTGTCGCCTTGCGCTTCTCACCCCGTTCATCCACACAGTAACTCTCGACAGTACCAGGTATCGTAACGTGCACCCGCATGTCGAGTCGGGAAAAGGCATTGTAACAGCTAGCAAAGGCATCAGTAGGGGAGGTCGCCAAACGTTGCGCATCGGTGCGTCATACCAGTACAGCCCCTCCGAGATCTTTGTTTGCGCGGTCTGGCCGTGCTCGCGATAGGTCAGGGTGTTGATGTAGGCGGCAAGACTGGCCGAGGAGGAGGCGTCGACACCGGTGACATGATGGTAGACTCCGAGCTGTAGGAGGTGAGAGGTCAGTATGAATGGCAAAATCGATGGTGGGTTGGGATCGCATACCTGTTTACCAGGGTTTCTGGTAGCCTGCTTCAGCAGGTGGACGAGATCAGGGGGGCCAAGCTCGCGCAGGGAGATGAGGGATTCGGTTCGGGCGTCAATTGATTCAGACAGAATCTCTTCTGAAAGCCTGGAAGAGCCGTTAGCATGAGAGTGGCAATCGTAGCAGTAGATGGCGGTGGACGAACTCAGGCACGGCCGGCGCAACCATTGCGGCGGTGTTGCGTGTCAAGCTTCGGCGGCGCTGGATGGGCAGGAGAAGGCTCGATAGGATACGGTGTTTGGAGAGCTAGGGGGTTCAGGTTCGAGCATGTGTGCGCGACAGAAGTTCAGCTTCTAGTCGGGCGTCACACGCGGAGGAGATGGCTGGGAGCAGAGGGATGGCAGCGGGGATTGATCGATCGCAAGTCGATTTGTGGACGGTGAGATTGGCGAGGGATGGTTGATTGCCTGGCCTGTCCCAGAGTGAGGGAGGTGCGGCGTCAATTGAGAGGTAGATGGGTACCTTGTTGTTTGGGGCAGGTGGTGAGCTTGGACTCTCTCGTGACAAGGTGGGAGGACCTGCCACCACTGCTGTCTCTGCTACAGTTGTGCTGTACTTTTAGTGGGCTGGGAACAATGCTACTGGGTTCGCAGTGGGCGGTAGGGAACAATAGGAAGGAACATCATTGGTAGGCGAGGCTGGTGAGGAGCCTGAATGGAGCTGCCACAGCTGGACCGATACAGTTGCGTTGCCAGTGTGGACCTGCCGAAACCTGGTTTGCCATGTTCCTGGCCATGTTTGCTCAGCTCTTGAGGAGTTCTTATGTAAGCTGATCTGTCAAATGAAGCTGAAAGCACGGGCCATGTGTCAAGAAAGCTGCTTGGCAGCTAAGTGGACACATCACCTCCTGAGCCTCAGTTGATGTGGCTGACGAACGGCGTGGCTGATGTTCTGAATACTAACCGCCAAGTCAGTTTAGCTTACCCTTGTATCTGTACTTGACAAAGATTTAATTATATGATAAAAAAAAAAAAAAAAACAGGAACGCAGGAAGTAGGAAAGGAAATTTTCTTATTAAGACCGGAGGAGTATGTGGACTAGTCCAATGTATAATTCACCAGGTTTAGCAAATGACGGACAGCTCCTGTTACATGCATGCGTGCCTTCCAAGCACTATTGGGTTCGGAACTACGGATGTAACTTTGCATACATCCTCTAGAAGGAAGAGTGGTAGTAGGATTCGCTCTCGAGAAACTCCGGTCTTAATTCCACTAATGACGGCAGGGCGGCAAGCCTTTTCTTCCTCTTCCAAAGCGAGACCGAGATCAGATGGCCCATGTATGGGATGATTGCCGTCTCACCGATATTCTACAATCCCCCTTTCACAGCAGGACTTTCAATCTCACCCTTCCCATCCAAAAGCGAGCACAAAACGCACCAGCGCTGACTAGCAGTTCACAACAACAAGAGCACTAAATGTTTGGATGGCGCAGTTTATGGTGGTATAATTATTTCATGATTACAATCGTAGATATGAAGATTCTCGTAAGAACTTCCGCTATGCTAATTAAAGCGAGATTCTTCTCCAAGTATCCCCCCTAAGTGGAGTTGCTCCAAGCGCTAAATTACAATAAACTTCCTCATCCTTAGTAGATGTAACGGAAGTTGGGGTTCTCCTTGTCCGTCAAATCATCGAAACCGTGGGTGGTGTCGATCTCGGAACCGAACTCTCTGTCCTTCTTCTTGTTGCGCCAGATCAGGTTCCAGCGCAGGAAGCAAATGACTCCGACAAGAACGGAGTAGCAGACAAGGTGGACGGTGAAAGCCTTGAGGTAGCGGGGCTCGTCACCGTCGAAGAAAACTTGGGGTCCGGTGGCGTTACCAGCGCACCAAGCCAGGAAGTTCATGGTGATGCACACAGACTTCTTGGTCTGGCCACCGACGTTACGAGTCAACATGGACATACCAAGACCCTGAGCGGCCCAGAAAGTGAAGATAATCCAGTAGCTGATCAGGAGACCGGCCTTGGTGGCGTTGTTCGTGTTGGGAACCGTCATGATGACAATCGTACCGATGTAGGAACTGGGAGGGGTCAGTTAGAAGTTTCTCCAAGTCGAGGAAGTCGGCGGACTTACGGGATCAGGAAGACGGCCATGGTGATCAAGTTCTGGTTCCACTTCTTGGTCATCCATGCAGACGTCATCAGCGTGAAGATGATGATGGCACCGAGAACCATAGCCAGAAGCTGAGTCTCAAGAAGAGAGAAGTTCAAGCCCTTGATGATGATGTTGTAGAACGCGCCGAGACCAGAGGTGGGAAGGGTAGTGCAGATCTGGATAAGCATGTAGCAGTAGGTCTGGGGGTCCAGGAAGGCCTCCTTGACCTGGTAGGCACGGAACTTCTTGTTTTGCAGACCAGTCTGGTTGGAACGGACACGCTCAACCATGAGCTTCTTGTCGGTCTCGGAGAAGCACTTTGCACGCATAGGGCTGTCTGGTGGGACGTTAGCAACTTGGACTCATGCTCGATGCGTATCGGAATAAACACTTACCAGGAAGCATAAGGAGAACATAGATACCCCACAGGAAGGAGGCGCAACCGTAGGTGATGAAGATAGCCTGCCACGATCGGATAGCCGCATTACCCGGGTTGGCCAGGAAGCTGGGGTGTCTAATGTGGGAGAAGGCGTAGGCCAGAAGACCACCGCAGATCTGCTGCATGCCGTTCATCATGTACCAGTAGGTAACGACTTGAGCCTGCTCCTCACGCTTGTACCAAATAGAACTCATGATAAGGAAAGCCGGCTGGCAGACTGCCTCGAAGATACCCAGCAGAGTTCTCACGGCAATGAGGGCGGGGAAGCTGAAGCAGAGGGCGTGGCAGCACAGCACAGTGCTCCATGCCAGGATGTTGAAACCGAGGTACTTAGCGACAGGCAATCTCTGGATGGCCCAGTTGGTAGGGTATTCGACGACAAGGACCGCAAGGTAGATACAGGTGGTAAGCCAGGCGAACTGCGGATTTGTAAGTCAGTTGTTCATAATGACAGGTTGAAGGCTTCTGTTACTCACGTTTGTGTTCGCCTTGAGAGCGGGGATATCATCACGGATTCCCATGACGGAACTGAAGGACATGGTTCCCTTATCGAGAGCCTGGAGGAAGTAGGTGACGACCATGATGGGAAGCACGCGTCTGTCGATAAGCTTCTTCAAGCGCTTGTTCTCCTCCTCAGTGATGACGATGCTGCCATCACCGGCGGCGTACTTGGCAAGCTCGCCATCAATACGGTCGTAGTTGACATGTTCACCTTTGGCGTCAGCACCAGACAGCGTACGCTCGATCTGGGCGGCGTCGGCGCCGGTGTTCTTCTCATCCGAGTTGCGGATGGCATCGGGGGTGGCCTGGACGGCGTCCTGGCTGGCTCTGCCCATCTTTGTGAACTTCCGGGGGGTGTTTGGCGAGCAAAGAAGGTGTCTTGTCAAGGTGAAGGACGGAAGGTGTCAAGATTCACAAGGCGAGAGAGCAGAAAAAATTAAGCGGCGTCCACGGTCTTTTAAGGATCTCTCCTCCACGCGTGGACTTCTCCAGACTCCAGATTACCCCGTGTGGCCCCAGAGTTTTCTCTCCCCGCGGGCATGTTGGATACAACGTTAGTGCTGTGGAGATAGCCATTACTCACTTCGCGTCCTGTCGGCTCAAAAGAGGCCGAAGGAGACTATTGATGGGCTGAGAATCGTCGTGGAAAGCACCAAACCTGAGGCAAGACTCATGCAGCGCTTCCGACTCGCCATCGATTTGACCGGGTTAGTGCACGTTGCGGGCGTGGCGTAAAACAAGCATCGGTACAATGCAATGCGACATCGGCTGTTCTGCTGTTTTTGGCACTACGATCCCGACCCGTGCAAGCCATGAGATAACACCAAGACCTTGGCGCAGCAGGCTGTTGCCGCACTTCGGGAAAGAGGTGTGCCGACAAAGAGGGATTTATCCAGCTAGATGTCTTGGCGCAATTACTATCCGGGTCTACTTTCCTGTTGGAACTTTTGGGGTTGACACGCCGCAGAGGTTATGGGGTGGCCCCCAGCAGGCCCAACCCCAGAAGGGGTCACTACACCCTTACGCGGGGTACACCCAATCAGACGCTCACAATGCCTAGTCTTACCCCAATGACCACCTGTAAGCTAACTACAGGCGGCTAGTCATTTCAGGTTACCCCACAGCAGCAAAATCCTTCAGATGGCTCCAGACCCAAGACCTTGGCAGAATCTCGTCAAAGTTATTTGGCCATGCTGGCTGCAAAACCACCAGAACATGACCCGAAGTCACGGTTGAGCGGGTTCCAAACTTGTCCGAGCATCCAGCTCATCCGGCGTTATTATCTTTTCTTCACTCATTCATCTCTTACTTACGGAATACACTATCAATCATGTTTGATGGAGTCTAGATAAGGTATGTTTGGTTCCACAATCCCCGCGATAAGTTTGCGGGGGGGACCCTCAACAACATGTTCGTCCCATCCTATTCCGTGGGGACCTGGACACAACTGTATAATATGCTTACTACGTTGTAACGTATGCAGGAACTACGGAGATCTGCACCTCTAAATTATGGTGACAGCTTCGTGAGGGGCCATGTTCAACTCCAAAAACTCGAGCCCATGATGTTGGAGAAGCGCGGGGTACGATTTCGGAGAGAAATACACGGGACAAGAAACGGCGCGGTTCCTTGGCCCGATCACTTGGCTTGATCGTCAAGCAAACTTTTCCTCCATTGGGAACAAGTTGCATTTACCCAAGAGACGAGAAGGGGGCGCCATGTCCCAGGTTGTATCGTGGCTACCCGCCTTGGCATATTCTTGACCCTGTCGTGGCGTCCCAATTCATGCAAGCTTACCAGTTAATCTGAAAATAGGAGTGGTGGATTTTAACGTCACCTAATGAAATGGAATGTCAATATTTGCAGACAAACGGCCAGAAATTTGCAGCGGTTTTGACTCGGGTGTCGATAATTCAGCATGTTAGCATAACTCTGATAGACCAACGGTGTATGGCGTTTCGCACACCGAAAATTCATTCTTTGTTGATAGAATTGCTGTTTACCGAGAGGTTGGTACCAACGCCCGTCAACAGTGCGGTAACGGCTTGGCCAGCTTGGCCAGCACCAAAATGATCACTGGATCTGACTCGACAAGCAAACAGGACAAAGGAGTTTCCTCCTGGCCATTTCTCATTTATCTCTATATCTCCATTTCACAATGCTCGGATTAATATCGTACTCAGGCAGGGGAATATGTCGGTAACTGTTAGCTGCAAAGAAACGGCTTGGCGTTCAAAATATTTATAAAATTGCTGGCCACCAGAGCTCTTTTTTCATTTTCGTCTGAAGGCTTCAAAGTACCACACTCACTGTGTTGCATTTCTGCCAAGAAACGATGTCTCTATGCAGAGTTGCTAGTCTAATGCACTAATAAATCAAGAAAGTTGGGCTTAACATCTACTGCCCACATCCCTCTTTGAAGCACCTTCTTAATCTAAGGTAAGCATGACTATTATGCGACTTGGTCGGAATATAACCGCACGGTGTGAAAATATAATTTAATCTGTTTTACTAACTGTATCTGGGCTACACACATATCTAAGGTTCGCAGTGAAAGAAGCTAGAGACAGAGCGGTTGTTTTCTTATTGTCATAACAAGAACGATATACCCGAACACCTTCGTCATGCTAGTGTCAGCTTGCATGCAGCAACTTTTGGCCGACTGAGGACCGAGAAGGACTTTACCCGTTAAGGCATGAAGTTCGACAACGTGCGGGCTTAATTCAGTATAATAGCTTCCCTAAAGTACCTGAGTTTATATAAATCAACAAAACAACATCAGCCCCATTTATTGTCTTTAAACGTCTCTACACGTTAGAATGTCTATTTCTATACATTACTCAAAAGCTCTTAAGTAGGATGATACTCCAATAGTTTATATCGCCAACGTTAATAACATTATGTTTATATTATTAGTAAAAATCACAATACAGTAATCTTATATATCTGTAACTGTTACAGGTCTTCCTGCTAGCACTTGGCTACAACAGGCAGAGGTCAGAACCGTGATAAGAACGGAGATGTAAACAGAACAATATAGAGGTCAAACAAACAGTTGCAAAGCAATAAACAACGATGAATACGTAAGCGTAGGTATAGGCCGATTATATCTCTTCTTAATTGATGATCCTAACTGTGAAGCTATCACGGGTGTCTCTCATACGGGCTCTGCTAGCACGTGATATATCACGTGCCTCTGGTGACTGTTCACTGTTCAATGGAACTGTAATAGTAGAGAAGCACCAGCGCTTTAAGACGGTTTCCGCTAAAAATGGCTCTGTTTAAGTATCAGCATTTTCCGGGATTTGAACATGCTTGCTTAGTTCGGAGTGATCCTGCAAAGCCAAGGGAGAGAAGCAACGATTCGTGGTTAACCTTGTACAGTAAACTGGATCAACTAAGTCCTTTATTGACATCGCGGACACGCAAGGCCAAAGCCAAGACCCTTAAGTTCCTTTGCAGGCTTTTTTATATGTCACAAGCACAAAGTTCATATATGGAGAAAAATCAAAGGCCTACTGTTTCAAACTTTCGTTCAAACCCCCCTGAAGTGTAAAATATGGCTTGCAGGAGCATCTGTATGAAGATGAAGCACAGAGCTTACTATCTCTCAGTTACGAGACACTGATAGGTAGGTATTACAAACTAGTGTATAACTGATAAACAATGGGTAGTGTTTCTCCATTCTTAGTCAACAGCACGCATATACATCGTTTAGGGAGCGTTGACTCCTACACTGGTAACTAATAATAAATATGCAAGAAGGGAATACATCTATCTGTATGATTCCAAGCATCTACTTATAGAAACCAAAACAAACGTGTTCAATCGGCTTGCTCGTTGTTGTTGTAGTAATGTAATCAAAGTAGAAGATCACATTAGACGGCTTAAAATATAGTACCTGGAACAGGGACTAGATTGATGGTGACCTGCGCGCCATAATTCTGATCACCTAGTTGAAGCAGCGGCTCACCTGGGGTAATTTGGAAGATACTCATATTCATTGCACTGCAGGTAAGGGTGTTATCATCGTTCCGCTGGCAGATGTTCGCTTCCCAGTTGACGTTGATTAAAGCCGTGGCTGCTGCAACAGACGGGAAAAAATATTGATAGTGGAGAGACGCATTTCCACCAATCATGGCCAGCACGCTGCCGTCAGACGTTGTGAACGTGCAGTCAGGCTGGAACCTGAAAGCTTGAGCGTTTTGATAGTTGGTCGAAAATGCAACACGATACCCCGAGCCAAATACAGGTTCGAGCCGGGCAAAGTTGCCGTCAACAGTAAAGTCACCGGAATTGCTACCCCGAAGATAGTATGCACTAGTGAGGGTACTGCAAGGACCTGTGGGACTGGAGGTAGAACTGGTGGAGGTAGAACTGATGGAGGTAGAACTGATGGAGGTAGAACTGATGGAGGTAGAACTGATGGAGGTAGAACTGATGGAGGTAGGACTAGTGGAAGTGGAACTAGCGGAGGTAGAACTAGCGGAGGTAGAACTAGTAGAGGTAGAACTAGTGGAAGTAATGGAAGAGGAAGAGGAAGAGGAAGTGATGGTGATAGTAAGCTTAAGATTATGTTTAGCATAATGTTTCCTATATATGCGAAATTGAGAATCTTACAGTTGGGCTGCTCGAGCTTGTCGAAGTGGTGGTTGTGGCTGTAGAGCTATCAGAGGTGTTAGACGTTAAAGCCGAGCTGATGTTCTCAGACGTAGAAGCCGAAAAAGAATCGGTACTACCAGACGGAGAGGCCGAAGTCAAAACGGATTTTCCTGACGTAGATACTGAAGCCGAACTTAGTGTACCTGACGAAGAGTCTGACGCCAAGTTGGTGCCACGAGGCGTGGTAGTGATGATACCAAAGCTCTCCTTAGTAGTTGTTTTTAATGGCGGCTCAATGGTAGTAACAACGGTTACTGTAGTGCTGCCAGATGTGATTATGAAGCGAGTAGTGTTGGCGCTGGTAATAGTTGGATTAATATCGAAGGAAGTTACAGACGTAGTCGTTCTAGTAGAGGTACTCGAGGTGGTAGCTGATTGTGGCTGGATAGGAACGGATATAGTTGTCCCCATCGAAGGACTCGAGGATGGCGAAGTGGTAGTGCTGGGGAGAACCTCAGGGCTGGTACTGCTAGGCGCTGTAACATCGGCAATCGTCAGAATAAACCCCACGTTGTTGATTGAGAGTTCTTGAGCAATAACAGTAAAAGATAAAAGGGCCAGCAGGGCCACCCGTTTCATCCTGCCCATCCTTCTTGGTATATTTTGATAAACCAGGCAATTCAGATGCAAAGAAAGGTGTTGGAAGTTTTGTGGCAACACGGATCTAGTATACTAGAAAAAATTTAAATAAGGCAAGATATTGAGAACTAGATAAATATCTACGTAGGCTGACCTATTCTAAGGAATAAAGTTAAGATTAGTAAACGTGAGCTAAGTGCAGGTTTGTTGAGGGAAGGTAGTATTCACATGGAAATTCGACTTTGGGGTTTCTGTTCGAATAAGGACCGGAATGCTAATTTTGTCTTGTTTTCCCTCCATTGCAGAGGATAGTTGTCTCTGTGGTCGCACCTTACCCTTGAGAACCTGGAATGCTAGGTAGGGTTCTATCCAAGGATCTGAACCTCCAGAGTCAAAGATCTCGGGCACGATCGTGTGCGACAGATACCCTTTGCATACCATCAATTCTTTTCCACGCGATTCTTTATCATTCAAAGCGTATAGGGCTGTGTCCATCGACTACTCTAAGCGTTTTACTCAACATGTGAGGCTCTATAAAAAGCACATAACATTAATGACAGCCGACGAGCCATGGTGGCAAATCCTTTTCAAATTGAACAGAAAATACTGGCAATTCAATGTATAGAAAGATCGAATTTAGCTCGCTCATGGACTTCTGGGTGTTTTTACTCCATTTTCACAGTGGTTTGTTAATACAGCTAGTGAAATCAGCAAACAGGCGTGTCTGGCCTACAAGGCACTGACGTAAATCACATTCTTCAAGCGGGATTGAGCATTCCCCGGTAGTTGTTAGACTGCGAGGCTCTTCAGAGCAGCAATGGAAGGGGATTGGGTCAAGAAAAAGGGGCACGTTCTCCACTACCATGTACTTATTCATCCTCTTGTGCTTGAAGATGAATAATCAAATGGTTGAACACCGCTCATAAGATCTATCCAATTCTACTACAGTCTAGGCCCTTAACACTCTACCTAAAGACGTTACACCGCTTATCGCCTGACAGATCAAACGATGTAATTAGCTAGGACTGTAGCTATCAAGGTACTGTAACTCCTTCTTCAAAATTTAGTCCTCATCTCGTCTTAGAAGCTACAGGCCATAAACACAAGTTATGGGCCAGGACATTGGGATTTGACGCCTGCCATCACTTGGCTCTAGTGGACCAAAATTGGCTCTTGTTAGGCCTTTGATGACACTAGTGCCCGAGACCCTAGATTGGTACACACAGTAAACAAGCCCCATAGCGACTTGGATTAGAATGCCATTGAAGCTTTAGCGCAGTAGCTAAACCTGGTTTTTTTTTGTATTCATAGGCTAGACTGCGTGACTGCATGCCTGTGATTTTTGTGCTATCGGAATAGTAGGCGGAACGATAAGCACCAGGATGCCATGTTTCCTACGAGAGGTAATAACTCTAACCCAGTCTGGCAAGTAGCACTGCGCCTCATCAGATGTGGCGTTTTGGGATTCAATGAGGAAGCTGCTGCGCCACAGGCTAATCCGTGCACATCACACCCAGCTGTTACGTACCCCTGGACCTGGCAAGAGAGCAACCAATTTAACGTTTCTAAAGGCAGGTCGCGTCAGTCAAGCTGCTACGCGCTGCTGCGAAATTCCCCGTCACTCTATCGCAGCGCATGAATAACAGCCGCCACTTGTTTCCACAACGTCGTACCGTGAATCTTTGGATTCTGGACGTAGAACTGCCTTGCACTTTTATTGAGCTTGTACATTGATTCCTCCACGGAGAAAGCCGCAAAAATGGTCTGCCCCAGGCTGTGCGACCGATCGCGAATGAATCAAAGCTAACCAGCGCGCAGCCGGCCTTTCAAGCAATCAATGTTGAGCCGGAGGAGAACATTGACGATGAGATTGACACGACCCGCGAGCTTCATGTAAGCGTTCATTTACTCTCCTTCTCTTCTTCGCAACTGTGCTGACTGCGACATAGGTGGATGAAGCTCTAAAGCGGTTTCAGACAGCTCTGAAGCTTCATGCCCAAGGCCCTCGATTCTTCGACGAAGCTGCCGATGCCTACGATGATCTCTTCAAGTCCGAAATCTTCAAATACCCTGAGGCGGCCACCGAGTTTGATAGAGGGGAGCAAAACCCTGATCAACTCATCACCGATGCTGCCCTTGACGGCAACTTGGACCTCCAGGTCGCCGACGTCGACACCGCCACGAGCAGCTTGCCCCAGGCCTTTTTCCTCGCACACAAGAATCGCGGCCAGTTTCTGCTCGACCGAACCCGGCATGCTGCACGAACCAACGGTGAAAGCTATTTCGAGAACGATGAGGCGCTCCGGAACATGCACAATGCCCTGGCCGACTTCAACGCAGCCCTCGATCGCGATCCGTCCGATGCCGAACTTTGGAGACGTACCGCGCGTGTCGCTGCCTCGCTGAAAAGCGCAAGGCTCAGTAGATACTGTCTTGAGGCCGCTATCGAACTTGACGATGACCCAGCTGTCTTGGAAGTCGAGCCCCCATCCTTAGCCGAAGGGTTTGCTGGGCAGCAACTGAAGGACCAACTACAAATACTAAGTGATGAGATTGCCCTTTCACATCCAATCATGGGACCCTGGGTCAAGCGAGACATGCCGGATTTCATCAAGCGTCACATCGATCCCATTCCATTTCTTCCGAACCCTATCAAAGATCTCGAGTCTATCCGCTCCACTGTCGAAGAAGCTGGGTCAAGCCGTCTTACTATAACACTGCCAACCTCATCGTGGGTAGACCTAGGCATGGCCCTGGTACAATTCGTTCTCGAAAAGGGACAGACAAGTCGGGGTGTAGTCATTGAGCTTCCAGAAATGGAAGAAGACGAAGATGTTGTTATGGAGAGTCAGCCAGAGCAAGATGGCCCTGTCGACGGTTCAGATGCCAAGGAGGGGTCTGTTGAGAATGACAAAAAGCCCGCAGACGCCAACGGAGAAACTAAGCCTTCGGAAACTGAAAAACCTGGAGAAGACAAAGAGGCAGTCCCCGAAGAGCCGCCCAAAGCGCCGGAAACCACTCGTGAAACTCGCAAGGGAAGAAGCGTCTCTCAGCCGACCCGAAAGCGCTCCCAATCGGCTGCTGGCATCCCTGAGAATCAGGATGAGGAGAGCCTAGTCGAAAAGAGGAGCAAACGTATTCGTCGACGAGAGACAGCAGCCGCGGAAGAAGTTGTGGATCCCAGCGCTGTTCATGCATCTCAATTAGCACCTTATCAGGCAGCCGACCAAAACCTGTTCCAAGCCACGAAGAATATGCTGGAGAACATCGGAGTCACCAGTCAGGACACTTTGGACCGAATCAGCGAAGTGCTAGATTCCCTGGTATCCGAGGAACGCGCAGCATCTATTAAGAACCAGGCCACAATGGATCTGCGAAATGCTTTCCTCTCCTTCAGCGAAGATAACGCAAAGATCTTGCTCAATAAGCAAGCTCAGGCCTCATTGAGCTTGTCCTCTTTCCTAGAGCATGCCAAAGGAGGCTCTCAAAAGATGTCGGTTATACCGCCATTCAAGGAAAGCCAGGGAGTTACTGCTTTTGCAAAACGAGTCAACTCTTCTTGGATGACCGCCCAAGAGGTTGCCTATGAATGGATCAAGACGATATGCCCCAGCTATCTTGAAACCAAATGGTCAGACGCAATGAAGACTGCCGTGGTCCAAGTTATCAGCCGGTTCGACCAGGACATCCTCCAATCTATCAACTACGACATGGAGTGTGCACGGCAATCAGATCAACAGGAAGAGCAGCTCTCCTTCGTCAAGAACATCGTAGAGATGCTTTTTGAAATCCACCTCGACGTCTATGAGAGGATCACTAATCCTAATAGTGTTGTGGACTATAGTATTCGCGTTGAGGCCAAGGGGCGCTTAGGTCGTTGGTTGGATATTGCATCCGCATTGCTTCGCGGAAGTCCCGAAGAAGGCAACGAGAAGCTTACCGCTCGGTTCCTTTGGGCTGCTATTTTCTCAACTACCTTAACCGAGAACGCCTCGAGAGAGTATATTCTCCAGTGTTGGACAAGTTTGCGGGATTTCCTTGCTGAAGGACAAGTCGATCAATTACACCTGCCCAACAATCCAGTGATACCGGAGATTTCTGAAGCTGCGGCCGATAGGGAAATTTCTAAGCTTACTACGATGGACTTCTTTCTCGGTTTATTTCAAGACAACGTCAGCGACCCTGTTGCTGTTATCGACAATTTGGAGCCTGTTCTCAACCCAGGCTCGGTCTTTGTTGCCCTTGACCCCGAAGAGACTGCGAAGAATGGCGAGCGCTCTGGGTCTGGCCGACCCAAGACCAAGAACGTTCCTATTAAAGACTATGCGACCCAGAGTTTACAAGACCTCTGGCGGTTCCTCCTGGGAACAAGCACGGAATTACGCCTCTTCCTTTGGTCACGCCTCAGCGACGCGTACGGCACTATCCAATATTCTACGAAGCAGTTTTCATGTCAGCTCAGGGCCATCGAGATGCTAACTACAGACTTGGAGAGTGACAGCTACCTCAAAAACGACCCAGAAACCAGGCCGCCGCTATTACTCAAGATGCTCAAGTCTCTTGATGACCTTCTGATCTCTGCCCTTTCGCTGGCTTTGAACGATAACACTGCGTACGACATTGTTGACGAAGATCACTTGAAAACGATATCCACGGCGCTTGCTAAACTCAGTTGCATGCTCCATGCCTCAGCGATGCATGAGGATGAGATTCGAATCGGAATGACAAAGGTGCCACCAAGCAGCCCATCGTTTCAGCCATTCATCAATAAGTTGCGTGAGATACAAGTCCGCGTATGGTGCCTCCAGTACACAGTGATCAAGGTCGGCGTCAATCAGAACCCCAAAATGTTTCCTCAACCCGAGATGGAGCTTGCCGACTATCTCTCAGCCATTCATCAGGTTCTTGGTTTAAGAAAATGCTGCAAAGCATCCAACAAGATCTTCCTAAAGATGATGCGTGTTGAGCTGCTGAAGTTCAAGAACATTGAGAACTGGGAAGATTATCTGGGCCAAGTTCTTTACGATCTTCACGGTCTTAAGCTCGGAGTTGGCGTTGGCGAGGTTCAGGATCACGGCTGTCCGCCTGAGAAACTCGAGAAGCGCAACGCAATGCAGCTCGTCGACAAAATCACAGTTCTGGCGCGGAGAATGCCCAGAAAAGACTTGCTCAAGTCGGACCTCAAGGCGACAATTGAACACATGCAAGGAGCTATCGGGCAAACCAAGTCCACTCCTCAGATGATCCACAACCTGAGGAATTTCACAGAGTATCTGAAGCGACCAATCCATCCTCTTCGACTTTACCAGGCTCTTAATGGGGGCGTTGAGTTAGACGTCGTTGCCGTAAACACACCCGAGAGTGCTCTGGCTAAACATGGGTGGTTCTTCCTTTTGGGTATGATCGCGCTCACAAGGTTTAAACAGGTTGATTTGAGCAAGAGACAGACACCAGGTGCTACTGATGACCTGCGACTTGCGGCAACTTTCTTGCGACTCCAACTCCAGTTTACCCCTGATAAATGGGATGCATGGTTTCGCTTAGCCGAGTGTTTCGACTACGAACTTGACGAAGCTGTCCTATGGTCGGCCGACAAGATGAATAAGGAGCGCGCCGAATTGCTCAAGGTCCAGCGTAACTCAATTCACTGTTACACACTGGCGCTTTCCAATTCATGGGAGGCAGAAATTGACGACGAAGACGAGGATCCTCTGTACGAACTGTATCACAATTTTGCTATGCGTCTGTACGCCTCGAGTCGTGAACCCCTCGCTATGGAACCATTCCAGCATGCGGATCACGAACGTTTCTTCATCGAGAACATGGGCAATGGAACGTTCCAAAAAGTCCTCCACGACCAGATGCAAGACTATAAGGTCTGGAAGTATGCCGCTGGCTTGTTCAAGCGGGCAATGCGACGCAAGCCGCAAGACTGGAGGTAAGTTGGTTGCCATAAAGTTGTCTCGAGATGGTGCTAATGACTTGTGTTAGGAACCCATTCATGCTCACCAAATGTCTCTGGAAAATGTACCAGAAACCCTTGGACCAGCTTAGCGAGAAAGATCGCGAGACCCGTCCGTCAGTGGAATACTTGATCTCGGCTCTCGAGCACGCTGTCGAAGTGGTGGCTGCTGTGCCCAAGTCCAGACACAGCGACCCCATTTTGGAGCCGCACTACAAGATTGTGTCAATCGTGCATAAGCTTGTCGTGAGAGGCGACCTCACACCGCAGGAGGGCGCGGATATTCTGTCAAGACAGCCGTATGGTATGGAGCTGGGCGACGATATCACAATGACAGACATTGAAGACTGGGAGGAATACGTCATTAGAAGCCTGCATCACCTCCGGGACAAGGACAAATCCAACTGGCAGCACCGCATCATCATGCGTCACGCCCGTCTGCTGTTTGACGAAGATGGCGAGTCACCCGAGTTGGTGCAAGCCAAGGCGGCGTTCAACGTTCTTCGGGAGTCCATGTTTACTAAGACCATGGTCATGAACGTCTGGAAGTGTGACGCTGAACGGCCTGGGCGGCATCATGTGTATACCGCCCAGTACATTCGATTCATGGTTAAGCTTTTGGTCGTTATGAACGACAGAGTCAATCTGGAAATGGTCCTGAGACGTCTTCGGAAGAAGGGCGCCGATTTCTACCACTTCAGCGATCTGTGGCAGACATGCTGTATGGCCTATCTCAGACTTCTGCGACAGGGATTCCATGTGCCTCCGACATTGGAAGACTCTTTCAAGCTGACTTCGCTGGAGGAGCTGGAAATCATGGCAGATCGCATCACGGAGTGGGCTGGCGGGCCATCCACCGATATTCCTGCTTTCAACTGCCTCAAAGAGACAATAGAGTTGAAGAAACTCAACGGCGGTCTCATGAAAGCAGGGGCCATTGACGATCTTATCAACGATTGCTACGCAATTATTTACCAGGAAATCGGCCCTACCCTTCCAGGCCCTGAACCCCACGAGGTTTTGGAGGCACGTGCCAGAGCCCGCGCCAGAGAGGAAGCCGATGGTGGCAATGAGCTGAAGCCGTCGAACGCTCTTGGCAACCTCTTGAACCCTTCTAGTGCACAAGATTCCGGCACAAACGGGGAGACTGGGGGTGATAAAACGGCTGCCGCACCCGAGGCTGCCCCGAGACGAAGGGCTGGTGTTCGAAGGCCCGACATCATTCGTAAAGCCGAGCAAGCTTTTGCTCGCTTTGGTGAAGCGCCCAAGTCGTCAGTGGCTCCGTCTAAATCCCGCGTTGGATCGGTCTCAAGCGGAAAGAACGGCGGGCAGACGCCTACAGGAGATGCCGACGAGGGCAGTGATGCAGATGAGAAAGAGGGACATGAGGAGGGCGAAGATGTTGAAATGAAGGACGACACCGCAATGGAAGCTGAGGAAGGCGAAGACGGAGAGGAAGAAGCGCCCGCACACGGTACAGCAGCATCTAGCCCTCGGGGTAGCATTCACGACTCGGCAGATGACGAAAGTGAGCTTAGTGATGTTCCCGACGACTGGGACGAGCAGCCACCTCCATCGTTGATGCTCTTCCCTAATTTGAGGAAGAGTGTGGACTCTACAAGGAATGAGAGTGGCGACTCCAGCGGCGAAGAAGATGAAGAGGAAGAAGAGGAGGAGGAGGAGGAGGAGGAGGGTGAGGAGGAGGAGGAGGGTGAGGAGGAGGAAGAGGAAGAAGAAGAGGGCGACGAAGGTGAAGATGGTGAGGAAGAAGAGGGTGAAGAAGAGGAAGTCGAAGATGAGCACGGTGAGGAGGTCGAAGACGAGGAGGGTGAAGAAGAGGAGGTCGAAGAGGAAGAAGGTGAAGAGGCAGAGGCAGAAGAAGCAGAAGATGGCGAAGAAGCTGAGGAACAAGACGAAGATGAAGAAGACGAGGACCAAGAAGAAGATGAAGTAGAAGACGAGGATGAGGAGACGATGGCCGACGAGGAGTAGAGTTCCAAAGTCGGGCACCTCAACAGAGCACCGGCAGTTTTCGGACCAAAGGGAGCAACCGTTGTTTGGGAGTGTAAGAATGGCAGGATCAAGCGTACTTTGCTAGCTGGAGTTGTAGCGGGCGGTGAGTAATTGCAATCACGGCGATGGGAAACCTCTTCTGAGGTTTGGTTGTATGGTATATTGTAGTACTAGCTCTAGTCAGAAATGAGGCAAACATTGTGAATCACTAAATGCCGAACTAAAGGTACCCTTTGTTGAACCTGAGCAGGAGGGGCATCCACTGCAGCTACTGCGACAATTGTCCATGACCAAAGAGGTATGCCGTGAAGCGATTAGACTCATCGATTTAGCACTTGCGTCAACCACGGTTGCATCGTCCCACAGGGACTGAATGGGCGTATATAAAAGATACCTTAGCACAAGTCTCTCTCGGACTCCCAGCCGCTCTTAGCCAACACGATAAAAAAAAAAAAAACAGAAATAAAAACCATCATTTACACCAACAAACCGTCAAACAAATATCAAGACAGCTGGGTTCGTCATGTGCTCGAGGTGGAGAACCAAGAAAGAGGACTGCGGCCACACCGTCGGAAGGTGGGAGGAGAGATGCGACAAGGCCCGCGTCGAGCGCCGCGATTGTCCGTGGTGGAAATGGAGGTTGGAGACGGAGTGGGAAATGGGGCTTTGCAACATGTGTGTGGCCGCCTTATCTCGTTGCGAGCGTATGTACTCATGAGATGAGACCTGTTGGTTTCGCTTGACAAGTGCTCAAGGTTGACATCTTGAGACGAGGAGCTTGAGTTGCGCTGGGCATGAACAGGTATCTTAAACGGGCACTTCACAAAGTCAAAAGTCTAAAGTACACAGAAAAAAATATCCATTACAGTTACAAGAAGAATGATGTCGACGCCGCGTATCACGTCTGAAGTTGTGATACAACGTCTTGCTTAGAGCGAATGCGAAAGGAAGTTGAAGCTAATAGCTGATGAGGAAGACTGGCGGTGGTGGGGGGGCACTGCTACTGGGGTGCGGGAGCTAGAGCTACCCCACCCCTCACCAGCCAGTCCTGCCTACCAAATCCACGTTCCAGCGACTGCTTGCGCCTCCCAGTGGCCGCCTGGGACAGCACCAGCTACCGCACGCAAGCGGCAATTTCCGCTCCGTCGACAACCTTCCATCAGCGCCTGCCAACAGCCTTCCTCCATCACCACCAACATCACCATCATCACACCGAACTTCCACGATACCAAACGAATTCCACCCTAAATCCCACGAACGAAATCGCGTCAAACTGACCGAAGACGAATCGCCATCCACTACTTTTTACAGACAGGGAGACTGTGCGTTGTCAAACAACGAGCCGCCCCCCATCAAAACACAACACCTCTGACACATACACACACACACACACACACACACACACACATACATAATGGCCTCCTCGGACACGAAGCCCGCGCAGGACAAGGCTACGGCCGATGCCAAGGCTGAAGAGACGCAGCAGCAGGCGGCGACCAAGAAGCCCGCGCTGGGCGAGGACGACGAGTTCGAGGACTTCCCCGTCGACGGTACGTTCTCTCCTCCATCTCCACATATATCTACTGCTCCAGCATCGATTGTCGAATTCCTCGTGCTTTTGACGCCTTTGTGGATGGTAGTCAGCTCGCTATCTACGCGTGGAATGGAATGTTCTGTCTGCATCATGTTTTGGGGCGAAGATACAATGACGAAATGACGACAGGATCAAGATGACTAACGTTGCACACAGACTGGGCCCAGGAAGACACCGAGGCGGCGGCTGGCGGCAGCGGCACGACGCAGCACCTCTGGGAGGAGAGCTGGGACGACGATGACACGAGCGATGACTTTTCCGCGCAATTGAAGTACGATACCCACCATCCCCCCTTCTTCAACTCCAGGATAACTTCATATCTGTTGAATCGATACTGACTCTCACTCTAGGGAGGAGCTGAAGAAGGTTGACGCCAACAAGAGACGCTGATTTCACTCGCCCGGGACGCGGACAATTGCGAGGAGGGGGAAACGCAGGAATGACGGATGGAAACCGACTTCACTGGGGAACTACGAGGCATAGACTACTACGTATGAGCTCTAGACGACTGGCGGCCATACCAGTAATGAAATTCAAAAACAAGGCACAAGCATTTTTTTTTTCTTTTTCGGACGGACAACATGTTTTTCTGTGTTTTTACTTTTTTTGGTTTATTGATGTCGTGACTTAGGTCTTTTTTTTTTCTAGGACATGACACGAGGCATTACGTTCATCATCACCGCCCTCTTCTTTTTTGTCATGGCAGGGACTTGCTATCGCTTTCCTCCAATCCATGCATGTTATCCCGGGCCTACTAGAGACTGGCCTTACCAGCTCGACCTTTTTTTTCATACCCCATCTATCAGACCGATCAAGTCCCATAGAGCGGGAGCCGCCGTTTTTGTTTTAACGTTGGCGAGGGGCTGTTTACTTACTCGACAGAGCAACGACACCGGGGAGGGCCTTGCCCTCGAGGAGCTCCAAGCTGGCACCACCGCCGGTGGAGACGTGGCTGAGCTTGCTCTCGACGCCGTACTTGGCGGCGACGGTGGCGGTGTCACCACCGCCGATGATGACGATCTTGCCGGACTCGGCAGCGGCGACGGCGGCGTCGAGAGTGGCCTTGGTGCCGTTGGCGAACTTCTCCATCTCGAAGACACCGGGGGGACCGTTCCAGAGGATGGTCTTGGCCTCGTTGATGGCCTCCTTGTACAGCTCAATGGACTTGGAGCCGCAGTCGAGACCCATCCAGCCGTCGGGGATACCGGACTCATCGGTGGCAGTGTCAGTGTTGGCGTCCTTGTCGAACTTGTCGGCGGTGATGTAGTCGACGGGGAGAACGATCTTGACGTTGTTGGCCTTGGCCTTCTCAACGAGCTTGCCAACGGTCTTGGCGCCAGCCTCGTCGAAGAGGGAGTTGCCAATGTTGACGTTCTCGAGGGTCTTCTTGAAGGTGAAGGCCATGCCACCGCAGACGATGAGGGTGTTGACCTTGTCCAGCAGGTTGTCGATGAGCTGGATCTTGTCGGAAACCTTGGCACCGCCGAGGATGGCAAGGAAGGGGCGCTGGGGGTTCTCGAGGGCCTTGGCGAAGTACTCGAGCTCCTTCTTCATGAGGAAGCCGGAGGCCTTCTGGGGGAGGTCGACACCGACCATGGAAGAGTGGGCACGGTGAGCAGTGCCGAAAGCATCGTCTGCAGCAAAATTAGCTGAGGTCTTCCTCGTGGCGTGATGGATGACGATTTCTCATGAGACAGGTGGGGTGAGGGGTAGGCTCTGAGGGGAGAAGAAGGTGCGAAAAGTCAAAACATACTGATGAAGACATCGCCGAGGGCAGTGAGGCCCTTGCGGAACTCCTCAACCTTGGCCTTGTCGGCCTTGGTCTTGTTGCCGTCCTTGTCCTTGGCGGAGCCCTCCTCCTCAATGTGGAAGCGCAGGTTCTCGAGCAGGACGACCTGGCCGTTGTCGGCCTTGTTGACGAGCTCCTCGACGTCGGGGCCGACGCAGTTCTTGGCGAACTGGACGGACTTGCCGAGCAGCTTCTCGAGCTCGGGAACGACCGGCTCAAGGCTGTACTTGGGGTTGGCCTCTCCGTTGGGGCGACCCAGGTGGGACATCAGGACAACGGCCTTGGCGCCATTGTCGATGGCGTACTTGATGGTAGGCACGGCACCAGCAATGCGCTGGTTGTTGGTGATCTTCTTGTTGGAGTCGAGGGGGACGTTGAAGTCGACCTGTGAGGGGCAGTTTGTTAGTGATCGATAACGTACTAGATCCAGAGTAAATGGTGACCGCCTGCCCGCCCTGCTAGATTGCAATGGCCCATCCGCGGTAAATGATATGTCCCGGGACTGAATTACCGCGGCCCGTCCCGTATCGCCAGAAGTCGGAACCAGGCTGAGGTCATACCCGGGATCAGGCGTCTGGTGGTAGTGGCATGGTGGGGTAACCGGGCGCCGCAGAACACCAACCGCGGGGAGCGGAGCAGAGCAAAGCAGAGCAGGGTAAAGCAGAAGGAGTTTGCAGGCATGCCGGTTGTCTATCAACTTACGCGGATAAGAACGCGCTTGCCCTTGAGGTCAACGTCGGTGATGGAGAGCTTGTTGGCGAGAGACATGGTTGCAATTGGGGTGGGAGGAGAGTATATCTGGTGATGTAGGAGAGAGATGAGAAGAAGGAGAAATGCAGAAAAGAGGAAAAGAGGTTGTGAGGTATTAATTGGGGGGAAAGGAATGGGATAGGATGGATAGCATGGATGGACGGGATGGAGGGACAACCGGTCGGACAGGAAAAACACGCAGGTAGGCCAGTCAGTCCAGTCACCTTAAGTGGTTCAACAACGTTGAGAGAGGCCTATGAATGGTGGGGGTGGCTCTGATGCTCTGTGCTGCGCTGGCGGGGTTGGATGGTGCTCTCAGTGTTTTGCATGATTTTTTTTTTATCTTTTGGTTTGTTGGCGGGGTTGATTTGTCTTAGTGGGGAGCTTTCGCCTGGGCTAGGTGCTGGGTGCTGCTGGGTGCTGTCACTATTCGGTGTCTAGGCAAGCCAGGGCAGGCGCTGACTTGCTAGCTGGTGGCCCTTGCCCACACCCCTGGCACCTGCACTGCTGCAGCAGTAGCAGCGGTAGCTTCCCACCACAAAGGGAAGTAGGTTAGGTAAGGTAGGTAGGGAGCTTTGTGCTGTTGCCCCGCCTTGGTTTTGTGACGTGATGGTTGTATGATAAGGTGCCTCAGCTCACTTAATCCAGCCACTAGGAACCCCCCGTCAGTCCCCTCCCGCCAGCCAACCGGCCACTGCAACACCCCGTCAACTCATAGCTGTGACAAGACGACTTCGCCTGCGGCGTCTTGGCTGCCCGTTTCCTGTTTCGCAGTTATAATTGGGCAATCAGGTGGTTTTAGCCAGCCTCATACGCACTACTGGCAAGAAGGGGTTGCGTCACGCTACTTGATGCTCACTGTTTTCTGAACGCATTTCGTGTGAAATTTGACAAGAATCTCTTAATCAATAGAATCCCAACACGCCTTACCTGTCCGGGATCGGATCGGATGGGGACATCAGGGTCGCTAAGGGGCGGGTACTATCAAAAAACCCCAGTAAGACCGAAAGATACACCGGGTGGTTTATATGCCATCTGCAATATGCATTCAGAACGATTACCACATTTCTCAGACTACACAATTCAATCACCAGATAAGAAGCTTGAGAACCAAAGTTTGTGAGCGACTGCGATTTAGTGCTGTTTTTTGACAAAAGAAGACGTCGGTAATAGGATAACAAAAAAAAATAGAGAAACCCGCCCAATTCGGAATTCCCCCATATTTACACTCCGGACGCCTGTAGCCATTCCAAGCATCCGGTGCTGTTTGTAGCCGTTGAACAAAACCCTTTGAAACCTCTCGAGTAAATCTGTGTAACGCCGTCCGCATGTCTGCCATGGTGTAAGACCTGCGACCTATCCCGGTCCTTGCCAAATAGCAGACCAAAAAAGAAGCAACCAAAACCAAAATGTATGTGTTTAGCTGAGGCGAATATGGTCGTCGTCGCGGGCCGCGAGGCGGGTGTCGACGTCATCGGAGGCGTTGGTCAGGGACAGGTAGGCCGTCCACGCGATACCAATGGTAGAAACAAAGGGCTGGAAAGAAGCATGGTCAGGACATTGCTTTGTTTAGGCAGAGGATTCAGTATTGGGGCTTTACGTACCAGCTGGAACTGCACCGGCATGAGGCGGAAGTTGATGATCTGTACGGCAGGCCACACCACGAAGTTGGCCTTGAGCGTCGGGACGTACATGTCGCGAAGCTTCTGGTAAACGGCACGGCGGCCACCGCCCTCGGCGACAGTCATGACGGAGAAGAAGCAGGCGAGACCGAACGGCGCAAAGATGAGCTGATCAAATGCGACTCTCTTCATGGCGGGAACAAAGGCGCTGGTCTTGGTAATAGGGAACGTCGAAGACAGGAACTTGAACCACCGGAACTGCAGAGGCGCCATGGCGAAACCGTAGGCCATAAAGCGGGTGAGGCGCTCAAAGTCAAACGGCGGCGGAAGGACCTTGGACTCGGGGATCAGGTCCTTGTCGAGGAAGGGGTTCTTTCGGTCGAGCTCGTGGATCTCGATGGCGACGCTGTCATCCTTATCGACGCCTCCAGGCTTCCTGAGCGCCTTCTGGCGGAACGCCGTAATCGTTTGGGCTGTCGTATCGGCAATTCCACCAAGGATGGCGTTGGTCACCATCATAGTAAGAACTGTTGGAAACGAAAAGAGTCAATATCAAAACGTATTGTGGGCAGCGGGTTTTTGGAGGTGTAGGAGTTCGTTGCAACGTACGTGGGCGTTCATCGTAGTACTGGTTGAACCGGGCGGTCAACCTGGCGACAAGCGCCATCTCGATAAAGATGACGATTGCGTGAAGCAAGGGCTAAATTAACAAGCAATACAGGTCAGCCAAAGAACGCACTGAGATGCTCCGGCGTTGGCAGTAGATGCGATGTAATTCAAGAAAAGGTGAGGCGCATCATGTGGAATGATATGGACAGGCAAGACATGCCCGGTTCAAATTCAGAGATGGATTGCGAGGAATGCAAAGGCGTGGGGGAGCAGATGGGAGATGATGGTATTGATGCGAGTTGAATGTGATTGGAAGGGAATGGCATACAAGACGTCCGAAGAGATATTTGCCGTTGAGGGTTCGGACAATGCGACGGCGAGAGAGTTCCCACGACATGGTGAAGGAGATTAAGAGGGTGGAATGCCGGGCGGCGATGCTTCTTTTTCTTCTTGCGCCTTCTTTGGCTTGGATCGAGGATCGACTCGTCAAAAGGTGCGGGCGGTCCTGAGCTCCTGTTTTTTTTTTTTTTTTTTCCTCACAATGAGGTAACAAGGTAGGTAAGGCGCTTGTGCACAAACAGGGGACGCTCTCTCTCTCTGTCTCCCGGTTTTCTGCAGCACTTTTTGATGCTTCGGTAGGCTTCGAAGCTGGAGACGATGACGACACAGTAGCCAAAGGCTCTCTGGGTGGCGCTGACGATGATTGGCCGGATCCGATGATAACGGCGTCAGGCTACGGAGGCTTTGTTCCACTGGCGGCTTGGAGGGGACGGACGGGGGAGGGGGGAGAGCAAATCCTCTAAGCTATTACGAGAGGACAAGGTAACGCGGAGGCAGAATGGGCGTGAGAAGAGAAAGGAACCGAAACAAAATTGAGTAGCTAGGGGAAAAGAGAAAGAGGAAACGCAATCACCACTTGGCAAATGTACGTAGGAGTGATGTGTTTTTAGATGGAGATGCGAAGGATGTCGAGAGCAAAAAAAGATGGGGAAGGTCGATTTAGATGCCAACTAATCCCGGTAACACACACTTCAAGAGACGCAGGGCCTCCGAGAGCGCAAACTGTCTTCTGGCGCTACTATGTACACCTCTGCTGCTTTGCGTGCTTCATGAGGAACAAGACCAGGAAGGTATTTTGCTCTGGGAAGCATTGAAATCCATTTAGGGGGGAGGGTGAGAGCAGAAAACAATGGGGCGAAAATGCAAGGAAATGGCAAAAAAAGCTATACCATAGTAGTGTCGGGCGGAGTTTCGGAGCACGCCACAGCGCTCAAGACACTTAAACACTGTGGTACTGTGTGTCCAGGAGCGGAGACAGAGCGTCCTTCCCGTCCAATACCCCACGGTTTACTGGGGCAAATTGGGTAGGCAGAGCACTACGTTTGGCTTGGTTGGGACGTAAATGACAGTGGTAGGCTGGGCTGACTGACTGACTGGCGCACCTGGCGGTAGCTCTATTTCCGGCTGCCGGATGGCTGCTGATGACATAATCCTCTCTAGTGAAGATAGGCGGTGACTGCCGGTACGTATAGCGGACTCGCCCATGACCCGATGACCCCGACCGTACCGAAGCACGCTGTCGTTATACCGCACAGTGCGCACTCATGACCCAGCCCCCCTTCCATCCTCGTCTCTACCCTCCATCTTCCATCTCCATCTCGGCGTCGATCACCGAATCCCTACTTCGGACTATACTTGGGATGCCTGGCCACCACACTCCCATTGTTCCAACAGAAACCGTTTGCATTGAACCCCAAACACGCCCTCTCTTTCCCGATCAATGCTCCCCGTTTCATCATCACTTTTGATCGTGGGGTAACCGCTGCTGTTCAGGGACGAAAGCGGCTGACGTCCTGGGAACGCCGTCCTAATTTGACTTCTGACAGCTTTCTTGGAACGCAGTCCATTCCATGCAACAAGAAACTACATGCATGGCTGAGCTTGTCAGCAGTAGCACTACGTCGTGTGTGAAATTCGAGGCTTGCGCTTGTAAACACAAATAGGGGTCCCCCGCAGGCGGGATAAACCTGGACAGTTCTATGCATTCGTCATGTTTCGTTGTTTTAATACCGTCCTTCTTGTTTCCTCCTCGTCGTTTCTTCAGATGAATAGCATCCTCGAACTGTTTCCCGTCAACTACACGTTGATTCTGGTTTCTTTAATGTGTGCTTCACGGGTGCACGTTGGCCGTCAACCTCGGTACCAGAACCCTCGCGCTCTCGAGTCCCGAGTGGCGAGATGTTGAGAGATTCGCGCGTCATGCTGAGAGTCGAAGAAAATGATTCCGTGACTTGCTGCGTTTCAAAATTTGGTCCTGTTCAAGAGCACAACAACGAGCTTGCTAGATGTGGCCGGTTGTACGCATCCGGCTGAGCTGTTGAGTTGGAGGCCTTGGATATTCTGATAGAACACAACTCGCTTTTAGGTCTTACCCGGACACTGAGACTTCCTCAGCTTGAGATAGCTCGACTTGTCTTCCCAGATTTGGCAACCCTCGGTGAGATGATCGAGGGTTCTATGGACGGCAACGTAGCGAATTATAAGGCTCGAACAATAACAACAGACATGGGCACCATCTTACACGTAGCGACAGGACAGGGTCTGATTTCATAACTTTGAGGTTCACGTCTTCGTTTCCACTTCTGGCAGTGTTCCTACGGTTGAATTGCGCTTCAAAATCTCAAAATGTATTGCCAGAGGCAACATCTAAGTTGCAGACTGTTGAATTATGTAGAGCTTTCTGAACCGTGGTTCCTTCAACCCGGAATGCATTTGCTTTTTTTTGTCATATACCGAACAATTCCGTTATTTATGCTCGACAAACCGTTCAGTCACTGCCTCTTAATGCCCAAAACTGTGGACAAACACATAGTCTTTTTCTACTGCCGCGCATGACCAGCGTCAAAGTCTCCTCGGCTCCTCATCCCAGCTATATTACAGCTTTGACATAAACCTCTCAACACGGTCTTCCCGGCGCTTGGCTGCGCGAAAGCCTATGTAATGTGAATGAGGACCTTAATTGCGATAGTCCACACCCCTCCGACTATCAATAGAAATGACGAATCGACAGACCCCAAGACGGATGTTTGAGTTTACGTTACGGGCTATGTCATCCCGGCCGAACTCCACTTCCAAACCAACTGAGAAAATCTAATAAAGTTAAAAGACATCACTACGACTACGATGGCATGTAGTTGCTGTTCTTGGCAACTTGGAAAGCGGAATTTGGAAGAGATTCTTGGTGCATACGATGCTGACGATCTTTTCGAAATACTGATACCGAAAGACAGCACAAGCTTTTTCAAAGCATATAACGTAGTAGAACCAAGTCAATTAACTTAACTATCCTTATGTCGAGTCAGACGCGCAGTGTCGTCCATTACAAGTACACATTCACCGACGGCCGCGAGTATCCCACCGTCTTCGGCCACGCGCTGTAATCGGGCTCGAAAAGGATGGCATCGTTACACGCGCTGCCCAGGGACGTGTTGTTGAGCCAGGCCGGCTCCCAGTACCACACGCCCTGTCCGAGACCGTTGGGCACCTCGCGGACGATTCTCAGAACCTCGCCCATCCACTCAATCTGGCCCTCGACGCTGTAAGGGATGCTCGGCTCCGAAGAAGGCGGGATCGGGTTCCATTGACCGTTGCAGATGGCCGGGTAGTCGGTTTCGACGACCTGTTGCGGCTTGTTGTACTTCTCGCCCATGACGCGGAGCGTGGTCTCGAGGTTCTCGAACGTGGCGGATGTGCCGTAGAACGGGTAGAAGCTGTAGCCGAACACGTCCCACGCGGACAGCGGCACGTCGTTCTCAACAAGCGCGCCGTACCATCGCTCCTGCAGCGTCAGGTTCCAGCCGTTGTCAATGTGCAGCATGACCTCTGGCTTGGGCACCCCGGCGCACGTTGCGTCCTTGACACCAGCGCGAGCCGCCTTGTAGAGCGTAGCCAGACCAGCAAAGCTCTCGACAAGCTCCGACCATGGCTCAACGTCGACATCAACATAGCCAATTGGCCACAGCAGACCGTGACGGAGCTCATTTCCGAGGGATACGAGGTCGAGCTTGACGCCGGCTTCGTTAAAAGCGACGAGCGTCTCGCGGACGTACGTCCTCAGTCTACCAGCCAGGGGCTCCAGCTCCGTCGGCCACGCGGCAGGAATAGGCTGCTTCTGCGGGTCCGCCCACCAATCGGTGAAGTGGTAGTCGAGGAAAATGCGTTGTCCCTTGTCCTGGAAGCGCTTCGCGAGCGCAATCGTGTAGTTGAGGCCGTAGGTTCCGTCGGGAGGATCGACCCAGAGGCGCAGACGGACACCGTTCATACCGCCGTCAGCCAGAATGTCGTCGGCGGGTCGCTCGATGTTGCCGCGTGCCGTGTCGACGAAGATGTTCTGAGACTCTTCCAGCATCTTGAGGGAGCTCAAGTCATGTCCCTTGTAGAAGAAGGGCTTCTCGGGGCTGGCACTGCGTTTGCTTTGTTAGACGATATCTCAGCATCAGACCTCTTCGTAACTTACTTGCTGTCCACAGCAGCGGGTGCCGCTGTAGCCAGGGCCGTTAGGCCAAGCAGAGAGAAGAGCCGGGGCGCGATCATGGTGAAGTGATGACACACGATGCCTTGCACAAGCTCTTTGCATTCACATAGAGGGAGCTTGCCATTATATATGGCCCTCATTCATTCACCGCTTCACGTGCCGGCGGGCGCCGAACCATGGTTCTGTATGCCAAGAGCAAAATAAACGCAACCGAGCTGTCATGAGTTCGGCAATCTTTTTCTTTTAGTTTATCCCTCAATTCAACGTGAGGACTCGCGGAAGATCTCGTAGTGGTGTAACTGGAGACGGCCCGGTTGCGGGGGCTGGGGTTCATCGCGGGGTTGCCGGGGACAGACCCCATCTTTGACCCATTGACCATTGGTGCGCCTGGAAAATCCCCCTTGTCCCTCCCGCATTTTCGGGCAATGTGCCTCCAACAATTTATTGTGTCACTCGTCACTAGCCATGGTTGGGGGTGGAGATGGAATTGGAGAGAAAATATCGACGAGAGGTCTAGACCGTGGAACTGCGGTTTAGGCCGAGGTATCTGATTCGATCATGAAAGTTGTATTATGTGGTGTGATACGGAGGCTGGTAACGACAAGCCTTGGCCTCGGACATCTAACCTTCTGTCAATACTCGGGTCCAGTCGAACTTCCTCCATGTCCTCTTGAACCCCTCGACTCTACGGTCGCCCCTGTTCCACCGGCCTTGCTTCTTAATCACGTCTGGCGCTACGTCCAAAATACCTCCAATGATTTCTCTCGCGAATAGATCACCTCTTGGCCAGCGGTTAGAGTTCTCGACAATGTGCCCAAGACCGCCATCGAGCGTGAACCAGGCATGGAAGTAGGGCATCTCCTTGGCAATGCTGCGTCGGAACGCCATCCTACCCATACCGTCACGGGCCTTGGCGCCAGTGTCGATGATCTTCTTGTGTTGCGACCACTCGTCGTCTGTAGTGAGGAAAGCCTCCTTGAAATACGCCGGCGCCGTAGCACCTTCCTCATAAGGAATTGGCACTGCCATCATAGCGGCGTGAAGATGCCTCTGCGGTGTGGCAGCATTCTCGTAGAAGATCACCTCTTGTCCTTTTTCATGATACATTCTCGTGAGTGACTTCATGAAATTGCGGATCTCCTCCCACTCGTCATCGTCGCATTCCAAGAGGTTCTTGCGATGGGCAATGGGCGTGATGACCGCACCACCCTCGCTGATCTCGGGCTCGGTAGGCAACGTGAGGAACACGCGAGTGCCGAGGGAGATTACCGGCGCCAGAGGCGGTTGTCCCTTGTCTTCGTGGTGACAGAGCGGGCAGTTGTCCAAGATCCGCGACACCTTCTGATACTCGTTGACGGCAACGTTCTTCAGGTTGATCTCTGATTTGTGAACTCTCTTGGCAAGCTTCTCTGCGTTTTCGTCCATGTAATCCAAGTCGTTATCGAATTTGCCGTCCTTCGCAATACGCTCAGCGAGTCGCATACCCTCACCACCCGCTTGACCGCGCGTCCTGCGCTCCTCACGAACCATATCCTCAATTGACATGTCCTCGTTTGCCTCCACATTGCCACGATCTATTCCCCGCTTGGTTTCCACAGCCTTAACCTCGCCTCGCGATCCTGCCAGCATTCGGTTGTCCATGACGCCAAGGACGACAGACTGCGGTCCGTTCGTGGCAAAACTAGCTGCGGCTTGGTTGTATTCGGCTTCCAGCTTCGCAGCATCGGGAGCACGACGAAGCTTAGCCTTCATCATCTGTGCCCGCATTCTGTTCAAAGCTGTTTGGTCGATAGGGGTATGCATCATGGCATCATCGGGAATGACGGTGCCCTGTTCGATATCTTCCATCGGGCCTGAGTCAGCGACCTTTGTCTCCGGGCGGTGCTTTTCCATGCGTTCGCGATACAAGTCGCCAGTGGGCTTCTCCTTTCCCACGTAGCCCTCGCCATACACCTTGCGCCGGTCGATCTCAATCTTCTCTTCCCTGGCGTCGTCGAACTCCTGCAAATCGCCAAACCTCTCCAAAGCGACATCTTCCACAGACCGCCCCGATTCCTCGGCCAAAGTGTAGACGCCCTTGAGTTTGGTCATACGCCACTGAGAGCCGCTGTCTCCAAATGTGTAGTTGATTGTCCTTTCCTTCGGCGGTAGCTTCTCGTCTAAAGTCGTAACGTTGCTCAGATCCCCAAAATCGCGATTAATTTCTCGGTCATGGACCACCCTGACTGGCTCCTCCTTCGGCGGTGGTGGCTTAGCGCTATTGTCTTTGCGCTGAACGTATTCGATTTCGAAGGCCGAAGGCGTAGTCATCCAGGAGTCGCGTACCAGCGGCGTCGAGGGTTTTGTCTCTTCAGGGGCTTTTTCCTCATCGGGTAGAGGCAAATCCTCCTTCGGATCGGATGTCTTCTCGTGTTTCCCGTCACGTGGTTCATCGTCTCTCTCCCTGTGTCTCCTCGACCGTCGCTCCTCGTCGTCTCTTGAATGGCGAGATCGCTTATGTCTATGTCCATCCTCTTCATCATCGTCGTGCCGTCGCGATCTATGATGGCGATGGCGATCATGATCACGATTGCGGTCGCGGTCGTGGTCGCGGTCCCTGGCACTATCCCTATCCCTATCGTGTTCGCGTTCTCGACGTCTCTCAGATGACCTATCGCGGTCGCGGTGGTGGTGATGGTGATGGCGCTGTTTCTTTCTCTGCCTACGTTCCTCCTTGTCGCGTTCAATGCGCTCTCGCTCGCCTTTCTCAGCTGCGAGAGCCTTCTCAAAGTCATCGAGGCCATCCATGGCTCCTATCTACCGCCGATGGGTTGGTGTTGTAAGCAGACAGTTGAATAACAATTGAAAGCAAGGAAGCTCGCGTGGTCAGGTCAATCAAGACTGCAAACGAATTATCGATGCAGGTTGGACGTCACTTCCAGCACGGACCATCTAAATTTTGGAAAGGAACAGGGGGGCGCTGATTAGTAGTTTACAGGGGCCTTGTCCACTCTAACGCCCCGCGCGGGGCATCCAGCTCTTTCTAACTCTTCCAGAACTTTTTTCTAGCGACCGAGAACATTCCCCGTTGAAGCCGACTCTGACTACACCATCTGTACCAAAAAGAAAAAATGGCTTCGACTTCCTCAACCACGCCCGCTCCGGCGACCAATTCGCCGGTCTCTATTGTCGTTGTCGGCATGGCCGGTAAGTGTCTTCTGTCACTACTATAGACTCGGCTTGAATTCCCGCTGACCAATACCGCCTCCAGGCTCTGGCAAGACCACCTTCATGCGACGTATCAACTCATATCTTCACGAGAAGAAGGAGCCTCCTTATGTGATCAACTTGGACCCTGCAGTTCTCAACGTTCCTTTCGAGAGCAACATCGACATTCGCGACTCGGTCAACTACGAGGAGGTCATGAAGCAGTACAACCTGGGCCCGAACGGTGGAATCTTGACGTCGCTGAACCTCTTCGCCACCAAGGTCGACCAGATCGTCAACCTTCTCGACAAGCGTGCAGCGCCAGACCCGGAGAACCCAGACAAGACGCCTATCAAGAACATTCTCGTCGACACTCGTGAGTTTAAACCAGCTATACCTTCGTAAGCTTGTGCTGACATTGTCGTAGCCGGCCAGATTGAGGTCTTCGTTTGGTCCGCCAGTGGTACCATTCTCCTTGAATCTCTTGCTTCCTCCTTCCCGACTGTTATCGCCTACGTTATCGACACCCCGAGAACCACGTCTACAAGCACCTTCATGAGCAACATGCTGTACGCCTGCAGTATCCTGTACAAGACCAAGCTCCCCATGATTTTGGTGTTCAACAAGACCGACGTGCAGGACGCGACCTTTGCGAAGGAGTGGATGACCGACTTTGAGGCGTTCCAGGAGGCCCTCCAGCGGGACGAGATGAGCGACGTGATTGGAGGCTACGAGACGGCAGACGGCGGCAGCGGCGGCACTGGGTACATGGGCAGTCTGCTCAACTCGATGAGCTTGATGCTGGAGGAATTCTACTCCCACCTCAGTTTCGTGCCAGTCAGCTCTCGTCTGGGCACGGGTATGGACGAGTTCTTTGAGGCGGTGCAGGAGAAGGCGGAGGAGTTCAAGCAGGACTACCTTCCTGAGCTGCAGCGCAGGCGGGAGGAGCGTGAGGAGCAGAAGCGCAAGACTCGCGAGCAGGAACTTGACAAGATGATGAAGGGCATGTCGGTGGATGCTGGCAAGAAGCCCCAGGTTGTCAAGCCAGATGAGGAGGATGATGGCATCGATGTTGTCAGCGATGTGGACGACGACGAGATGCCAGATGACGAGGATGACAGGGAAGGACTACAGGCCCGCTACGAGGCAGCCATTGAGGCCGAGGGCGAATCTATCATGGCGGAGGGCAGCTTCGCCAAGTACCTACACACGCGCCAGTCGTAACAAGGTTGGGGACAGTTATGCACATAGAATGAATCTCGGGCACAGGGGATGGCGTTTTAGAAGGTTGCTGCATTATCATGAGATACCTGGAAAAGGAAGAACAGGTGCACAAGATGCCTTGCTCTATGAATTGATTTTGAACCCCCCCAAAGCCCCTAAACTCCTGGAATCTCTGCGTGTTTGCGACGCTGTTTCGGTTGTGTAGCCCCTAGCGTGCCATGTTTTGAGATCCTCCACATGAGGCTTGCTTTCCTCCGCCACGCCCGTCGTCCTTGTTCGCAGCCAGACGACGTCAAATCGCGGGACTATGTCTCAAACCCCTAGCCGCTCTCCAAGACATGCAAATGACGGGACCCCTGTGGCCCTCCTTCGCTCATCGCAGCTCCGCCCCCTTCCTCAAGCACCATCATGACCTCAAGCCATTCCTCGTCATATCATTTTATCTCGCCTCAAACTGAACCATTCTGTAAAGAGTCAGCGCGTGCGCACTTCACGGCAAAACCACCACCGCGGCAAAAAAAGACTCACCTCTTGGTGCGCTCCTTGTACAGAATACGGCAACCGCACTCCTTGCAGCGGATAGGGTCGGCGCGGCGCAGCTGAAACTTGAGGCCGCAGTCTCCGCAGAGGTACTGCATCTGGGGGCCCTCGTTGCCGTAGGAAGAGTAGGCAGCGGCGCTGGGGGCCGAGTTGGCGCCGGCGGTCGGGACCTGGTAAGCTTCGCGGGACATGTTTTCGTTTGGTGAATCTGACGGAAAGGTTATCGGTCGTTGCGAGGGGGAAACTGGCTTGCGACGGTGTTGGTGGATGCGACGGGTAGAGGGAGGCGAGGCAATCGACGATTTTCTTTTCTGGCGGGACGTGGATTGGAAATGCAGGGTGGGCTGGATGACAATTTGTTAGGCGGTGAGGCGCAAAGACGGCAGAAAAAGCAAGGACGTCCTTGGGCGGTGTGAGCGCCCGGCGGGTGTGGGGCTTGGGGAAGGTTGAGAGGCAGAGAGAGAGAGAGAGAGAGAGAGATGACAGCACCTCCGGTCCGGCCCACTTCCCGAGGTTAATGTTAGTGGTACGGATATCGGATATCGCTGCGGGCGCGGGAAACAAATCTTGGGGAGCATGCACTGGGCCAATCTTCGCGTCATCTCTCCCGTAAACTTTGCAAAGCTTGAGGAATTGATTGTTTTTCAAGCTTGGCAGCACACAAACACACATAGCAATCTCCTGTGATAAAACCAAACTTGAATTCAAGGGGCACTAGATAGCATTGCCGCCCTCCGATAATGCAAAAGGGCCTCCTCCGACGCTCGACATCGCATCCCCACGACAACGCATCTCTGGTCTGCCGCCCATCATGACACCGGCCGCCTTCGACTCGGGCGTAGAGCCCCCGGAATCGAGCTGCCCCTTTTGCATTATCGCAGACGAATACCCTTCCTACGACCCGTCCGACCCCCCGCAAGACGACGCGACGCTGAACCCGAATAGAGTCAGTACGCCGGCCTTCGTCGTGCTCTCGACGCCGACCCTCATCGCCTTCCTCGACATCCTCCCGCTGTCGCGCGGTCATCTTCTCCTCTGCCCGCGCACGCACCGTCCGAAGCTGACCGATGCTTCACCGGAAGAGTCAGCCGAGATGGGCCGGTACCTGCGCATTCTTTCCAACGCCCTCGCGCGCACGACGGGCGTAGAGGACTGGAACGTTGTGCAGAACAACGGGGCGGCCGCTGCGCAGGTCGTCATGCACATGCACTTCCACCTCATTCCGCGACCCGAGATCCGTGCCAGCGGCCGGTACAGCGAGAGCTTCACCATGTTTGGGCGAGGACGCAGGGAGGAGCTGGACGAGGAGGATGCCGAGCACTTCGCCAAGGATCTGCGGGAAAACGTGGCTGATATTCTACGGGAGGAGGCACATAAGTCTAAGCTGTGAAGACGAACACTTTTCTCTCTTCTTGCAAATTTTTTATAATAATTTTTTTTTTATTCATGTATGGATTTTAAGATCCTGCTGCATCAAATGTCGCAGCGAGTACGGATAGTTTTACGCTATAGCGTCTTTTGTTTTGTTCGTCTACTCATTATGTGAGTCTACCCAAACTCACTCCCCTTTCGCATACCCAAAAATCATTGCATTTACTCGTCGTCGCCGAAGAAGACCTTGACACCGTCAGGCAGGAAGGTGCCGTCGCAGACCTTGAAACGGTCGGGAATGGCGGAGATCTTGTTGATCTCATCCTCGGTCAGGGACCAGCCGTCAAGGTCGAAGTTGGCCTTGATACGGCCCTCAGAGACGGACTTGGGGATAACGCTGGTGCCGCGGGCAAGACCCCACTGAAGGAGGACCTGCTGGGGAGTGCGACCCTTGGCCTTGGCGATCTCGAGAAGAGTCTCGTTGGAGTAGAGGGGAGAGTCGGTGCTGCCGAGGCAGGAGTAGGCAGTGGCGTGGATGCCCTTGGACTTGCAGTACTCAAGGAGCTTGGGGGAGGGGTTGCAGGGGTGGAGCTCGATCTGGTTGACGGCGGGGACGATCTGGGGTATTTGTGTTAGTGTCTAAAGATGGCACGCACGACAGAACAGAGACGAGAGGTCACATACGGTGGTCTGGGGGTCGTTCAGGAGACGCTCGAGGTGGGTAAGACCGAAGTTGGAGACACCAATGTTGCGAACCTTGCCGGTACCGACAAGCTTCTGCATCTCGTGCCAGGTCTTGACGTAGTCCCAGTCGGGGTAGTGCTTCTTCAGGTCCTCAGGGTCGGTGGAAGAGGGCCAGTGCATGAGGTAGAGGTCGAGGTAGTCGGTCTGGAGGTTCTCGAGGGACTTGGTGATGGCCTCCTGGACGCGCTTGTGCCAGGGGTTGTCGAGCTTGGTGGTGAGCCAGATCTGCTCGCGGGGAACGCCGGAGGCCTTGATGCCATCACCGACCTCCTTCTCGTTGCCGTAGGCGAAGGCGGTGTCGATGTGGCGGTAACCGTGCTTGAGGGCGATCTCGACGGCCTCCTTGACCTGGTTGGGCTGGGACTGCCAAGTTCCCAGGCCAATGGCGGGGATCTTGTCACCCGTGTTGAGGGTGAAAGTGCGGCTGAAGAGAGGAGTCAGTATTGTAATTGTAAGAGTTGCGGGTGGTGGTAGAGAAAAACAATCAAGGAAGAGAAGTTGTGGTGGTAGCGGTGTTAGTGTTACTTACGTGGTCTGCTTAGTGTCGGCCATGGTTGATGTCTGTTGTAGATCTAGACGGGGTATCTTGGAAGAAAGAAATCAAATGGTCTTAAGTGACAGAAAGACGTGAGATGAGAAACAAGAGAGCTATCATGGACTGAGAGACACGGGACATGGGAGCTCTTTTGTACCCTCATCGAGAGGGACACAGAGCCAGTAGATCAACGTAAGCAGAAGGGGGGGAATGCTATACCGGGGCCCCAGCAAAAGGGCAACAGCTGGAGGAGCTAGACGAGCCGCTCGGCATCCTTTGCATCGCCGCTTCTGCAACGTGTTGGGCTTGAGGAGGACCTTTTCTTTCGGTCAGAGAGAAGGTACATCCGACGCGGCATGAAAAAAGTGGTAGAGGAAGGTCCAATCCATTGAGGTGTAGTACACTACACGTACATGGAAACTGCGTCCCCCGCCAACACCCCTGATCCTGCCTTGCCCGGGAAGCATTGCCCCTCCCCCCACCTGGTTTGTACCAGGGAATGACGCAGTAAATGGCAAGGGCTTCAGATGCGTGTGCGTGTTGGATGCGCTTATAGTACTACACATGTATGTACACTATATTTGCCCACTAACTATGTACGTACTGCATGCAGTATGCGCTGGGTGGACAGGGAGGGGGGCCTTTGATATGCCGCCCTATCGGCGTCCAGCCTCCTGTCACTTACAACCACCATTCCGCAAACCTCCTTTGAGGGTGGGGATTTTTTTCTCGAATCCTATCCACGCATGGCAATCTGGTTTGTCCTTTTTGCCATCTTTCATCGGCCACTACTCCCAGTAAAGGCAAGTCCAGGAGTTGATGGAGAGAGGGGAAGCCACAGAAAGACACCGGAAACTGGCCGGCCGTCTGTCTTCCTCAGTTCATAGCCCACTTGCCACCAAGATCGTCTTGTTTACTATTTGCATCGTCTCAACATCTGACAGGGATCGCGATAACATGGAGGGGCAACAGTGGAGGGGGAAAGGGGGGGCCCCGGAAACACAAAGCCAAATGCCATCTCGGTCGGCTGCGGCTTATGAGCGAAGAGGAGAACCAGGAGCGAAAAAAAAAATAAAAGTGATGCTGCTGGCCTGGACCTAGTCAGCCAATTTCACTCCGCTTGATTGGCAGCGCTTGTTACCCGTTCCAATCCGCGTCGTTGGAGCGGGCAAATGTCTCCCGACGCGCGGTTTTTCTTTCTCCATTTCTCTTTGCACTTTTTGTCCCTCTGACCTTTTCCCACTTGTTTTGCCTCACCGAGACCAACTTTGGCCAGCCCAACCCTGGCGCAAGTACCGGGCCAACTGGGACGTCACTCACACATGTCCCCACGATGAGCGCCTGTATTGCGGTACATGATTATAGGCGGACCCGGCCTGGCGGAACCTGGCGCTTCTGACCTCTGCAGCCGCACGAATGTCTTGCCAGGAAATCTTCAACCCCACACTGCCATGACTCTTGGGTCCAACGCCATCTTCTCTGTCTGTTCTATCTCGACGACGACTGGGCCGCTAGAGAGAGGAAGTTCCAGTTTGAATGAATATTCCAGAATCTTCCATTCATTATGCCACGTTAGCCTCGTCTCCATTGGCGCTACAATCGGCGTTGGCGGTTATTGGATCACATGAGTTGGAAATACTTGAGTTGCTGTATCCCACGTGCGTGGCAATACGTTTTGACCCAGACTTGCTTGACATAAATTGCTGCTCTCTCTTTTCCTTTTTTTTGTCCTTTTCCATCCTTCAATGTGTTTGTACTCTTCTCGTACACGGCGGTTGAAGGCATGCAAATTGTCATAGTTCTTCACGAATGATGCCCCTTCTGCCACGTAACTTATTTTACACATTAGAAGCTGTAGGAGTGCTTGAGAGAGTACAGCTCTACAAACAACCGCAAACTGGCCTTGAAAGCATGATGTTGGCTCTGTCAGTTGTTTACTAAAGATTCCTATCTCATGCGCTTGAAGTCTGTTGTTTAATCTTCGTCTTTGTAGTCCATCAAGACCTGTCGTTATATTAACATCGCAACGTCACATTGGACCTCCGCCACTCGGCCCGGCGCACCAGCCGTTGGTTCGTTCTCTCGGCTATGCTGCGACAAATTGCCCGACTTGACGTGCTTTTGCTTTAGGTCAGCCAAGAGTGGCGTGATCGTCCAAAGAAAACGACTTTGTGGGGAGGCCATGCTGTACTTATTCTCCCATCCCGTCATTTCATACGCAAATTGCGCATCTTATGCTTTGTCTTCGCTCTGTATTGTTCTTTTAACCTGGTTCTATTGATCTTTAAGAACAAGTCGTGATCTTCCATTACATGTCTTCAACTTGATAGTCACAGAGGAGGTGTCGACTCCAAGTCCAGCTATAGCTTAACCTTCCCATCCAAAGTCGCATCCCTCAGGTTGAATGTCCCATGGACCCTGACGCTCTCTGGACAAACCCTTGGTCGGCTCATCACAGCTCTTAATTGGCCATCAAGGTCAACAGGGACCCCTGTGCCCGTTAAACTGTCCGATGTGGTTGCATCTAGCTCTGTGGCCTCATTAGCCCTGCTCTCCCGACTGGTCCACCGGACGTATGTTGCGGGGAAGCTCGATTTGTGTTCCGGCTCCCGTCTCGCATGGTGTTGCTGGACGTCCCGTCGGGGGGGGGGGGGCAAGGATGTTTGTGATTCAACAAGCGAACAAGTAGGGTTAGCCACTCTCATCACCCAGCTTCTTGTAGCTTTGTCATTGTGATCTGGGTCTTGTCATCTTGGGACGCCACAGCCAGTAGCTGCGAAACCAAGCCAACAGTACCCTGCCACATGTAAATGCAAGAAAACATCTCAATTCAGTTCAGTCTGCGCTGTAAAAGCCATTTCCAGCAACCTTTAATCATTCAGTCGCCTTCTTGGCGCCTGAGCAACTAACACGCAGCCACAGCGCCCGAGTACCGAGCCACTTATCCCTCAAGCTCTCACCATACAGATGATCTGACAGCCATAGCTGTCTCACCCTGCCGATGTCAAAGGATTTAAGGTTTGTGGGGGATCCGAGTCCCCCCTTGTTTCGCGTCCCTCAAGTTCCGGGCATACTGCAGCTGAGTAATGAGGTGGACCTGTTGGGTCACGGTTTGCAGTGATGAGGAGGAATACTACGTGATGCTCCAAAATGTGGCATAATGCTTAATTGTTGTGGTATTGTACTTCATTTTGTAAATAAGTGGTATCGGCGATAGATTTCGTTGTTGGAACTTGATAACTCGGCTGCTCTTAGCCAGACTAGAAGATGCTTTGTCTCGATGATTTGCCACAACGATATCATCAAGTTAGATAGCATCAACTCGGCGTTACAATCAGCGGTACGAGAATGTTGCAGACTCTTCATATAGACATTCAGTACTGTAATCTATCTGTGCTGTCCAGCTGGCGTGTCTCTCGTCGGATTCACAAGTAAGTCGTTGGATGACCATTACCTCTCGACATGTTGATGAACTATCTATGGATTCTGTCTATTTGTTTTCTGTAATCAACGAAGTTGTTCGTGATAATCTCGATGAAGGTAATTTGTTTAGTTTAACTCTGAGCGAGAAGTTTGTTTATGTAACAGGACAGCAATGGCAGCGTGGGTTTGCGAAAGGCTTCATGCTAGGCTGAAAATACTTAAACGAGGATTTATGAATTTGAGAGATAGACCGAGAGCGATAGTTATACATGAGCAGACTACCGAGTTGAGATTCAAATTAAAACCCATCCACATATAATGTAATCTACCCCTATGGATGGGCACTGGTATTCAGAAAAGTTGTTTATCAAGGAAAGGGATAATCGCGTGTGTTTGATACCTAGCTGCTTTGCTCAACCGATAAACCTATAAGAAAAATGTCGCAGCTAGCGAAGCGAGTAGGGACATTTCGACATGTCACCGTGGTGTGTTAAAACCCTCAACTTGTTAATTGCTGGGCTGGCCTACTAGCCATTCACTGTAGCATTGATGAGACTGAGAAAGCGGTCGGTAAAATACAGCGTCCAACTCAGGACCTAGAACTCATGGCTTTGACCACGAAAAGAGCCAGGAAAAAGAGCAAGACGTCGAGAAGTTTCTTATCGCCAACTCCGTCCCTGAAAAAGACTATACCATCTAGCATATATGTCGTCGGATGACGCCCTGAAACCCCAGTGATAGTTACCTCCCAGCTTACCACCCAACTAATAGACGTGACATCGCGACCTAATTGCCGCTTCTACCAAATTCGTGACCTCCAGCAGCATCTCGATTGAGTTGACGGGCACAAATGACCGCCTGCACCTCTATGAAAGAAGCATGCCCACTTCTACTAATCTCGTTGTTAAAAAGCACCTCATCCCACCGGCGCTCAACCTGAAATGATCATAGCTAGGTAGCCCTCGCCATCATGTAGTCCATTGCCCTGCACCCGATTCTCACATTTTATATTACATTCGAAGCCGATTTACAATTAAACCCGACCTTCCGTAGTAGATCGTACCCGCAACAGCAGATTTATCCCCCCCCCCCCCCCCCCCCCCCCCCCCAAGCCAAACGGCCCGTTACGGCCCCATCCCGCCATCACAAGCGGATCCCCCCGAAAAAGCACACTCCCGACACGGACAACATTAGACCCCCCATCCTTAGGAAGAAAAAAAAAAAAATTAACGATGCCGCTCGTCGCCGACCGTCGCCGCGACCGGCCCATGGCCCCGACCACCGCGGCCACTGCAGCGTCCGTCTGCGCTCGGCAATCGACCAACCACACACCGTGATGATGAGGGTGGGCTGCTGCTCTCTCGGAATAGGATTGCGACGTTAATTGGGCGGCCGGGGGATTTCTGTCGCACATGACGATGCGCGAAATCGGGAAAGGGGGGGCCAGCAGACGGACGTGTAATTCAGTTGGGCAGTTCTGCCTACCTATGGATTGAAGCCTGACTGGAAGGGAGGGTATTTGAGCTCTTTGCTACCCACCCTTTGACTGTAAACGGAGTTCCCATCAACCAAAAGGCGAGTCGTCGAGCCATAGCCGTGCACAGGTTATTCGGTTGCACCGCCGTGGTCTGCCAACGAGATGTAACGGGATGCAACCGATACTGGTCGAAGCATATCTAACTAACACACTTCTCATCATGGTCACGGGTACGATGTTTTTTGATACTGGTTTTCATTGGGATCACTTCCGTCATCTATTCTAGAAGCTGACGATAGAGGATAGAACGACACTACATGACGTACACATGAGGGGGAGAGAGAACAAACAGTTGACGACGAGACAGCAACATGCCCGCGTTTTAGTCCTCAGCGTCACCACCTGCAGCGACGGCAGCGGTCGTGGCGGCCGCGGCATTGCCGTTGGTAGCGCCGGGTGCCTCGGTGACCTTGACCTCACCCTTGGCGGGAGCATCCTCTACGCCGTTGGCAGCCTGTTGATTGCCGTCACCTTCGGCCTCGACCTCCTCTTCCTCCTCGGCATCATCGTCGCCTTCAGGCTCATCTTCAGCCTCTTCTTCTTCGCCGGTCGCCGCGTCATCTCCATCGGCGGTCTCGGTCTTCCGCTTCTTTGAAGGGGGAGCTTTGTCTGCGCAAGTTGATGGTTAGCGATGAGGTCAAATATGAATGAAGCGGATGCAGTAAGTTACCTTCTACGCCGTTGGCTTCCGCATCGTCATCGGCATCGCCTTCCTCTTCTTCTTCCTCTTCCTCTTCTTCATCTTCGTCACCTTCCTCCTCCTCATCATCGTCCTGGTATCTGTAGACACGCGATATTAGCCGTGCTGTCTGAAATAAGCCATTGGCCTGGGTCAGGCTGTCGCAGTAGCTTGGGGGCCACGCGCATAGTTGCGATTACGCGACTGGTGTTGAGAGGAGTCCGGCATGGAACAGCACAGCCAAGCTCAAGTCATTGGCCACAAGGTCTTTCATACTTGAAGACCACAGGAAGAACTTGGCGCAAAGTAGTCATCAAGGGGCTGGGGGAAGCTTACTCCTCTTCTTCCTCGTCACCTTCTTCGTCAGGAAGGGAAACAAGCTCCTCTTCCTCCTCTTGCTTTCTCTTGCGTGTAGACATGATGCTTATAAGGTTCTGGGGTGTTCAATTGGGACAAGATGGGCAGCTCAAGGTGTGTTTCCTGTGTAAAGCCGACTAGAGATGGATGGGAAAAGGAGAGAGAAAGATGTAGGAGAAGTAAGGAGAAAAGGAAAGAGTTGGGGGGCGGCAAGGACGAAAGGTAGGTAAGGTAGGTCGGCGCATAGAAAGCTCTGGGGGAGGGAGACGGGGCCAACCCAAGGTGGGTGGGTGCAAGTCGGCTGGTGGTAGTGTGGTACGGTACCTCTCTACCTTAGCTCTCTACTCTCTGGGACGGGAGCCCAGTGTGCGGTGCGGAACGGGCGTGAGGAGAGAGGAGGGAGTGCGCGGTGGTGGTGCGGTACGGTGCAGGAGGAGGGGACGAGGAGGAGGGAGCTCCCTCCTCTCTCCTCACACAGCTGTGCGGTGCGCGCCCTGCCATACTGTTTGCAAGGGAACGCGTGTGCGAGGCAAAGCCAGATTCTGGCTGAGTTGGAGCGACCACCCCAGAGGCTGGAGTAGGGAGCACCAAGGTAGGTGGTGGAGGGTGGCTGGGGGAGCTTCGAACTTGGACTGGATTGGACTGGGGCCGGCGAGGGAGAAGGAAGACTGGAGAAGTGAGCGATCTGAGTTGAGTGAGAGAGAAAGAGAGTAAGCGCAAGGGCGAGGGGCGTGGGCGCAGAAGTCGAGTTGGTTGGCAGATCCAAACAGGGAAACCAGACTGGCGTGTACAACAAGTCTGATTGGTTGGCAAGCGAAAAGAGCTCGGACCCGTTTGGGGTGGACGAGCAGCATCATCATCCCTGTCCTGCACCTTGCGTACAGCAGCACGGAGATGGGAGAAGACGAAGCTCCGGTGCGACTTTGCTTGCCCTCTTCTCCGAGACGGCCGCCCAGTCGGCACTCTTGCTCCCCCCAAATACCCCAACTCACCTTGTTGCTCTCCTGATATCCGTAAGGTGGGCTGTTGCTGCTGCTGCTGCTGTTGTCGCCGCACCCCTGTGCGAATTAGGAGCTCTGTCCCTGCTTTGTAGTAGCTCTTTTCCATGAGCCAATAACCATCCGGGACGGCTATCAATTTTGTTTTCCGTTCACACCCAGAGGGGTAAACAAGAAAAACAAGACCGAGAGCTGCTGACGTGATGCTAACCGCAACGGGGACGTCATGGATAGCGTCATCACGTGCACTAAACTCTTCCGTCTTTCGCACGAGTCGCACTCCCGCTGGTGCCGTCACTCCAACATGGCTTGGTGTACTTCCGCTCATCACCTTGTACTTGCGCGCACTTGCGTTCGCAGGGTCGCGACAGCCGATCCAGTTGCTAAGGCAAAATGTTACAAACTCGGTCCACCCACTCACACTGTTCATGGTGCTGGACGCTTGTCCCTGACCGAGTAAACCAAAGGGGGGAGCGGGTAGCAACCCGCACATTCGACCCAGCGCTTTTCCCACACTATGGATTACCCGTATCAGTGCAGAACCTGCATGATTAACTGGTTCATCCGAAGACCTTCGTCTGGCGTCAATCTTACAACTCCGCGAGGGACCTCTGGACATGGCCCGAAGTAACGATGCGTTAATTGCAAGCTGGCGATGTAAGCATAGCATATTTGGGAGACACTTGACTCTCTATGAAATGTTCAATAAAGTTATTCCGGTCCGGACGAGAGACCCTGAAGAGGTGTCCGTCTCACACAAACGGATGTTTCCTTGGACGGCGCGGTTCGACAATTCCATGTTAATACCGTAGACATGGGTGTCGACTGACGAGAGCAACACATCGACTTGGAATTGCTGGGTCGTCTGCATACTATGTTGTCTGACGATACCAGAAACTATGGCAGCGGCGGGGGCACATTGCCCGTCTTTAATCAGAAGACCCTGGAAATGACAGCCGCTCGGTTTGGGTAGCCGAAGAGTTGAATAGGAAAAAATAATAGGAATGTGTTTCCTTTTTCCAGCCATCAGGCTGCAACTGCCACTCGCTCGGGGATTCCTGACTAGCGGGCCGAGGGAGAGTGAGACATTCTCGATCCAGAAGCAAGAGATGGCTATCAGGTCGATAGTAAGAAGCAAGGGAAGTACACTTCAAAGCAAGACTGTGGCCGGGGAAGGCCGAATGATATGTGCTTTTGCTGTTCTGTGATCCAAACGTTTCCGGCTGGTTGAGCTCGCTGTTAGATGGGTTCCTGTCATGTTTGAAGTTGTAGAGTAGTAACGGGGAAGGGTGGTATTCAGTCCCCAGATTGGAATAGTTGCGGCCAAGGGTGAGAGATAGAAAGCAAGATGGGAGGCTAGGCTGGCCCAGTGGGGGGAATCTCGCCGAGAAGGACTCTGACGAGAATGTCGGCGACGCTGGGAAGACCATGGCCATGGTCCCTCGTCACCTTCTCGTCATGGAGAAGAGATATGTAGTATTGATGATGGGACAGACCGATCCAACAAAGCGGGGAAATTAATGAAGGGGATGAGAGTGGAAGAGGCCGAGGAACTGTAGCCCTGAAAGCTGACACCGGAGGTTGAGTTCTGCCGTCGTCCAAGGTCTCCTGTGGTCATGATCCTTTTTGTCAAACCTGCCACAAGAGATCGGAGTCATCGATACTCCTCCTTAATGACGGTAGGCGGCGGAGACGGAGCGAAACGATGCATGAGAATGGTGAGATTAGTATCCGTTGGGTGGCCTATCCTTGGTAACCGGAGATCCATGCTTTCGTTGTCTTGGACCTTGAGGCTGACTAAAAAGAAACAAGAAACGGGAGCGATGGACACGAAGCTGGTGGGAGAGACAGAGATTGGAACGTCATCCCGAATGAGACGCAAGCCATCAGCTGGAACTCAGGCCAGTTGGTCAGCAGGACAGGGAACGGGAGGCTAGTCGAGTCCAAACAGAGGGAACGACGGAACAAGGTCATGTCATGGAGAAAAAGAAACAAAAATGCCCCAGTCATCAACAGAAAGTGGAAAATAAAGGCAAATATTGAGCAGCAGAAATTGGGTCAATGAATGAAGAAAGATGACGGAGGACGAGCAGATTTTCTAAGGCTCTTCCCGAAAGGGGAGTTCGGCCAGTCAGGATCGGAATCGGGCTCTTACCCGGGAAATTGGAAGGTGATTGGATAGAGGGTGATGGCTACTCGTTTTGGAATAGCTTCAGGCACCAGAGGCACTAGCAAACCATCTTAGGCAAGGCCCTGGTAAAGGAAAGGAAAGGAAAAAAAAAAAAAGGGCCCAGCGGAAGTCATAGGCGAAGCAGGGCAGGTCTAGTGTAAGTGGTGGTCCCCAGTGGTCCCAGTGGAAAGGAAAGGGCGACTGGGTTGAATGCCCTGCTACACTACGGCTTAGCAGCCCCTGGGCCAGCCAGTTGTGCCTGTTGGCCGTCATTGTCCGCGGCCAGAAAATGTTCCCCTGGATGCTGCCCCCCTCCCCCCTGGGAACCCCCGATTGCCCCTGCAGGGGCGTTACACCTGCCTTTGCTCGGGTACATAGCACACTGCTGGGGCGTTGCGTGGTGGTCGCGGGTGGGTATCCGGGTCATCGTGCAAGGGGGGCTCGTGCTCCCAGTCCACCGTCCCGTCCATGTTCCTGATTGTATTTTAGTACCCTGCACCTGCAGGCTTTGCAACGGTCTAGCAATGTTTCGAGGTCATGAGTGGGTTGTCAAGGCTTGGATGCCGTTGGGGCTGTTCTGTTTGCCAGGTCCGGCAGGGAAAATAATATGAGAGTATCAGGGCGCTCGCGGTAATAATTGACATATTATTGGACTTGGGCGGCCAAGGAAGGCGGGAAGACTACGGAGAGTGGACGACAGGCGGGACCAAGTAAACAGCACATCAGACGGAACCTAGCCTGCTGCCTCGTTTTGCTGGAATTGTGAGGTACCCCTGGATGTAGTTTGGTGGTGTACCACAACCCGAGTCGATGGAATCTGCTTCGAGAAGGAAGAACCGGGGCACTACGCATGCAGTCACACAGTTAGCTGACCGACTTTGACTGGGCTTTGACCGTGTAATGGAGGGATGATGGATGAGCGATTGCGGGGAAGGATGGCGCCTTTGTAGTCGCCTCGTTAAATTTGGTAGCTATGTGGATGGAGCATTGAATCGAATTGATTACTTCCAATTGATTTTTTTTCCTCCTCTCTTTCTCCTTCTAGTTCGCCCATGTAGATAGTGGCGGGCATCGGGAGCGGCCAGGTAGATCCGGGAGTCGGAGGTTCCAGCAAAAGGACGGAGAAGAGCGATATACGGATACCAGGTGGGAAGAACAGGACCCTAGAGCCCGCCATGTGTCTGACTCTTGACTCTCACCGTTTAATCAATCTATTGCTTCTATGGTCTTGGTCCTGGAAGGTGGTCCTGAGTGTTTAGGATTCGGAAATGGCGCCCCTGGAGCCAGCGGCACAAATGCATTTCTCGCCTTCATAAATCAGCCTTCATTGGAATTGAGATTTGGGTGTGCTGAAATTCCATCAAGGCGGAAGCCATTAGTTGGTCCGTCCCTTTTTTTCTCTGTCTTTTTTTTTTTTTTTCCAGACGGGAATTTCCATCCAAATTGATCCATCCGTAGACGACCGGCGGACCCGCGAAAGCGAAGTGAAGATGACCAGGGGAGGACGATGATACGGGAGAAGAGGATCATCCAATTCAATCTCAATCCCAATCTCGTCAATATTGTGCATGTGTTCCTTGTGGCAGTCGCAAGTGTAGTGTTGTGTATCTAGTGTCGCGTATGTGTATTTCGCTACACCTTCTTTCCATCATCTGTTCCCTTTCCTGCTTTTTTGCACACCTCCTCCTTCGCTTTCACTCGTGCCTGCCTACCTCCACCTGCACTCTGCCTGCCTTCCACACTTTGCACCAGCACCTGCACCTGCAGTCTGCACTGGCATCGTGGGCTCATTCCCTTTTGCTCCTACCGCTATTATCGGAAAGTTCTTTCCATCCAATCCTTCCTTACTTTCCTTTTTTTATCTCCTGCTTTTGATCCGTACCTACCGGATTTCATCTTCGCTACTCGTCGGTAATTCGCCCGAAAAACAAAATTAATCTTTTTTTCCCCCTTCCTTTTCTCGTACACTCTCACTTCCTCATTTCACTGCCATCTGCAGTCCATCTTTTCTTTCCTCTGTTTCGATACAGAGTGCTTGGCCGACATTCCTCCACCTGACCGCCAATCTCGTTCCTTCATCAGCACTCGACTCGACTCGACTCGCTCTAACTCTCTCCGCAGTGTCTCTCTCTGACTGCATCCGTACTGCACCGTCCCAGTGAGAGGACCGCCGGGCTGGCCAATCAATACTCCAATCATCTGACCGCGGCCGTCGTTCCTTTTACCTCGTGGCAGCGCCTTCCAAACATCTGACGCACGAGTCAATCCCTCTCTGCGTCTCCGAGACACTTCAACCTTGGCGACGCCACATATGTCCGGCTTGTCTTGAACAACATCAAAGCAGTAAAAACAAAAGAAAAAGAAGGAAGACGCCCTGGAGCGGTGAAACACTCGAAGAATTCCAACAAGTCGACGTCCCGCGTGTCTCTTTTTTGTTGTTTTTTTTTCTCTACTCTTTCTCAACGACGCCTGTTTTCCCATCTTTGGCTCGAGCCAATGACGACGCCCTGGTCCGGGTCCAAACGCTCGCTTCAGTTTTAGCATCTTCATCTGCGACAGCAGGCATCCGCCCCCCAAAAATCCGCGTCCCAACCACCAACCACACTCAGAGACCACCACCACGAACAAACACCCACATACCTTGTCGTGTGTGTGTGTGTGTGTGTGCCTTGCCTCGATACCTCCACAAGCCAAGGTACCGCCCGAGCCATCGATACCACCAGCTATACACACCGTACTGCAACGTACCAGTCGGATGACGCTCCCTTGGTCCCCTCATTTTACCGACGATAACTTCCCTTCTGCGACTGTACCAGGTGTCTGAGCCCTTTCCCGAACCTGACTCTCCGCGTCTCTTGTTTCGCACTCCCGACCTACGATCCAGACTCAGACCTCTTCCATTGACTCAACTGCTGGCCGATCTTCCACTTCCAAGTTTTCCCCCTTACTTCCGCCCCCAGTTTGCATACGCATGAACCGTTCTCAGGGTATCACCTCGTCCTACACCCTGTGTTTTCCCTGGAAGCTTGCCGCCACTCTTCATTCAGCTTGACTGGATTGTCACCCTTTTTTTTTTCCGTTTTTCTTCTCTGCACCACCTTCGTACCGACCGTTCTTCAACCTGCCATATCCTGGCCTCCAGCAGCGATCACCCATTGAAGCTGCCCCGCCCGACCAATACCAACTTCTCATTGTTGAGACTGCCCAGGACGGTTACTGCCAGACGCAAGGTTAATGCATGTACCGCAATGGTACTGTACCTGACGACTTTGATTGCCCTACCGCAGCCAACGTGCAACACGGTTACTTGATCACACTACTGCAACACCCGCCACAAAGCCACTACCTGCCTATCACTTTGCCTACCCGGACAAGTCGAGTAAAGGGAAAAAAGAAAAATAATATTCGCGAGCTCGACGCATTCTGCGCCCGGCCAATAACTCTTATAGCAACTGCTGCCGCTGCCAATTAACGGCCGGGGGGACTCAGCTGAACATGACCCTCATGGCCGTGGCAGCGGACTCTGGCCAACCCGATGCCCAGATCGCTCCGGGAACCATGGAGGACCAGGACCCCAACGTCCACCGTCAGACGAGCATAAAGCATCGCCAGTTCGGAATTTATGCTTCAAGGCGGGCCCATCCGAAACCCGTCCCAGCTTCTGACGTTCCAGAGCGTCCCGAGTCCGACTCCCCAGCCGCCAACCCTCCACAACAGGCGCATCCCTTATCCCCCACTTCACCTCCACGCTGGGACTCGCTGGCAAACAATTCCAATAACTTTGCGAGGCAACAACAAAACCTAATCGATTCCCGGGTACAGTCGCAGTCGCCTCGACGTCCCGTCTTCCATTCTGCCCGCCAATACCCTGCTTCAGACCGTCCTTTTGCCTCGCCCTCTCCTAGTCTCAGCCATGGTTATGAAGAAGACGACGATTTGAGTGCAGACGAATGGACTAGCAGAGCCCTCGCTCGATCGATCAGATCTCCCGTTCCCTACGACGACGACGACCGTTCCTCGATCGATACCATGCAGGTAGACAACTTCTCCCGCCCGAGAAGGCCAAGCATTAAGCAGCCGGTACAGGACCTTTACGGTCCTCGGCAAGCGAACCACTCGCCCTCGGACCCACGCTCAGATGGCAATTCGCATCACCATGCATGGCCGCGGGCGCGGGGACAGTCTGGCTCTTCCTCCAGATCTGCCTCGACCTTCTCCTCGATCCCTGCCGCAGGTAACGAAAACTACGAGCACCGCACACCGTCCCGGCTCCGGAGTGCACCGCCTCCGTCGAGCCTCGCCCGGCCTCCATTGGCGTACGGCCGAGTCGATAGCTCAAGCTCTGGCTTGTCTAGCTACGCGCGCGAGGCGCCATGGATGAGTGGAGACGAGATGAGGTCTAGCTACCGTTCTCAAATGACTGCTTCGAGCGCGCAGGGCACGTACGTGACGGAAAGAAGCAGTGTCCTCACCAAGAATAGCTCGATCCCGTCCCTGTACGCTAACGGCGAGGAGCTTAGTGTCGAAGACGTTATGGGCATGTACGAGAAGGGTTTCCAAGACTCGAGCCCCGAAGACAACGATGATCGTCCCGTCCCGGCGTCTGAAATTAACAAGCGGAACACGAAGATGCTCGAGGTCCTAAGCGAACCGCTAACGTTACCCACTAACTCATCTTTGGCCGTCCCAGTTGCAGATACTGTTGTTCGTGATTCCACCGCAATGTTTAGGGTGTCCGGTTACCCATCATCTCTGCCGAAGGAGGTCGGCATGCTCGATTACGACGGGAAGGAGGACGAGATGGACGAGAAGGAGAAGAGAGATTCGGCGAAATCTCTCCAGAACGACGACTCACCATCATCATCGCCAAAAATGAGTAGTCCAGCAACGTCTGTGCAAACGGCTGTCGAGCCCGAGGAAATCGAAGAACCTGGGGCTCGAGACCGTTACGGGTTCAAGAAGGCCAACCAGTACATTACCAGAGCGCAATACGATGCCTGGGATAAGGGATATTCTCAGTACCTGGACCGAAGACGCAAGAAGTGGACCGCCTTTTTGAAAGAGAACGGACTCATGACAGATCGTCCTCAACGATTCCCTCCTCACAGTGCGAAGGCAAAGCGTTTCGTCCGTAAAGGCATTCCCCCCGAATGGCGAGGCGCTGCCTGGTTCTACTATGCGGGCGGCCCTGCTATTTTGGCAAAGCACTCGGGCTTGTACGACCAGCTACTGAAGAAAAAGGCCAAGGATGTCGATATCGAGGCCATTGAGCGGGATTTACACCGAACATTCCCGGACAACATCAGATTTAAGCCGGCAGCCATGGCTGGCAAGCCCAATACAGAGCCCCAAAGAAGAGACAAGGAAACTGAAGTTGGCAACGACAAAGAGACTGCCAACAATGAGCCTCAAATTATCACGGCCCTCAGGAGAGTTCTGCACGCATTCGCCATCTACAACCCCCGAATCGGATACTGTCAAAGTCTGAACTTCCTCGCTGGTTTGCTGCTCCTATTTATGGAGTCGGAAGAACAATGCTTTTGGCTACTAAATGTAATTACCCGACTGTACTTGCCTGGCACACACGAAATGAGCCTTGAAGGATCCAAGGTCGATCTCGGCGTCCTGATGAATGCCATTAGAGAGTCGATGCCAGCTGTGTGGGCCAAGATCGGTGACGATCTGGAAGGTGACCCCAACGCGGTGCGGCCGCCGGCGAAACCGGCCAAGAAGCCAAGATCAAGGAGAAAAAACCAGCCGAGCATCTCGTCCAACCGCCTTCCGCCCATCACACTCTGCATGACGGCGTGGTTTATGAGCTGCTTCATCGGAACACTGCCCATCGAGAGCACGCTTCGCGTGTGGGATGTTTTCTTTTACGAGGGATCCAAGACACTCTTCCGGATCGCGCTCGCTATTTTCAAGCTGGGAGAGTCCGAAGTTCGGGCTGTCGCTGATCCGATGGAGATGTTCTCCGTTGTCCAAGCAATGCCTCGTCGTTTGCTGGACGCCAACGCTCTCATGGAAGCCACCTTCAAGCGCCGTAATGGATTCGGTCATATCAGCCAGGATACTATTGATAGTCAACGACAAGAACGTCGTGACAAGGTTCAGACGGAGCGGGAAAGAGCGGCCACATACGCAGTGGACAGCGGACACGTGACCGAAGCCGAGGGTGAGGTCCGTAGGAAGGGTACCTTGTTCGGACGGAGGAAGCTAGGGAGATCAGCGGAAGTGATGTGAATCCCTTGGAGTAGGGAAAAGCAGTAGGTTGCATGCATATCGTTGAGCAATGGCGTTTGGGGAAATTGCATTTAATGGTAATGACTACATGGCATGCGGTACAACTGGCAAGCGAAAAGGGACATCATCTTAGAAGAGGGCGTGGACCAGCCCGTAACATATTGGAATTTTGGTCAGCATAGAGCAGATGTATGCAAGATTGCCTGACTGGAACAGCATGACTGTCGTACAAAGCAAGCTCTGCCACAGGGTGCAGAAGACGCCCACACAAAAGGACAAAAGTTTTCTTTGTAAAAGGACCGAATTTACATGATGATTGATGACAAGTTGTGACGGTGAAAGATGCTGTAGAAGAGAAACAGTTTGCATTCTATCTCGAGGCTGTCCATGTGCTACGACAGAGAAAGATGGAGCCAGCAATCCGTTATCTTGGCTTATAATCAATTGTTTCTGTTACCATCTTGTAGGCAGTCATCAGGCTGCAACACGCCCCAATTCAAATTCCGTGTTTAGGTGCCTTTTGATACCGTGGGAAATAGATTCCAAAAGGTCAAGTGTAGTGTGGAAAAAAGCTCAAGTTAAAGTAGTAGAAAAAGTTCAATTTCCCTTCCCATCCCTGCAACGCCGTCAATGCTAGCCGTTAACAACGCCATCATTTTGTATGTTTCTTTTTTTTTTTTTTTTTTTTCTTCTTCTTTCTTCCTTCCTTTCTTTTCGATGTAAGGCATTCTTCGGGCTCTTTTGGTATCGTGATCACCTTAAGGCAATGATATGTTTTCCCCCTTCCCTCCGCCATCGTCCGTCTCATTTATCCATGTCCTGGTCTAAATCGCACATGCGGCGTAGACAGGTGACGCGCTGCGTACGCTCTCTCACTTGGCTTCCGGGATGGAAAAGTTGGCGGTGCCCTTGGCGTAGCGGGTGACGTAGGCCTTGGCGTTCTTCTCGAACTCGGGGCGGTTGTTCTTGTACTCCTCGGCGATGCGAGTCTCGAGGGGGTCGTCGGGCTGGGGTTCGACCAGAAGGGACCGGACGGCTTCGAGGACGGCGGCGAGCTTGGTTGCGGGCTTCCAGTTCTCGGGCTTGAGCATGCCCAGGCAGATGTTGCCGTTGTTGTCGTTGGTGATGTTGGGGTGGTAGATGCGGGTTGCGAACTTGACGACGGGGGCCTTGAAGGGGTAGTCCTTGGGCAGCTCGACAATGACGGCGAAGACGCCGCCGGCGTAGGGGGAGTTGTCGGGCCCTTGGAGGGTGACGTGCCAGGTGTGCAGGTCCGAGTCGCGGGCGAGGGCGACGGTCATGCCCGTGGGCGGGGAAGAGGTGACCTCGGTGAGTTCCTGGAGGGTTGGGAGGTGGGAGGTTAGCTTGAGAGAACCGCCGAAGCCAGCAGTGCGGGATATGGAGGGTTTGAATGTTTGTTACCTTGGCGATGCGCTTGCTCGACATTATGGGCGGGTTGGTTGGTGGTTTGCGGTGTTGGTGGAGTGGTGGTGAGCTTTGCTAGAATATGGGGGGGGGAGTGTAGCTGGTAACTCTCAAGGTTGCAAGCTCTTGATCAGCAGCAAAAGATGGGCGTCAAGAAAGTTCGTCTAGAGGGAGAAAATGGAGCTCGATTTGGGTTGCAGAAATAAGTTGGCTATCAACTAATAAAAGCAGCGAAAGAAGCAAAGAGAAGCTGGGCCTGTCAAAGGTGACAATTGATGACTGAATTGGTTTGTCAGAGTGGGAAGCAATAAGCTGAGGTCTCGACCATGGCGGGGTAGCTGGTTTTAAGATGTGGTGGGGGTGAGGTCGCTGAATGAGTGACGCCAGGCTCGGTGCTGCCACTGGGCGGTTGGCGGCAGAAACCAGCGCGGTGAGGCAGCCAAGCCACTGAAACAGGCAGCTATCTGGGGAGCTCTACAGTTGGTGAATGTGGGGCAGTGTCACTACGGCGTCACTACGAGCTCAGTCTGAGGTGAACGATTTGAACAAGGGCTGATAAGATCTAGTTTGTTCGATCTATTCACTCACCGGGGAGTAGTGAAACAACTTCGCCTGTAATATTCCTCAGAAGATATCAGGGTCAAAGGGTATACTGCCAATTGTGGGCTGATGATATCGACATTTGACTCACTCACCGGCGGTACTCACCCAATCACGCTGCCTTTCTGCTTGGACGCCTCCGTAGCCTCAGCCTTTCTGGGAGTCGAGACCCTTTGAGGCCGCCATGTTGCAGTCATTCCAGGCTTTGAGAGGCTGAGGCTGTCAGGGGAGACGATTCTGGCTTGGAGCTGCAAATGTGTTCTTTTTTGGTTGCCTCTCAGCCTCGGAAAAAGGTACGCCATTCAAAGTGAGCGCTGACTTGAATCCATAACAGCACTGAGAAGTCATCGGCTTTGGACGGACAAGTGTCCAGCAGATCGTCTGGTTACTTTGCTATCCGCCGTATGCGATGCGATGTTTGAGAAACTTGAGTTGGGATGGGTAGAATGTTTATACGTGTACTACTACGTTAGACTCGTCCCAGCAAGTGATGCCCGTGATTCGAAGGCTATCACCTTTCCAGCCACCGTATACATCACCGGCCGGTCTTTGAGTTTATACCGTTGTCAGCCGCCTAATTTGAGGGACTGAGCACGCGAGCTGTCTTCGACCTGGGGTTGCGCGGCTTACTTACGAGGCACCAACGCGGCTGGGATGAAGGCGGACAACCGGCCGCGCACATCATGCACACCTGGATGTGCTAATCTTACTATCTTAGATTCAATCTTAATGCTTATTGGGAGGGTAGGGCACGTAACCGGGTTGAGAGTAGGGAATGCCCGCACACCCAACTCTTAGATCCATCTCCCATCTCGGCCGGGTCACCTGGTCGGTGCATGGTGGCCCTCCTCTATCCAAGGGGAAACTTGAGGGAGACATGTGGGAGCTTGATTCATGTGCCAACTGCAGTATTCCCAGGCTATGGCTAGTTCGCCCGTCCGGATGGCGGAAGACGAAACCAAGCCGGTGCCTCCCACCTGCACTGTGAGGTGCAGTAGCGGGTGATCTCTTGGCTAGGGTCCCTTCGGCTTGCATCTGTAGCACCCTCGAGATGCCCAGGTTCTAGGGTGCCACAGTGCTTAGGATGGCTGGACGATGTTTGATTGAACAAGTGTCTCTGGTAGAGGGTCCAGCAGGAACTATGTGTTTATCATGGTCCGGGGGATGTTATCATGACAATCATTGACTAGATTATGCAATAATTTTTTTATTTTTTTTTTTCACCAAGAGTTATAAATGGGCCTTCAGGAAACTGGAGGCCTTCCGCGGAGCGGAGTTCAGTGAGCGCGTTCCTCCGGAACCTCTCGGGGATTGATGGGAGCCGATAGGTCCGATATACCCGGACAGGTCCCCCACCGTCCGCAGCTTGGGTATTAGTGAAAGATTGCTGGAGGGGATAGAAGAGTGACAGCTCAAGCGAATGCGGAAACGGAAGCGGAGCCACTCAGCCACCAGCCAGCAACCCGGAACCCGACGCTATTGCTGCAGTCTTCGTATTTTGCGGTTTTAATTATTGGTTTACGGTGCTTATGGATCCCTGAGAGGTGGTCCCAAAGTTGTAGAGCTGTTGGGGGTGGTAAAAAAAGACTCTGGTACAGTAACCCAGCGAATTACAAGTGCACAAAAAAGGGCACTCTCCTAACTAAACTTATGTACAGTTATTGCGCACTACGTTAATGAACTATTACGTTCCCCCAGAAAATCTGCAACTGCGCCTCGCTACTACAGGATCTCCAGCTCCGGGGCCTCCATTCATCCAGTCTTTTGTCTTCTGTCTGTCTCTATCACCTCTCGATTAGTCCAAGAGCCGAGCCCATCCCATCTCATCCATCCCTCGACGCGGTGGACTCGCCGGTGCATGAACGAAAAGCCCTTAGCTCCAGCTCTCACTAGTAGCCACCCATCCGAGCCTGTCCATCCATTTGATTTTAACCCATTTACCCCCCGCTCCCCGCGCCACAACTGGACTTTCTCGACTTTTACTACTTTTAATGCCCTCAAGACCGAATACGTGTATTCGCTTCAGAGCTTCTGATGCGTGGTGAGGTGTACATCCATCGTCGATGACCTAACTACGTGCCTATCATCATCCAACCCCCTACCTGCATACGCTGAGTACGGATACGCCCATTTGATCTCACAAAACCAACGACGGCCGTTGCAAAAAGGGAAGGGAAAAAAAAAAGAAAAGAAAGCTTTGGCCGATCTGGAGTTTGTTGACTCGAACAGTACGTGCATCCCTTACTTATTTAGACTCGTGCTCATTTATCGACGCTTACTCTGCTTTGCCTACACCTACTTGACGTTACCCTACCATTCCCTGTCTTGTCCGGTCTTACTCTTTCTCTTTTCTCATCTTACTCTTACAATCTTACTGTCACAATCTCGCCTCTAACATCTTCTCCCAACCAGCAGCAAACAGTTTATTTCTTACTCCAGTCAACTGGTAGAGCCCGCCCAACCTTGCTTGGCGAGCTAATGACCCCAAACAGCTCAACCAACAGACCTCACTTGAGCGTCACGGCACCGTAAGCACAAGCGCTCAGCATACAACCATCAACAGCACAGGCTTTTATGCTCAATGCCGTTTTCGGCTCTCACATTCTTCATCCACTCCGTGCTTTAGCCAGCCTTTGTCCCAAGAGGCCATCGTCCCCCCCCTTCTCATCCTTATTCTCTCAAGAAGCCCATTTCCCTCAGCGTGTGTCCCATATTTAATCCCACCCGCTGTCGCCACAACTCCGGAGTGGTCCTTTCAGACGCCGTTCAACTGGGGTAGACGTCATTCTCCCCAATCAGTCGCCCAGAAATCGGACACTCAACCCTTGTGTTTCAGCGCCAGATTCGTTCGCCTGGGATCCACGGCCCTTTCTGGTTTGTCTCTTGTTCTTCTCAGCGACGTCGCCGGAGTGTTTCCGGTTCCAAATAGCTTTCGCGACGCCGAGGCTCCGATTGCACCCAGACAAAAAGAGGACAAGTGTGGCGGCCTTATTTTTTTGAGGGGTTGGTCCTGTTGTGATAATTATTACACGTCACAATTTTTTTTTTTTACCCTCTCTCACCCTTGACCCGGGTAAACTCACTTCTCACTTTGCACATACTCACGCTCAGCGCCTCACCGCCGGCACGATGAGTAGACTCGGCTCATGGTTCCGCTCCACGGCGGGCAAGGTGAGCGTCAGCAGCAACCCAAGCCCGGCGGCTTCGCAGGTCAATCTGTCCGCCAAGGAAATGGCTGATATCGAGGAAGCCATGGCTGCCGCCGGTCTCATCATGAACGACGACATTGACGGCGCCGAGGAGCGCCTCCGGAAGGGAGACTCGGCATTCCACCAGCTAGGGCTCTCCATGACTACCTTTTTGCGTTCCGTGCTCGGCTTCGAGAAGGACGTCATGAATGAGGCGTCGAAACGGTTGGCCGACACCGAAGCCAAGGCTTGGGCCGATTACAAGAAAGCCGAACGCGAGAGCTCCGACCCCGACAGCAGTCGGGTCTACCCTCCGGGCACCGAATTTTTGCTCATCCACGCCGAGTCGCAGCTCATGGCGGCCGTCGTCGCCGTGCTTCACGAGAGCTTGACCGAGGCTCTCAAGGGCTTCTACAAGCTCCGCAAGGCGTTCGTAACCCTCGACGGCATCATGCTGCAGGAGGCCAAGGCCCTGGAAAAGGGCGACAACAAGGCCGACCCGCCACCACTGCGGACGCGGACCAGCGAAGACAAGATGCCCGGCAGCTTCGACGACGACGAGTTCGCCGACCTGGAGCAGAAGGAGGATAGCGATATCGACTTTGTCGACGCCAGCGAGGTCCCCAAGTCAGGCGCACAGACGCCTGCTTCCGCCGGCGCTGCTGCAGAGCAAAAGGTCAACGGATCGGCGACGCAGCAGCAACAGCAGCCTCCAACCCAGGAGATGGCCTCCCTCAGCGTGGATTCGGGCACGTCGACGCCGCAGGACGATGCGAAGCTCACCCCGCTTCAGGCCTCGTCCAAGATGGCGGACGACTCCGACTCCGACTCGAGCGTCTTCACGAACCCCGTCGACGTCTTCATCCACAGCGGCGCCAACATGTGTTTCGGCATGCTGCTCTTCATGCTCAGCATGGTTCCGCCCGCCTTCTCCCGCCTTCTGTACGTCGTCGGCTTCAGGGGCGACCGCGAGCGCGGCGTGAGGATGCTGTGGAAGAGCACCCAGTTCGACAACCTCAACGGCGCCGTCGCCGGCCTCATCCTGCTCGGTTACTACAACGGACTCATGGGCCAAGCCGACATTGTGCCCGCGGAGCGTGACTTTGACGCTGATGCCGAGCTGGTAGGATACCCGGCTAAGAAGTGCGCGGCACTGCTGGCGTCGATGCGCTTGCGGTACCCAGACTCGCGCCTCTGGCGAGTCGAGGAGTCGAGAGTCGTGGCGCAGCAGCGCCGACTGGCGGACGCCATCGAGCTGCTGACGACGGGGCCGGAATCCAAGATGCGACAGGTCACGGCGCTCAACAGCTTCGAGCTGGCTCTGGCCGCCATGTCGCACCAGAACTGGGAGCTGATGCAGAAGACGTTCCTGCGGTGCCTCGAGCTCAACGACTGGAGTCACACGCTGTACTACTACATGGCAGGCTGCGCGGAGCTGGAGATGTACCGCGACGCCGTCCATGCCGAGAAGAAGGACGAGGACGAGGTGCGGAGGAGGAAGAAGAAGGTCGAGGAGTTGTTCCGCAAGGCGCCCACCGTTGCCGGCCGCAAGAAATTCATGGCTCGCCAGTTGCCCTTTGACGTCTTCATCACCCGCAAGATCCAGAAGTGGGAGGACCGGGCGAAGGAGTTCAAAGTCGATCTGGTTGACGCCATTGGCGCCAGCCCTGCGCAGGAGATGGTGAATCTGTGGAATGGAACCAAGAGAATGAACGACGAGGAGCTGGAAAAGTCGATCAAGAGCTTGGAGTGGTCGCGGTGCACGGCGCCGGCCGAGGCAGTGGAGAAGATGAAGAAGACGCCGGACGAGGCTTCAATCCGGTCCGTCGCTCTCGCGGCGATTTACAGGACACTCGGGCGCTTCGAGGACGGCAAGAAAATCCTGCAGGACGAGGTTCTTAACGCGGACAAGTAAGTTTTGACTGATAAACCTCCCGCTCATTTTCAATTTTTCGCAAGATTCAAAAGCTGACCATGGTCAACACAGGGCGGCATTCAAGGGTCCCACCAAGGATGAGTACCCCATGCCCATGGCTCATTACGAGATGGGCGCCATCGCCTGGTCCGAGGCGTGCAAGCCGGAGCTTCGGCAGCCCGCGGCTGACGAGCCGACGGACGCCGAGGCGCAGGCCAAGCTTGCCGCGGAGTACCGCAAGAAGAAGACGGTCGAGTGCCAAGAGTGGCTCGACAAGGTCGTTGCGTGGGAGGCGTTTGTCTTTGACGCGAGACTCGGAATGCGTGTGCAGTCCGGTCTGGAGACGCTCCGTTGGTTCAAGAAGAAGAACAACTGGTCATAGACATGCTTTTTTTAGGATATTCATTTCCGGTGTAAATGGCCTCTGTGCCTAGGCGCATCTTTTCGGCAAAAAGGGGGCGGAGGGAGTCAAACACATGATGTATGAAGGTTTTGGGACTTCATTCGTATATACATATACTTAGACTCGCTGGCTATCTGGGGTATTTCTCGGGACATACAAGAGCAAACTCGTTTTTTTCAACGTTAAGAAACTGCAAGCAATCAATCTCAACCATTCATTTCAAACTCCGCATAAAGACGCCGCCGTGCTTTGCATCACTCGCTGCTCTTCTTCCCTCTGCGACCACCAGACCGGCCTTTTCTCAGCTCTCGGATCCCATCTTGCAGCATGTTGGCGCCGTCGCCGGCAGCCTTTGCCCCGCGTTCCTTGACGCGGTGCTTCTCTGCCTCAGCGCGCATGTCGTCAACGACATCCTGTCCGCAGCTCGTTCCGTGAGCCCAGTCCATCACGCCCCAGGCGCCGTAGTTTCCGCGACCTTTGCTTGCATAGTGGATCGCCGTTCGCCGCGTGATACCGCCCATGATGATCCCAGGAACGACGCTGTAACCAGACATGGCGAGTGTCTCCTCGGCAGTGCAGAAGCCGACAAAGAGAAAGTAGGTCAGAAGGTGTGGGCGGAGGACCAGCGCAGGCAGGAGGATAGGCATGATACGGTGCAGGAGGAAGGGAACAGGGTGGTCTGCGTAGAGCATGAGAGAGAACGGTGGTGCAGCGCGGGCGTGGGCGTATGAGGCATGGAGTCTTCCGATGCGTGTACTGGTAAAGCGTCGGCCGCGGCTGTGGAGGATGTGAGTGTGAATGTAAAAGGTGAGAACTTCGCGCGCGGCGATGAGAATGGCGATGTGTTTTACGAGTTGGAATGGTAGCGGGAGAGATGTCGAGGCCTTGAAAAGCGGTTCATGAAAGTATGAGGCCCAGGCGAGACTGATTCCGCCCTCGACGCCGGCGGCGAGGACGATATTAAAGAGGGCGAGGCCGAGAGTCTTGAGGAGGATCGGGCCGTGGGTTGGCGGAAGGGCCGCAGCTCCGGCTGTTTTAATGGACTCTGAAATGGACGGGATAAGGGTGTCGAAGAGAAGAAAGAGAAGAGAGGGCGCAAGCCAGAGGACAACACGCAAGGCGAGGGTGCCGAGGAGCTCAATCTTGAGCGGACCGTGGGAGAGAACCAGTGTTGTCCAGGTCATGTAGAAGAAGAGGAGGTTAAGGGAAGTCGTCCACGATGTCATCGCTGGCGCGAGGAAATAGGATACGATTGGCAGTGAGAGGAGTATATCCATCTTGAAGTCTTGTTAGTTGGCAGTGCTGCTTGCAGACGGACGATGAGATTTCGGTGTAAGTGACTCGGTGGTCAACTACTGAGCTAGCCAAGATGAAATGCGCGTCGATCTCTACAAGTTAAAGCGACGACTTGTAAATAGCTCTGGACTGATGTCAATCATAGTAGGGCTATGTCAGAGGCCGGGAGATGCAAGTAATTAAGTGTCAAGGCGCACGTTGGAAGCCATGACGTATGTCGGCGGTGGCAGGGATCACCGACCGTTACGTCCTAGAAGGGTTAGCGTCTGTGACAGGGCTGATGGTGGTAACACCTGTAAGCTGAGGAACGCGAGCGTTTGTTCTGGTTGGACAGCTGATCTGGAAAGCTTCGTCAAAGCAGAAAAATCTACGAGGTCGTGATCAAGTTTAGTTCCTTGGGTGCAGTTTTTTTTTTTTTTAGCACTGGTAGTCTTGTTTAACAAATATGACATACATTAGAAACTTACTAGGCCGCACCATTTCACTTATGCTATCATTAATCTTCTTTCGCTCCCTAAGAGCCTTCTTCAAGGCGGATGGGTGCCAAACCGAAGGAATAATTGTCAGATATATGTCTTTAATTGTCTTCGCTTTATTATTCTTTCAAGTCACAAACAAAGCCATTTGGTTGAATAGTGCTTACGTCAAGATAGTTCAAGGGCACTTCAAAAACCAATGATAACAGCAAATCAGCAAACAAGAATGAGATCGAAGAATCATATCGCCTTTACAATGATAATCTAACAGACTGTTCAGACGATGTTGTTCCACTTTTGCATTCAATAAAAGCGAGTACACCATTTTGAGTCACTAAGCACAGCCTGCGGTGGCCTTTCCCTGATATGGCAGCGGCTGAAACTTAGGGTTGAAGACGTTGACAAACTATAACCAACAATAGCTACCCAGTACTTGTAAAGCTAAATGTGACTGTCGCTGTGCGTGCACACAAAGGCTGCGTGGTTGGCATAGTTTGAGAGCTTGTAAGATGGCGGCGATATGCGAGTTTGCGGTCATTGGATCAATCATCTGCTATCGACACCGAGTTTGGGTGATGTTAGTCTCAATGTTTGGCTTAAATTGTAAAGGCTAGAACACTTCTTAATATGATGGTCAATGTGCGAAAATTTGATTCTCCCAAAACTAGGGGATGTCCTGGCTTCTTCTATTCCCACTCAAACGTTTCGTTCTGCTGGCGTCTGAATCTACACTTCTCTATAACTTTCTGTGCTATCCAGATGACATTTTCCGTCGCTCTGTACAATGAATGGGTATATATATAGAAATTGGGAAAACCACAAAGGCGACAGCAGTTTCTTTACAGAATATGTCGATAATCCCAGTCGCTATACACACTCTTGCCGTGGCATCGTGAAGTGTGCGGTGCTCTCACAGGTCTCAGATAACCGCAAACGTGGCTCTGTCTTATTTATTGCAAAAACAAGCGCAAGCGCCCTCTCCGATATTAACGCTGTGTAATTTGAACCCGGCACCGCACTTTTGACATCAGCGTTAGCATTTTCAAGATAGGAACTTTTGCATATATGCAAGATGCAAGATGTGCTGAAGGGAACCTACTTCACGGGGACATGCAGTTGTGCAAACATCTCTTATGCTGGTGCATCCGCTAAAGTCTGACTGGTAAAGGTTAGGAAACGGTCTCATGTATCAAGACTCTTAACATACGTTGCTATCAGCAGCAGCTCTACAAAAATACTTCTGAGCGGCGACATTGGAGATCATAGCCAACGGCAGGATGGCCGAGAAAATGGAAGAAAAGTGCATCGTTTCAGCTGAAGACTTTAGAGAGTTGTTACTAGCTTGTAGAGCCCAAAGGAATGCGATTGTCAATCTCCCAAGCAAACGGTTGCTCTTATAAACACGGGTGTCTGTCTTCAAGTCCCAAAATTAGTACAATGACTCGCATCCGCAGTTTCGACAACTTGGACTTTGTCGAGGATAAATGTACTCACACTCGAAACAGTGTCCTTGACTCGCTACCTGTTAATCAAACTTTACTTTGGACTATGCCGAACATTTAAGTTGCTAGATCAGAACTAAAGTGTAACAACTGACACAGATCTTTATTAACGCAGAGTGGGCTTCAAGTAGAGTTATAATCTTTCCCTCAGCCGAGTAAGAAGTGAAAAGTAGGAGCAGTATATGCTTTTGTCTCAGGCATTGTACAAGTTCAGTATGTATTATTGAAAACACGTTGACAAACGGTGTGACACAAGGTGATGATCACTTGCACCTTCAAAGTTGATAATTTTAAGCTTCTCGCCTCGCGGTGTGGTGACATCAAGGAGTTCATCCTAATGTAAACGAAGATGCGTCAGCTAATGCTTCAGATTGCCGACGACAAGGTAGTGCAATTCGGCTAACCCCACCTAAGTCAAATTTCACGAGATGGGACATACATCAACCGTTTGAGATAACCTTGTGTGTATCACATATACTATCGGACTATGACTGCGACTATCTTCAAACCTTATTCAAGGTTGATCAATTGGTAAGCAGCGTCATCGCCCACATTCATTGAATGAGAGATCGCAATAAACCAGACGTCCATTTGTTGCAAAATAAAAAGGTAGCCGGTTTATCTTGGGAGTTCTTTTTGACCCCCGAAGAACAATCCGATAACTCGGTATAGATTTTCGATAGAAACCCCGTCGGTAAGGCTAGAGCTACTCCAGAAACACATACTTGAGGATTAGGCGCTTTGGTGCGAGATTATAGCTACATGTAGGGAAGTAGAATACCTCTATATCTACATCATAATATAAAGAGTCTTAATTTAGATACACATTTCTAGTACTAGATGTAAAAGCATAAGTCCGTTCACAGAGGGTTGTTATCATTTTGGTTATTAAGTCTACAGCTAGAAAAGTCCATATTTAAGGCGTAGATCTTCTCCCCTACCAACTCTTCAAGTAAAACTATACTCGACTTATATAACTTGATTTATCAATATAGACTGACAGATGATGAACGAATGTTATCTTTAAGTATAAAGTAGTTGAATGAACAAATAATAATAGGGTACAAATAGGTAAGGTATTGAAAAAGAAAATGTGTGGAAGATGGATGCTATTTATTGTCCTTGATTGGAGAAGTCTACCTTCATTTGTCTGAAGACTCAAGCCCATCAAAGAGATCAAATACATATTCCAATGCAGTCAGCACCCCCTTTCTTAGGGTTGCAGCTGTCTCTCGGATCGTCCATGCACCACATACCCTCGGGACACTGTAGCCCAATGAAGCCATTACAGTAAATCTTTTCCACACAGATCCCCGGCCCATCGCAAGCCATCCCACATCCATCGCGCCACGGGTCGTCGATACATGTGTAGCCTTCGGCGCATGCCACATGCGTGGGCCTGAAGCCCCCGCAGTCACTGTAGGTTCTAGTCTTGCTTGGTGTGGGCGTCGAGGCCTCCTCAGTTGGTTCTTTGATGGTGAAGGGCGGCAGACTGGGCCTTATGATGGTAATAATTGGTCTAGTAGGCCAGGGCCTGGTAGGCCTTACGATAGTGAAAATTCTGGTTCTTACGGGAGGAATTTCAAGGATTAATGACGTTGGTGGTAGGAAGGGGCCATGCGTGAAGGGTGGTGCAATGATAGGGCTTATAGTGACAATTTGGGGTGTCGAGGATTCATCTTCAGCAGTGCTGAGAAGCAGCTGGCTGAGTAAAACAACGAGTGTAATGAATTGCATTATCACCTTGTGCTTGAACAAGGGGTGTAGAGGTCTGAAATGTATGGCTTTTGTACTGGCTGGTATTTGAGCTGCTGATGAGGGTAATGCATTGTTCTTGTTCCAGTGTGCGATCTCGCGAGCTCATATATTAGGAATCACATTCGTGACTGGCAGTTGGGTTTACGAAATAGAATGGTAAGCTGCTTATTTTGGCATCAAAGTAAGTCATTCAGAACTTCGTGTCTGAGATAGTGGATGCAAGGACGATCAGAGGCGGTTTTCCAAATATGGAGATCAAAGCATTTGCTGCGAAGTTAACAACGCCGCATGGATATACTTTTGAGTATCTTCATTGCAAGTTGCTACCGTCACGTTGTTACCGTCACGCACTTATGGAAGCGAGAACAATTTTACGCTTCTTACGCAGGTAAATGGAAGAGTGCAATGATTTACGGACGCCCTAGCCTCGTGCGGTTATCCAGACTTTGGCTGGGATGTTTTCAGATGGTTGGGCTCTCAGAAACATCATTTGCAAGGGAGATATAATTACGAAAGCTTTAGGTTAGAAATATGCCATTCAAGACGCTAAAGAGATCTGCAGCCTGGCTGGATACGCCATGTGACCTAATCAGGTAAGAAGCAAGTCTGATTAGGTTAGGTTGGAGTAAATCAAACATCAGTCACCAGTTAAGTTGACAGTTGGGGTTGAACATAGACTTAGAATGAACCTTAATGGGTGGATCATTCCATGTTGTCTCTGTTAGAAGACCTATTGAGGAAAACTAGGGCACGATTGGTCCGCTTGAGAGATATTTTTAACACCGCTCAAGCGGTAGCTGGACGGTGATGGTTCGCCCCGATTGCCAAATCCCGACTGGAGGCAACAGAATGGTAAGATTCTAGTGATGCGAAAACGGTCCTACACTCGTTGCTATGTTGTCTACGAGAATCTTGTTGAACATTACTACTACTATTTTAGTTTCCAGATTTGATGATAGTCTCTCTTATACTGAGAGACTGCGACATCAACTACTATGTTCCACTTGCTGGAGCGAAGATATATTCCGTGTCGTATTTTGTCCTTAACGTATAGCTCTGGCCGTTACTTGTTGCATTAGTTGATACCAGCCACATTAACATTGCATTATGTCTCACCATGCGCTCATTGGGAAGGTAAATGGGTGTAAGACAAAAATGATCACAACGTAATGTAGACACCTACTCATGCTGTACGAGGCGAATCAGAAAGGATGTTCTAATGCTACTTACTAATACCGGTAGCCGTCCCGCTAGGAATGGGACATATTTTCACCGACTAAGTTGTCTTTATCTTCACCAACCGTATGCCCAATGTCAAAATGGTCGTAAATTTCTGAGGACCTTTCGATTCAAGATCCGAAGGCTTGTATACAATGACTTGCTGTGCAACACAATCAGGCCGGCTTTTCTAAGGCCAACATGACCTCAATTTTAATATTACAATACAAGGCAATAAACTATGCTCCATTGAATAACTTTGCAAAGATTGTTCATGTACAGATTTTGAAAGCGCCTTCGACCTAGCATATAACTTGTACGAACAAGCCCATCGCGGACTCAACACTCGGCAGCTTTCAACTTGTCGCGGGTCAAATTGCCCAAGTGTCTCCGAGATTTCTACCTCGTTACATGTTTTGGCAGGATCTTGACGGAAGAGCGCCAGTGTAGGGTTTTTTCTTCAAAAGTACATGCCCAAGACCCTGCCTATGGGAATTACATATTGCTCGCAGTATGCAATAACAAGGGAAGTCTCTTTGAGCCTCCAAGGAATGATAGAAGAGGTCGATAGGGCAAACATCCATAGGGGAGATGGGACACAATGTTTTTCTAACGGCCGTGCTCGAATGGAAGGGTATACCGAGTACAGGAATCCCTCTTGGATGGAGGGGGACAGAACTGCCCTGGAAAGGGTCCATCTATCGACTCAGTCAAGACAAGGAGACCAAGGATAGAAAGTGGCTGAATCTTCCACCGAACTGATTCCAAAGGCGGACACAGAAATCTTTGGGTATCGGCCTAGCCCCCGATAGACCGCATTACTGCGTAACAAAAAGCCATTTGTCGATGGCTGCTAAAACCGTAACCTCATACGAACGGTCCTATAAGGAGTAAAGTTTTTGTCGCAAGCCATGTACGCAGATGGTAAATGCTTGACAGTACTTAGGCTGTTATATCGAGTTGATGTTTCTACCCAGTTAGTTTACATGTCACTGTCCTTAGTCCAGCAGGCAAAGGCGACCAACGCCACACATAAGTCGACAGAAGTAAACCTCAGACCTTGGAGTACTCCAAAGCTGCTCGTTTTGTTTAGTAATCTGTTTTAGACACAATCCATCTAAAGCATGTCTCTTGAGTTCATCAGGCATAAACCACAAATCATCCGCAAGTAATTAATCGCGGTCTAGGAGGGGGAAAACAACACTAGCTTCATCCGGTAAAATACTGTGTAGGGAAATGTGGTTAACTTGGATTGAAACCGAAACATCCGAAGTTGAGATGTGATGAAGGCGCCGCGGCCACCGAGAGCCTGAAAACAGAGCCAGGCATCTTGCCCTATTCAATTGATGCTGTGGGTTGGTCGCCACGTCGTTCTTTCCAATGTATGTCTCCGTATTTTGATTCAGTTTAGTCAGAGACCCCGTCTAAACTACTGAAGATAATTTGATGGTAATTGGGATCTAGCTGCCCAAGGGCGAAGTATTGTCATGATGGCCTCGTAGCAGACGCGCAGCCTCATCATCACGTACCCTCTGCCACCGATGAATCGTGCACAGATCCAATGAGGGATATACCGCTCAATCAATCTACTTTAACCCCCATGGGCTTTCCGCCCTCTGCTTCACCACAAGTATCCCATCGACTGCCACCGGGCTACAGGTACATGAGATGCGGAGTTATAGCCAATCCGAAACAAATAGCGAGAGCTTCCTTACAGTCCCATATCTATGTTCCGTGGATTTGGAGAAATATGGACCGATGTGTGGCTCGCAATGTGCCTGCAGCCTAGTAGTAGTCGATGGGATACCTCTTTTAGTATGTGGCGAATTGTTGTAACAGAAGGCCGCGGTGCCTCGGGTGGGCATCTTTTCATTCGATGTCTTGACATCCCGGTCAGCTTTACTCCATAGGTATGGACGATGAACCGCGGCCTGAGCAGTTAACTTTTGCATGTGCCCCTCCAACTCTGTTTAACATAGCGTATAAGCTGTGATTCGATTCCACATTGCATATGAGATTAATACTGTCTAATACATTAACTTTGGCCAAAAGTTGTCTCTCTGCACCTTTCAACTCGTCTTACTTCGTACTGCTGCCAAGTTTTTCAATTATTGTGCGGATTGGCAGTACATGCAACTATCCTAAGCGTAAACAACGAAGAACACAGCCGTCAATTTCGTAGTAATGGGCTTGCTTGACGTTTGGAAAGATGTCAGCCTTCTCCAGGTTGTATGCTCGTTGTTTGGAGCGTACACGTTGCTCCTGCTTTACTACAGGGCTAGGGCCGAGTACTCCATCAGTAGATCGGGAGGAGTCAGAGCGCCAGTTATCGCTTCCAACCCGGTGACAGGTAGCCAGTGCAAAGCACTTCCTCCGTCATGCATTGCCTGCTAATCGGTGTGAAGCGTTGCCGATTTTTCTCCGTCTTGGCCGATATCACCTCAAGCATCAACTTCTCGATGGCTTCAACGCACTCTTTAATGTCTCTGATAATGAGCGTTCGAATACAATCGAGATGAGTTTCACTGGGAAACGTCGGTTTCTCATGACTAGAGATCCGGAGCACATCAAGACGATACTCGCCTCTAAGTTTACGGATTTCGGGAAGGGTCCCACGTTTCATCAGATCTGGTCTCCATTCCTAGGAGACAGCATCTTCACGACAGACGGAAAACTTTGGCAGGATAGTCGAAGCCTGATCCGGCCCATGTTTATCAGGGACCGTGTTAGCGACCTCGCCATCTTCGACAAGTGGACCAACGTCATGATAGGACAGTTCCCGGCGTCCGGAGTAACCTTTGACATTTCAGATCTCTTCTACCGAATGACACTCGATGTAACAGTTGAATTTCTGCTCGGACATAGTGTTAACAGTCTTGAAAAGTATTTTGAACCCGTGTTTTTTCTTCTCTGTTTGGCCAAGACAAGGAAAGAAAAAAAGCTGATATTGCGAATACCAGCCCGAAGCACCACTTCGCCCACGCTTTCAACCAGGTGCAAAACTATCAAATGTATTTCACCGTCATGGGGTAAGTAAGGCTATTCGATTTACATCAGCTATAGCTCATCCGTCAAAAGGCCTTTGCGGACCGTTTTGCCAGATGGAAAGTATAAACGAGGCATTAAGGTCATTGAGGAATTCATTCGCCCGTTTATTCAGAACGTGCTGGCTATCACGCCATCCGACCTCGAAAATCTCTCCAAGTCAGATAAAGAGTTTACGTTCCTCCATAATATTGCCCGTTTTACCCGCGACCCCAAGGTTATACGGGACCAACTTGTGGCCATCCTCCTTGCCGGCCGAGACACAACTGCTGCCACGCTATCCTGGACTCTCTATGAGCTTGCTCACTACCCAGAAATATACTCAAAACTCCGGAACGAGGTATTGGCAACGGTCGGTGTGACGAGAGCACCAACTTACGAAGATCTGAAGAGCATGAAGTACTTGACGTACTGTTTACAAGAAACGCTGCGTCTGTATCCAGCAGTGCCGTTCAACTTGCGCTCCGCCCTATCAACGACGACGTTGCCTGGCAGTCACGGCGCACCAGACATCGCTATTCTTGAGGGGGATGCAGTGGCATACAGCACGCTGGCGATGCAGAGGAGGAGAGACCTGTACCCGGCTATTTCAGAGACGTTCGCGGACCCGGGAATCTACAGCCCCGAGAGATGGGAGCACTGGCAGCCGAAGCCGTGGCAGTATGTGCCGTTCAATGGTGGCCCAAGGATTTGCGTCGGACAGAATTTTGCAAATACAGAGATGGCCTACGCAAGTAAGTGCGCCCTTTCCAACTTTCGCTTTCGCCCCAGACGCAATTTCATGCCTTGAAGGAAGCTCTAGGAATGAGTGCAGGAGACGAAATGCTCACATGGAATTCTAGTGGTACAGCTTGTGCAGAAATTCGATAGGCTAGAGTATCGTGGCGACTGGGATGCCCAGGTCTTGAGGGCCGACATTGTAGGCGCGCCAGGTCACGGTGTTCCTGTTGCCTTGTTCCATGCCACCACTAGTGACGAGATGGCGTAGGGCTCGATGAGATACATCAGAAAGAAATTGGAAGGATACTGGGAAAAGCGGAAGAGAAGCATACGATGGAATCACTCTATGATAGGGAAAAAGAGCAGCTTAGAGGCCGTATAAGGACCGCTCACCAATGTCGAGATCATGCGAGAAACTCGAGTTCAACGCAGGCTTTCTTTTTGCTTGTTTCAAGATAGGCTTGGTCTGAATTGATTCAACAACGAATCCTAGCAGTGGTGAACGCTGCCTTGTAGTCACTTCTGCGAGTCGTTTGGCCAGCACATTGGGGAAGCAAGTAGAGTCCCTTGACCTAGGTGTGTTATAATTGGTAGGCGGGCTTTGGGCATACAGGAAGAATGAAGGGCCCAGCTAGTTTGCTAAGGCGAAGCATTTGTTGAATGTATGCTTCAGTAGTGCAATCCCTGCAGCCCCTGCCTGACACCCCTCGGAGAGTTAACAGTGGCGAGAGGAGTCTCTGAACAGCGGGTATCAACACAACCGAAGCTTTCTCAACCGTTTAGACGTAAGCAAGAACTAATTACAGGCTTTTAATGAACGACCCCTAGATCATCTAATTGGTCCTCTCGTGTTAAACAGATATTTCACAACCCCTAACTTTGTTACTTAGATGAAGCTGTATCTGGCTTGGGTGTTGTGTACAGGGCACAGGTAAGAGGTGGGGGCTTCCGTCCTTATTCCATCCCATCTGCAATCGTACCCTGGATTAAGTTGCGCCTCAGCCGCCTAACAACTTACAAACTCCAATAAGCAAAAACGCAAAAGTAAACGTCTTCGACATGGGGCTGATTGAAAAAGGCACTCCCGAAGGAATTAGATTTCGAGTCTGCAGGGGCCCAGCGCGCAGACTTAGACTTTAGTAGCAGCACTCTGCAGGGTCTCCAATTAGGAGAGGGGGGGGGGGGGGGGGGGGGGGAAACCAACACAACCATAGCCCACTATCGTGAATTGTTTCGCATGAAAATATCAAAATCACAAAAATAAAACCAAAAAACAACGACAGCAGCAGGATTCGAACCTGCGCGCCCGAAGGCATGAGATTTCGAGTCTCACGTATTAACCACTCTACCATGCTGCCCTTGGTGATCCGAGTCGTGCTAATCATCGACTATAGTGGTCAACACCCCACGTCGACTCCCACTCTTCTACGTCCCATTCTAGTAGTTGTGAAAGTTGTCCCTTTATGTTTAGTTCTAGACATTGCTTGACAACCTCCAATTTACCTTTGGAAGTGATCTTTTTGAGAACTGAGCTTAGTCTCATCACGACAAGGTCTTCAGTCGCTAGCGCTCATCAGGAAGGTATTCTTACAGGTTTGATTCCGCACATGTAATCGATACCAACCACATCGACACGTGCAAAAGACCATGAATCCACAAAGGAGATCATATTAACACATTAACCGGGCCGCTGCTCGCATCGCTGCGAGGGCCCGATGGGCTGTACTACTATATATACTACAACGCATATCTTGTTCAAAGGTCATGTCCCACATGAACCACCGGTGCGCCCTCCCCCATCCCAAGGTCCTGTTCTTTCCGTTGGCCTCATCCTTCAGAAGCTTCATCCCGGGGATATCGTTGCTCCCAGATGTATATAAAAATAAAATAAAATGAAAAACCCCTCTCCCTGACACGCGCTCGACGCCGGTGCTGTACAAGAGTATACCCTCCAAAAATCGTACATGATTTTTCCTCCAAAAGAGATTATATAAAGTACCTTGATGCAGGTTTAAAGTGTAATAAAAAAAAATTGTGTGTCAAGATAGCACCTCAGTCAAATCATGGTCGGTCAAAAGACTGTTCTGTTCGAAACAGAGAAAAGAAAAAAAATTCGTTTGCCGTTATACGAGGTTAAGCGCCTTTTCTTTACCGCGTCGCCGTGTTTCTCCGACTGCGCTCATCTTTCTTTCCGCTGGTCGCGCGGAGCCAGTCATCCCACTCCTTGCTGATCTCCATGAGCACTGCGCCCATGACGCCGGCGCTCGCCATGAGACCGTGGCCTTCTCCCTCGAGAACCCGCACCTCGCACCGCCGCATCGTCTTGCCCAGCCACTTGACGTTGTCTACGGGCACACGGGTATCGCGGCTGCCGTGGTGGATCACAACAGGGCGTGTGATGTCGACGTAGCGGAAACCAATGGTATGCCTGCGCTCGAGGCAGACCAGCAGGTCGACGGCGGGGTTGGCGCCCGTCGTGGCCAGTTCCCAAATGGCATGCGTCAATCTGTTGTCGTAGATCGTTTGACGTTCCTTGTCCATCAATGCGTCTGAAGCGGAGGCCAGGATCTGCGTGTCAGAGTTGTAGTGCCCCTGTGCCGATGCGGTGCCGGTGGGTCTGATCCTGTCCATGTTTTCTGTGGCAATCGGGGCGGGTCCGGCCGAGAGCAGGTCGTCGCCCGCAGCGCCGTCCCTGAACAGGCCCAGATTTTCCTTGTCGAGGTGGAGTGCCGTGTCCCGCTTGCTCGTGGTAGATGTGGCCGGGGTGTCCCGGCCAGTGGTGGCGGTCGACTTGCGCTTACTACGTCTTGGCGTCTTGGGGAGGGAACTTGTGATGGAGCTGCTTGTGGCCGACATGAACGAGCTGTTGGCTGCTTTCAGGAACGTCGTCGGGAGAGCCCTGAGAATTCGCTGTGATGTCGGGATGGCGTTGGTGGGGGGCATCGCCTGTGACGTGCCGAACACGTTCATCTGTGAAGGCGGGATCCAGGGGGCGAGCAAATGTATCCTGCCGCGAATGTGCTGGGGCATTCTAAGTGCCGTCGCCAGCGCGTAAATGGCGCCGGCGGAGTGTGCGAGGATAGAAAATTTGGTAATTTTGAGTGCCTGGCAGATGGCGTAAACGTCGTCGGGCCAGCTGAGCGGCGTCGCGGTTCCATCACCGTAGGCTTCACTGTCGCCCACACCAGGTCTGTCGGGTGTAATGAGACGCAGTTTGAGCGTCAATGCTAATTCGTCGTAAAACGCCGTGATATATCTCGTCAAACCCATTCCCACACAGCAGAAGACGGCGGATCCATCTGCATCTCCCACCTCGGAGAATGAAATCACCCGGCCGGTCTGCGGATGACGGATCTTTTGGGATAGCCGGGGAGAGCACAAATATGACTCGACGGCATCGTCAATAGAATCTGCACTGCGTGGGCGCTCATAGCCAGCAGGCATACTCTGGCGGTGGTCTGGAGATGCTGCTGAATTGCGCGGGCTGGCGTGGGATTCTTCCCCCTTGGGGCTCAATGGCCGTGACAGCCGCTTGAGCCTTGAACTGCTGCGCTTCACCTTGAGGGTTTCGCCCAAATCAGAGCCATCGCGCATCGATTTCCGGATGTTTCGGTCGGCGGTCTGGTCGTCACGACGACGTCCCTGTGCGACAGCGGGGAACGGCGCGCTGTCTTCGACATCCTCCTCAAACAACGGACCCGAGACGCGGAAGTCTTCGGTGTGCCTGGTATCGAACAATGGACGGCTCGCATATCTTCCAGATGCGTCACCGGATATCCTGGCAAGGTCGTTTTCGGAAGCATGCCGAGACAAGTGCTTGCGCCGCGGAGCTTCCCGTGTAGGCGTCTGCTCCTGTCCCCCAAAATGAAACTCGTTTGTACCGTTTTCGCTGTCTCGCTTCGATCGGGAGGATCGCGTGGACGACCTCTTGGCGTTTGTTCCGGTCTTAAAAAGAGAAGAGTCTCGGGCGGGGATGGGTCTAGGGCTCGTCGGCTCCCCACGGTGAGGGCTGCCGGCGTCGTGGGAGTGCGACTCGTCTATGGGAGATTCCATGTTGGAGGTGGGTTCTTCGCTGATGGGGGTCTCGGCCAGGAAGGGGTCGGGTCGAAGTGACAGTCCGGTGAAGCTGCTGGAGCTCCTGTCGCCAATGCTCGCACGTTTCTTTTCTTCGTTTTCTCGTAGGCGTTCCTTGGAGCTCATGTACATCAAGCCCCTGTGGCTCCTTCCCTGCTTCTTGCCCCAACTGTCATACGATCGCTGCCTTTTGAGTTCTGGAGTTGGCGCAAAGCCGCGTTCTATTGACAAGTTGCCTATGCTCTGAGCATCGTCCCGCGATCCGGATCCAAGTGAACCTTTTGACGAGGGCCGCGAGGAGCTCCGTAGAAGAGACTTGAGACTGCCGGAGACGTCGCGACTTGGCGATTTGGATGCAGTCAGAGGCGAGAGACCGGAAGGGCGCTTGGAAGTACGGATAACAGGAGCGGAGGCGGCGACTTCGTCGAGGGGGACGTCTGCGGCGCGAAGGTCTGCGAGTGAAGGCTGGGAGAAGGCGCCGTAGTCGACTCCGAAGCTACCTTGGCGGGGAGATACAGGAACCGAAAGACTCGGAGCGCTGCGCTCAAAGTGTTGGTCGGCAGGTTCTGAGATGACGGACAGACTTGTAATCAGAGAGGATATGACTTCAGGTGAGCTGGGGGCGGCGTCGATAGAGTGGCTCGAAGGAGGTGGTAGCGAACGTCGACGCGGGCGAGGCTCAGGGGTTTGAAGGTGTCGGTAGCGTTGGGGGATAGGGGGGATGGTATTTGGGTCGGAGGTGTCCATGGCGACAAAGAAAGGGAGAAAGGAGGGGGGAAATCGACAGACCACGCGACTGCAGGACGGACGGGACGGGAACGGACTCTCTCAGGAGGTGGGACGGGGCCTGCTGCTGCTGCTCTGACTGCTACTGCTGCTGCTGCTCCTGTGCAACAATGGCAGCAGAAGGCAGCGCCAGGTACCGCACAGAGTACACCGTACGTACAGACACTAGACAAACCCTCGAGCTCCAAGAGGGAAAAGGGGGAGGGGGGGTGTTTGGTTGGGACGAGAAGGGGGGGGAGGGGGACCCAGGTTTCCCGTAGCGAACAATAGAAACGCAGCGCAAGGCCAGAAGCTAGGGCGGCCGTGGCACCCCAACTATGCGTCAATCGGGATCCAGGCGAGCGGACTGTCTCACAAGGCAATCGTTGGCTGGTGCCTCCAAGGGAGAAGATGTCTGCTGGATTCGGCGTGGAGGGGGTGAAGATGGGCCGGAAGTGTGTCTAGCAGGGCGGACAAGTTCAAGGCGATGGCAGAGACGGGATAGAACCAAGGAAATGGATCGCGTCGACGGCGCACACAGGGGCGGCGGGCTGGATACCAGGAGTAGGTGCAGCAGAATGAGCAGACTGATGCAGGTACGGGAATATGTGGGTATCTGCGAGGTACTACGACGGTAGACCAACGAACGATGGATCGGTAGGGAATACCAAGAGAGGAATGCGGCGTGGCTGCAGCTTGAAAGTAGTAGTGGTTTGTAGTCTGTCGTAGTAATAGTGGACAGAAAAAGGAAAGGAAAAAAATAAAAAATAAAAGCTGAGGCGGAGCGCGTTGGGGATAGTGTCTCTGACTGTCTCGCCTTGTCTCGATTATTCGCGATGATCGACCAAGAGAGGAGATAAAAGAAGAGGGGTGGGACCGTGCTCGTTTTTCTTTTCGTCCTTTTCCCCTTTCCTTCTACCGACTGGGGGGTTGTATTATTATTTTTTCTTCTTCTTCAGGGTTTCCTGATAGAGATAACCGTGCCTTTTGCGCTCAAGCAAACGAGCAGATGGGGGAGAGGGAAAGGGTGTGCGTGGGCGTGGAATGATTGGCGCAATCAGTCCTTCAGTTGGTTCTTGGTCGCTTGGGGTGACGGTGACAGTGATGTGACCGTGAGTGAGTGACAGCCAGAAAGATAATGCAGCAGGTTTGTTTGATTGATCGGGCTTTGGCTGGATCGGGAATGGAGGAGGATTTAGTTAGCCCAAGGACGGTCGGCCGCAAAAAATAAAAGAGGGTATAGAGTGAAAAGTAAAAGACGAAAACACAAAATTGTCCAAACTAACTAGGAAAGCTTATGGAAAGCGCGGAAGAACTGGAGAAAAAAAGAAAAAAAGAAAAAAATCAGTGAGGAAAAAAAAAGGCCAGGGTTACATTGGCGGTGGCCGAACGTAGTGGCGTCGCAAGTCGCAATGGTAGAGCAGGCCGGCGGACAGCGTAAAATGGGCAATTATTGATTGCTCACATCTGGCTGGTTCGGGCAGAGCGCCGTATTATTAGCTCCAGAAGGGAAATAATGACGAATGACCCTTGCGCTGAGGAGGAGTACTACTACTACCACCTGAGTACCTTACATACAAGTGTAGTTTGTAGGAGGAGAAGGTCGACGTCGTCTGGATTCTTCTTTGCCTAAACTCGGCAAAATCAGATACAAAAGAATGGACGGGTGACGAATCAATCCCGTCTCTTGAGTTTGAACAAAAATAACAAGGACCAGTTGAACTGAACCCGATGGGATGGATGCATTGGGGAAAAAAGGGGCCCGTGAGCTCTACCGTGCCCACCGTATTTCGTAGTAGTAGATATCTCTTAATAGCGTGTAGTACGTACTACGTACCGTACAGACGTATAATAGTGCCATACACGGCAATACCATAGTAAAACTGTGCAAGAGCAGAGTACTCGACAACCACGGCAACCAACATCGTCACCATATCCAAATACAACTGGCAAGGAAACGTCTGTAGAACTCACACGAACATGTGCCTGATGCCACTTACCCCCCCTCCCAGTGCAAATCTCAATCCAGGTGCACGGGACCAGGAAAAACCGGGGAGAAGACAGGGGGTCCCAGCAGCCAAATTTTGGCTTCTGACGAATTGAAGGTGTTTGTCTCCCTGTCCAAGATGATCGCTGACAGACGGGAACCACGGTTTTCTGCCTTTTAGCACTCCGTAGTGTGCGAATACTTTTGGTGCTGAACTAGAACAGAAGAAGGAGGGAAATACAGACAGAGATCGGGCCTCAATCGCCCATGCGTCGTCTCTCGCTGTCCGTTCCTACATGTCACGCAGGTCAGCTTGAAACGGAGCCATCAAAACTTTCTGCAGCCTCCTGCCAACGCAAAGCTCTCTCTCTCTCTTTCTCGTCTTCCATTTGTTCTTCTTCTCGGGTCTCTGGGGCAGCAATTACTACCCCTGAATAAAAAACCCGACCCGTGCATTCAATTGGCCAATCCAAAGTGCAGCTCTCTGCCCTCTTTTTCGGCCCGGTGCGGATACCCAAAAAGTCCCTGCTGGTGGGACAGGGGCGGGAACAAGCCGAAGGAAGGGAGGGAAGAACGAGAAGAATGGCACAGGAAACGAAATAAGGATAACACAAGAGCCAGCCCCGTACCTGTGCCATCTGACGGTGCACCTGGAGAAGGTAATGATAAACGAGTGGAAATGAAAAAAAAAAAAAAAAATTTGACAGGGGGCCAGAAACATCCCTGGAGCCATGACGCAGTTCTCAACTCAAAGACGCGTCTATTCGCCCGTAATACTCCGCATGTGTTGCTACTGGACCGCAGACTGCAGACCATTTCTAGAATTTGAAATCGAATCTCGAGAGGGAGAGAAATCAAAATAATGAAATACGCACGCAGGAACCTGGTGGAAGTTTCAGTGGTTTCGGCCAAGCGTCTGGCGCCCCCAACTACCGAAACTCTGACAGGTACAAGACGAACTGAATAGTCCGAGAAAGGAAAAAAAAAAAAAAAAAAAAAAAAGGGAAAAAAAAAAGAGGTCACAGGAAACTCACCCCCCTATGAAGATGTAAACACCCCCAAAAAAACGGGGGATCGCCGCCCGGAGTATTCTTCCGAGGAAGAACCTCGAAGGATATTAAACCGATCGGTCAACGCCGGGAAACTTCGAGCTGATAGGCTGGACTCTTGACGTTTGAATCGACCTCGGCGCCCGAGCGGGAGAAGGATGGGTGCTGTAGCGCTTTCGCTAGTGTTCGGTAGTGTAGTCTGGCAGACGTGTGAAGGAGGATGACGCCGAGGAAAAGTGACAAACAGGCTAGCCAGAGATTATCGAGGTAGGCGAAAAAAGGGAGTCAGAAACATCGGGAGGGGGGGAGGGGGAAGGGAGGGAGGAGGGAGCCTGGCGTTGCCGGGCGGCCTATATATCGTGTTTCTCAAACCTCTTGACCGTGGCGGCGTCGTGTGTCGGAGGAAGTGAGAGGGGTTCATGTGTGGTGTGTTTTTGTGTCTCTGTCCGATACGGGGAGGCTGCCAGAGTCTCCTCGCCTCCGTGGCCATGAAGGGTTTCGACTTGCCATCATTTTGTCTCTCCGCTGCATCGTCTCGCTGCTCAATGATACGTTGCTGCGCGTCGTCCATTTGCCGCCCGCCGAGCATATGTCCGCGTACGCACACAAAATCCCACCCTGCAGCTGCAGATGTCTCACCAGGATAGAGTCAGCAACCCGTCATAAGGCGTGTGTACAACACTTGTGGCCGTCGTTAAATTGGAACCTGTCTCTGTTTCTCATGAACTCTTCCGCACCGTCTGACTCGATCTTTGGGGGGGCCAATAGGACCTAGTTAAGCTCCATGTCCAGTCTAGAAACACTCTAGAAGTTCGCGGCCGCAGCAATGTCCATGCATTCGAAGGGAACAGTAGCCGGAGTTCGGACCCTCCCCGCCCGAGCCCGTTGAGACGATCCAATCTCCAATCGGTGTTCAAGACAGGTCGCCCCGTCGGCTTGTTTATTAAACGTTTGAGCGTATGGTAATCTTATCATCAGACCGTCCAACGTCATCCGGCGTTTAGCCAGCGGGTGTCACGCGCGTCCATCTCAATATCAACGACGTCGCTCGTGTAAGTGCTGGAAACTAAGCTTGACAATCGTGGCCCGCTGAATGGACGGCGCGCTGCTGGACATACGGCAGTCGTAATCGTGTAGAGGTTTTATATTGCCCTATGTGTCTATCTAATTGTCTGATATTTGTTTCACGGGATCCGTGTCTTTCTGCCAAAAGCAAGCATATCTTTTGGTGTGTTGTTACTTTCCTGCTGTTCTGTATGCTTGGCCATGGTGGAGATTAGGTTGCCTTGACTACCTAGGTACTCTGGTGTCTCTATGATTATACTTCGATATCAATGGCCTTTTTGTTATGAGAGGTGTCAGCCTCTATTGTTTTTCAAATCCAATGTAGACATTTCTGCGAAGTGATTCCACTTCCCTCGTGCACTCTAAGAGTCTTGGCTGAGCCTGGCAATATCCAATGACACCCAACCGTCTAGGCATTTCAAACGATACATCAGTGAAACGAATCAGACATCACAATGCAGGGAACGAACAACAGTGAGGTGGCCGATTTTCTCATTACCTCGCCCTGACGAGGGCTCAAGCCAGCCGGGACCGTCCGCTAGGGACAGCCCGACGAAATCATCAAGATCATCATCTTCGTACTAAGATACAGGAAGACCGCCAGCTGTATCGCAAAGCGGGAAACTAATGCAGACCGCCATCTCCAAGAAAAAAAAAGAGCTTTCCCTCCCGATTCTCTCGGAATCGAGATCCAAAAACGATGACAAAGGAAAGTCCCGAGAAGAAAAAAAAAAAAAAAAGCCATGTGAGTGCGATTCAATCTTGACATGGTTTTTTTTTTTTTTCTGGGGGTTTCTGTTTTTGTTTGGGGAGATGTCCAATTTTTTTATGATTTTCGCGGGCGCGGGCAAAGGAGGTTGCGCCAAGCCTGTGGTCCTTTCGCATTCTTTGTGTTAAAAGAAAATTCCTCCTTGGCCTGCCCTGGAGTCCGAGGCGGCACATCCGTCCTCTAAACGTCCGTAGTTTTCCATCGATGGGATCCAGAAAAAAAATTGACACGCAAAACACAATCTGTATGGTTCCTTGGCCCGTACGTCGTTGTGCCGGGCGGGGGTGTTTCTAAATACCGAAACGCCACTTCAATCCTTTCCGCCAACCGGGGAAAATGAGAAAGTTTGTGAGAGTTGAGTTGCGCCTCCCCCGTTGCCGTGAATCCAAGTAAGCAAAGCAGTTGAAAAGAACAAACTTGGTGTGGGGTTGTCGTTTTTTTTTTTTTTTTTTGGAATTCATTTTGTTGGTTTTTTTGAAGGTGTGAAGGAAAAGAAGAAAAAAACGAGTAGCAAGTTCTCTTCTGTTCGTTTCCTCTTTTTACTCTCTGATGAGCCGTTGGGTACCCCTTTTCCACCGCCTACGAGTGAACGCGGAGCGTACTAAGGGGACCCCGTAAGGTAAACGCCAGTGCGAAAGAGAAGAAAAAATCTCGCCAGGCCGCTGTATCTGCGTGGACATCGTCCAGAGATGCGGGAAAGGAAGAAAAGAAGAAGAGCGGGAGGAGAGAGGTTCTTCGTGTATGAGGGGGGTATTAGTCCTCCTCGCTCCGTTAAGTCCACCAGAAAGGTTTCGGCCAACCTCATGGAGAAGTGGAGATTTTTCTTTTCAAGAGAAAAAGATGACTCCCAAATGGTGTTTTTTCCAATCTGGTGTGGGAGAGAGAGAGGAGAAAGTGACGTCCGACAAAACAGCAGAAAAACAAACGAAATCAGACCTCCTTGGGATCGCGTTTTCTTCTTTAGACAACCTCCTTTCCTTGGTGATGCAAATCTGAAGCAAAATGCCAGTGACAAAAAAAAATACACCGTGTAAGACGCCGTGGCAAAGATAACCATGCTCGCTTTTTTAATGGCACACGTGAGAGAAACAACCTCTCTATCCGGCCGACCGACGCAGTCAGTCAGCGCAGAATGGAAGGGTAAGATTCTCTACACCTCTTCAGACGGTCTTGGGGGTTCGTGCGTTGGTGTGGTCGATCACGTCGTCGAGGTGGTTGCACATGGCCACGAACAGGTCGAAGAAGAGCTTGCTACCGCCGCGCTCCATCTCGGTCTGCATAGTACCGCTCCTCTTAAATGTCTTGCGACACCGGATGATCAGGGCAAGGTAGTGAGCGCGCAGGCGCGAGTCTGAATCGGGGGTGTGGGCATAGGCGTACTGGGCGGAGCGCAGAATGGTGCCGACGTCGACACCAGACTGGAGACCCTGCTTACGCAGAGCCAGGCGCTTGAGCTCCTCGAGCCCGTACCGCTCCGCGGCGCAGTAGATGACTGTGTCGCGGAGGATGTGCTGCCCACAGCCCGCAATGTAGATTGTTGCGTCGCTGGGGGTGGTGCCTGTTGTGTTGTTGCTGGTGGTGGTGTGGGCCGAGTTTGGCGTCGGCGGGTACGCACCCGGCACAGCAGCTGCGCGGCCACTTCTGTGGTTGTCTGGGTTGGGGGATGTTTGGGGGGTTCCTCTGACGACGTCCTCGAGTTCCCAAGAGTTGCGGTGCCTGTTGTGAACAAGACGGGGGTAGTAGTCACCCTTGTAAAGGTACTCAAGGACGGCGGAGAAGACTTCGGGGTCTTCGTCTGGGAGGGCTATTCTCTTGCTCTGCGCCTCGAAAAACTGACCTCGGCAGGCGGCCTCGAAAAAGGGCGACTGGAAGAGGACGTCCTCGTGGGCAGCGAACAGCCGGCCCTCGCGGCCGACGGTCAGGGTCACGATGGGGGAGGGCGCCACGGATGACTTTCCACCGCCGGAGGCCTTGGCCGGCATCGGCGCGGCGCCGCGGGGTGCGGCAACGGGCGGGGCCATGGTGGCGTGCTGGTCATCCGGAGCCGACCGTTGCATTTTCGACAGCTTCTGGTTATCCCTGATGGAGTTGGACTTCTTCAGCCTCGACGACTTGTCGACGCGGACGTTGGGGTCTTGCGACCTAAACGTGCGTTTAAACAGAGACATGACGACGGTTTTCTTGATACTGCTGTTGACTGTATGTGTAAGGGTAGTTGAACTGAAGAAGGTGTTGGATGTGTTGTTGTTCTTGTTGTTGTTTTCGTTGTTGATGAGTTTGATAATGAACGAAACTCGAAATGGGGGAACGATAGAGTGAGGGACAAGAAACCAAAAGCGATAAAGGCGCGTTGCTCAAGGGTCCTTATATGTCTCTGCTCTACTGGGGATAGAAGACTTGAAGAGAGCGACGAAATGAGCGAATAGAGGAGAGGGAGGGTTAGGATGAAGGGGGGGTGAGGTCGGGAGGAGTTAGAGGGGGGGAGGGGAGAGAGAGAGAGAGGGAAAGAGAGTGAGGTACAAGTGACACACAAAATGATTGACAGGGGCCCGGGGTGGGAGATGTCTCCTCAGAGGGAGTTCCTGAGAGAACGAACGACCGATTCCAAGGAGATATTCCCAACTTGCAACTTTGCGACCCTTTTTTGGTTGTGGTTGAGGGGGGAGGGGGGGAGAACCAGAGGGAAGAGGGGTGGTTACGGAGGGGGAGCCGCCATATTTATAGCGGATGGTGATGTTGGTGATGTTTCCCGCCTTCTCGGGCGTGTTATTGGTTGCCGTCCCCCGCCCCCGGCCTCCGTATTTCTTCTGACTGGTCGGCGCCTAAGAGTCATAGCATAATGGGAAGCGCGGCGTGATAGGACCAAAAGGAAAAAAAAAAAAAAAAAGATACAAACTGGGTGCACGCGCTGACGCTCTAAACGGGCGGGAAGACGATTGAGCGCCGTACCGTGGGGGGTGAGGGATTGTGAGATGTGAGCCGGGTTCAACCAGTCAAGCCGCTGGAACGAGGTGGGAGGGACAGCCCAGGCAGCATCGCCGCCTAACGCCTAACGGTTGTGACCCAGAAAATGGAACGTTGGAGACGCTGGAATGACTTCACCCGTGGTACAACTCAGAGGGCAGATTAGGTAGTCAGGTCAGGTACCTACTACTACGACCACTCACTGTATCCGTAGGGCACTCCCGCGTCCCTCCCTTCTTTTAGAACCTCCAACGGCCCTGAGACACCATTTTGCCTTCCAACCGGGGGAGCAACCGCTAACGCACCTTAATTCTTGTTAACCTCCTTGGGTATCTGTAGCCTCAAACTACCAAGTATCGGTACATTGCCGACCCTCACGACCCTGATATTGGAGGGCTTCTCGTAGTAAATGCGCTGGCGCCTCGTTCCAATTCGGTACATTTCTGCCAAGAGGGTCGGGAATGGCGGCCTAAACCCATTCTACCAATACCTTCATCATCATCTCATGCGCTGGTCGTCAGTCGCCGCACGTGAGGGAGTCGCAACGCGGGGCTCGTCCCCTTTCCCAAAAGACCTCATTTCCCTCATGGACCCCCGGAGAAGACGCAAGAAGGCGGTCGGGAGGCTCATGTTGCTGGTCATTGGTTGTGGTAGGGCGGTCGCCGGGTACCGATACTTGTTTGTGGCGAGCCCGACCGCAATCCGGGTCTTGATAAGGTACATATCTAGAGTGAATTGGCCAAGCAACCACCGTGACAACTCATCGGCGGCTCAGTTTCAACCCTTCCGGTTGGTGAGTCGTGTGTACTTTCTAGAATGTACCTCCTCTTGCAGGATCTGGACTCTCAATCATCCTCGCCAGTACTGCGACTTCCTCTCTCTCGCTCTCTTGCCCTCTCTGTCACTGTCACTCCCAACCCATTTCCTCCTCTCACGTTTGCTCTTTGTCCTCGGCTTCTTGGGAATTCGGGAACCTTGAACCCTGAGACCGTTTCCTGCAAACACTGCCTGCCTCATCTAACACCTCCATGGATACCCTACCCTCTCAGTCACCTCATCCGGCATCATCGATCGATACCTTACCATGCGGTCTGTCTCGTTTCCACGACTCACGGTTCACAAGCATCATCCTTCTGTGCCGCCATCGCTCCATATTGGCTTCATTGCCGCCGATATGCCAACCTTAACATCACTAGTCATAACCCAAAATAGTGAACCCAACCGTCTATTACTATCCGCTAACTGCATGAACCACCACCTTTCTGACAGTCAGGCATATCGTGGCTTCGCCATTGACTCCTCAACCCCTCGTCCGAACTGTCCCTGCTGCCAACCATGACCGCCATGGCGAGCCCAAACTCCCTCCCCTCTCCCCTCCCTCCACCCCAGCTGACTCCAAGATCCATGATCCTAAGCCAAAGAGAGGGGGAAACCCCCCTCCACCTTCCCCCTCGTCAGACCCTTTACAAAGCAAACCGCATCGTGGACACCCAGGCCCGTCAAAGATTGGCGCATGCAGCTAGTCGGGCAGATTCAGGCACAAAATCACCGCTGCCAATCATGTTGCTCCATCCTGACCCCATTCTGCTTGCTTGCCAATGAGAATCCCTGCTCCCCGCTGGTCTTCACTGTCGGCAAGCCCAGTGACCTGCATCACCGCCTCAACACCGCTCCTTGCGCTGGTATCCATCTTCCCCCTCTCGTGCCGTCCCGTGAACGCCCAAGATAGCTACCTCCTATCGTCACTCATGGGTCATCGTTTCCATCAATCATTCTTCATTCGTCATGTTGTGGCCTCGGCTCGGAAATAGGTATTGCGTGTTGCGTGTTGAAAGTAATGAATCTAGGTTATTTCGGTAACTGTATCTTCACACCCCCCCTCAGCCTCTCTGCCTCCACCGCCTTGTACAACTGCTTCGACTCCAATCTGACCCATGCCTTAATCCCTCCTGCCATCTGAGGCATCAACAAAAGGGGTAACACCTGATAACCACGTATGGCCAAGCCCGACGGAACCGGGCTACCGCCGTGCTCACCGCCCGACGCATCCCCCCCGTTCATCTCCGACAAGACCCGTCTCGACCGAAAGTCCCTCAGTGGCCCGCTGCTTCGGCAGCGGCGGCTACCCGTCTCGTGTGGGCAGCTCGGGCAATGTTCTCCCTCATGCCAATGAGACCATACATGAGTGCATACACTGGGCAATAAGTCAGCACCCTCTTTACCAGATGTCACAAGGTACCAAGGAACCCACTGATGGGGGCAAGGGTGACAAATCCAATCGAAAATGCTACCACGGCCTCACGCGATCCGACTTGCTTCTCGTCGAGCCAGTAGAAGGCATCGGCACCGGTCTCGATCTTGCCGATAGCTGCCCAACCGAGGTAGAGACCTGCGAAGAAGATGACGCCCAAAGTATGTGCACCAACAGCCTGTAGGTGTTAGTCGTGTCAGCACACGCTCGCCTGCCCAAGGCCTGAAACCACTCACAAGGGGACGTTTGATGCTGTTCAGCCAGAATATCTCGACAAGGGAGATGATTGTAGAAATGAGGAAGAGATTCAGAATGACGAAAGCCTTAAACCAGCCCTCGCCAAAGATCTCCGTAACTAATCACAGGCTCTGTTAGGCTCTGCTAGTCTTCGCTGGGCTGGGTGACTCACATGGCTCATCAGGGTGGTGCTTGTGGGCGTCCTCCAAACGAGTCATTTCAAATCCCAAAGTGCTCCCATACATGGCTGACACGGATGAGCCTCCGGATGGCTGAGGTTGGGGTGGCTCGCCATTGGACTTCTCATCGTGCGGCAGTGTCACAAACCAGTAGATGACGGTATTCATGAAGGTAAAGACAGTAGTAACTGTGTAGAACAAGGTGAAGTAGAATTGTTTGCGTAGGCTGGCCATGTCGAAGGGAAGAGAAGACAATCTCAGAACCCAATACTCCCAACCGCTGCGGCTGTCATCGATGTGTGGGTGGTAGAGGTGGGTGTACGTCCAACCCTGGAGGCAAGCATTCATGGTCAGCAGACGGCACCCAAGGACGTCAACAGCAGTGGGACGTACCAAGACTACCAGATGATAAGCCAATAGATGGAAGAAGGAGACGACGGAAAAGTCAAAGATGATACGCCAATTTGAGTAAGGTGACTCTTGTCGAAGCTTGAAGTCGAGAATCATGGCGCCGACTGCGACCAGGTAGGCAACGATACCTCCTCGAATCCAGCAGAGCACGTTCTGGGGGAGACATCGCCACGGTGAATGACATGCTCTGAGGAATGCCGGCTAAAGACAAGTGTCAGCCAAGGCCAGAAAGCAACTAGAGACGGCGCAGCAAAGGGACGAACGTGATCTTGGACCTGCCCATACGCAGCCGGCGTTGGCAGTCCATCGTCCTGATGCGTGACCTGACCGTGGAGCAATGGAGTTCTTGCGGATGCGTTCATTGTTCGAAGCTATTGAGAGCGATGGAGGGCAGCAGGAAATGCGTGGAAGTGTCAGTACTGGAAGAAGTAGAAGATTGGTCGCCGGATCAAGAAAGCTCGGAAAGGATGGACAGCTAGTATTGTTGATGAAGAACAAGCAACAAATATCAAGGCAAAGCTTGGAGGGAGTTGTTGATTGAGAAAACGATACGACGGCGATGGAAGGGAGAGAATCATGTCCCGTCAGCAAAGGCAGCTGGTGCTTTGACACCTACCTGGACCGTACTTGCAGTCATATCAGCAGCTTCTACAATAAATGCAAGCAGGTTGGCTATCTATGAGGCAAGTGATGCGTTACAAGCAAGCGCATCTCCGCACTTGCCCGCGATGATAGTCATATGAAAGAAGTCTTTCGCCTACGGAAGGGAGCGACTGTTGGAACTGGAGGCGTAACCAGACGGGAAGGACTTGAGCAGAGTTGTCCCAGTATGCTAGGCACGATAGGGCTTCGTCGACATCATTGCCACCTTCCGCCTAAGATGTCTACCTTCCGGTGATGTTGATTCAATTCACGATCGGAATTGTCAGTGAGCCGGTCAAAGCTGTTAAGATGTTCCTGCAACAAAGAGAGGATGATTGCTACATGGCTCGAGCTCTCTGGCTTTGATGACTTATTATTCTTATATGAAATCTACTCCTGGAAAATCTCTAACTTTCTCTGATATGAGGCTTCATGTCTTGATAATTGATGGTGATCGCCAGAATGTGTCAATATTGGGCATAATTCAATCCCTAATCTCAAAAGCCATATTTGATACCGCGCTTTCTTTGGTATAATTTTTTTTTCGCGATTTCTGTCTTTGAGATATCCATACCTGAAATTAGCTAGAGACGGCTGGAATGAAGGCGAATAGTGTACGCAACTCTTAGCCTGCTCTTTAATTGCCCTTCCAGATTGCCGACCATGTCAAGTGTTGGGGATGGCACGGAAGGGTCATCAACTAACAGGAAATAAGAGGTGGTCTGTGCCTGGACCTCAACTCTAGAAGCTCTGCGAGTGTGGGCACGATAAGATAAGAAAAATGAATACGTACCTCCAGTGACACGTTCCACATTCATCTTCAGGTGCAAGCGCGTGGCCTGTGCTCTCTCGCTCGTGGTCTTGCTCGTCTCGAGGTGCATCGCTGGCCAGAACTTCAACTCTAAATCTCCGAAACCGTGTTCAACATCACGAACCTCCCAGCTCCTGCCAGCACCACTCAACAGAACCATGCTGTCCAGCCTCGGGAACCCGCGCCAGGCGGCGTCGCAGCTGCTCAACTTTGCACTGATTCTTTCCACAGCTTTTATGGTTCATACCTCTACCCCCGTGCTTCCTCTTCAGCAGCTTCTCGCTAACTCTTGCGCCTGTAGATGTGGAAAGGTCTCTCCGTTGTCAGCGATTCCCCCTCACCTATCGTCGTAGTTCTTTCCGGCTCAATGGAGCCTGCGTTTCAGCGTGGTGATGTATGGAACCCAAGGGTCCCTTTGGAGCTAGACGAGGCTAATCGGATGTAGTTGCTTTTCCTCTGGAATCGTAACCTGCTCCAGGAGACGGACATTGGTGAAGTCGTGGTTTACGAGGTCAAGGGCAAGAACATTCCGGTCAGTGGACATGGTTCAGGGTCAGAATCTTGTGCGACATGCTAACCTGCCTCTAGATTGTTCACAGAATTATTCAGAAGTTCGGTGCTGGGTACGTGTCTCGCGAGGCCTTAATTCCGCTGTCGAAGGCATTGCTAATTCATTTGCGCACAACAGACCGGAAGCGAAGCTCCTTACGAAAGGAGACAACAACGCCGGCGCCGATCAGGAGCTCTACGCCAAGGGACAGGACTTCCTCGTGCGAAAGGACATTATCGGCTCCGTCGTTGCTTACATTCCCTTTGTTGGATACGTTACCATCCTCCTCTCGGAGCACCCATGGCTGAAGACGGTGATGCTGGGAATCATGGGATTGGTCGTGGTGCTGCAGAGAGAGTAACTCAGCAGGTTATCGAGAAGTTCAAAAAAAGAAAAAAAAATGGAGCTGATACCTTCCGTCTTCCATGCCGTCTTCAGGTTTGACCACCAGCTACCAACAAGAATTCTTTCCAGATTTTGAGGAGTAAGTAGACTTGTCAAACCATGAGTGATTGGTGGCTGCTGGCTGCAGAACTGCAGTACAAGAGATGCGGAGGCGCACCCCGAAGGTTGATAGTCAGTATGCCTTGCGGATCACCTGTACCGACTATCATTATGCAAGCAACTAGGCCGGGCGTCACGAGGCAGACAGGTAAACGCCCATGTTTCGGGTGTTGAGTGTGGCTTGCTGGAAGTCTCAACTAGCCCAACTATTAAAAAATGGCCGCGATGTTTATTGTTCAAATATATACCACTGATCTCATCGAAAAAAGCTGTTTCATTCCAGATCTGACAGCAATGGAAAAAGTACTACGGTCGTCTTTATTACTTGTAGGTATCCAGCCTGATCATCTTCGTGAGCCTTGTTCCCTAGTGTAAGAAACTGGCCCTGGAAAATCTCGCGGTGCAGATGAGTGTCTCTGGGCAAGTCAGCCGCAAACAGGGTCTATGTACAGCGGCTCGTATGAGCAACATCGTCGCCCAATCGAAAGTCCCTGATCGACGCCACCAGTAGGGATCCCTGCTTCTCCGACGCCATATGATGGTCGTGAAGCAGATTCCATGCCTCAATATCTATGTAAGGGACAGAGCGGTTAACACGCGAGGCCATAGCGACACTGGCATGCGACCAAATGAGACTAATATCCCCCTGAGGGCTTTATATCTACTCACGTCTCTCGCTCCATTTCAGATGAGTTAGTAGCGTCCACTTTTCTCCTCGTCAGCGGTTCGGGAATCGTTATTCTAACCTAGATTTGGCCTTGCTCCGCCACCATTGGCTTCCAACGGTTTGTCGTGTCCTGAGCTTATTCTCTCGCCCACCCACCATGTCTGCCGACCCTTACGCCTACCAACAGCAGCCTGGTGCTGAGGCATACCAGCCATACGAACACCAGGGGGCCCAACAGGGGACTTACTATAGCAAACCATGGCATATCACCAAGATTGTTATGAGATGCCTTAATATCACATTTAGTGTGGTCCTTATTGCACTGGTCGCCTACCTCGCAACCCTAACAGCATACGGTGCGCTCGTTTTATTTTTCGGTGGCCTTATTGTAAGTCAACAACTCCACCTTCCAATATAGTATTGGAGTTAACCATGTGAATTACAGGCTTGTTGCGGGGCTGCCCTTGCTGTTATCTGGGATATTGCAGAGTTCATCACGATTTGTGCGAGAGGTGGCCGTAAGGGAATACACCCAGGAGCCCACGTCGCCCTGCATCTTCTCTTCTGGCTCTGCTTCGCCGCCACGACCGCAATCCAGTGCATCCACCTCTTCGTCAGGGATGAATTCGACACATACCGCTTTACGAGGACGCAGAGGTCATTCTTTAGGGATACGATCATCCCTTTGCAGAATGCCGTTGCCGCCTTCACCATCTTGTTGCTGTAAGTCTATAGCCGGTTCCCCATAAACCTCGTTGAGTTAAGCCAACGTGTGAGTGCAGAATCAGCCACTTTGTTCTCTTCGTTCGGGCCTGTGTCGAGACCGCCCGGCGCAACAAGCGACCAGCCGTGATCATGGTTCCCGTTACCGCACCCACCCCCACGCCGAACCAGATGGCCAACGGATCGTACCCATCTTACCCGAACCAGCCTCAACCGGCGTACTATCCTTACCAGCAGGAAAAGGGGCACATTGCGGATGACACTCTTTCGGAGTTGCAATCCCCCACCCCACAGGATGGAGCGTCCTACAGCCACACCGGCCAAGCACGTTAGGTGGATAGGCCCCGTATGACACCACGAATTTCAATGAAAACTGGATGATACCCTATGAAAACTAGAAAGCCTAGTTTATTGAGTGTTAGTGAACCTGTAATGGCAAGGGGCTGGAATGTCTGATTAACACCGTACAACATCCCCACTTCCTTCATCACCCATCATGTTTGGTCGGTCCTAAGTCTATCCCTGCCACAGTTCTTACTCGAGCCTGCATCTTCCCGGAGCTTCAATATAGTGCAGAGGGACAATGATCAATTATTCGTAGCCATATACTTGAAAAAAAATTGAAAGTTACGAGTTGATGTCGATTGCTACCAGATCTCATTACCCCCCGGTTTTTTCTTTTCTTTTTCTTCCTTTTTGATTTCCCTCTAGTTGGACCACTTCACCTCAAAGTCCTTGAACTCAACAGAGAGGCTCTCCTCGGTGTCTTTTGAAGGTCGAGCAACCAGAGCGCCGATGGTGAGGTTCCAGTCCTTGCCCGAAGAGTCGTCGTCGCCGTAGACCCAGCAGATCTCGCGCAGGGGCTCCTTGGTGCCGTCCTGCTTGACGTAGTAGACCCAGAAGCCGAGACCAAGACCGTCGCGGCCCTTCTCAACTGTGACGGTGATGCTCTTGGAGTCCTCGAATGCGGCCAGGGGCGTGATGCTCCAGTCGGCCCAGCGGTCGCAGGCGACGGTGCTGATCTGGCGGGTTCCGTTGTAGAACTCCAGTCCAGTCTTGATCCATCTCCTCTCGCGGGTGCCGGAGATGGAGTCAAAAGTAAAGATGAGTCCGGCCTGGTCGTACTGCTGCTCCCAGTTTGCCGAGAAGGTGATCTTGGCTGACTCGAACTCGCTCAGGGGCTTGGTTGGCAGTGCATGAATGGGTGCTGATAAAGATTAGAAGGGAGCGATAAAATCTTAGATGTATCATGGGATTTACCGTTGTAGACATTGGTCGTTGGGGGCTTCTTCCAGACATCAGTGCCCGGCCCAGAGGTGAGGACAAAGCTATCGTTGGACATGGTGAATATGACTATTGAGGGCCGTATTGTGTAGGTGTGTGAGTGAGTGAGTGAGTGGGGTGTACTGAGGGCTTGCTGATGATTTGGTTTGTGTCAGAGATTCAAAGAACCAAAAACAGGTATGAGGCTGCAGGAACAGAGGGTTTATATAGGTCAAGATCAAGGATAACGATGTGGTCTCTGTATGATGAGGAGTCGGGATGGTGTGAGTATCGAGTTGACCCGGGTTGCCCCGCACCGGGGATGCACCACGATGCCCGCCCGATGTCTTAGCTGCCAACCAAACGGGCCATCCAAAGTCCCTTCCACATGGATTTTTTTCAACGGTTCCCTGGGCCGAGACTCCGCATAAGGTATCTGGGCAAACCTGATTACACGAAGTACATGTCGAAGATTCCACGTGTACCTTGGTGCATTAGTTTCAATTACGCTATTAAACTCCTGATCATCGCAGGAGTGACCCAGTTTAGAGCTGAATATCTGGCATCATGGCTCAGGCAGATGAACGCAAGATGCTACGTGTAAGAAAGGATGTCATGAGAGGACAATGTGGCCTTTCTGTTTATGCCAGTGATGCTTATGTATGCGCGTCCCTTAATGACGAAACGAAACGAAGCCAAGTCCTATGTTCAACGCGCAATTGTTCGCTAAGATCCGACGCCGCAGGGAAGACGTCCAAGGTAACTCGGATAGGTTCCACAATGCGGGGCGAAGCACGGCGGTGCGGTGCAAATGTGACTCGGCCCAGGACGATTGACTAGCAGGACGGCTGATGTTCGGAAAACCCAGCACGGAGACTCCGCCGGCATCGAGGTGTTTAGAACTACATTGGTTTAGTCGCTGGCTTATTCGTCCATACTCTCTTCTAGACAGACTAAAAGAGGAGAGACTTGCCGAAAAATGTACTGGCGCTAGCTATCACTGCTGCTGACAAGTTCGTCACGGAATACATTTTCCACAGTAGAAGGTTTGAATCATAGCCACGTTTTGAACATTTAACCTCTGCATCGACAAGCATCTTCTTTTGATCTGCACTATCAGCTATTTTAGGCCACATCATGTCCACGTCGCTTTAACTAGATGAGGAAGCATTAATTTGGTGAGATTCTAAGATTGGCTGTTGAAAATAAGCCAACACCAGGTACTGCAATGTAGTACAAAAATTTACTGGGCGGTATCCGTAAAGGTGGTGGAAATGCGTAGATACATACGTAGGGAGGCCTGCTTAGGTAAGAAAGATAAAAAAAACGCATTTTACACTCTTTTGACACCTTTAGCCGATGGAGACTCGAACGGTGGGCCATAGAAAGCGCTGAAGATAGTGGAGGTTGCCCCTTTCGGACGTCCTCGGACATTGACTCAGCGCTCTGCCCCCCACTGAGGCCCGGCTTTTGTGGCTGTCTGATTGCCTTTTCCCCATAACCAAAGGCACACCTCCCCCCGCTCGACCATTTCGTCGCCAACCCCACTAATTTTTTCATTCCTCGCTTCATTTCCTCCACCACCAGTATCCCTTTGCAGCGAGCCATCATTGTCTGCAATACGCACACTTACACATCCTTGGTCACTATTCATTCGCCAAATACTTTCGTCACGCGTGCGTGGATTTCTACACATTGAAGCGCGGCCTCAACCCTCCCCATTCCTCCGTGCGAGGCAGGCCACGCCTGCCTGGAGGCAGAAAGAGAAGAAGAAGAGACGAGGACAGGACGACCATCGACGACAAACGGCGCCTCAAAAACCGAGTTTTCTGGTCGGCTCAATTTCCCGTTACCTTGTACATTATCTTTTACAGTTCGTTACTCGTGACGAACCGTCCAACAAGCAGTTTTCTCGCCCTCAAGACCCTACAAAGTCGACAAAATGTCGTCCTTTCTTACCCCTACCAAGAAATCACAGAAACCTCCTACCAAGGGCAAGCCTTTCCAACCACCGAACCGTATTCGAGCCATTCGAGAGCAAGCCGAACGCCAGCAGGCCAGCGCCGTTGCCGCCGCTGCCAATGCCGCCGCCCAAGCACAACTGAACCGCCCTCGAGCGCCCGCCATTGCCCTTTCCAACCGCCCACAGTGCCCCAATAAAGCATGTGTGAAGCCAAATGTTGTCGACGGTGTGTGCCAAACCTGTGGTCGAGTCGCCGACGACAGCAATATCGTGGCGGAGGTCCAGTTCGGCGAGACTTCTTCTGGTGCTGCCATGGTCCAGGGTAGTTACATCGCCGCCGACCAAGCTGGTGTCCGTACTATGGGCCCTGCCTTTCGCCGAGTCGGGGGTTCCGATGATCGAGAAAAGTCCATTCGCGAAGCCCGTTCTTTGATGCAGGGTTACGCCCAACAGTTGAACCTTGGAGAAAGCACCGTCAACACTGCCGTTCAAGTCTTCAAGCTTGCTTCGCAAGCCAATTTCGTCCAAGGCCGCACGCTCGTTATGGTTGCCGCCGTCTGCCTGTATACTGCCTGCCGAACTGAGCGTCCCTGCAAGATTATGCTCATTGATCTGGCTGATCTCACCCAGATCAACGTCTTCAAGCTTGGTCGCGCTTTCAAAGCACTGAATAAGGTCGTCTACGTCTTTGGAAATGGCGAGGCCCCTGTCTTCCCTGAGGACATCATTTACAGATTTGCTTCCAAGCTCGAGTTCAAGCACATGACCAACCGCGTTGCCGAGGATGCTGTCCGCTTGGTAGCTCGGATGAAGCAGGATTGGATTGTCATGGGTCGTCGACCCTCTGGTATCTGTGGTGCCTGTCTTTTGATGGCCGCAAGAATGCACAACTTCCGACGGACCGTCAGGGAAGTTGTGTACATCGTCAAGGTCACGAACCACACCATCCAAGAGCGTCTGCAAGAATTCAATGTCACAGAAGCCAGTAAGATGACGGTTGAGGACTTTTTGGCTCATGACTTTGGCTCTGCTTCGCACGACCCGCCTTCCTTTTACAAGAACACCGAGGCTTGGCAGAAGAAGCAGGAGGAGCTGGGCAAGAAGCGCAAGCGTAAGGCCCTCGACGATGGCGGCAACGCGCGAACTACACCAGCTCCATTGCCCCCGCCACCCGATCTGGCGTCAGCCCCCGCGATTGAGTACCGTCGAGACAAGGACGGCTACATTATTCCCCCACTTCCTTCTAAAATCCAACAAGACGAACCCGCTCTGCGGGACACCAACAGCACCCAGCATCTGGAGACTCTCGCCGAAGAGTTTGGTGACGCAGAGGCCCAGGCTGAGGAGTCATCGCAGTTGGAATCAACAGGCAAAAAGGGCCGACAAGCTAAGCCTCAACTGCCTATTAACGAGGAGTGGGAAGAAGACGAGGCAGAGATGGAAGAAGAGATCTCGGAGATTATGAACGACCCCGAGACGTACGAACACGCCAAGGCTTTCAGTAATGCCGAGCAGCGAGCGCGCATCCATTCCATCTGGGCGCTCCAGCAGCAGCCTGATAAATCTGTGTCTATGGCGCCTGAGGTTGGCGAAGACGAGTTCGCTGACGACCCCGAGGTTCTGAACTGCGTCTTGTCGCCCAACGAGGTCAAGATAAAGGAGCTCTTGTGGGTGAATGAGAACAAGGATTGGCTGCGCCAATCTCAAGAGCGACTGTTCCGCAAGAAGCTCGATGCGCAGAAGCCAAAGGTCACGCGAAAGCGTAAGAAGAGACCACGTATCGGCGAGGGCCAGACCTCTCCCGCCAGCACGCCGGGAGAAGCAGCCGTCAACGTAATGAAGGAGCGCGGCTTCTCGAAGCGCATCAACTACGACGCCATCCGGCAGATGTTCGATGTGGCCGACCGCGGAGATCCTGGATCCCGGCCCGAGAGCGAAGCTGCCAGTCGTCCGGCAAGCAAGGCGCCTAGCGTTCTCGAGGACCCCATTGCTGATGACGAGAGCGACCATATGGGAGGCAGTGGAGACGAGGTGGATGAGCATCAGGACGACGAGTTCGGCGGCGGTGATGACTACGACGATATGGGAGACGAGTCACACATGTACGACGACGACGATGATCAGGGGATGGGCGAAGACGATGATGACGACGACTTTGGATTGGGTGATGACGACGAGTAGTAACTTGATCCTCGTCCAAGAGTTAACAGTATCTCGTAGCCGATGCAACTGATGGGCGGAAGAAGAACAAAAAGGCCTGTTTACATTAGATACCCAGAACTCACAGCACGTGTGGCTTTGGCCGACCACTCCATAACGTTGCTGTGACTGCTTGTATGTTAGGGATAGAAGACGCTAGATCGCGGACACAACAGAATCCACGGTTCATTCTTTTTCATCAAATTAAAAGTTTCTAGTCATGTGCATGCATGTGTTGATACAAAGTGGTTCCCAACCCAACCACATAAAGACAAAAATGAAAGGCTTTATCCTGCAAAGGGAAAAAAAAAACACCTAAACCCCATCAATCAAACAGAAATAAAACGACACCCATGGGTATATGCCGACGAAACATACGCTGTCCACCCCCCAGCGCGACCAAACATCCAGAGGGACAGAGACAAAACACACAAAGTGAAGCATCAGACGTCGTCATCGGCAACGCTCTCCCACCTCTTGCCCAGTTTCCTCATCTTCTTGGGGCTTCCCGTGCTCCCGGCGCTGACGGTGCTCTCGTTGCTAACGCGGAGACGTTCCATCTTGCGCCCGAGGTTGTTGAGACCGCCGCTGCTGCTCGAGGTAGTGTCCGCCTTGCGGCCTCCAAAGTCCTCGCGCTCCTGGAGCGGCTTCCGCTTGGTCGGGCTCCGGCACGCGAGCTCGCGTTTGAGTATCTCGTTTTCCCGGCGCAGCCTCTCGTTCTCCTGCTCGAGGTTCTCGACCAGCAGGTTCTCCTTGTCCTCGCCGCAGTCGTCGTCCTCCGCAACCGCTACGCCGAGCCCCTTTTCGAAGAGCTCCATCTTGCGATCCCAGTGCTCTTCGCCCTTTTCCTGCTCAGCCGCGAGGTTTGCCTTCCAACGGGCCAGCTCGAGCTCGAAACGGGCGTCGAACTCCGCCATGCAATCCTCGCGTACCGTCTGCTCGAGTTCCAGGAGTCGGTCCTCCATACTGAGGAGATGCGCCTCGGCGGTTACCCTCGCCTCGCGTTCGTTGTCCAGTTCGATGTGGAGATGCGTAATCTCCTCTTGCATGCGAGCGATCTCGAGCGCCGCGTGTTCCATCAGAACTCTGTCTCCGCCGTCAGAGGCTGGCGAGAAGTTTCGATGTCCCGAAGAACCGTTTCCAAAGTAGCCTCTTCGATGAGGGGGCGGCAAGTCTGGTGACGAGAGGGGGGGTGGCATGTGCGATGCTGAAGGATTATCGGCAAGCAGTGTTGAGGTGATGCTGGGGATGCGAGGAACCGTAACCTCCCTTGCCAACGCGCTGTACCTGAGGATCTGAGAGGTTGCATTGAGATCTCCGTGCGCGTCTGCCGTTACAATCATGACGCCTCGCTGTGGGTTGCGACGGACTGCAACGCCCGAGGAAGAGGTGGAGAAGGAGTTGGAGAAAAGGAGTTCTGTCATCTTACACTGACGGAACGGCATGACGCTTGGCTGGAAAGCGGGTGTCAGTTTTGCTATCAAGTTTGCAGTTCGTGTCCTGCCGACGTACCTTGTTGTTGGTTCCCAAGCTGCTTTGGGCTTGAAGACATTGGCCGAGGTACATGAGACTCTCGTTGATCTTACCGGCCTCTGCCAGGGTAGCACCTTGGGTCTTGGCGTCTCGCGCCCGCTCACTTCCAGCCAGATCGACGATGGTGAGGGTATTGCCGACCCAGGAACGATTGCGACCGACTCTCGACCGCTTTTTCACTTCCACGCAGAAGAAGCCGTGGCTTCTGGACGACACACTGTTGCTGCCCGTGCCGGCTACCTGGCGCTCATGCAATCCTGCTTCCAAAACCATTACGGCCTCCGCCATGGTAGTGCAGGCAATCTTTTTCAAACCAGCAACTACCTTCCTATCGGCGGACAGTTCTGTTGACTTGAACAGCAACGGCCGGCGACGGTACTCCTTTGTGGCGTTGGACTTGATCGGCGGGGTCAGGAGGTCGTAGATCTTGTCGTTGTACACTTCATACATGGACAAAACGACGGCATAATCGGCGTCGGGGTCAGAAGAGACGTCGACGGAGCTAATATCGGGTGCTTGTGGGAGGTTCGACGGCCTCTGGAGGACTCTTCGGGGTGTGGGAGGGTAGTGTTCGCCCTTTAGTAAAGTTTTAGCATTGCTCTTTGTATGTGAAGCTGTAGTCATGGTCATGAAATGTCTCTGCGCATCCGTCTGATGAACAGGTGTCTTTGTAGACATTGGCAGCGGGGATTCACGTAGGCGCTGGCGCCGTGGGCGGCTTGGAGTGGAAGGCACTAGCCGTACACCACCCAAGACCCCCAACGAAGATTGCTGTGGCTGTTCGCGCTGTTGCGAGATGCTTGCAGAAAGAAAGTCGAAGGAAATAGATGGGGTTCCTACAATCATTGGCGTCCCTGCTCTTGATCCCCCGCCTCGTGACGAGCCAAAGTCGGAAAAGACGGTCTCGAGAAAGCACGGGGCGGACATGATGGTTGCGTCGGAGGCGTCGGCGGCCTGTAGGGATCCTTCAAGGCTGGGAGAGTCGTACATGTTAGGTCCGATGGATCGAAAAACAACGTCGAGTGCTAGTTGTGTCATGCCTCGCTGTGTCTTCGAGCCGAGGATGGTGTGAGACTGATTTTAAGTGTCAGGAAGCTGATACAGTAGGAAGAGAGCGCAAGAGAGAGAGAGAGAAGGAGCAGCCTACCTTCCCGGAGCCCGTGACACCGAGAGTTGCAATCAAAGCATCGGTGCCGTGACCGCCATGAGGCGCCAAAACGCCCTCGACGAGGGACGCGACTCCCGTAGAATGGAAGACGTCGAGCTGAGCTGCATCTTCCTCAAAGACCTTGGTGAAGGCAAATTTCTCCGTCGAGCGCTTACGATCATTGGGGGGATTGAGAGTAATGTGTGTTGGGTGGGAACCATCAGTGGGTTCTTCGACGCTTAGAAACCTGTCTGACGAGGCAGCACCAGCCGGGGGAGGCCTCAATCGAAGGTACACCTGGAACAAGTTCGCCGACGATTTTTGTGATGATGTGGAGGAATCCATCGTATATGGTTTGTGATGAGCACCCTCTTGTCCCTCTATGTGTGTCGAGTAAGATTGGTCCTTAGCGAGACACGGTCGGCGTGTTCGTGGTGCAATGGTTCGTCGTGTCGAGATTGATGGAGGTGACATAGAGACGCGAAATGTCGACGAGGTTGTCAAAGGTACAGAATCCTTGTTTACGATGGTGACCGGGCAACGGGCGATAAGATAAGCGAAAAGTCGAGATGCCATCCGATAAGAGATAAGCAGATGGGCTTGAATGCAGAGAGAGGGACGTGCACGTTCCCCTGGTTCCCGCATCTGTTTTTTTTTTTCCCTTCCCTTCTTCCCAACCCCGCCACGTTTTGCACGGTGCTCCCCGCTGAGACACAGCTCCGAGTGGGGCTTGTGCCCAGTTGGTGTGGTGTGCCGGGTCCGACCGAGGGGGAGGGGGAAACCTCTCTGAGGGGGGGCCTGGACAAACCATTTGGCCTCGATTCAACTTCATCTGCCCCTCTGCTGAACACGGCGCAAATCAGAGTCCGTTCATAAAAGAACACATTCCTTAAAACACTGTCTGTACCGGTAAAGGGTACATTTAGCTCACGGCCCGAATGGTCATGCCAATCCCGAGCCTTTGGCGTTGTAGTTCTGTAGCCAATGGTAGCATAATCTGGATTTTCTCTCTCTCAGCAGTCGAGTCAGATCATTACGGCGTAGAGTCACCGTGGCAGAATTAGCATTAGACACCAAACAGATCCTTTACTCTTTGGTGATGCTCACTGGACGAGTTGTCTCACAGACCGGAAGACACCTCCGTCATTACTTTTTTTGATGTCCAGCTCACTTTTCCCCCTCTTCCCATGCTCACCCCCTTTTTGGGAAGCCATTTAGGCTCTGGACTCTTGGACAAAACTTTTTATTGAGGCTCAAAGCCAAACGGTTGAGGACAGCGCAGGCATCACCCGGCTTGACAACCCCTCACTTTCCGTCAGTGAGTCATGAACGACAAGAGGCCAGACAATGGGGGACCAACACAGTTCAAGGCTGGTCCTAATAGCTATTATATGACTGGCTGAAAATTTGAACTGCGACCAATAGACCCTTTTTCTCGGAGTTGGGTCGCAAACGTCGTCGGTCAGCACCGAGCATCCGAGGCAGCAAAGCCCCGCCAAACTTTTTTTTTTTCTTTGGTCACTCTATCTTTCTTTCCTTCCGTCCAATCTGTAGCTCATTTCATTGTCTGCCTACAGTATCCGTTCCTGCTACTTTCTATGGCTACTAAGGATATAATGCTCCGCATACGTAGACGTATACGTAGATAGCCGACTGCGGTTGTTCGTTTCTATGCCAGCTTTCCAAGTCACATACCTATCCATGAGCTTGCAGGAAGAAGTGACTCAACTGTCAGACACATAAAACATGGAGTACAGAGATTGGATGATGGAAATACGGTGTGGCAACGTGCGCTTGCCGCAATACGCAGGCTGATGAGCTGGCCTTTCTTGACCTTTCCTGCCCCTCGCTCGACTCTTCCAGCAGCTACAGGATGCCCCTCGATGTGCCAAGCCGAGGCGAATCAGGAGACCGCCTACCTAATTTGCATGTCGAGGCCTTACCTAGCGTCCCGTATGCAGACAAGCAGTGGGCCTTCAATGGAGACATGGACGTTGTGGAGGCACCGTCATTGCAAGCCAATGTGAGCCAGGAATGGGGGCCTGTCTTGCTTGTGAAGAAGAGGTGGATTGCGATGTTTGACGCCGTGCGACCCCACATTCTTGACCAGCTCCAGCCACCACCAGCGCTTACTGCTGCCCGCTGTTGCTGCTACTGTTGCTGCTACTGCTGGTGTGCCGCTGTCGTCCGCAGATGCCGACGAGACCAGACGGTGTACATAGACACTTAGTTATCCGTATCTAGGTAGTAGTTTCTAATGGGGGCCCTCCTCCAGCTTCCTACTCTGGCTGGTGAGACCGATGCTGCAAGCTTGGGGATCTTCGTGATTACGGTATGATGGACTCAAAACGAGAGATGCTCGGCGGGCCACGAGAAAATCTCAGATATTAAAATCTGTCGTAATGGAGACATGATCAACCGGTACCCATCTCGATCCAGACCAGGTCGACGGGTGACGACAGCGAGGAGGGGGAAAACAGGCAAACCCGCATGGGCGAACATGCGCTGGAGGTACGTGAGTGAGGTGATACAGCCTGAGAGGAGGGGCAGGAATGGGTTGATGAGGGTCGATGGCCCAGGGGGTGACTTGCAGCCTGGCACAGGGTTATCCTCCACACTTCAGTGCGCCAATCCACTAATGACGGTGCGACTCCAGCGTATTTTCAGCGCCTGCAGCCCATCCGTTGGAGGGGCCAGGGGTACGAAGGCGCAAAAAGGCGGTGACGGTGCACCCAATCCGGCTAGCGTGGCCTCGCTACCCACTTGAAGCGAGCCAGACAATGCCAGATTCCCACGCCTAGTGGCCCCACCGAACCAGGACCCATTGAATGGAAAAAAAGAAAAAAACGAGAAAAAAAAAGTTTGGGCGACATTGAGAGGAGTAGGCAAAAAAAAAAAAAAAAAAAAAGTCGATTGGGTGTGGGGACCCCGGGAGCCATATTATTTTCGGAATCCCGTGTACCTCATTCCTCCGTCCCTCTCTTTTCCCTTTCCTTCGTCAACCACCAACCCAAAACCACCAGACAACGAAGTCGCCCTAACAAAACATTATTCGAAAGAACAGTCAGATACACTTACAAAACTTCGTCGAGATCATGTCGCCCGCTTTCGCTGAGCTGTAAACGCCCACTGTGGGGGTGCCTGACGGGGCGCCTCTGCAGTCCAGCAGCCCATCGAGACATTCAATCCTCTCTTGCTTCCGACGAAGTTCATCCCAGGCTTTTACTGTCCAGAGCCCTCTGAGGGACGGCTCTGGCCCATTGACAGAAGTCTGCATCTGATTTCACTCCGAATCGATCATTTTTGGCCCGACATTCACCTGGGGCTAGACGACGCCCATCTGCAAAGACACCTCAATTCACCCTTTCCTCCCGAACTTACGACCTACTACCTCCCACTTCTGAACCACCCTACAATACACGATATTCCATATTACATATTCAATCATAACAGGCGAAACTCCTTTAGAGAAATATCTTGAACGCCTTTACCACTATCGACTTGATATCCAAACGGCATCCTCACCGCCGATTCTACAGAACGCACTCCACCCTCCAATACCACCCTCTCGGGTTTCACCCCCTGCATAATTACCATTATGTCTCGCAACGTTCGCAACAAATCCTCCGCGGCTGCCCGCAAAGCTGCCAAACGCCGTGACTCTATCACTTCCTCTTCGTCGTTTAATCTTTCCGACGATGAAGGCTATTCGGCAGTTGAGGACATCAGCGACTCCTCCGATGACGACGAGGAGGATGTCGTCGCGGCCGAGGAGGAGCACATTCTGCATGAGGTACTGCCACCCAGTATCTCGAGCTCTCCTCGGCCGCCCATTGTCCAAGAAGAAGAGGACGATGACGACGATGATGATCAAGAACATGAAGAAGAAGACGAAGAGGAAGAAGAAGACGGCGCTGCCGATGTTGAGGACAGTGCCAGTTGGGACGGCATCATGTCTGATGTTGAGGAAAGTGCGGCTTCTGACCACCATCATCATCGTTCTGAGCCAATGGAACGTCATGTCCGTTTTGATGTTCCCTCGAGTGATTCCGACTCAACCGACACTGAGGATGATCATGCCGATTTCTTCCCTGACATATTTGTCGACCAGAGCTCTCTTGACCCGGCCTTCCGCCGCGAGATCGAGAATGATGATGAAAACGACGAGTCTGAAGCCTCCAACTCGTTCTGGGACTACCATGGCGACTACCATGGAGCCTATGAATACGGCCCCGGCGCAGACTCGGACATCGAGGCTGTCATTCAGGAACTTGGCGATGACGACACCCCTATTGCTACCCCCATGACTGCGGGCGAAATCTCCGAAATGCCCACTCCAGTCGCAGCTTTTGAGGAAACTCAGGAGCTGGACGGCTATGAGAGTGAGTTTGTGTCTTGTGATGCCCATTGCGAAGATGTGATTGCTGACTCCCCCTACCAGCTGATGGTGACACTACTGAGGAAGATGAACCTGAGCCTGTTGTCCGTCGCAAGATTAAGCGTCCTGAGCAGCCTGCCGGCCAGTGGGATGACTCCGACACGGATCACCCGGTCAAGGGCGAGCGTGGCCAACCTCGCGTTGGCCGCTTCAACCTGGATAGCTCTGAGCGTAAGCCCATTGCTGTCGTGAACCCCATCTCCAGAAAGATGATGATCTTCACCCCTCACCGCCGTCGCCATCTTGACTTGTCTCCGGAACAGTTCAACTTCTCCTACCTTGCACCCATTGATGAGAACCAGAACTCTCCCATGCTCAGCAACTCCGCCCAGATCATGATGAGCGCCATGTTCTCGTCCAACACCTTTGGTGACTACCTCAACACCCAGGCGATGGGTCCTGCCGAGGCCTTCTTCCCTTTCCAGTCGGAGCCCAATACTGCCGACGAGAGCTCCGAGATAGAAATCGAGGACGAAGATGAGATTGAAAGAAGCCTCGACATTAATGATTTCATCGAATTTGATGACACTCGGTCGCTTGATGGCGATGATGAGAACCAGTGGGACGCTGATCCCCTCAACTCAACCCCTGGTCGCCCACGCAGCTCCAGTGACGTTGATCTCCATTCTCATATCAACGCGAGCAACGTCGGGGCCTTCCGTCGGGACCAGATCAACCAGCGACTGATCTTGAGCGACAAGGCCACCCAAGACTCGCTCGCCCTCAGTAGTCCTTACAACTACACTGCCCTGCGTGGTCTCAAATCTGATCGTTTCGAGACGGCGGCGGTCCCATTGACCCCTCTGCGGCGCTCCAAGAAGCAGATGCGCGATGTCACGCGCAGCCCCCTCGAGTCCATGTCCCAAAAGCGCAAGGCATCCAGCGAGATGCCTATGGCCCACAAGCGCCAGCGCAGCATCTCGGACGTCAACCTACTGCGCATCTAGTACGATGCCTCAGTACTTGACCTGCCCGAAATATAACGGTTGAGGATGGCGTGGCATGATGCTCCTCTGAAGCAAAAGGGCACTTGTCATCCCTGGCCTCATAAACTTTACAACCTCATTCGCTCTTTGCTCTTTCCTTATGTTACAGATGTTTACAAAACCGACCTGTCAAAAAGTTGAACGGCGGTAGACAAAAGTTATTTGGCGTTGGTGCCATATTTGGCACAGACGCCTCTGAATTACGTTAGACCGGGACATGTCGCAAGGCATATGGAGCAGAAGAAATTCCTCCACGATACCTGATAGGCATGTAGTGTGCTTAACGATAATGATGTTTCCTATAGTTCTCAATGAAAATCATGATATTCAATGTTTTGTCTTAACATGCTTGTGACTTCGTTGTTTGATATTATACTGATTTGTTCCTCCCTTCGTGCTTCTAATCCCTATGGCCAACCTGTCCTCCAGACGAGGCACCAATGGTTTTCGATTGTTTTCACTGAAGGTTTATGCGAGGCAAATGTATTCACAAACAGCCATATGCATTTCTTCATTACAGCATCCGCTTCCTCGCCTATCGCCAGTCACAAGATCCCGTCACGCTCACGAATCAAACGAATCAACCGTACAAACCACACAGCTTCCGCTCTTAAGTACAGCTCAATGATACGCATCAATAGCATTGTCGAATGCCGTGTCGATCTGTGCAACCAAATTCTTGGCCACAGCTTGCAGCGATTCGGGGACCTTCTCAATAACAGCTGCACTGAACTTGTCGGTTGCGTCCTTCTCGAGCTTGAGGTTGAGGAGGATAATGGGGCTGAGCAGAAGCTTGTCGAACTTGGGCTTCGCGTCAACGACGTTGCCAAGCGTTGTGTCGACTCCACCTGCGAGCTTCTGCGTCGATTGCGCGACGGTGATGGCCTCGATGAGGTTCAGGGGCTCCGACTCCTCGGCGACCTTGGTCGCCTCGTTGATCTTGATGAGCAGCTTGGTTGAGTCGACGATGATGGGGAGCGTGCCAAAGAGGCCACCGTCCCAGGCGGCAACGGTGTCGCCTAGCAATGTGTTTTGCGCAGCGATCTCATCCATGGCGGCCACGATGGCAGCACCGTCAGCGATGACGGACGTGACGAAGAGGCCCAACAGCGAGAACTTGAGGAGCATCTTGGCGACTGGTAATGCAAGACTGGGAGACTGTTTTGAGTGAATTATGAAAGCGTTCTGATTTCATGTGGCAATGCTTCATAGAGCCCGAACCTAATGACTGAGGCAAGTTTGATGGCTTTCAAAGGCCCTCTTATACTTGTCATTTCACGGCCTCAGCATAACATCACCGCATCGCTGCTATCGTCACATCGACTGCCGTATTAGTCCCAATATCCGTCCGCCCGCCTATCACACCTCTCTCAATGCCTCGCGACCTGCCATTCGATGTCATCCTTCCCCGCAGTCCGCATCAAGGAGGAGCTAAATTGCGGCCCTGTTTAGGGCGAAGACGAGGTGTGATCGGTCCGTACAGATCCCAGGAAATCAAGCACTTCACATGCGCTCGGCCGAGAAGTTAACCGTATTGCTCGAGTCGGAGAGAAACAACACACAAATCACCACTAACACATGTTCTTTTGCAGGTGATCCCAACAGCCCAAGCCGAGGAGAAGCAGGGGGTTTACCCCAGATTTAGGTCTCTATCCCCTGAACGCCCCGCAGATCGCCCCCTCAACCCCTCATGCAAGGCTCCCACGATGTTACCGCTCTTGCGTGAGCGAGGGTGCGCAAATTGCTTTCATTGGACGGCGTGAAATGACACCGACGCCGGCAACTGGCCCTTTTGGTTCAACTGCTTGTTCTTCTCAGACTGAGAATGGCCGGACGTCATGGTTGGTGTGAGTCGGCGCTCTTTTTGCCCTTTTTGGACCTGAAGTAACAGTTAACCCAAGCATCTGCTCCTGGGAGGGCATGCCTGGGAGTCATTTGACATGAGATGTTGGCGGGATAACGATGTTCAGAGTGGAAAACCTGTCGAATTTGAAAGCTTACAGCCCGGCCTGAAATAGTTTGTCCCAGGTCGATGTATCCGTAATTCCAATCTCGCAATTCTGGTTTCCATTGTTCCAACACAATGCCACATCACTTCACTTGTCCGTCATCACGCGAGGATCGCCCGATTCGGATGTTGCTTGCTCCCGCTAATGATTTCCATGTTGGACAAAATGCCAGCAGGCGATAAGCAACATGGAGCATTCGGTATCCTGCCGCTTCCAAAACTCTTGGACGAACAACACAAATGGCAGACCTGAGATACTATTCTCCATTTGAGCAAAAGGCTTTGGCAACCGGAACCCGATTTGAGGTAAATATAACAGAGGCGCTCATAGGTTATTTCAAAATTCATAACAGAAAGCCGGCTTTGTGTATTATTTTGCTTAATTAACCCGAAAGACTAGAGTATCTTCCTCGCACTTGTGGGATTCTGGTCATTAACCAGGACACTCTGTATTTCGTAAAGCCCAACTTCTTCAATTCAATTGAACAAGCGGTTAGAAAGTCAAAATGAGATTCCTAGGTACTCTTTTCTAGTCTTCTTCCTACAATAAATGAGGCCCCTAACAACAATGCAATTCGCCCTAGCTCTGCCCATGGAGAAAAGCGGTTATGCTCTTTCTGCAATCAGCAAACCATCTACCTCTCGTCAACAATCATTGTTCTTGAGGCCCCATAAATTAGTGCCACTATTACAAATTGACCTGATCCCTTGTGACAGCCATCTGTTCCATCAACAAGATCACCAAAAACACACGTTGAAGATCTACAGGATAGAGTGAGGAATTAAACAGCGCTCAGAAACCCATGCACCTCGAGTGAGCGGCCATGGTTACTCCATCTCGCTACCAATAAACCATGCCACCAGTTTTGAAGCTGCTTGCAATTGTGATTGGTCCTGCTCACGTGCCAAGCTGTGACTGGTTTTGAACCGTTACATTGTCCTTGTCCATTGTTGGTTGTGACCACTCCTCAAACATATTTTGCTCGAGCCAAATTCTCAATTTGATTGGATCAATTATATAATACATGTGAGAGCATAAGATACGGTTTCTTTACATCTGAAGCAACCCCGCTTCCAACTTGCTCTTCATCATGACACCGCCTCTAAGGTATATCCAACATCCAGTCGGTGCTGATAATGACGAGCTCAACGGAGACGGATTTTCCCGTCGACAGCCATGGATTGTTTGTTCTCTATCCCTCCAACAATTCATACAGTCCTGAAAAATGCGATGTAGAGTATGTTGCATCTGAGCGGCCTCTGCAAGCAATCAACTAAAATACCTCGTGTATAGCATCGTGGCAATTCACGGCCTTGCAGGTACCGCGATGAAGACCTGGACGGACTCAAATCAGCATTTATGGTTGAGGGACTCGCTGCCTGGTCATATCCCCAATGCTAGAATCATGACTTATGGCTACGATTCGTCAGTGTTCTTTCCTAAGTCACAAATGTCCGTTCAGGACTTCGTTCGCGACCTATTCGAGAGACTTGGACACCTCCGGCAGAGGGACCCCCACGAGACGACCCGCCCGCTCATCTTCATTTGCCATAGTCTTGGGGGTGTTGTTTTCAAAAGCTTGCTCGTACACCTCTCGGCGAACAAAAATAACCCTTCCGCCAAGGCTATGGCCGACTCTATCTCCGGTGTCGTGTTCCTGGGCACTCCGCATCGAGGATCTCGACTGGCGTCTCCCGCGTCAATCCTTGCGAGGATAGTCAACGTCGCAACAGTCGGTTTTGGTGTCCGATCATCATTTCTGAAGCTTTTGCAAGTCTCTTCGTCAGAACTAGAATCCATTTCTCTGAATGCAACGTATCTCTTAGCGGACCTCGACGTTATTTCATTTTACGAACAGAAAGCCTTAGGCCCTAGCCTGGTAAGTCTTGCGCATTTGACATAAACATTGGCTTAAATTTGGACCATAACTTTGAGTTTAAAGATTGTAGAACCCTTCTCTGCCGTTTTAGGATTACCGAATGAACGTACAATTCCTATCAATGCCGACCACAGAGACATAGCACGGCTTTCTCCTCGTCTACCAAACAGTTATCTACCGGTCTGGAGCGCGGTAAAGGAGCTTGTCGAAGGTTTGCCCCCTGTGATCTTCATAAACCCGACATCTCTAATTATCATACAGCCTCGAGATTTAAAAAGCGCTCAAGTAACAAACCTCTACTCAATAGCTTATTCTGCGTTGATTATAAGACTGCCCAACTGCGCCCTCGTCAAGCACATCCCGAGACTTGCGATTGGGTTTTCTCAGACGCCACGTTCAATTCTTGGCTAAATTCTAACAACTCCTCAATGCTGGTTATGTCTGCTCCACCGGGCTCCGGTAAGAGTGTCTTGACCCGACACGTCGTCGAGGCTATCGTCTCTGGAGAAAATGGAGATGAGCTCCCAGACCGTCATCTTGCCATCACCTTTTTTTCCTCTTACACCGAACAGGCATTAAACTCGGAGGAAACAGTACTGCGATCAATTTTGCATCAAGTTATACTTTTGAATCCATACTCGGCGACTATTATTCGAAATCAATTGCAGCGCATGCCTGGTTCTGAGGCTATTAGTACCGAGAAACAAGACCTATGGCTAGCACTAGAATCAGTCATCCTAATGGACTCAATGAGAAACATCCGAATCTTCATTGACGCCGTGGATGAACTGCCATTGGCGGTTGCCCAAACCATCTTTTTGAGGCTCTACGACCTTATTCAGCGCATGAACACCAACCGTCCGACGCATCGGCTTCGTGTATTCCTTTCTGGACGACATTCAATAGCGGCAAACTTTGACTCTCACGCACTATTTACGCTAAGATTATCGAAAAACGTTCTAAATAGAAATATCAGGGCGTATATACACTATAGCATTGAGGATCTTGCTTTAGTAGACATGATGTTCCGCACAACACTAGACTTGCCAACCAGACTTCGAATCGAGAGTCACATCTTGCAGAGAGCAGACGGCATGTTCCTTTGGGCTCAAATTGCCTGGGATAATTTCAAAAAGGGTCTCTTGTGGAACAAACACGTTCTGGATCAGAAGCTCAAAGAGCTTGATGCATCACCGCCTGGACTTGATCAACTCTATGAGTCTATCTTGCAAGGCCTTGATTACGAGTCTAGAGAAGACGCTATGGACATCTTCTCCCTTATTTCTGCGGCTTCGAGACCACTTAAGGAGCATGAGCTTGGGATTCTTCTTGGCATGTGGCGGCATGGAGCAAACATTCAATTATCTCGAGATTTCGACCGATTTCCCAACCTTGGTGATATGCTTGGGATGCGATTTTCTGAGCTGATAATCGTCCATGAAGATGATACAATCACGTTCGCACATTTATCGTTTAAGGAATATCTGTACACCAACTGGGACAGCCTTGGGTCACAGCGTTTGAATCAAGCCAGAAGAAAAATTACAGAAGCATGCTTGCAATATGTTATGCTCGAAGACTTAATCACTGATGCTTCCAGGGGGAAAAACGACAAGGTATGTACCTAGACAGACTCTGCAGTTCCCAGTAAATCTGTAAAATGAGAAATATACTAACTGTAGCGGCGTATAGAACTGATTAACAGTTATCCTTTGTTGCCATACGCTGTTGAGTTTTTGTTACATCACGTCACTTCTCTTCCCTACCACGACCCATTATGGCTTCTCTTTGCGAAGACCGCAAAACCGAATAGTATCTACACTCTTCAATCGCTTCGTCCAGATAATTACTCGGTCCAAACACCCCTGAGAGTTGTACTTGACGAAGTACAAATGCCAGGCAAAGGCATATTGATTAAGAAATTCAGTGAGGCTGGCTATGACTTGGACGAATCCTGGCTTCCACGACGTCAACGGGGCTATGCCCTATCTTACTGCACCAGAAAAGCGAAGTCGGACCCGGCAATGGAGCAGATGGCCAGGCTTTTACTTAATCTTCGTGCGAACCCTAATCTGCCCGAGAAGCCTCTGGTTTCAAACTTCCGGTCCACGATCCAGGGGGGCGTGTGGAGTCTGTACGATACTCTTTTGCAGCATTCATGGATTGACCTCAATGAGACTGACTTCCACGGTCAAACAATTGTCCACAACCTTGTTCAGTTTGGCCCTCAAGAGAGGTTGGCATACTTGCTCGACCACCGTCGCATTGATGTCAATGTCCAAGATTGCAATGGGTTTACTCCTATCCACATAGAAACTTCTTTAAAAAAGCCCGATGCGGTACGAAAACTTTTAACGGTACCTGGGATTCGATTAGACCTGATGGACAAGAACGGCCGTACTCCTCTGACACTCGCCACGTATTGGGGATTTCAAAATATTGCGCACATTATGATTGAGAACTCACAAGTATTCCCCATATCTGGCCTTGGAAACCTTAGTAGTATTACATTCGCGGCTAAACACGGGCACCAAGAGCTCTGTGTTCGGCTCTTGGAAATGGTTAATTATGAGGGTCTTAGTTCGCATATTGATCACAGTGGTAAAGGTATCCTGCACCATGCAGCAATTAACGACTGGCATGGACTTATTAGACAATGCTTTCAGAAAGGCGACGGTCGGTTAAACGTAAACCAAATCGATCACTCAGGAAAAAGTGCCCGCGCTAGGTAACACAAGCAGCTGCCTCGTTCTGATGGAAAATGGTGCGAGCGCGCAGCTAAAGGACAGAATTGGGCTTACAGCACCCCAAACCGCCGCAGACGCCGGATTCAAGGAGACGCTCGTTGCGTTGATGATGCACGGTGATGTGGACCCAAATCAGCGGGATATGGAAGGCAGAAACCTCGTGCATTGGTTGCTACTTTGGATTGTGAGGATGTGATTCAGCAGCTGGCAGCCGTGCCTGGTGTTGAGTTGGCCAGGCGGGACAAGCACGGCAAAATGCCCATTGACATTGCCTACACTTGCAAGTGCCCCAACGTTGGGAGGTACCTGGCTGGTCAAATGCGGGCTCTAGGCCTTACTGGAGCTTTTAACGATGCCTATTACGGGTGGGATTGCATGTATAACAGTGCTACCTTTGATTTCATGGATCTTGATGATGGGTTTGAAGATGATCTCGACGGGGTTCAGAGGGATTTGATGGAAAGACATGCCATGCGCCAGGCGAGAGACGCGGTCGCCCAAAGAGGATGGGAGGCCATCCAGAACGAATATCCACCCGAGAAATGGGCTCTCGTACCAACTGACTAAAAGGGTATCAACGAGGAAGGAATCCATACTAAGTTAATGGGAACTGTTTGTTTCATTTATCATTCCAGCACAGAGCCTATAGAGACAATAACGGACCTGCCTGGATTGTTAGGACGATGACCTGTAAAATAGCTGAATCGAAAGGATGCTTCTCCAGTTTCGATCTTGTTCAATCATATGATCAAGTTCAAATCTTATGCCGAGACGCAGCTGTTCATGTTTTTGCTTTCTTGGCTTTCTCCGCGATCATTTGTAATACACCACATCCTAACACCAAGACCCATCCAGTGTTATACAACTGACAGCATACACCACGAACAACCTGCCCGTGCCGACTATAGTCTTTTTTCATTCTCTTCTATCTTTATTCCATTTATTGATGAATATGGAATTTTCAAAGTGAAACCTACCAGACAAATGGTGTTGCACATGGATTAAAAGACAACCCAATACATTTTACGGACAGGTGTAAGCCAGAATCGGATATTGTATTCAACTTCATATTGCGACACTGTCACCGACAGTAGTGTGTTCTATTTCCCATTCTAACCAGCCGTGACCATAATCTCGAGTATGCTTAAGCGTGTGATGGCCTTGTAAGCCATTGCCAGCGTGTTGGCTTTGGTCGAAGTATTAAGAGTTTAAGCTTTGCAAGGAACGGTGACGATCTGACCCGGGAAGATGACGTCCTTGTTAGCGATGTTGCTGTCCTCGGCGAGCTTTTCGGCAGTAGAGCCGAAGTCTTTAGCGATGTCGTTGAGAGTGTCGCCGGTCTCGACACGGTACCAACCGCTTCCTTTGTTGTTAGGGTCCGGTGCGCAACCACGCTTGGCCTGAGCGACACCAGCAATAGCCGCAACGGCGTAGATGATCATAGAAGTCTTCATAATGATGGATGTGTGAGATTACTTTTAAGTAAGATATGAATGAGTGGATTGAGTGAGCTGATAGTTATATTTCATCCGCATATCACGCTGGGCAGAAGACGTTCTTATACGCTCGCTGAAGCTAAAAAAGTCACTATAGTCTTCCCGAACGAACGTCAGTATACCTCCGAAGGTCAAGTTAAGGGGAAGGGCACCTGCCGTGCTAAAACGGTTAAGATCGACTGTCGCGTGCCGTACGAGTCAAGTCTCTAACGCAACCACCAATCGGTGCAGGGAAGCACTGGCTTTCTAACTTCATATACGGGCTACTTATCAAACTCTCTTATATAAACCCCCATTGCATTAACCTCATCTTGGGTTTCTAAGACAATCACAATTACCACTTTGAAGTTGACTTAGCCCCGCTTGTTAGAAACTGGTTTTTTGCGGACATTTTTCTTACCCTAGCTCTCCCGTTCCGAAAATATTCCATACAATAGCTAGTTGAAATATGATGGGTGTCCCATGCACAGCTAGCACAGCGGCGCGTTAGTGGATCCCCGTCTCCATCCATGATGACGTTACAGACAATATCGTCCACATCGGTGGGCATACCTGTTAACTCAAATATGGTACGCTTTATCAAGTTGCCTGCCCGGCAGTCCTTTGTAACGACATTGCTTTCGTTTCAAGGCCTAAGATTGTTTTTCGATTATCGTCCGCAATAGCCCGGCGTTTATTGTGAAGAGATAGCCTAGTGACCCAGTTCGGTCATGTGAGTCTTGAAAACACTAGATTGCCTACCAGGTTGAGATAGGAACCCTTTCAACAATATCGCCAGGTTATCTGAATCCTCACCCATAATCATGGACGCACCACGTGAGACAAAAATGGGGACAGGTCGTCCCATTGCCCAGCACAAATCAGGACCTGCACACTTAAATAGACTTTGATATTATGTGGAGGATATGTGAACGTTCAGTGGAGCTCGAGACATACATCTGCGTGGAAGCTAATTAGGGGGCATGTTGAATCCCCCCTGAGGAGATATTGCTCGGGACCAGAACGAATAGATCATCAGTCGACGGCTACAAGAAATTGGCGGTGAGCCGGCAATGGCGGCCTCGAACTGGACTTAACTTTTGTCCAAACTACTAGTGCAATAATGTGACTCGCGTCACTACCATATTTGGTGCCTTTTCGGACGATCAAACCGAGGAAATGCGCAGGGTTACCCCACAAGATGGGCTGTTGGCGAGCAGCGCATTGTGATGGGTCTCGTGCCTTAAGTTTGGCGTGTCTTAGAGGTTTGAGTGATGGGCCTCAGCAGGCAACTCCAAGCCTTCACTTGCCCCGGCGGCGCTTTCGTCCCAGCTGTGTGGATGGTCTGTAGTTCGTCTGTTCTTCCTGCCCGACACACCCGTGGGTACGTACGGTACACCCTAGCACCCGAAAACAGGAATGAGAATCAGTTTAAAAAAGGGTTGATAAAAGACCACGCCGTCCTCGAAAATCAGTACGCTTGTAGTCTTAACTCCATCTTGCTTGTGACGTGCGAGGTAAAGTTGCGTTAGAGAGGACATGTTGGTGGATAACACAACCAGGTTCATATAAGAGACTTCGGACGCTGAAGTGATGTTTGGGTGGAAAGCTTTAGCGAAACTACCGGAGCGCCCCCTTCGCCACCTCTTCCCACGTGTTTCGTGAATTAGTAGCCCAAATGAAGCCAGCGTTGCCTATCGAAGCTAGCGTTGCCAGCGTAATATTGATGATAAGTTAAGGCTACTATATGTTACGACCCGTCAGATGCACTTAACAGACCCACTGGGTCGGGCGGCTACGACAGGACATATGATTGATTGATTGATTGATTCCTACACGGTTATGAAGCCGCTCTTATGCTAGCAGCTATGCCCGGAAAGCGGGGTTTGGCAGACAGCCGAAGCATCGACGATAAACCGCGACGCCCCACTTCGCCCTGTTGTTGGATCAGGACCAGCTATCCCCAAGCTCCCACTATGCTATCTATTCTTGTGTGTTTATGCCCTCTGTTGAAGATTGTTGTCCTCCTGCCTGCTCTCTCGCTTGGTGTTGCCTTCTAGAATCCTTCTTTCGCGTCCTCCTACTTCGGTTCTGTTGGTGCTAGGCACCATGTCTGGTTCTGTATACCTATAGTCTCCCCCCAGCCCTCAGCTTCGTCTCTTTATCTTGTCCGCATCCTCTCAGACTCGCATGTGCTATATCTCAGTTGAATCTGTAAATCTTTTTGTTGCCTCATGCTGGGTTCCTATGTGGCTCTATGTTTCCATCTTTCGACCACCACCTCCATCCACCGCCTGGAGTCGGACTCAATCCGCAAAACACAATGCTCCAACCGCTTCGATTCGTCCGATTACTAAGTATGAGAGCTCGTACACAGATTCCGCAGACATTGTCATACGTTGAAGGGGCGACAATCCTTCTTCGCGGAGGGGGCGACAGGGGACCAATCTGTCTGCAAACTGTAGTATTTTGTGGCATCGATCGTAGCATGCCTGGTGTCTGGTGCTTTCTCTATGCAGGAGGTGATACCGTTCTGTCGGGCTTGTCGTCGTTGTTGTCGCGGGACGTTGCAAACTTTGTCGGGGGTGATAGGCGACCCATAACCTATCGGTGGCTGTGGTGTTGATGTTTGTTTGGGCTTGGTCGTTGTGCTCACGTGATAGCCCGTGACTCAACCGCGGTGGTGTCGATGGTGTTGTCTATTGACGTGTCATACTTTGTGGCTTGCTCTCGAATTTTTCGTGGTCAGAGCCCGCCCGCGGCCACGAGCAGGCTCTTTGGGAGCAGAATCAATGCCGAGGATGACATTATGCCCAAAGTGACCTCTGAGAGCGCGAGCGGGCGTGGTTTGATCAATTTGATGCTGTTTTCAAAAATTTCGTTCTCGCTGTTGTTGATGTTTTGACATATGTACGTAGATTGATTGATTGATTTATTCCTACTCGGTTATGAAGCCGCTCTTATGCCAGCAGCTATGCCCGGAAAGCGGGGTTTGGCAGGTAGCCGAAGCGTCGACAATGAACAGCGACGCCCCACTTCGCCCTGATGTTGCATCAGGGCCAGCTATCCCCAAGCTCCCCACTATGTTCTCTATTCTGTGTGTTTGTGCCCTCTGTTGAAGAAGTGTGTTGCTCTCCTGTCTGCTTTCTCGCTTTTGTGTTGCTCTCTAGAATGCTTGTTTTGCGTCCTCCTGCTTCGGTTCAGTTGGTGCTGGTAGCACCGTATCTGGTTCTTTGTACCTACAGTCTCCCCCCAGCGCTCAGCTTTGTCTCTTTGTTTTGTCCGTATCCTCCCGGACTTGTATGTGCCGTTTTCTCAGTTGCATCTGTAAATTCTTTGTTGCCTCCTGCCGGGTTCCTATGTGGCCTCTTGTTTCTTGCCTGTTGACCACTATTGCCCTCCACCACATTAGCCGAAGGGTCTTCCACGAAGCACAATGCTCCACTGACTCCGACATGTTCGATTACTAGGTATGAGAGCTCCCGCACAGATTCCGCAGACATTGTCGCGCGTTGAAGGGACACCAATCCTTCTTCGCAAAAGGGGCGACAGGGGACCAGTCTGTCTGTGGTCTGTAGTATTGTGTGGCATCGATCGTAGCATGCCTAATGCCTGGTGCTTTCTCCGTGCGGAAGGTGATACTGTTCTGTCGGACTCATCTTCGTCGTTGTGGGACGTTGCAAACTTTGTCGGGGGTGACAGGTGACCCAAAACCTGTCGGCGGCTGTTGTGTTGAAGTTGATTGTTTAGGCGCAGTCTTAGTGCTTCGTGTAGCGGCTTGTGGCTCGCCTGTGGTGGTGGTAACAGTGTTGTCTATTGATATGTCGTATTTTGCGGCTTGCTCTCAAGTTTTTCATTGTAGTCGGGGCGTGCTCTGCGGCCATCTTGGGCCCCTTTGGGACGTAGAATCAAGGCCGAGGATGGCATTGCATCGAAGGGGGCTCTGTGGCCGCGAGCACGCGTATTTGGGGCCGTTTTTGCTCCGATTTTCAAAAATTTCGTTCTCGCTGTTGTTGATGTTTTTAAAGGACACATTTGTACTACAGGATCACGGGAACAGCGGGAACTCACTCGGCACGGAAGAACTATGGTACAAGTCACGTGACGATAAGATAAGGAAACGATCAGTGGAGCACAGGACGGGACGCTCAGTGATCAGTTGGCATTGCCAACTGATCGCGATCACCTCATGCACCTAGGTGATCACCCCCAGGTAGACAAAAAACACTGTTCAGGACTTGTATATAGTATGACCTAAGCCTGGCTCAAGGTCAGACTTCCATAGCTCTTCAGCAATCAACTTTGTGATTACCCTAACCGGTACTTTCAGCTATACCTAAGTGACGACTACTCTACGACTCTTGTTGAGGCCTTGACTGATCACCAAGACCTTTGAAGATCTACGATCTATTCGACCAGGACCACGGAACGACTGTTACTACTCTCAATCCCTGGCTTACTGTTAACACAAACCCACTGTCAGTTAGCTGGCCGTAACAACATGCTTAAGATAATTAATTTAAAGAAAGTGCCAGGTGCGAATCAGGCATTCGACGTTATGGAAAGCGCTTTTTTAAATACAAGTTTAGCTGGTTTTGCGCCCACGGCTTGGCAGGTCATGTTGTTAAGGTACCTGGAGAAAATGCCAGGATGGCAGTGGTACAGAAGCCGAGCCGAGCACAGGAAGGCCTGAAAACAGAATAGAGAGGCAATGAAGGCGTCACTGCTCTATTAATGCCGGTCAACGCAAACGTTGGATGCATTTGAGGGAACTAACATCTCGTACATCTTGATGCATGCAGAGGTAAGCTTATCCATGGGTTTTGCGTAGCTAGCTGCAACCCAAAAAAGACTAAAAGATATCATCACGACGAAACACCAATACGCCATAAGAATCACAAAAATACGACCAGCATGGGGCTCGAACCCACAACCTTAGCCAATCTCGGTAACCGGAAAGCTACGCGCTACCTTTGCGCCAACCGGCCAACTTAGGATACGTTCCCGACGCTACCCGCCACAAAAACGTAGGTGTCAACACTGGATAATGGGAAATGCCAGGACGATTGACGATGTTGGTTCTCAAAGTTATGGACTAAGCTTGTTGCTTCTTTTCATGTTTGTGTTTGACCTCTAGGAAGAACTCGATTAGTGAAAGGTTCTTAATGGAAAAGTTAAAACGACCCTTGTCCGATTTCCTGTGTTAGAAGCTTAATATTAGTAGCCTTCGATACCTACTTGCAAGCAGCCACAAGCAGATCGATCTGGAAAGGCCGTAGCCTTTACGTTAACATCATTAATTGCCCAATGTGCCAAACAAGCTACAGTATCAACACACCACAACATGCAAATATTCTTAGCCCTCCTCGGCATCCATGTTGTCATGGCGCCTCTTGCCGCCCTTCATGCCTCCCTTCAACGTCGATCCCTTCTTGCCCTTTGCCTCCATCAAGTTCTTCATCTCCATTCTGGCATGCCTCTGTGCCTCCTCAACACGGTTCTGGAAGACCATGACCTCGTCCTTCTGTGTCGGGTATTCCTCCAATTTCTTGCCGAGTGCTGCTTCAATACGCAGATAAATCTCCAAATCGTACTGAGTCACAAGGCTGAGGGCGACACCAGACTTTCCGGCACGGGCAGTACGTCCGACACGATGAACGTATGTCTTGCTGTCCTGGGGCAGGTCGTGGTTGAGGACAACATCAACCTTGGGGATATCCAGACCACGGGCAGCCACATCCGTGGCTACGAGAATATCGCGAGAACCTGTGCGGAACTTGTTGAGGGCACCCAAACGTGCGGACTGGTTCAACTGTCCGTGCAAGGGGATGGCGCCGAAGCCTAATGTGCGGAGCAGAATAGCCAGCCTCTGTGTCTCCACGACAGTTCTTGTAAAAATGACAATCTTCTGGCCGGCGAACTCGTTGACAAGGTAGATCAGATAAGTGTCCTTCTGGGTGTGGGGGACAAAAAGGTAGTGTTGTAGAAGAGTTGACACTGTCTGGTACTTGTTGGAGCTGATACTGACGCGAAGAGGATCTCGCAAACTGGCGCGCTGCAAACTCTCGATTTTGGAGCTCATGGTGGCAGAGAAGAGGAAGGTGCGACGTTCGCGGGGAATGAATTTGAGAATCTTGTCGATGCTTGGTCCGAAATCCATATCCAGCAATCTGTCTGCCTCGTCCATGACCAAGTATTTCAGAGACCGCAATGAAAAGCCCTTGGTCTTCTCAAGGTGATCCACCAGACGTCCGGGTGTTGCCACCACAATGTGAGGTTTCTTTCCGAGAGCGATGGCCTGGGCGACCATGTCTAAGCCACCAACAATAACCGCACATCGCAAATTGATCAATGATCCGAGAGCTTCGAACGCTTGGGCGATCTGGGCAGCCAGTTCTCTGGTCGGAGCCAAGACGAGGCCAAAGAAAGCTTGGGGCTTCTCGAGAAGGGCCTGGAGAATGGGAAGGGCGAAGGCAGCCGTCTTTCCGGAACCAGTTTCGGCGAGACCGATGATATCGCGGTTTTGCAGGGCAAGAGGAATCGATTGAGCTTGAATCGGTGTGGGGTGCTTGTATCCAAGGGCTGCCGTAGCTTCGCAGAGAGAGTCAACGATTCCCTGAGATCCCAGAGGTTAGAATGGTTTTGGTGACAGCCGTTGGATTGCCTGGGTAACATACGAGATCTTTGAAGGTCTTTTTCACCTCCTCTGAGCCATCCGCAGTAACATCGGCTTCGAGCTCAGGTTCAGACACGGACTCGGCAGGAGACGACTCTCTCTCCTTTTCACGGGTGGCCTTGGCTGAAGAGCCACTGTGCGACACTTTCTGTCTCTTTGTTGAAGGCATTTTGGGCGTGGTCTTTCCTCAATAAAGGGCGGCGCAATGAGGAAGGTAATCGAGAGTAGACTTTTGACAGTGCAAAACTGACATGTTGAACGACTGGAAGTTTTTAGTGGGGCTATTCTCTTATCTTCACGTGAATTTTCTTATCGTCGTGGCGGGGACACCGCCGACCCACCTTTTCATGTTTTTTTTGGCAGGAAAAGTTCTTAGAAGCCCAGATCCTACAGCTCCGGGATTCCAGAAATCGTCACTGTACGCGATTTCACCCAATTCATCTTCGCCAAATCGCCCGCCATGGCCAAAAAAAGAGTCAAGAAGAGGACGCACGTTGGTGCTAACAACCCTCTTAGACCATCCGAAAGCAATGGCGCGAGAGAACCCCGTTCAATGGTTATTCGCATTGGTGCAGGAGAAGTCGGATCTAGCGTCTCCCAGCTGGCTGCCGATGTTCGTAAAGTTCTCGAACCGGGCACCGCGAGTCGTCTGAAGGAGAGACGTGCGAACAGGCTGAAAGATTACGTCGTAATGACTGGTCCCCTTGGTGTCACACATCTCCTTCTATTCTCAAGATCTGAGAGCGGCAACACCAACTTGCGCATTGCCCTTACGCCTCGTGGCCCTACCATGAACTTCCGAGTCGAGAAGTATTCTCTTTCAAAGGATGTTCAAAAGGCACAAAGGCGCCCCAAGGGTAGTGCGAAGGAGCAGCTTGCTCCGCCTCTGGTACGGGCTCCCAATGCAAATGATTCATCTTCTGTAACTTTTTGCTGACTTGTGCTAGCTGGTCATGAACAACTTTCATTCCCCTGATGCGGACGCAAAGTCGAAAGTTCCGAAGCACCTTGAGTCTCTTGCGACCTCTGTATTCCAGTCTCTGTTCCCTCCCATCAACCCCACAACAACACCTCTCAAAAACATCCGCCGAGTGCTGCTTTTGAACCGCGAACAAGATCCTGAGAATGAGGGCTGCTTCATCCTTAACTTCAGGCACTACGCCATCACAACACGTGCTACGGGTATCTCAAGGCCACTACGAAGACTCGACCGAGCCGAGAAGCTGCTGGCTTCCAAGGTTGGCAAGAAGGGCGGCGTGCCCAATTTGGGGAAGCTCGAGGATATCGCCGACTTCATGATTGGCGGAGAGAATGGCGACGGCTATATGACGGATGCCACAAGCGGCAGCGAGGTCGACACGGATGCCGAGATTGAGGTTTTGGAGCCGACGACGAAGAAGATCGCTAAGCAGCGCGCCGCTCCGGTGGAAGATGAAGGAGCCGATGATGCCGATGCCGTTGAGAAACGCGCTGTCAAACTGGTGGAGATTGGTCCGCGCATGCGCCTGCGTTTGACCAAGGTCGAAGAGGGCCTCTGCTCTGGCAAAGTTATGTGGCACGAGTATGTGCACAAGTCCAAAGAAGAGATCAAGGAGATGGAGCAGCGATGGGAGAAGAGGAACCAGGAGAAGGAAGCCCGGCGAAAACAGCAAAAGGAGAACATTGAGAAGAAGCGGAAAGCCAGGGCTGAACGGGGTGAAGCAGAAGGAGATGAGAGCGATGTGGATATGGACTACGACGACGAGTTTGATAGTGAGGGTCTGGCGGGTGACGCAGAATACCAGGTCAATGAGGAAATGGAGGATGCGGGCGAGTGGGAGGATGAGGAAGAGGAGATCGCGAATGAATGAACGAGTTGAATAGAATGGAATTTCTGTACACCTGATAGATAATACCCAAGGGATGGCTTCTCGACATTTTTTGACCTCACTATTTACAAAAGCGTGCTAGTTGTGATCATATTGAGCCAAAGTAAGAAATTGCTTGTCCGGGTTTGCAACCAATAAGCCTGATGCTGGACGTTAACAACAGTGTAAGCATAGTTGACCTGCTGCGCTGAACTACGCTGCTATGCTCTGTTTTGGAAATGTGCCGTTTATCTAGCATCACAATAACTTACCATCAAAGGCTTCCTGGATTCTGATGGTTCGGTGTCTTAGTTGACCAAGTAACCTGCATCCCTCCCATCTCCTTCAATGTGCCTTCTTATCACTGCCATCGACCACCAGGCATGACTTAGGCATCTTTGCGTAAGAAGAATAAGAGACCCGTAATGCATAGTATACCTGTTAGGCAATTTCTTGTTTAACACAACCAGATACGGTCTCTGAAGACTTACGAGATCGTGAGAGGAGCACATGCGTAGGAGAACATCAACCTGAAGCATCCCTTTCATGCCAAGGCAACTGGACTAAGCATAAAAAAAATAGTTATTGAGCACAAGGGTTGCTAATGAATAGCCGCTTGTTGCAGACCCAATCTCTCCATGCTGGGCTGGGCATGTTCCAAGAGCCGTTCGAGCCCCAAAAGATCAAACTTTAGACATCCGTCACTCCACATATGAAAACCAGCCTGCACATGATATATCCAGAGGTCGTGCCCGGGGTAATGCTGTTACGTATGGCAAGTTCTCCTTCTCCAATGCCGATAGAGAGATGCGGTGGCTCCTGAGTTTTACCTGGAGTCACATCGAGATTCATAACCCATCTGTTTGCGCGAACACATACACGTGCATAATGGCGACAAGATAACATCGAAGCGATAAAGACTCAAGCAACCTCATTAATTTCCGAGCAGTCGTATAGCATGTGGGCATACCAAAAGCTACCGAGCAAGCCGTGGCAAAGACTGATAACGTTATGAAGCATACCTTCCCCATGCTTGTCCACACTTCACTGCTGATTTTTGATGCAAGCAAGATATAATTTAAAGAGGATCTACGTGGGAAAGACCTTATTGTTGGCAAAACCAGCAGTGCTGCCCCTAGGCTTCAGCTTCTGTGGGCGAAACCAGCACAGAACGCTCAGAATGGGAAAAGTGGTGTTGTTGGTTGGAAGAACTAACTAACTGGCTAGAGGGCTGTGGAGGCTGGCTAAGACCAGTGGTGGCGGCCGTCAGCCCACGTGACGGGCCGGCGAGGCCTGCCACCCACACCCCCTCTCAGACTCCTCAGCGAAAAAGCAGTAGAATAATAGGAAATACAGGAAAAGTCCCAAATCCTCCAAATCCGAGGAGTTCTCAACTATTAGAAAACTCGGTCAATTACCGGTTAAACCTGGCCAATAGGAGGCCGTGAAATCCTCCGAATCCCGAAGTCTCAATATCAATAGTCCCACAGTCTCAAAATCCCCCTCTCAATCCAATCCCTCCGCCATGCCCAACAAACGAACGAATTCCTTGTGTTTGACCGCAACCAGTGGCTTCGTGAGTCCATCGGCGGCCATATCAGCGCCCTTGATGAGTCGGAGTTCGATGCTTTTCGCAGTGTGAACCTCCTGTATGATCCATTTGTATCGGACGTCGATGTGGCGGGTTCGTGCCTCGTTGAGTGGGTTCATGACGTTGTCGTAGCCGTTGGCACTGTCAGTGAACATGATAGTAGGCGTGGTGATGGGTTTGCCGAGCAGTTGGGAGAGGCAACGTCTGATCCACTTCACAGCAATTGCCGTAGGTGTGAGATTGATGAATTCAGCCTCCGTGGTGCTCAAAGTCACGAAAGTCTGTTTCTTTGACTTCCAAGCAATCGGCGCACCAGCGAGGAAGACGACGTAACCACCTGTCGAGACTCGTGATGGCTTGTTGTCAGCGAAAGAGGCATCTGCAGCAGCGTAGAGCCCCAACTCGTTGATCGTGGGGATGCCTCCAAGTACAATACCGAGATAAACGGTGCCCTTGAGGTATCGGAATAAGTGCTTAATAGCACGAAGATGGGCCTTAGAAGGCCCTGAATTCGCCTGTGACAATTTACTGACGGTGTAGGCCATGTCAACGCGAGTTCCAGCCACCAGGAAGTTAAGGCAGCCGGTTTGTTCGATGTAAAGTTGTTGTTCGTCAAGCGAGCACTCGTTCTTGTCCCAGGTGACGGGCAGATCGTCAGTGGTCGCCATAGGCGTCTTGACAGCACTCAAACCATCAAAGTCGAATCGTTGAAGCACTGCTTTTGCGTACTTGGCTTGGGAAACGAAAATCTTACCGGCAGCTCTGTCGCGTTCAATCTGGAAACCGAGAAAATCGGTAGCCTCGCCGAGGTCTTTAAGAGAACAGACCTTCTCGAGGAGACGACGAACTTCCATCATGACTTGCTTGTTGGGAGCGGCGATGGCGTTGTCGTCGACGTACATAAGAACGTACGCTTTAATCTTGTGATTGACGAAGAGACAAACCTCCCCATCAACAGCAGTGAAGCCAATTCGTTCCATTTCACCCTTGATAAGTCGAAACCACCAAAGTGGTGATTTTCTCAATCCATAGAGTGCCTTGTGGAGCAGCCAAACCTTGTTGTCTGCAGTGGCGTAGCCAGCGGGGGGCCGGACGTACACCTTAACCCCCTCTGGAATCGAGGCGGCTAGGAAAGCAGTGTCGAAATCATATACTTCGTATTCAAGATCGAGAAGTGCGACAACTGCGAAGAAAAGGCGAGGTCGAGAGGACTCTGCCGGTTGACTCGTTGCTTCCTCAACAATCGTGGAGAGGGAATCAGGGTCCTGGTGATCAGTTTCCATTGTTTCCACGGAAGCGACGAATTCGTCATCATTCAATTCGTTAGTAATGCTGTCACGAGGTGTAGCAGTGGTCTCCAACAGGTTCTCTGGTGGCGGAGACATGAGATGTGTATCAGTGGGTGCCATCGCTTTTTCAACGATGGTCTCATCTGGTTTGGGATCACCAGTCACGGGTTTTTCACCTTCAATAGGCTTCTGACGGATGGTGTACTGGATGATGATATCTGGTTCGACAAACGCAGCATCATGTTCAATTTCATCAATGTTGGGTGTGCCAGTAGTTGGAGGCAACACTGTCTTGTGCGGTTCCTCACGAAATCGAACATCTCTGCAGCGAATAACCTCCTTTCGATCAGGCAGGTAAACGTAGTAAATGTGGCCACGAAGAGAACCGTAACCGACGAGGAATCCCTTGATTGCTCGTGGTTCCATCTTGGCAGAGCGCATAGGGCGTCGAGGGCCCTTCTTGTGTACGTAGGCAGCACAGCCAAACGTTCGGAGATGTTCAATGTGGGGGGCCTCACGTTCAGCAGCCAAGTTCAGCTCTCTCGCCATGATCTCGTGAGGGCTCAAGTTACCCTTGGAGGGTGTGGGCAAGAGGTTGAGAATCTGAGTCACCGAATCAATGCTGTAATCCCACAGTTCCTCTGGAAGGGACATGTCAATCAGCTGTGTTCGAGCGCCTTCGACGATGGTACGACCAGCACGCTCAATAGTCCCATTCATGGAAGGTGTGTGGGCAATAGTCGTGTTGTGGCGAGTACCCTCGAAGTAGGGGTCGTTGAAAACCTTGATTAGCTCGGGAGCATTGTCAGAAACCCAAACCTTGGGCTTGAGGCCGGTGAGACTGTAGAATTCAGTGTCCCATTTCTTGATAGCTGCCAGGATGGTGGCAAACTTGTGGTTGGGCAGAAAAACAACCCAGTGGTAACCACTATACTTATCCATGAGGTGTAGAACCTGACGGTTCCCTTTTGTTGATAGGGGAAGAACACCAACGAGATCAAGGTGAATTTCATCGCCAATACTCGTAAGTGGAAGTGGGTGGTCTCGACTAATCCGTTCAGTGGATTTGCTGAGATGGCAAGACTCACAGAAGAAAGCGTCAATTTCTGACGTTGTGAACCGAATGCCAACACGGCGGCAAGCCTCCACAACACGTGATGGGTGGGCGTGAACCAGCCGGCGGTGCATCAGTTCAAGAGACGGTCGCTGGGTAGCCCGGAAGGCGGCGAGGCTGACAGCAATATCTCGAGGCACGTGATTTCCAGTATCATGAGTCTCAACGACGCAGACGTCAGAAACCCAATGAACTTTGGCAAGGGAAGTGCGCTGTGTCACGTGTATGAGGCTTGAGGTCTGCCAATCATATTCCACGTGATCACGACGAAGTTTTCCAGGGCTCAGTAAGTTGGCTGGGCTGGAAGGGTTGTACTCAACGTTGTGAAGTGTCCAATCGTGAATAACGTCAGGGTTGGTGGGGTCTTGGGTCTGGAAGAAGACGGTGCCCACGCCAAGTGACCGGACTGGGGCGCCGGAGGCAGAAGTGGAAGGTGTCAAATCGCTCTTTTCAGCGTACTTGACGAAATATCGCAAGTTGTTGAAGGTTGAAGTAGTACAACCAGAATCGAGAACGATATCGTCTCGGGTGATGAGGTCATCGCGGGCAGCAGTGAAAACTGCTGGGCTGGCGATGGAGGCAAGGGCAGACTGACCCAAGATGGCAGGTGACGCTCTGACAACAGTCTGGCGGGTGCCATCAACAGAAGTAGGCTGATCCCAGCGGCAGCGATCGCCACACACGTGCTTTCTCGCTTTTTCAATCAACTTATCCCGGTTGACGTAGTGTAGAGGGATGAGATTGGGGTGGGCGACATAGCACTTTGTGGTCTCGTGATCACAGTTGCAGTGGTCGCACTTCTTCTTTTCCTTGGAGGCAGTGACAGTGGAGGTGACGGTGGTGGTGACGGCTGGAGAGGCAGGACCCCCACTGCCAGCAGACTTGCCTCCAGGTGTGTTGCGAATAGTGGCATAACTGCGCTTTTGATCCTCGTCTTGGGCAAGCGTGTAAATCGTATCAGCCACCTCATTCCACGTGGGATGGGTGGCGCCCTTCGATGTGAAATGCTTGTACGTATCGGGAAGTCGGTCCTTAAAGAAGTTAAGGAGGAAAACAGCGAGGAAGGAGTCTGGCAGACGACCGTGAATGGTCTCAATACGCTTTCTGAGGTGGTGACAGCGATTGAGGGCATCGTGAAGAGTCTTGTGATCGTTGGCGGTGGTCTTGGCAAACTCGTCAACAAGGGCAGCTGTGGCGTCTTGTGAGATTCTCGGAATGTGCTTCTCGAGCGCCTGCCACAATTCGTAAGGGTTTCCATCGTCAACCCAACCCGCTGTGCAGAGTCTGTCAAGAACCGATTCGCTGGCGTTCATGAGGAGACCATTCGTGACGTTACGGTTCTTTCTCCATTCCTCTGCAGCGATAGGGTCAGCAGGGCGAGGGACGTCAGTCTCGAGGAATATCTCGAAGTCGTATCCTCGCAGGGTCGCTGTAACAAGCATGCGCCATGTGTTCCAGTTGGATTCACCTTTCAGGCGAGGAAGAGGCGTGAAGACGGTCTTGAAGTCGTTTTGAGACATCTTGAAGTGAAAGTGAGGGTATCACAACAGTGCGGGACAGACTTATAGTCGCACCTCGATCACAGGCGTTTCTCCGAGGCCGCAGCTTTGGAGGCGTGTCTGTACGTTAGATGGCTTACTTTCGCTGCCACCTACGCGTGCTGTTGGATTGTGTAGGAGGGAGAATCTTGCGTAAGAACACGAGAAATGGGTGGAATTGTGAGATCCGACCGTAGAAATACGGTGAATCGAAGGGAAGAATGAATACTCGTAGAAGATACGAGAAACTGATGGGCTGGTTCGAAAAACCGAAGCTGAAATGGTTGAATTCTCGTGAAAAACGAGGAATCGAAGTAAAAGTTGTAGTTGTGACTGAAAAGTCTGTTGTTGACCGTGGTGTTCGTGAAAACCAGTGGGTTGTGGTGGTCGGTCGCGTGCCACGTGATATTCGTGCGCGCCAGGCAGCCAATGTCGCGTCAGAAAGTGAAATTCGTCAGCGAAGAGGAAGGAAAGAAAGCGAGAAAATCGCACAGAAGGGTAAATAAAGCGAATAAAATCGCAAAAATTCGTGAATCAATAGAAAATTGACAGACGAGTAGAATAATGGGTAAAACGACGTTATTCCGAAAGAATAACGCTGGGCTCATAACCTGTGGGCGAAACCAGCACAGAACGCTCAGAATGGGAAAAGTGGTGTTGTTGGTTGGAAGAACTAACTAACTGGCTAGAGGGCTGTGGAGGCTGGCTAAGACCAGTGGTGGCGGCCGTCAGCCCACGTGACGGGCCGGCGAGGCCTGCCACCCACAGCTTCCGTATTGCTGAGTATGCCGCCGCTACATTAGGCAGAACTGGGATTTCGCGATATCACACGGCGAGGCCCTTTTTCTGGTAAATCCATTCTTCCTAATCTGTAAGTATCTGTGTCTGACTGCAAAAATCTGCGCTAAATTTTATAGAGAAGCTCAAGAGCAAGGTGAAATGACCTTTGCAAACATGAAGACGATCATGGCCCTGCTGTTAATACCTTAGATGCTGATATTCTTTGTAACCCTTCACAGAGAGTGCTTCAAACTTACTGACGGAGTGCGTTAATGAAACTGTCGCTGAGCTACTCAGGCTTGATACTCCAGATACCTAGACTACGGGTTGTATGTGCCGTATTCCCGAGAGATGTGACAGCCACTTCGATACAAAATTCGGCACAACTCTCATTGCCGACTCGGCTGGCGAGTTGGTGCAGGCTCCAACGGACACTCGGAACCTGTGAATCTTCATGATCAATCAATTTCTAGTTCTTTATGTATAGGCATTTATGTCTTGATTGCATTATTTTTTATTTTTTACTAATCTTGTTGTCTGCTTGATTACCGAAGGGAAACAACCAGGCACGGGGTTGGGACATGATGAATTCCTACAAGTGGATAGCACACACCCTCTTTAGTGGTCGGATTGGAGCACAGGGCGGTTGAAATCGAGCCAGGGGGAGAGCGGTAAAACTTCGGGGATTATTTTAGTTGACTTATTGCGGTGACTTTCCTTTTCTTGCACAATTGGCACTAAAACGCCCGAAGGTTCCACTAGAAATTGATTGCAGTGCATTCTTGTTCCGCTTTCGGAAGTAGTCCCAACCGGATTGCCTCGGAAGTTTCACAGCAATGAGCTTCTTTCACAACTACCAACTAGTATAATTGCTACGCAGCCCACTGCGCTCTGTGTCCTTGTCGGAAAGTGGAACAAGCGGGTCCAAGCTGCAGTTTCTCCCTTATAGTATGTTCCTAAATGCGAGTTTCCGCGACGGCAAGATTATAAACTGCGTCCCAAAGTAAAGTCTATCGATAGGACCACATGCAACTTTCTCGCAAAGTATCGCTCCACTCTAACAATCCACGCCGTTGCTAGCTGCGCTACTGCCTCGTTGGACTATTTGTCCAACAACTCAAATCAAGTGAAAAAAAATGTCGAACATTTCTAGTAAATATGGCCCTGAGGTTCAGAAGGTCCCCGTGGGCACCCCAATCGAGGATATTATCTACTTGTTAAAGCGCGACGGTGGTGTTTTTGTCAAGGGATTGGTTAATGTTTCCGACGTTGACAAGGCTTACGAAGAATGCCGTGAGCGCCTCGACAATGACGTTGAATGGAATGGCTCGTTTTTCCCGAGTAAGCACATGAATCCGATAGCGTCTATTGATAGCTCAGCAGTTTCTCCCCCGAGCTCGCGAGCTCGAAACTGACACGATACTAGAAGAGACACGGCGGGCATCAGCCCTGCTGGCGCTGAGTCCCACGTATGCCAGAACTCAGATGATGAATTCCACCTATCAGAAGGTGTGCCAACACTTTTTGACCACCCGAAGCTGGTTCTGGTGGGGAAATGAAAAGAAGGAGTCGGTCTCGAAGCCGTACATCCACTCATGCACCGCTATGAGGATCGGACCAGGTGGAAAAGCTCAACCCTTGCACCGCGATGACTACATCAGCCACAATTACCACCAAGAGATAGAAGAATGGGACGACGAGCGGGACAAAAACAGAGAGACTGCTGTGGGTCTCTTTGTGGCAGGAAGCAAAGTCACCAAAGAAAATGGGGGGACTCAGTTCATCCCGCGCAGTCATTTATGGTACCTAGCCCTAAATCCCAGCGTCGCATTGACTCAAAATCCAGCTTACAGCCTATTATTCTGCCGTTTCTAACCAAGCTGCGTTCACTAGGGGTACTGATAGAGAACTACCGCCACAGGTCGATGATTGCATATACGCTGAGATGAACAAAGGTGACGCTTTCATCATGCTTGCTTCAGCATATCATGCGGGCGGACACAACACCACCGAGGACGAGGAGCGTTTAATCTTCTCAACCTTTTCGACTCGCGGATACCTTCGACAAGAAGAAAATCAGTTTCTTTCCATCCCTCACGATATCGCAAAGAAATACGACAGACCTGTTCAGGAATACATGGGTTATGCTTTGAGCAATCCTGCTTGTGGATATGTAGACCAGATGGATCCTATCCTTGTGCTTCGCCCTGAGCTAAAAGGAGATGGACGTCCACAAGACTTTTAAGCTGAGGCCACCGAAACCCAATCCAAAGATTGCTGGTACTTGATGTCTTGAAGCATATTGATTATTGACCATTTGCCAATTGTACATACCGAAACTTGTTAAGTTCGCAATGCTTTCCTGTGCCACTTGCGAAGACTGTCGCCAACAGCACTATTTTTGAAATAATTGTAATCGCCTTGGACGTGTGACAGGGCTGCCGAAAGCACGTTTTCAATGTTGATTGATCTTGCGCTCTTACAATCAACTGGCCTTAGGGGTACATGGCTAATCACGTTTGATTTGTTTTGCCGGAAACATAATAATTGCTGCGGAGTTTGCTGATCAGCACATAAGACAATTTGTTATGCTTTTTCATATGAAAAGAGCCGGTCAGAAGCTAGAAACACTGGTTGCAAACCAGGCGCATGCCGGGTGCTGCACCAGCAGATTGGACTGGTTCAATCGTCTTAGTCATATACTCCACTAGCGCACCAGTCGTGCTCATGGCTATTCGCCCCAAGTCTCTAACTTCTACATCTCCCACTCTTGACACAAGGCTTCGCACATTTCCTCCTACGGCAACGCCAGATATGCACGCAAATATTAATATAGCAAAAGGCTCAAAGGCTGTCAGAAAAGGTTAGTCAAAATCTGTCTTAATCATCAAAATCCATTCATTGCAAGGTGCTCAATGAGACAACAATTTCCGACCAAACAAGTCTCCCAGCCCCATTCTTGGGTTCGCTGGGTGTGAGCTACTTCCTCTTTCTGCTCAAGTTTCAACTCTAACCTCAACGACCTCTTTTATAGACCCAGCGTGCGGGACTTGTCGAAAGAAGTGTCGCAAGTGTGATAGGACGCGGCCAGTTTGCAATCGATGCAAGGTGAAAGGGCTGCATTGTGAAGGTTACCCCCCGAGGTTCCAATTCTGCGAATCGGCACCCCTTTCGACAGCCGCCAGTAAGGGCCAAGATGAAGAACGAAGCGAGGCTATTCTTCCAACACGGGAGCCCGATCGAAGCGAGGAGCACAGTTCACCATCAGACCAAACCTCCATATCCGCAGGGCAGCAGAGTGGACATGGGTTGGACCATCGCCTTCAACTAAACACATCATCTGCTGCGCCCGAGTCTCCTCAAAATCTCTCCGTCGGCTACCCATCACCAGTACCTATTGATGGGTACCACGTTGACGATACACTTCTGACGCCGCAAAGCCGAAAGCTGCTAGTATACTGCAAGTCTGTCCCAGTCTGTAAGATTTTAAAACACCAGCCTAACCTCAAGGAACAACACAGTTGATAAAGAATTAAGCCAGCATCTGGCCATCGTAGTCGACCAGAAAGAAAACCCATTCCATGTCCATGTCTTACCACTAGCATATAAACACAGCGGGATTCTTCATGCTGTGCTAGGGCTGGCTGCCTGTCACCTAAACTTATCTCCATACCGAGCTGATCACGTCGACATGACAACTGCCCTGCAGCACCGAGTAGCGGCCCTTAACGTGCTTAGTTCCCTTTTGATTAAAGAGGAAGTCTATGGTTTAGTACCTGCTGAAGAAGAATCCGTCTTAGGAATTATTCTTCTATTAGTGCTTCACGATGTAAGTGACGTGAACATGCTACCAAACTCTTCTCTAGTCCTTATGTACCTCCATCTCGGCTTGCCCTCCTCCATACATGTGATACATCAAGTCCGGGGCTAAAACTGATTTTTTCTCCAAGATCTGCGAGATGGGCATATCTTCACACGCAGTTCATCTAACAGGGGTATCTTTTCTCTGCGGGAGAGTCGCAGCGGCCTCAGACTCATCACGGAGAACAAGCGCAAGCATGTTTTTCTTATCTGCGTTGGCTTGGTAAGCCCCACCTCACTTTACGAGACTACAGAGACTCGAATTAATACAGCTCTATAGGTTGGACGTATTGCGAGGGTTCAGTGGCGCCGAAAAGCTAACCTATTCAGAGGATGTTCGTTTGTGTATTGTCGCTGACAAAAACGCGCAATTAAGCCTGCATACCTTTGTAGAATGCCCTCCAGTCATATTTCGTCGTATAAGCGAGGTAATAGTGGCAGCAAAACACCAACGGGCAGGTTTGTTGTCTCTGCCAGATTTTGAACAAGTGTTGGGCGACGCGGAAGTGTTCTTTCGAGAGATCGACCTGGACAAGCTTGATTATCCAACCGCACATGCCGAATGGAAGGACCTTGCCGATGCCTATCGCCATGCATGTCTTCTGCGTGTGTTGCGTTGGCCTGATACTTTCTCGATTCCATGTGAGGATGAGCGAGTTAAAGCTTCGGTATCTGCCATTTTGAACGCTTGCTCACGAGTTCCGATGAACTCTCCATTTTATAAGCGGCTATTATTCCCTCTATTCGTGGCTGCAGTCGATACATCTATAGACCACCAGATTCATTATGCCACCTTATGTATTCAGGAAATCAAGCGTTCGACGGGGTTTCGGCATGCTGCAATGGCGGAGATTCTCGACAAGGTATGGGAGGCTAGAAGAAACAACACTCGCGGCTGGCCGAATGTACCTTGGATGGAATTTGTCAGTACAATTTGAGCGTCTTGCCTGCAAATCATTATACTGACCATAAGCGTGAAGACTTGTTCTGAAGCTCTAAAACAGCAACATGCGTACCTTTTTTTCTAACATATGGTGTTTAACGATTCACTTGACGCCAGATTCAAAATACGGAGGTGGTCAGCTCTGTGGGACCCAGTCGGCGCCACAAATTGTTGGCAAGTGCGAAATATTGCCCTTTTCGGCAATAAAACCAACCGGAATTCTAACACTGCCAGGGGGTAGGTTGTTTCAAGGCTTCCTACCCACAAGTCTGACTGTACCTGTGTCATCCCCTTTCAGCCTGTTCGGAATGGTCACCTTCTCCCTGCTCATACGTGATGTCGGGAAAAGCGGCTGCTTGTCTAACTTCAGTAACCTTGACTGACTACATATACCGACTACTCAATCATACCGGGCCACGATGGCAGTGACGGTCAAGGACGAAATGGAGTTCGTACAAGGAGCAAAGCTTGCATTCAAGTGGAGATGAGTACAACAAGATGATCTCAGGCTTGCTGTAAGTCATGTCAGCAAATATTTGATAAATATATCGGCCCTGGAGCCACTTATGGAACCCGCGGATATAGCGGAACCCCTTTTAAGATAACAACTTAGCTGACATTATCGTTGCTGCTAGTTATTACGCCTTCTACCCGAGTTTTCCCTCACGCAGATCCAATTCCACGCATGGATGCATAACCCTAATATGTACATCTTCGAAGGTCTTGACGAAATAGCCGAGGCGAGGAGTTGGAGATGTCGCTTCCAAGTGCTGCGGGATCATCTGGATGATGTTGGCAAGGTGTCTTCCATTGAGCCGACCTTCCATGTCGACTAGGGCTTCTTGGAGAATGGTTCTGCACCAACTATATTCTAACAGTTATGGATTGCCATATCGAAACAACGGTCATCGTGTCACGGCAAGCCCCCTAATGGACCTATATTTGCGACTGACCACGAGGTCGACGTGGAGAGCCAACGAGCCAATTTTGACGTTGCCAAGCCCACGGATATCGGGAATGATTGATGGATCGAAAGACGTGTGCTACTTGTTCTCGGTGTTACAATAGGGGAGGGCTGTACGGATGCTGCTGGTCCGTTACCATCATAGGCAACCCGCCAAGAAGCGTGGTAGTTGGAGTGCCAGCACGCGTGGAGAGAGCACCTTCGATGGACACCTCAGAGTAAACCGTCAATCTTTCGCCACGATGAGGACCTTGTGATTGACAGACCAAACGTTGCAAGGGTTTGCGAACAAATTTGTGATCGAGTACAAGTATGGTCAGTGGCCAAAGCATGGGTGTGCTGTTCGTAAGGTAGATTGAAGATATTGAGCCTGATCCACCGGGATAGAAGAACAACTTGCATAATGGGACGATCAGGTACCACGAGGACTTAAAATCGCTAATATATAGCGTCTGAGGAGTAACTTATTGATATTTCCACTGAGACCTTTAAGATAATCGGCGTCGTTTGAGCTCGTCGATTTTGTCACCCTCTTTTGCTCTCCTTCTATGGAAAAACAATTTTGTATACGTATTAGTAAACTGCAACGAACAACAAGCTAGTTAGTCAGGCGGCGTTGTTACCGACGAGGAGTGCAGCGAGTACAGCGGCGTCCTCATAGCCTCGAGTCTTCGCCGCAAAAAGAGTTGATTTTTTCTCCAATTCGTTTGATTCATGTGTTTTCACTATAAGTTAGGGCCTCATCTAAATTAGTGCTGGAATATGAAATCAAACACGTGAACATAAGTACAGGGTCAGAAATGACATAAATGACTGTGTTACCGTGGGATTCGGCAAGTTTTTTGAGCCCAGACCCGCGCCAGAACTTCATCAGCTGCTTTGGTAGCAGCGTATATGGTCTGTCACACAATCACATGGGTTGAAGTGGCGGAAGTTCTATAGAAGATTCTGACACCTTCTGGAATGTGTGGTAAGGCAGCTTGTGGCAAGATGATGAATCTTTTGGCGTGAGATCAAATTGAGTGACTAACAATTGTCCAATGGCTTTGCTGAGAATGGCGCGAGGTTTCCGTTCTCCGTCTGAATGACTACTGGTTTTGTATCCCATTGCTTCATTCCTCCAACGACATCTTTTTCATGTTTACGGCTTCACCAGGAATAACGCTGTTTCGAGCTGCGTTAGAATGACAGTCCCAATAATTTTGCGTCGTATATAGTTGAAGGCTGTTAGTCGTGGCGTTATGTCTTTATCCATCTCAAAAACAGAAAATTTCAACTGCTTACCAGATTTCAACGTTTACGATAGTCACGCAGTATGAAGGTCCATTCCGTCAAACATTTTTTCCGTCGAAAACAGAAGATTTTGGATGGACGAGTGTTAAGATACTCTTTGGGTGAAGAACTCACACTAGCGACAATTGTCTCGGTATGGCTGAGATGAGACTGTGGCAGGGGAAATAGATGTTGTTTACCTTCTCAGGGAAATCTATACCTAACAACCAATAGAAGAATTGTGGATAGCCATGCTTTCATACTCAACGTCTTATCGTGTAGCATCTGGCTCATCTGGGACAAGTCAAAACACAGATCTGTTGTCTAAAATGGTTCAAATAGAGGGTTGGAACGTTTTCCAGGTTTGTTTAAAAGTACGTAGCGCCGTAAAACAAATCAGAAGGAATAAAAATCGTAGGCGACAAAGCTAGGTAGTCAAAAGTCATCCTCCTATGAATACGTCAACTTTAGCACAGTGCTCATCGACTTAGCTGTTGAGGTGCCGAATGTGCATTATAATGATCATCCATTTAGGAGCCGACTAGATCAATTAGTTATCAAATATTTTAAGTTGCTCATACGACCTAACTTCGATAGAGGTATCAGAAAAGATTAAGACATAAAGTACAAGTTGGGGCGCATGTCTTTCCCCTGCCATACAATGTATTCATAGACGACAAGCACAGTACATGATAACCGTCCAAAGTTAACAGGATTCGGGCCGTCATGAAAAGTAAACAATCGTATGAGAAATCAATGAAAATACATGGCTTAATGGATGCGGGCTGTTTCTTCAGTTATCATTGACTAAATAATAGCAAAGTTGATGCAAAGTAGCAAAGCGTGGTTATCTGACAGTAACATAGTAGTTTTGTACATATTCTTGGGCGACTGATCGAATTTGCGTGGAAGGCTCAACCATGTTGATCACTCCAGGGATAATGCCTGACCCACAAAATGCCACTTAAAGACTTAATAAGTAGGCAGCACTCAACTTTGTCAACTCTTGATCGAAAACCTTGGTGGATCTTATTGCGTCATTGGATCAACATTCCATCGTGGGTTACAGGATGTAACCATTTTTTACATTCTGAGCGGCAAAGGCTGGATTGGGATCCTGCAAGATTAAGAAAAATCCGAAAAAGTCAACTCATGCTAATTTTCCCATAAACTGCTTCAAAAGCCTTCGCTTCTTAATTAGCAAGGTGGTGTCTGGAGACCGCATAAGGATAGCTTGTTCCTTTCAGTAACGGATGGAAAACGATTCAGTCCATGGCCTGCCGACAAGATCATTTAACAAAAACAATGCCTTGTCCCAAAAGTAGCGATAGAAATCGGGAAAAAAAAGGAATTAGTTTTCTTTTGATTTTAGTTTTCTTTTGAGTTAAATGTGTTATAAAATCTATATCTATAGTTACCTAATGTAGGTCTTCATGCCACGGGTAGGCAATGTTTACACTGCATTGGTCGCTTCGGTATTTCGATACAGTTATCGCTACCTTGAATCCATCCAAAATTCAACAGAACCTCGATTTATTCTCTATAGAGGAGGAAATTTTCAAGAGGGCTGATATCTAGTCAATAGGCACCAGAAATCGGAAGTTCTCAATTTGTGAGTAGGTACATTACCCAAAAGGCATGCTTTTTCATGCTTAGACTGGGATTAAAAATCAGCTGGTAGCATTACCTCAGCTGCAGTATGTTCAAATGGAAATAGAGGAATTACTATTGTATAATCTAAATCTCATGCTAATGCGATCCCCGTCGTATCACCTAACTCAGAAAACAAGACTGTCTTCCTCCTAGTCTTGATGTCAATGGCGTAAATGCCACCCGACAAGTCGGTAACATAGACCATATCCGAATTCTTGTCCAAAGCCAACCCGATGGTCTCATGTAATCTAATCGCTAGAGTCTGAGGCTGTCCCCCTACTGCTACGGCTGCTCGATTTAAAGAGTTGCCGGTTGGAGGGTCACCACGATCTGTCCAGTAGAGTGTTCCACTTTCTTCGTCGAATTCAAGGTCAATTGGCTCTGGAAGTTTGTCAAAGACCACCTCGATATCCTTCTGCTTCACCTCTCGCGGTTGTACGGGGGCTCGAAAGATGCGCCCCTGGTTTCCCTTGGATGGGCCTTTTTGAGTCCAATAGAAAAAGCCTCGCTTCTCGTCCACAGCAATTCCCACACACCAGTTTCTCTGGTCGAGGCGGTCCTCATCTGTGCTGCCCGTTGAGACAAGAATCTCGATATCGGAGCCGTCCAAGTTCGCGCGCATGACTTTCATACCCTCACGATCGCACCAATACAATTTGCGAGTCTGTTTCGCGATGGTAATTTGCTTGGGTGTAAAAACACCTGTTGTTCCAGGGGGCACGATATGTATCCGCCGAGATCCATCAAGGTTTGCCCGCTCAATAGAACCACTGTTAGATTTAAAGCTGGTGCCCATGTTGGTCCAATACATGTGGCCGTTTCCATGGTCAATAACAATTCCGTCAGGAAGAGTTTCCATGTTGTCGACTACCGTTTGTAAGTCGCTGCCGTTCGTGTTACATGATACAATTCGTCCTGACCGGGTGTCTCGATACGGGTGCGATAAATCCGTATCGAGGATGTAAAGACGTTGTTGAGGTTGCGAGCCCATGGTTGTTCGTGTGTTGCCCAGGAATCCACTGGTTTAAAGTTGAAGTAGTAAAGAAATAATCCTTCAAGCTATAAGCACCATAGTTATCTATCACGGGTCGCCCGATGTATTTCAATCATTCTACTCGCATCTTGCCTCATGTTGTAACCTGGTACCTCGGTCAAAAACAGGTCCAGCCCCGTCGCATGACCAGGAAGAAATTTCATATTTTGACTGCAGAACTATTACGAGGCAGTCCGCTACCGGCCGTTCTCTGGCCCACGTATGATGTATCGGTATTTCGCAGTTCGGTCTTTCATAATCACGCACTGAACGGCGGTCCACTATTGTGTTGTGCAGCGGATCACACATTGTAAGGGCGGTAAAATTCCGCACAGTTCCGCATTGAGGGGTGCACTAGTCATGACCCTGGGTGGGACGTCATCGGGATGTTGTTCTCAGCCTAGAAACCAACAGAACCTGCTTCGTATTATCTGAGAACTACAGCTACGGCTTTTATGTTCGTCTCACAGGGAATCACCGTCCACTGCGAAGAGCATTCGGTGTACATCCACAATCGTACCAACATCTTGGAGGACAAATGCGAGCTTTCATCTCTCTCCAGGAGACAAGGATGGAGGCTAAATGTAGTTGTATCTGTTTGTTTGAGTGAAATGTTTTTTTTCTTTCCGCAGTAGAGAACCCAGTGAAAACATGATAGCCGAACAAATACTGGAATAATGATCTTTTATTTTTATCTTTATTTTTTGAATTTGGTGATACATTTTGAGGCTCTCTGTGAGCTTTGTGGTCCAATGACTACTTTTGAGCATCTGCGTAACCATCCCATTCTTTACGGATGTTCAAGAGCCTAACCAGTTCTTCGTCCCGCTGCTTGGCCAACTCCCGGTACTGTCTTCCTGCAACTCCTTGTACTGTACCCTGTACCCATTTTTCCTTCAACTCATCATTAACCTCAGGGTCCTTAGGTGCATACCATGTCATCAAAGGCCCTAGTAGGTGGTCCGCCATGTGCTTTATGCCTCCTTCCCCCCCACCCAAATGCATCAACAAGCTCGGTCCCATAACACCCCAGCGCAGACCAGGCCCATAACTCATAGCATCGTCAATGTCTTGGACGCCAACGATATCCTCTTGCAGGAGGTACATGACCTCTCTTATCAATGCAGCCTGCAATCGATTGGCAACATGTCCAACGACCTCTTTTTTGACGTGTACCGGTTTCTTCCCCATGAGCCTGTAAAATTCCATTGTTCTTTCCACAGTTTCTGTAGAAGTTTGGGTTCCTCCAACAACTTCGACCAAAGGAATCAAATGCGGTGGGTTGAATGGGTGGCCCACCACACACCGCTCAGGTTTGCAGCGTGGCTCCATTCCTTCTTGGATGCTTGAGCATGTCAGGCCGCTACTACTTGTCGCAATAATCGTGTCTGGACGAATGATCGCGGCCATGTCGGTGAACAACTTTCGCTTGAATTCTAACTTTTCGGGGCCGTTCTCTTGAACGAAGTCTGCATCCTTGAGAGCTTCGTGGATGTTGGTGGTGAAAGAAATGTCGGACGCCTTGACACTGGAGTCCTTAACCAATCCCAGTGATGATAGGACAGGGAGAGCATCGGTGACCAGATTGCGAAGGAAAGTCTCGGCAGCTGGGTTGATGTCGAATGCGGATATGCTGAGCCCTTGAGCAAGAAAGAGTGCAGCCCAAGACGCTCCGATTGAGCCGCAGCCAATGATGGCTACTTGTCGAATTTCAGACATGATGCCTTGAAACTGGAGGAGATTATGCGTTGAGGGTAAATTTGCGAACAGTAAAGTATGACACTAGTTTAGGCACTGACATGTGCTTTCAAACAATACGTAAAAATGGCAGTGATCCCAAGTCACAATAGTCACCACTTCAGAGCATCATATGTGGTTTTATAAAAGAAGCCACTTTGAAGGAGTCCTTGTGTACGGCTCTTGAAGGATTACGTCGGTTGTTATGGAACCCCAACACAGGGTGACACGTTTAATTTGGTACCCAAAGAAATCACCGGCCGGAGAGTCCGAAGTCAACAACGTAGGCCTCACGAGCCGATCCAGCAATGCTTTGCCTGCGTGCAAGAGCCGCCAAAGTCGGAAAGTTTGTTGGCCCCGCAGTTTCTACGATCTTACGATGTGAAAGAGTGGCAATATTCCGCCCGCGGAATTGATGTGGCGGGTCCGTGACTCGTACGCTAACTCCGGATCACCAATCTTGGCAAATCCGGCCCCGCCCATGGAGCTTCGAGAAAACTTCTATTGTCTCCATGATCTAGCTCATACTTGCACTAACGTCATATCCATACTCCTCATGTGTTGTCTCAGTGTTTCGATTGCCGGCATTCGCGTCAGGAAAACCCCGACTCATGGAGCCCTATCGCAAGGACCCCTTTGGCCCCATGAGCCGGTTTTGAGGCCTGTTTAACGTCATGCCTTCCGTCTTGCTGACCCACATCATCGGCCCTCGCGGTGCTTGTTGCCGTGATGAACGCAAGGTTCTTCCGACAACGGCTTGCTTCCTTATCGTGCCGATCACCGAGATATCTACGTGTGTAATCGGTGTCCACTAGAGACATGGAGCATCGAACCTTTTTTGGCCCCGCACCTTAATCTACTATTTCAATATATAAGTTGAGTGGCTGTTCTCGTTCATATGGAGGCTTTCATATCAAGTTCACGATCATCAACTATACCTCACCAATATCAGCAATCTCTGAAGAACTAGCCTTTATATTTATTCTCTAAACCTTCTTTCAAAAACCACACGTCATGGCTTCAGACAAGATTCCTGACGTCTACGGACCTGGTACCTTTACAGACAAAACCTTTACATCAGTACCAGAGGATACGGAGCGTATCTTTCGCCTCATCGTTAGCCAGACTCCTGGCTTTACACAAGATGAACAGGTTCTCTCAAAAGTGCGATTCACCGGAGAGTCTTATCCTGTGATTCCCGGCCCTATCAAGGCAACCTCCGTTGCTGCTGCCTTGCATGCCATGACTGGTGTCTTGGCCGACGAAATTCTTGCCATTAGAGGCGTCAAGAACGATGAGCGTCAAATCTCCGTCAACACCACACATGCCGCAATCTGGTTTGGCTGCATTGCGACTGCTTTTCTGGATGGCGTTGATGTCGTTAGCTTGGTCAAGGAAGGAAAGCTCAAGCAGCTGCTCCCCGATTGGGAGCGAGGCTGGACCGACACACCCCTCAAGTACCGAACTACCGGTCTATACCCTACAAACAACCCTGAAGTATGGTACTCCCTACACGGAAGCATGAATGCCGAACCAGTACTCCGCTCCATTGGCGTCGACCCTTCTACTTCGATTACAACACCGGAGGAGGCGGCATCGCATATCGCTCAACATACCTCGAAATTGAGCCCTGAAAAGATGGAGATGACGAATCTCCTGAATGGTTTCTGTGGAAGCATCTGCTTCACACCAAAGCAATGGCGCGAATCTGAAATGGGTCGCTCGCTCTCAAGTCACCCCTTGGTCAATGTCAAGAAGCAAGAGCAAACGATTCCCACTCCTCCCGTCGCCTTCCCCCCACTGAAACCGAACGACAAGCGTCCGCTGGCCGGTGTTAAGGTTGTTGAAATGACGCGTGTCATCGCCGGTCCAGAAATTGGAACGATTTTGGCTGCTTATGGTGCGGACGTAATTCGGATCAACCCTCCTCACTTGCCTGATATCAACATCATGCAGTTGTCTCTCAATGCTGGCAAGCGAACAATCGCTATTGACCTTCGGAAAGAAGATGACGCTGCCCTCTTAAAGTCCCTCGTTGCCGAGTCTGATGTTTTCATCCAAGGCTTCCGCATCAACAAGATGCCCAAGTATGGCCTTGGCCTTAATGACCTATTGAAGATGGCCGGCGAGCGTGGCCGTGGCATAGTCTACGTAAGCGAGAACTGCTACGGCCCTGACGGGTACTATGCCGAGCGCCCTGGCTGGCAACAGATTGCGGATGCTGCTGCCGGATCCGCGTATGTTACCGGAAGATCACTCAAGCTGCCCAATAATGAAGCGGTACTTCCTAGTTTGCCCATCTCCGATATGTCAACAGGAGTACTTGGCGCGGTTGGCGCCATGTTGGGTCTGAAGAGACGAGCAGTCGAGGGAGGAAGCTACTATTCTCACGCCAGCCTTACGGGAGTTAATGCGTACGCCCTGACTGAGGAAGTGGGTCTTTACCCAGAGACTACTGTGGAGGAATGCAAGGAGCGCTTCCAATGGGGCGAGATGAGAGGAGCACACCACGTTCTAGACCTTCTTGTCACTGTCTGGAACGGTTGGAAGAGGGTTCTCGGAGACTATCTGCAACCTGAGAGTGGTTGGTTCCAGAGTTTCGATGCCAGCGCTTTTGACAAGAAACGGTTGAGCATCCTTAGGCCAGTCGTCAAATTTGAAGGAGAACAAGAGACAACTCCAGAGTGGAAGACTCCAAGCGTGCCATACGCATATGAAAGGGCAGATAAAGTCAGGTTCTTGTAATTAATGTAGATGTTGAGCAGCAAATCAGACGAAAATAAATGAGCGTTTATTGGCAACAGATACAGCACAAACCAAAGGATATGTCCACCATCAAGCCGAAAAAAAGAGCGAGAAGGTGCAACTGTTGACATCATAATTATCATAATGACCGCTAGTGACTCTGTTCAGCACAGCCTGGACAAAACAGGTAATTGATGTGTGAATAATGTTAGACGCTAGTAAATCCATCAGAGCCAGTGAATAATTATTTGGGGCACGTCCCGGCGTAAGCTTAACAGCACATCTACCTCATTTGAAAAGCCCTCGTAACACACAGTCTCAGACGTAATACCCTCTATCCCAGCACTAATAACAGAATGAAAAGACTATCTGGCCAGCACTATTACGTAAGTGATGCTGTATACTCGAAAGGATTGACAGTCAGGTTGTTTAAAGGAAGCCAGCCCGCACCTGTGATAATGGGCTTTATGCTAGCCATAAGAAATCTTTCTAATGCCCATTGAAGAATGATTTGTACGGGTTTATTACCCAAGGCCGACAATGGTTTTGTCGGACGCAAGTGTGTAAACTTCCTGAGAGTGAGAATAACATAAACAGACAGGATCTTTGTCTAATAGAGAATGATGCGAGAACAGGCAGTTTGTTGGATGATTACAGACATTAAAATTAGGCTTGGTTTGTAGCTGAAACTTGCCGGCGCCACATTTCCCAGATTAAGCCGGCTGCGATGAATTTATCACGATGCAGCTATTTAGCGCAACCTTGGTACAATAAAATAGTTGTGCAATCTATTATAACGTTTGATGCAGATACATCAAACTTGCAAATGTTAAATTTGACCGGGGCTATCCCATGTACTGCGAGTTGGCTACAGGTACATAACCTACGACATTGTAGCCATTCAGGGACAGACAGTACCAACCCCCTTCCAATCGCATACCTATTTTACACGGATTTTGGAGAAATTGTGGACCGAATTGTGGCTCATAATGTACCTGTATTCAACTCGCAGTCGATGGGATAAGCCAAATCTAGGTCCCTTCAATTGATAAGACTGACCAGCGCCATCGTCACAATCAGATAGATTCAACGGTACGTACCGAAGGCAAAAATGGCCAAGACCCTTGTGGGAATGTAAAAGCCAGCTATCGATATCACGATTGGGCTTGTCACTGCACGTCACTTTATTGAAATCACAGCTCTCATACGCGATCTTGACGTAACATCTCACAAAATCACTTGTTGGAAATGACGCATCATTCTGATTACTCCTTAATTTCAAAGTAAAAGGTTATAAAATAGAGGCCGAGCATTTACTGAAACATTTCTCGCGCGCAAAACTGATTGCAATATAACCACGTCTAGATGGAAGTACAGATTTCTTTTATCAAGTGAAATCTCCTTTACATTCAAGAAAGTCACAATGTCTGAGCCTACTGCGTTCGGTCTGTCACGCTCCACTGACAGTGCTGGGCAAGCCTGGCAGGAGACAGCACAAAGTGAGTCCTGGAACCGTCACTAAGCGTGGCAGTATCGGCTACTTACGATCAAGCTTTTCCAGGCAACTCAAAAAAACAGCATGCGCTATCTGAAGAAGGAAATCCTCAATCAGAGCCCGACGGACCTCTGAAACAAGTAATAGGTATGCAATGCGCAGGCAACACGACGAAGTAATGTCCTTTCTTACACTTAAGATACTGCAGCTCATCGGGACAGCCTCTATAAGTATATCAATGTTAGTAATGATATGCATATGTTTTTGATCAATCTAATAACATTGAACTGAAGTGGGAAGAACCCGGTCGAACACTTGGCGCTTACACTGGCGTAATGGGTGTCCTGTTTGGGATCCATTACCTACCAATCACCCAAGTAGCACTGAAAGTTGGAATGTTGACGCTTGGAGGTATTTACACTTACAATGATGTTTTTGAATATGAGTAAGGCATTGACAGCAATTCTTCAGTGGTGTCTGTTTTGGAGTTCGTTACTCGTCCTTTCAGCACTCGCCCTTTGTCAGCGCTTCTACGTCCCAAAGAATTCAAAAGAATTCCAGAATCGACCCTTAACGCCACACTGAAAGACATCCATGACTTTACTCAGTACATTGTGGTGGAATTCCAGAGAGTTGTCTTGGGACAGGATTTGAAAAGGACATTTGCCGTGAGTGAGCCGTCGGGTGCAGTTTAAACTAGCAGTCTTATACATGTGTCTAACACTGACGGTCCCCAGGCCTTCATTAGCGTCAGCGCTTTGTACTGGCTTGTTCACTTTCTCTCACCTTTTTGGTTGACCTTCATGGGGTTAAACTCAATATTTATCGCCCCACTTTTAGCTTCGCCTGAAGGTCGCAGGGTAGCCAGTGATGCAAGTCTGCGTGCTCAAGAGCTGGTAAACGCAACTGCAGATAGAGGTAAAGAAGTTGCACAAAATAGCCAAGCAAAGATTTCCGATTTAGCCAGCTTTACCACTACCAAGGGGAATGAGCTTGCTCATGATGCTTCGACTAAAACCGCTGAATGGTCATCCAAGGCACAACAAACTGTGTACGACAGTGAAACTGCGATCAAAAATGTGTCTAAGAGAGGCATGGAAACCGCTTCTGACTTGTCAGCTCGAGCGAAAAGTACAGCGATACGTGCCCCAGCATCAGCTAAAGAGAATGTTGGCAAAATATCGCAAACTGGAATGAATGCGGCAAAGAAAGCACCAGAAAGTGTCAACTCAGCTTTGGGCAATACAAAACAGTACATCAGCAACTTGTCAGCCAACCAAAATATTAAGAACTTCAGAGAAAAAGCACTTGCAGATCAATCGAACCCCCTAGGGGAAAAAACAGCCCAAAGTGATGGGCACAGCATCAAAACACCGAGCTTTGCAAACTCAGCTGCTGCTGCGGATGAAAAGAATGATTGGAATTCCTCGATGGAAGCAAAACCAGTTAGAACAACCAAAGATTCTAATGAGGGGCTTTCGTCTGGTACAGACACGGATCCGGAGTATGCAGCAGTCGCACGCCATGCGGCTACGACACGCGATGCTCAGGATCGACCGCCAGTTCCTGTAAAGGCAGTAGTTGATACAGCCTGACTGACAGATGTATAAGCTATCTCTTGAGCGACATTGGATTGTTCATCTTAATGAGATTGAATTACATCTCAAGTCAACATTTTGTAGGAAAGTGAATTAGCTACAGGGATACATTGTGAGAAATACATGTCAGTAATCTATCAGCAATGTAAACTGTTCTCAATCTTTGTTATTGTGACACCAAACATTCGATAAAGGAGGCGACAAACTGAACAAGCTTGTCTTGAAACCATACAAACCCTTACATGGCAGGACAAGTTCAACGCTTGATTTGTGAAGTTTGAATTTGTCGTATTTGATTCTCATACGGATAATCCCGAATAAGTCAAGAATTTTACTTAGCGGTCAGGACGACACTTTTGGACTGATTCAAGCTTTCCACTGTAATTGCCCTTTCCAAGACGTAGATATTAAGAAGGCCAACATGCAATCCTGGATCGTTCTGGTGAATTTGCCATAAATTGCGCTAATTTACTGGCGTATTTCGGTAAAGCCATGTTGAAAAAGACACATGGCAACAGTTCAAAGCAACTTAGGGTTAGTTAATGCTCTAAGTTAGCTCTTCTCGTCATGAGGCTTGCAGAAGGGGTATATCGGGTTTAAAAGAGAAGCCTCTAGGCAATCAGAGTTAGGGAGAGAGTGGTTGTGTGTTTTGATAGATGACAAGAACAGTATAACCGTATTGGACTTAAGAAGCTTTAGGAATTCTAGGTCGCTCCATTGACCAAATTCAGCGAAGTTCTAGCAAGCGTTTGATTATTTGCGACAACGGCAGAAACATAGTCTGGCCCTGACTGATGCACTTACATATGCCTAAAACAGGCCCAGTAGACGTTGACATTAGAATTCGATTTGAGAAAACTTAGGCTGGTACGGACGGCAATTCAACTTGGATGATGGCAAATGAAAGGAACAATTGTATCACGGGGATTCCCGATCGGTCATGTATCGGATATCACAAGTTACAGAAAAAGGGTCTTGTTGCATCATAGGACTCCCCGTATGGGCGTAGGAAGAGGAACTCTTAGCCATGAAAAAAAGGTAATTCGGACATGCTAGAGCCTGGAAAGACTGTGTGAATCTACAATTGTAGCTTAACGATGAGACGCCCTTTGCCTTATATAAGAACGCACCGGTGTAAAAGAACATGCCGATAACAGTATAGGCTAATCTTTGTGATAGGTGCCCACTAGCAATGGTCATACAAGTTAGGTACTAGCAAGTCGGCTTACAAAAATGTCCAGCATCACTTCCCTAATTGAGTTGGCTAGGTATTATTTAGGACTCTAGCAATGGCCTGGTTTCCTTTAATGAATTGTTAGAAAGCGGAAAGACATTGTCAAAACGTCACAAGTGTTCTATCTTTGTACTGCATATTGGTAAATGCCCTATCATTGTTAGTTTTCCTCCAGATAAAACTCACCGCGTTGCTATGCAATCCAGATGGGTAAGTGGGTGATTTTGACAATGACAGAGCACTGCAGCATATAGCCACTGCAAATATGGTGAAAGAACAGCCCCGTGTCATTAGAAAGCCGGGGTAACTCACGCCAAAATAAAGTCTTACATCAATGACTAAATAATAATTGACGGTATGAGTAATTTATTAATATACTTTTAAACGGAAACTCGTTCCACAATCTACAATACATTGATCTTATCACGTCTGTATTTCGATTGAGTTTCTAATCCAACCGCATACCATGATCTTCATCTCTACCTTCCCATAGTATCTTCCCCTTCATAACAGCTCTGATGTTTGCTACAGCAACCACCAACCACGCAATAACGAGGAGCAAAGTCAATGCGCTTGTCACGCCCTTGATCCCATCGCTTTGCAAGACATTACCAACATTGATGGTAGCCAAACATAGCCCGGCATTTGGAAATATAAACGCCCACCAGTTCAAGGTAAACTCCATCTTCTCTTTCTTGCTAAGGGCAGCCGCCGCTACTGCAAGTGCGGATAATGCAAAGAACCAAAATGCTACTAAAAGTAAGAAAATTCCCGACATGGCTGAGATCACCTTGATCACATCCCCAACCTTCATGGTATTGACCGATAAGAAGCCGTCTGGAATCAGGCTTGGTGCTACATTCCCCAAGCTCACTAGTCCAGCGCTTGTGTATCCTGCGGGGCCCACGCTGACGAACATCCCTGGCCGTGAGCTCGGGTCCGGCAGCTGGCTGCTCATCAGCCTCAAGACATAGATTCCGTACATGAAAATAGTCACCGTCCATCCAAGTCCCTGAAACATCACTGCCCCAACCCAGATGGACAACTGATGCTCCGGTGGTTGGGTCTTGACGAGCACTCCCGCAAGCGGCCCTATGACCAGAAATGGATACACGGGAAATACCCAGGCAGGCATTGCACTGTCAGCTGGCAGTCTTTCTGCCACAAATAATGTTGTGTATTGAAATATGGCCACGCATAGCGCACATCCAGAATATGTCCAGAAGCATACTCGCAGCGCCACAGGCAACCATGGCCCGCAAACCGGCACACCGTAGGTCTGCGCCAGGTTCAAGATTAATGCTATGCTGACCCAAAAAGAGCCAAAGAATAATGCCTCCTTTGGGTGGTGTAGATTGCGGATTGCCACAATCGGGCGGCGGGTGAAGCGATAGGTGATGGCGACACAAAAGAGGGTAAAGAGGACAAGGTCGACCACAAATACTATCTTGGCGATGACGTCTAGGCCCCGAAAGCGAAAAGGTGTGTTGGCAAGGACAACACCGAGGGCGCCCGTAGACATCGTACAGGCGAACCAAGACCAGGTGAAGTGGTGGAGGCGCTCAATTAGTGTTGCATGTTGCGGTTTGGGCTTGTACTTGAGGCGAGGGGTGTCCTGGCTTGAGTCAACACCAGGATGGTCTCCATTACTGTTGGCACGAACGTCGGGCACCCCGTGCTCTAAGTCGTGGCCAGTTTGGTGGTTATTATTCATATTTCCAGTAAGGCAAGCGATCTAACGAATCGATGATATGCAGCGTTGGGTACCGCGGAGTATATGAAAATTTGACTCGGAAGTCTTCAAATATCGCCCACTAGCTCTGCAGGATGACATTCCGCACCATTTTATATTAGCTTTAGGTTTTCATGCACAGTAAGAATTAACTTCTTTTATACTGATTGTTGATGGCGTCATGCCATGGCTGTCCCATGCCGTGAGATCCACAATTTAACCAAGATGCGTGCCTTGTGGGAACTCGGCACCAACGCCAAGGAACCCATTGTTGTTATGTTATGCTGGGTTTTGATAGGATGCTGGTGTTTGGTTCAACTCAATAAGGATAATGATTAGTAGGGGCGCCACATCTTCACAAGACCTTAACTTCGAACTAATAGACTAGGACGATAAAGCAGAGCTTAGCTAAGTGAAGGTTCCACCAATGGCACTTATTACTGACTAATAGCAGGCATGTCGTTATGATGACATTCTGCCCCTACGGAATCTTTCCTGTCATGCCATCGCGTGGTTAGGGATCATTCGTTGATATCATTTTAAATAACTGAAATCCAGCTTCAGTTAACTAAGTCATCTTGCCTGCTTCTATTAACCTGACCGTACTAATTATGGCAGGCGTAGCACTTTCATTCCAAAGCTTAAGAACAACTTTTGGCAGTTCCCCTTTTGGTGCGAATAATTGGTAAATCTATGCAAATAATGGGCCTGCTATCCGGCCAAACATATTTACCTACAGACTACAATGAGTTCATCACGATAAACACCAAATTAGGATTCAACTTTGTTTTGTTAACGCAGCTTTGGACCTGGGTCTCTGACAGGTGAGAACGTTATATAGCTGGCGGTCGGATTTTGATATGATTGTCCAAGGGAGATTTCTCAGAAGCAGGATAAAGCGGATCATTCCTGGCTAAGGTAGGTTGGTTCAATCGTTCACGTCGGTATTGCTGAGTATCATTATCCCACAGGGTGCCACTTGGTCTCGTTTTTGCCAATCCTAAGAATTTTCCTTTTTTATGGCTGCTTTTTCTTCGCAGTCCGATGAGTAAATAGGCAAGGAATATATTTTGTGCGATTTCCTTTTCTATCGTCGTCATGATGTAGTTTTCTGTAGGAACGGAGATCTTCAGCATCTCTCATACGCCTAGAACCTTTAAAGAGTAGATGCAACCTAACCAAGTACATGAGCTAACTAAAACGGTAGAAGTCAGTTGGCACTCAGTTGCATAGCATAATGTATCTAGGTTCACAACTCTGTCAAGAAGCAGAAAACGGAGAGGAACGTTAAAGCATAATGGGGACTTCTCTTTGTAAAGCAGCTAAGGAAGAAGAGATTATTTCCTTCTTCTTGAACGGCGTAAGGTTAATTGAAAAGGAAACTAGATTTGCATTCACTCGTCAGTGGGTGAGAAATACGGCTTGTTGTGAATTACAGCCAGGATTGGTGCTGAAAGTACGCTATTAATTGATAAATAAACAGGAACACCATGACGTCCAGCTAAGTGTTCAAATAACTTCTTATAACTAAAAGTCATAGGATAGATCCTAAATCACAAGCAGGTGAAAGTTCTCTTATACGTGATTTTGCTACTTTTAAAAAACCATCTATTATGACCATCACTGCCTACAAAAGTTCTGATGGTTCGAAATTTGATCTGAGAGAAGTAGATGACGTCACAACTTACACCATCGACGAACCTCGCCTTTTTTTGGGACCCACAGGGCCTGTCCGGGGGTAGGTTCCCTTGCGTTGTCAGATTAGAAAAAACTAGAATCTTTCAGCTGTTATTGTCTCACAGAGAATGATTTATCAAATAACGGTGCGCGACATCTGATCCGGTGTTTCTTCTGCCCACTCGGTTATCGGCTGTGCACAATAGAAACAAAGCCGGAATCCTAACCGCTTTCACCCCACAGGCTTTCCTCTAGGGCAACTACAAGGCCATTTGCAACTATGCCGATTACGGAAGACGCCTCAAGAGGACACACTTGGTCCCCGGAATACCTGCGTGTATGAGCAGTATCCCAGGACCAAAAGACCCGTGTGGCCTATCGAATTATAAGTAGGCTGCACTTCGGGGCTGCACTTCGTTAATTGTAGGGCATCGTACTTCCGACTAGGTGACAGAATCAACAGCTATCATGTTACTATACCAGAAACATTGTTAAATTGTAACTCATCTGATTAGTTTAGCCTTCGGATTATATTTTATCAATTTGTTATCTAATTGTGAAATCATTACTTGCAGTAACAGTTACAATCTTCCTAATAATAAACCGGCTTCCCTCTACTTAATATCAAGTGTTGTTGATCTATCAACACTGGCATGCGACACTATGAGCGCTTGTAAGTATATATACCCAACAAAGAAGCTGGATGATGGCCACAAATTGGGTCTATCCTTTCCAGAATATAACCAACCAGCATTGGTGAAATTTCCAACGGCTATGCCAGATGATATTCATTGAATCCCAGGAGAAAATCGAAGTGTAATTCCATCGATCAAACCAGCATCGAAACAAGCATTCACATCATATATTCATTAAACTCAGGGGTCTCTTCTTATAGCGTCTTTGGGGGCCATTGTGATGAGGAAAACCCCGCACGCTGATAATGACTTTCCTAGTATTACCATGTATCAGTCAACTTAGATCTTTTAGGTCACGTTAAAATGACTTACCATACTATACAAAATAATGAATTGGGAATCGTTTTGGAAGTTGTTCGTAGTGGCGGATGAGCTTCCAGTGGCTATCAAAACAGCAAGTATCTTTATGACGCCCTGACATTATCCGAACCATTTATGCCTTCGCCTTTTTTTAAACATGCGTTTTCTTTTTAACGTCCTTTTCATGCGTCCGAAATATTATCTAGGGGGAAGCTTTAGCAAGTGGTCTTCTCGGGATCACCAGATCGATTAGAGGTCGGAATCACATCATTTTGGCTTCGGCTTCGGTCCGGCGCATCTGCAAATTCGGCGATCATCAGCTAGAGAGGTCAGGGCTCCTCTCTTATTTATCATAGTAGAATTGAATTTTTGACTAACAGATTATTCAAGACCTAATAGCGGGTTACGGGAGGGTTCATCTTGCAGTTCCGAAAGCTTAATGGTTGACCCGAAGTGTGTCAAGGGCCGAGTCTGGAGTTGAATTGAGATGGGCTGGAATGTTCGTTATAAACAGGCGCATTGATACTTTAATATAGTGTCTTATGCTAAAAAGAGACGATTGTTTCCCACTCAAGGGCTGGGGTGGATTGATGACAATTGCTGTGGCAGTGCCTATGGCATTGCTTGACACCCGTCTCAGATCACAAACTACAACCACAGCAGTGACCAAGATGTAAACGAAACTAAAAGTTTCCAAATTCAGAAAATGTTCTAAGGATACTGCTACCGTGTGTCTTAACTAATTTTTCACTGCCGCCCTTACAGTGGCATAGTTCTCCCGTTGATCTTAGTTGAATAGTCTAAGCTCTATCGGTCTCGGTCTCGGTCTCGTTTTCACTCTTTCTAAGGCTTTCATATCACAGCAGGCACAAACTACATGTATCTCCACTGTAGCAGTAGTCAAGTTTTAGTTTTCGTGATAACGGAAACCAGCTGAGCCACTATGCACCACGATGAATAACTTGTCTATATAACAAGCGTTTCGCCTCCCTACATAGTAGATATTGTTTAACAATTTCGAAAGCAGATTTTGGACATCTCTAAGTTCATTCAGACAACAACTACGGAAAGCTTTGCCTCTCCTTGTTCTTACTTTCAATAACACTGCTTCCTTCAAGTCTACCACCATGCAATTCTCCATCACCGCAGTTACATTTATCTTTATTGCTTCCACTGGGTAAGACGCATTGGCATTTACTTCTGTCTTTTTATTCAAGACATAGCCTTTTTGTGGTGCTTTTCAGAAACTAACAGTTTTAGGGTTGCTGCCAAAAACCACAACCAGCTTCAATGTACTACTGCGAGCGGCAGCGGACAATTTATTTTTTCGTTCCCGGTAGCTAGTTCTTTTCCTCACATGTTCGTTCACTTTTCAAACATGGGCTAACATTACTCAGAATGATGCCGCAACGAATAAGGTGTGTCCTAGCTTCTGCTCTGACTGCACGCTCGGCGATAAGGACGGTCACCGCGTCTGCAACTCTGCTGGCCGCCTTATGGATGGAGATGATTTTTCTAATGCTTGCCTGGCAGCCGGTGCATCTGGAAGCCGGTAATCACTTTTTCACTCCACATACTGTCGAATACGGCAGAGGCTTGCAGTTGTCACACTTTAATTAAGCTTCAGCATCAACCAATTCAATGAAGAATGGTATGCACATAGTATGAATAGATTGGATATCGAGATATTTATTCAAAATCTCTTCCAACACTAGTCATCAAGCTTAATTGTTGCCAATAGTAAATACAACATCTCAATCCAAACAAAATATGCCGAATGTGTATAACCACCATCATGAAAGAGTTGAATTGAGTCTTTTACTTACTACAACCCATTGAAAAATAAATATACAAAATTACTGTATGCTGGTCACGCTCATGGGTGCATGAAAACTGGTTGCTACGGGACTCCACGTTACTGGCTCCACGTGGCAATATCAAATACTACTAGAAAGTCCCTCCTGGTCTCAAAGGTTGGCAGAAGTCTCGCTGAGCTGAAAGGACATGCAATCTAGTAGCAGGCCTCAATCAATCGATTAGTCCGAATCACCACGAAGATATATGTTCTGGTAGCCCAACCGACATTCTGTGCAATCATTGGAAAACTGTACGGTACACATTAAGGAGATCATGTACAGTTCTAAGGTGAATGCATTCGTATCTAGCTTCTCAACCCTTTGCTTGAAACATTGAGCACCCAAGTCGTACTGGGAACACCACTATTTGAGCAGTGGTGCGTGAAGAATTACTTTATTTTGATGTTATTCCTGAGCGCTTTTCTTTCACTGCTCCAAGGGCAAGCGAAGTTTTTGTACGGGCGATCTTCTGTTTTTTTCGAGCAGGACTTTCTTCATTGGGGGATTTCTTTCGATGGAGTGCGATATACGATATAGGGGTTCAGTGAGAAATAAGCCAGTTTTGAGTAATTAGGTTGCTTCAAGGTCAAATTAAAATTTATGTTGTAATGGTTGAGGACCCAGGCAAATTATTATCATGGCTCCGGATTGTCCCTACGTTCCAAAGCAGGGGCGTGGGACCTCAAAGAATAGATAACCAACATGTTCAAAGGTATACCTAAGAATGTAGTGATGGAGGCAATCCCAGCAAAAGTTTAGTACTGAAATTTGAATATTGTGTTTCTGGCTTCTCTGGAGACCTAATCATCTTACTGCGGAATTTGTTGAGATTGTTGTACTCTAAAGGAGGCGAAAATGAACTAAAATACAGGTAGGTGTTTCAAGATATAGTAAATGAGACCGTGTTTGTTTGTTACTATTACGCGAATGACGGGTTAGTTGTCTGCTCGCAAAAGAGGGAGACAGGGAGACACGGGTAGCCTTGTCTGAAAAAATAACATGCCGTTTGGATCCAAGCAACTGTAGAGTAACTTTAAAAGAAAATCCGTGGCCATTGCATTTCATTTTTGTAAGTTCTCAATTAATGAATTAACCAGATAACTAGTTGTAAGCCTCAGTAGGTTTTGTCCCGTAAAGGCCAGAATCTCGATGATTATAGCCTTCGGACACCCTCCCTATGTTGCAAGTTAAGTGAACGAAATATTACCGCCAAGAAATGACCGAATTCCGAAGATAGCAACCGTGGGAACACCAACTGCAGTGGCGAAGACGAAAAGCACCAGGTCCAAGTTACGTGCCTTCCACCATGGCATACGCATGTCAGCAGTCTGAAGATGCATTGGCCGCGAGCCGCGCAGCTCGTGGTCAAACAGAGTTTCCTCCACCAGATCAGCGGCGAGACGTTTTCTGCGCGCGGCTACCGTGGAAATGCGTCTCATCCGCTCGACATTCCGCGCGATGCTGCTATCAGGACCGCTATTTACAAGGAAAGATATACGGGCGGCCACTTCGTCAGCTGTGAAGTTGATTTTGTTCAGCTGCAGACCGCATCCGGCTTCCTCGAGACGCACTCCATTGGCAAGTTGGTCAAACATGAAGCCCAGAACCAGCACAGGAACACCATGATATGTAGCCTCATTCGCCGACGAGCTGCCTCCGTGAGTCATATAGAGGCGTGTATGTTTGTGGTTCAAAATCGCTCGCTGGGGTGCAAATTCTGGCGTCAGGAATTCTGGCATCGCATTATCTAGTAACTCTCCAAGTGTCGTCGATTCACCATTTAAACGGGACACAGTGTGTGTCAAATCAAGCTCCTTGCGAGCAGTTTGGTTCAAAGCCCATATTACACCGTCAATGTGGCCACGATCAAGGGCTAGAATAAGACCTTGGAGCAACTTATGTAGGCTAGTCTCCGGCAGTACGACGTTAGTGCCTAGACCAACATAAACAACTTGCTTATGCGCCTCGAGAAAGCGAATGTGCTGCTTGTCGAGAGGTGGGTACCCCTCCGTCAGGACAGGTCCAATAAGCGCCATGAGTGGTGGTAGATCCTTTGGAGCCTCGAGTCCAAAGAATGAGTTGACTAATACAAGGTGATGAGGGCGGTCACCACCCGGCAAAACTGGACAGCGAGCACCTTCACGACGCCGTAGCTTTGTGAACCAACGCATCCACATTAAGAATTGTGGCGCAGCCCAAACAATGGCTATCTCGTTTCGCAAGCGTGACCAAAGACTAACATGCTCCGAGGTAAGGCAAACGTCGATCTGAAACCCCGGCTGCCCAGGAATGTATGTAGCGGGCGCTAGAAGGAAAGGCATTTGCGGCCAAACTATAGCGATAGCAATATCGCACTCAAGGCTCATGTCCCGGGCAACCGTCTCGTCAAAGAAGTCGGCAATAATGAAGTCTGGGCGCGTTTCGGGGTCACTACAGAGTCTTTTCAGTTGACGGTAAGTCGCTGGCCAGAATGAGTCCCAAAGGTACTTGGACTTCCACATCATCCAGCTGCTGAGAGCATCCTCCACCCGTAGTGACACCATGCGCGTCCAGTGATCTCTGTACTGCTCCGGAGTTGGGCCTGGTCCCAATAGGTGCACATTTTTGACAAAAGAGTAGTAAGGATTTTGAATCCAGGTCTGCTGGCCGTCATGCGTCGCGAATTCAACGGTGTGGCCCCGTTCGGCCAGCACACGACAGATGTCTAAAACCGGAGCTTTAGGTTGTCTTTAGATCAATCATGTCTGGTAAAGAAGAGAAGAGAACTCACCCGCATGCGTATAACCGCCAGTTGTTGACAGCGCGAGTATGCGCCTCCTTGAGACCTCGTAGGTCTTGGTCAAAATTTTGTCTTCAGACATAGTAAGGCTCTCTCGAGGAATAAGAAAGAAAGTAAAGATCTTCACCGGCTCGAAGGGAGCTTGCTTAAAGAAACTGAAATAGGCTGCGGCACAAATGCTGAAAGTCATACGATCGAACGACATCGTTACCGCGCCCCCCAATCTCTCCGGCAATGGCCGCCGGAAGGATTCGCAGCGGGGCCGCGTGCTGCTAGGCAATGCAGAGAAGCAGGTTTTCGAATCCTTCACAGCTCAATTGCAGGGCGGCTGGCTAGTTTTACCCGATCTGGACGTATCGAATGTGCATCTGCCCGTAGGCGACGCGATAAATATATGCTCATTTCATTTGTTTCCTCTTGCGCTAAGGGGTTCCTACAGTGTTTTTTTTAAGCCTTGGCGAGAATGAGGTAATTTTGTACTCAATAGTTTGACCAAAATATTGGTTGGTAGCATCGCATGTGGTTGCTGCAGGATTTGTTAATTTATTAGATGGACACAGAATGAAGGCTGTTTAGAGGCTGTGAAATGGGAAATGCGAAGTGTAATAAATTCGCTTGAAACGGAACTGGATAAGCTCCGGCTTCGGGGACCGCTACGGCAGTCCGCAGGGCGCACTGGGTCAAAATTCAAACATTGCCTAATTAGGATACATAAACAAGATAAGCATACACCACCCATATAGATAGTTAAGCTTCTTATCTTTACTATATAATTATTACAAATTTAAGCGAATTCTATGTTTCGTATACGTATATATATAGAGTTTTACGAGACCGTATAGGAGTATATTCTTAATTCTTAATAATAATATTTACTATATTTTATACGAATATGTTTTTAAGGTGCCTTAAGCAGGCTAACCTAGACTACTTCTTAGTAAAACTACTATAGAAGTAGAAGACGTATGTATTTTGTTTAATCGATTTATCCTAAGTATAAGAACTAGACAAAATCGACCTTATAAATACTAATAACTTTAAAACTCTAATAACTATGATTTTATTATATATATAACTTTCTAATACTATAACTAACTTAATGTTACGAGCAGGTCAGGGCAACTAACTGTGGCACAAAGCAAAAGCTTCGGTAATGATGACTCCGGCATCATTATCCCCTGTTCTGCACTATATAGCTACGCCGGCCAGGCACCAACTGGTTGGGCCGTAACACTTAATTAAATAAGTACTTTATATACTAGATATATAGCTAGATAATAGTCTATTAGAAGTATAAGTATATTCTACTTCTATTCTACTTATTTATCCTATTTAGTCTTATCTAAGACTTAGTAGGACTTACAAAAGTAACTAGCTAAGAATGGCTGCTTGCTAGTTTAAACATATGACATTCAGATCTCTATGGAATACTCTCTTTAACCTTATCTAAAAGTCTATTTAGTTAAAGAAGATTCTAGTCTGATTTATAAGCTGCTTTATAAGCTAGTTGACGTATATACTTACGTATACTAAACCTAGCTTATAGCTTCCTATATTAGCTATTATAGGCGACGTTATACTATTATATAACTAGCCTAATTCTCTCCCTTAGCTAGCTATTAGTTCCTCAACCAACTCAGCTTCAATATAAGCCTATATATTCTTTATTATTAAAGCCCTACTCTAAGTATAAGTTCCCTTACTCTAAATACCCTGTTATAAGGATATCGTACTATATATAGATTCCTACCTACCGTTCTAATAGGTTATGAGCCTAGAAGAGTAATAACTTTACTTATTCTTTTATCCTCAACTCTTTAGTTATTAAATATCTTAAACTCTATTTTATTCCTATATATAGTATAACCTATAGGAATTTATATTTATTATTTATTTAAACCATATATTACTATAACGGTTATGTTACGGCCAGCTATCTGACAGTAGGGTTCTGCTAACAGAAGGTGCAGTAAGAGACTAACACTGGTTCGTAGAGGTCGTTCTGGTAGATCGTAGGGTTAGGGTAAGGTGATCAGTCTTACACTATGGTAACGAGGTTCTTAGTATTCACAATACTGAGAGGTAAGCTGAAAGTCATTCGAGGATGAATCACAAGTTGATTGCTGAAGAACTATCTAGAAGGCTTAAGCAGATGCTCAAGTCCTGGTCTATATACAAGTCCCGTTTCCCAATGTCTTAGAGAGTCTATAGAGTCGCTCGTCGACTCTATCGACTCTCTTCTGATTGGTCCTTTACAGGAGTCTACAGAGTCGCTCGTCGACTCTGTCGACTCTGTCCTGATTGGTCGATTGTCACGTGACTTGTAACGTAGTTCTTCCTTGCCGAGAGGTTTACCCTTGTTCCCGTGATCCTACGTACATATGTCCTGTCGTAGCCGCCCGACCCAGTGGGTCTGTTAAGTGCATCTGACGGGTCGTAACATCAGGTCTCCCCTCGATGGTCTTGTCCTCAAGGCCAACATAAGTAGGTCGTGGCTTCCCAGGTTGGGGAGTCGTCAATCGTGCTTCCTTGTTTATTCATAATGCTGACATCATGTCAGGTCGCGTTCAAAAATCCAAATCAAAGAACCCTGTGGCTTATAAGGAACTTAGCCAGCTTGTCGATTTGTTCGGGTTCATCATGCCTGTCCCTTGTTCCGGTTGCGCGGCTGCCGGTGTCGACTGCGTCGTTTCCGAAGTTAATTCTTCTCGTTGTTCGCGTTGCGTTGCCGATAAGCATTCTTGCGACATTCACGGTCCTTCCGCGGCTTCCCTCATTCGGGTTCGGCAACAGAAAATAAAAATTGATGATGAGCTTGAGAAAGCTGAAGAAGAGCAGTTAGCTCTTATGGCGAAGATTCGTCGTTTACGAAGGCGTCGCAAGGACATCAATCGTGAGGCGACTGATCTCATTCGATCTGGTTTGCGGCGTGTGGAGGAGGTTGAGAATGAGTATCGTTCCGAGGTTCTTGGTTTGCAGAGTGCTAGCTCGGAAACTGTGGGTGCACTTCATTCCCTGGGTGCTATTGGCGTTGTGGATTGGTCTGGCGTCGGTTTGGACGACTGGGGTCCAGAGACGTCCTCTGGTGCCAGTATTGTTGGAGTTCTTCCTGAGCGTGTTCCAGGTTCTTAGCTGGTTCCCACGAATCGTCTTCGTGTCCATAGTTTTTCCACTTAATGAAGTATTCTGTTGTTTCGTCATTCCTCCGGTGGTCTAGAATGCGTTCTACTTCGTATTCGGTGTCATCTGTTTCCACAATGATGCAGTCTTCGGTGTGTGTACCGTCCGGTGCTGGTTCTAATAATGAGACGTGAAAGACTGGGTGACATTTCATTGTTTCCGGTAGTTTCAACTCGTAGTTGACTTCGGAAATTTTCTTCGTGATTTCGAAAGGTCCTAGTTTTTTGAAGTCGAGTTTGTCGCTAGGTCGTTTCGTTTTGATGTTTCGCCGTATGAGGTAGGCGCTACCTCCCTCTTTTAGGGGTGGGCCTCTCACCCTATGTCGGTCGGCGTGTTTCTTTATTCTTTGCCGTACGAATTCGAGTTCTTGGGGTAGTTTTTGTTGGATTTCCTTAAGTTTCTTGATGTCTGCTACTGCTTTTATCGCGGCAGAGCCGGTTCGGGGTTCTCCATAAGCGGTAGGGTTGAATCCATAGTTGAGGAAGAAAGGTGATTCTCGCGTGCTTTCTCCTATTGAACTGTTGTATGCGAACTGTGCGGTTGGTAACAACTTGACCCAGTTGTCCTGGTCGTAGTTCACATAACTCCTTAGGTACGTTTCCAGGATCTGGTTGATTCTTTCCGTTTGTCCGTCGGACTGCGGGTGGAAGGCAGTGCTGAGGCTGTGCTTTGCTCCGAGCTGCGAGATCAGGGATCTCCAGAACTTGGACGTAAAGACTGATCCTCTGTCTGATACTATTTCCTGGGGCAGGCCGTGTTGGCTGACAATGATCCTGAGAAAGGTGTATGCTAAGTCTTCTGCCGTGCTTGATTCCAAGTATGGTATGAAATACGCGTACTTCGTGAATCTATCCACAACCACTAGTATACTGTCGTACTGTACTTTAGTGAGTGGTTCTCTCGATTTTGGTAGTTTGACGATAAAGTCTAGAGAGATTGAGTGCCAGGGTGCTGGTGGTGCTGGCAATGGTTGTAATTCTCCATATGGTTTGTGTCTGCTGGGCTTACTTTTTGCGCAGACTTCGCAATCCTTGATTGCGTTAGCGACGTCTTTTCTTGTTACTCGCTTGTCGTGGTGTTGTCTAATTCGTTTCCAGGTTTTCGTAACTCCTTGGTGACCGTGAGCGGGTGCGCTGTGTATCTCCCTGATCTGGTCGTGTGTCATTCTTCCAGTCGTGCTGGTCTTGACACGGTCGCCGATCATTAAGAGTTTCGCGGCGGGTACGAGGTCGCCATTGTCTTTTTTGAGGATAACCTGAGTTTCTTCTGGGACTTCGTCCTTGTAATCGGGTCTTCGGCTGAGCGCGTCTGCTCTGCCGTTTTCTGATCCTTTCCTGTAGATGATTCTGAAGTTGAATTCTGAGAGGAATTCTGACCATCTGATTTGTCGTTTGTTGAGCTCTTTCGAAGTGGTGAAGTGTGCCAGATTCTTGTGATCCGTGTACACTTTTACTTCGTACTTTGTTCCTGATAGTTGGGGTCTCCATTCTTTGAATGCGTCGATAATTGCCATAAGTTCCTTATCATGGATCTGGTAATTCAGTTCAGGTCCTTGGAACTTCCTTGAAAAGAATCCACAGGGGTGTAGGACTCCGTTCTCGTCCCTTTGGCCTAGCTGCGCTCCTTCAGCTTCGTTCGAAGCATCCGTTTCGAGCTCGAAGGGCTTCTCAGGGTTCGGAATCTGGATGACGGGTTCCGATGTGACCTTGTCCTTGACTTCTTGGAACGCTTTCTGTTGTTTGTCTGTCCATTCCCAAGGTGCATTTTTCTTAGTGAGTTCGGTAAGAGGCAATATCGTTTTGGAGTAGTCTTTGAGGAATTTTCGGTAGAAGTTGACAAATCCTAAGAAGGATAGTATGTCCTTCGGGTTTTCTGGTGTAGGCCATTCTTGCACAGCCTTGATTTTGTTAGGGGACATCTTGATTACGCCTGGCGTGATTGTGAACCCTAAAAATTCTACTTCCTGTTTGTGAAACAGACTCTTCTCTGGTTCTACAAGTAGCTTCGCTTGTTCGAGTGCTTTGAGAATCTCGTGGACATGCTTCTTGTGTTCTTCCAACGTTTTGGAGAATATAAGGATGTCGTCGAGGTACACAACAATAGACTTGTCTAGATATTCCCGTAGTACTTGGTTGATCATAGTTTGGAATGTAGCCGGTGCGTTGGTGAGTCCAAATGGCATGACTAACGTTTCAAACTGTCCTCTTCTCGTTCGGAAGGCTGTTTTCCACTCATCTCCTTCTGCAATTCGGATAAGGTTGTAGGCTCCTTTAAGGTCCAAGGCTGTGAACCATTGGGCCTCGTAGAGTAGGTCTCTTAGTTCCGATATGAGGGGCAGTGGGTAACAGTCTTTGATCGTAATATCGTTGAGTCGTCGATAATCGACACAAAGTCTTTTCTTCCCGTTCTTCTTTGGTACGAATAGTACGGGGTATCCTGCGGGTGATTTCGAAGGTCTGATGAATCCTTTCGCAAGATTTTCGTCAAGCCATTCGTCTAAGGCTTTCATTTCTTCTTGGTTGAGTGGGTATATTTTGTTAAAGGTGGGTTCGTGTCCTTCCTTAATTTCGATCTTGTGATCCCACTTGCTGTGTTCCGGTAATCCGGTCTCGAGTTCTGGTGCAAAGAGTTTGCTGTAGACCCTGTATTCAACAGGTATCTTTGACATTGGATCTTCCGTGACTTTGTCAATCGTCGTGGCTGCTAGCGTCCTAGTGCCAATGTCTTTTATCCTTAGCATCAGGCGTGGTCTTGCTCTGGTTGCTGCTAGTAATCCGCATGAGGCCTTCGTCGAGTGCTTCTCAGAGGCTGGATTGAATTTTATTCGGCCGGTAACCCAATCGATTTGTGGGTTATGTCTTCGTAGCCATGGAATTCCGAGGATAACGTCGTGGTTTCCTATCTCCGTGATGTCGAGGCTGATAAGCTCCTGATGGCCATGGTAGAGCAAAGGGAGTTGCGCTGTCTCCTGATCAATGCTGCCTCCGCCATACTCGACTTCTTTCCCTTCCACATTCCTTAGTCGGTAAGGGTTTTGCTTCTGATTCCATGGTATTTCTCGCTGTTGCACTATTCGGGGTGCGATAAAGTTTCCTTGGGCTCCTGAGTCTATCAGGACCTGTGTGGTGTATCCGCCCAGGTTTACTGTGATCTTCATTTGTGCGTCGTCGTCGAATGTAGCACATAGGGACTTGCTGGGGGAGCTCGCCATGTGTCCCGGACAAGGCGGCTCTCCTAGTTTTTTGAGTAGAGGGCCTTCTCGCCCTTCTTTCGGTCTCTGCCGAGGTTACTTTCTCTGATTCCTAGACGAGGTGGGCTGGGCGTCTCGCCGTCCTGTCCTTGCTTGTCTAGTTCTTGTTGTCGGAATCTCCAACTTTCGCTTTTTGGAATGTAGTGGAGTTTGCATAGGTCTTCCCTGCAATTCCACCAGACTCCCGTGAAGTGGTTCACACACTTCTGAGGGTATTCGACGCTGGGTCGTAGGAATGCTATTCCATTGTTGTTGGTTTTCCATTCTCCGGGTTCTCCCCGTACTTCCCAATATGAGAGTTCTTGTTCCTCATGGGCTCTGCGGATTCGCAGTTCTTCTTTTCTTTTGGGGTATAGTTCGTTTTCTGCTTTCTTTAAGAGATGGTAGGCGCAGTGATCGAAGATGCAGTAGATCCATGCTATCTCCTTGTGTTCTCTGTGCTGTGTCGTAATCCTGGGATCGTCTTCCAAGAATATTTCTTCATCCCGGGTTTGTGTGATTGTTGTAGGGATTTTGTTATGATATTCTTCTGCATGGAAGGCGATCTGTTGGCAGTCGTCTTGGGGGTCGATGTATTTGTATTCTAGTACTTCCTTAATTTTTTCCATTCTGTCGAGATGGTGTTCTTCTTCTGCGTCTTCCGGGTCGGTATCGTCTATCGACGTTCCTTGTGGACGTACTTCCGCCGAGGGTGGTCCGTCTGCGACGTCTTCAGCCCATTCCGAGATGGGTTGAGGAGTAGCGCGGGTTCTTTGTGGCAATTCAAAGGTCGAGTCGCTGGCTACCGTGGTATATGGTGAGCTCCATCGTTTGCTTAGGTTGTCCTTTGCTTGGTATACTCGGGTCTGGGTGCTGGCGTCCCTGAATTGTTGTTGTCTCAGCATTTCATCCAATTGCTCGGTGGCTTTGCGGGCGTATTTGCTGGCTACCGCGAGGGTTCGTTCCGTCTTTCCATCGTTTTGGGGTCGGTAGACAAATTGGGTTGCTTTGTACTTGAGTTGATACTGTCCTCGGGTGTTTCCGCGTAGTGCGATGCGGCGGTCTCGGGTTTTCCGCATGTGTTGGAGGGTGTCTCCAACTTCGCTGTTGTTTCGAATTTGCATCGTGTAGTTGATGGCGTCTTGTATCCGTTTGATGGCTGTCTCGTTTTCTTCTTCGAGTTTCCTGGCTTCTTCTTCTGAGAGACTTTCCGGGGTGTTTACTTCATTCGTCTGTCGATAGTTGGCGAGGCGTGGGATGTCCCATAAGAGTCCCGGTTGGTACACAATGCTACCATCTTGGAAGGCGTTGTTGAGTTCCGCGGCCTTCTTCGCTTGTTCCCAGTCGTCGAGTGGCTCTTGTCGCTGCTTAGTGTAATCCGGTCCACCGGTGTATCGGTCTATCACAGCAATGGCCTTGGGTATGTTGGTGGTGTCGTATCCCGATCGTCCTGCTGGGTTTTGAGGGTACCATCCACTATTCTCTTTTGCATGCCTGTGCGTAGTGCAATCATTGTCATAGCAGGCTGTCCATCCCTTTTCTTCGTGGCTAGGGATTTTGGTTGCAGCGTTGGCTTGCTTAGGGGTTGCCGTAAGTTTCTTAGGCTGTATGCAGTGTCTGGCCATGTGTCCTGGCTTGTCGCAGTTGTAGCATTTGAATTCTCTGCGTCTGGGTTTGTCTTTTTGCGCGACGCTCAGGTCCATGGGTCCACTGTGTTGTCCATGTGCGGTGCTCTGCTGATTGTTGTTCCTGTTGTTCTGGTTTTTGTTGTTGAACTTGTGTTGAGGTTGCCATTGGTATTTCTTTCCTGAGTTGGCTGTTTGACGTTTTTCTCCTTTTTCCTTGCGTCGTTCAAACAGTCGGTTGTCAATCTTAATGGCGTATTCGACATAATCAAGGAAGCTAGGTGGCGTGTCCACTTTGGCCATTTCGTCCTTGACGTCGTCCTTGAGACCCTGGTAGAAAGCGAAGACTTTGCTTTCGTCGGTCATGTCGAGTCTGGCTGCGAGTCGTCGAAATTCTGCGGCGTACATTGTAGCTGATTTGTTTTGTCGTAGGCTCGCCAGTTCTCTTTCTGCTTGTCTTTTCTCATCGGGGTCTAAGAAGAGAGATTGAAGGGCTTTAACATATCCACTGAAGCTGAAAAAGATGTCCTTCACTTCTTGACTGTATCTCTCGATAGGGGTGTCCAGCCATTCTTGTTGGAGGGGTTCGAACCAAGCGAGGGCCTTCCCTCTCAAGAAGGTGGCGGCGTGGACGACACGTTCGGTATCGTTCTGGAACGTGTTGATGTGGAAGGCTTGGTAGGTCCGTATCTGTACCAAGTATCCTTTGAGCTGTCCAGGGGTTCCGTCGAAGGTGGTAGGGGTGTTGAGCTTAAGGCGTTCTCTTCCTTCGACAGGAGCTGATATGACGTTCGCGGCAGCTCGAAGGGTTGTGACTTCCTTCTCTAGTTCTTTGGTGCGGCGGGCTTGTTCCTGTAGCTCCTTGAGGGCTTTGACGTTCTGGTTGAACAGGTTTTTCATTTCCCTGAGCTCGTTGTTGTTCCGCTCAAGTTGCCGCTTAAGTTCTTCATTGTCGTCATCGCTATCGGATTCCTCCTTCATTTCCTGGTCTTGAATCTCTTGGGCCAGATTCTGGGGAATACGTCTCTCGGACGTGGACGAGGTTCCAGGAGTAGGGTTTTCGGTAGTTCCGTGCGAAGACATCTTGTCTTATACTGTTCGTTAGTCTCAAAGGGCAACTTACTGAACAGGAGCAATCAAAGTGTTACGGCCAGCTATCTGACAGTAGGGTTCTGCTAACAGAAGGTGCAGTAAGAGACTAACACTGGTTCGTAGAGGTCGTTCTGGTAGATCGTAGGGTTAGGGTAAGGTGATCAGTCTTACACTATGGTAACGAGGTTCTTAGTATTCACAATACTGAGAGGTAAGCTGAAAGTCATTCGAGGATGAATCACAAGTTGATTGCTGAAGAACTATCTAGAAGGCTTAAGCAGATGCTCAAGTCCTGGTCTATATACAAGTCCCGTTTCCCAATGTCTTAGAGAGTCTATAGAGTCGCTCGTCGACTCTATCGACTCTCTTCTGATTGGTCCTTTACAGGAGTCTACAGAGTCGCTCGTCGACTCTGTCGACTCTGTCCTGATTGGTCGATTGTCACGTGACTTGTAACGTAGTTCTTCCTTGCCGAGAGGTTTACCCTTGTTCCCGTGATCCTACGTACATATGTCCTGTCGTAGCCGCCCGACCCAGTGGGTCTGTTAAGTGCATCTGACGGGTCGTAACACTTTTGTTTGTCACCATGTCGTTGGAGATGGCGTTTCAATGATTGCATTCCATAAGACATTTCATAGATGCTTGAACCAGCTACTATCTTCCACAGAGACAACCGCGGGGAGTGAACATCTTAACCTCGCGGGGAAGGAGATAGTTGCAGTACCCAAATTACCGCTCATTCCCTACTTGGAAGAAAGTATGACATTCCCTATGTCTAGACTATACTTTTTGCGCCTGTTGTTCAAAGCACTCGTGTATGCTCCGATCGATCCCTTAGAGTGGGTTGGACCGCCCATCGGGAGCACGCGACCGCCTTTCAGCAACTTGCAATATTTCCATCTGCCGCAACAGGAAACCCGCAGCCTCTTGCGCCAATGCAGACAACACCAAACAAGCATCACAGCTCTTTTAACTGTTCTGGTGGCCATTGGTTTATCCGTTCTGCATACGCCTAGTACGCGTTTTACGGCCTCCGTACCCTTCTCGCTTAGAAAGTATTCGAAACACGCCCAAGATGACATGGGCTGCTTTACTAGTATTGCGGAGCCGCGCTTTTGCGCAGACGACAACCCACCACCGGGCTACATTCCGTGTCAGCGCACTGCCAGTTCTTCCCAAGATGATGACAACACATTGTCCTCTACAAACGACTCGAAACTCTGGGCGTCTGCGAACATGTGCAAACAATTTCTACGCCAACGAAGCGCTTCAACGGCGAACCTCACCAACGGTCTTCTGAAATTCAAAAATGACCATCGCAATGGATTCCTGAGATCGAGTGGAACTTCTAGGCGGCATGCTTTTACCTTGACCAACCTTGGGGTTGTGGATAGTCAGGCTTCGCAAATCGACGAACAAGCTGCTCGGCCAAGGGCCAGTGTTGATAGGTTTGTGTTGTCGGCGGGGATAGCAACTAACGGAGCGCCGTACACAGTTTGTGTAGTTTCTCAAGCTGGGGGCTATATGGGTATCACAGTGAACTGGGAGGCCGGTGTTGTAGAAGATGAGAGTGCAAATTGGCTTTTGGCTTTCCTCGAGAAAGAACTCAAACGGTTATCAGCCCAAGTCAAGTACACCGAGTCTTCTAGGCTTTGAATGATCATTTTGCTATGTTTTAACAGAACAGTGTTGCAGTGAATTGACCGATTGATGTACTGACCTATAAGGTCAGACTGATTTGAATCGCCGAGGCAAGAGAAGCAGGGAAAGATTGTCGGAATGCAGCGGGGTGGGGATTATCAATTATTCTGCTCAAACTTGAACTTAGTAAATGATATTTGTACTACAGTACAACCATTGGAGACCTGACCCAGACTTCTCCCCTAGGTTATGAGTAAGATCAATCGGTTACCACCAATGGTAGTGGACAAGTCTCATAGATCTCTATACGGAAATGCCCGGTCACTTTGGGGCACTGACAGAAGGGGGAAAAGTTCAACCTATGGCCAACATCGCAAGAACCCGCTAAATTGAACACTAATGGGTAGAACCTGCTACACAGCTACCCGCATTCTACCGGCGTCAATTCCTCCCAATTTATAGATGCTTCCCCAGCCTTGTTTGTCTGCGCCATTCGACGTTTGCTTGAGCGGGAGACCGAGTAGTACCCGTTGGCGATTAGACAACTTCTCTTTGGTCTCTTCGGAGAGGAAAAGGTCGTGCTTCTCCATTCTTTGAACGTAAAATCTACAGCAAGTCAAGCAGATGACAGGCCGTGAGCTACTTGTCTTGTTTATACCGGTGGAGTGCCAAGTCCGACTGTCCAGCAGGAGGCATGAGCCAGCTGGTGCTGCTGCAGGTATCGAGCCGCCCTATTCAGTGTCAGACACTCAGCTAGTCACATCTACATGAAACGAGAAAAAACAAAGCGTGGACTGATATATTACGATCTGCCAACAAAGAGGAAACGTCATCACGTACGACATCACGGATATGGTGAGGCACTACGTTCTTGATGTGTGATCCAGGGTAAATACGAGTGGCACCTTTCTCGTCAGTTATGTCAGTTAGATTCCAAAAGATGTTCAAGAGATAAGGGTGATTTGTCGTATTGGGCGTCATGTCCATCTGGTCTGTGTGCATATAAATTCCGGATTTGGACCTCGGCGATACGATGGTCGCGGTCATGGCGAAGAGGCCGAATTCTCTTCCTAGGAACCAAGGCATGATTGCGTCGATCAGGGGGTGGTTCAGAAGGTCCAGGAACTCATCTCCTTTGTTCACGAGGTTCCTTATTTCAGTACATTAGTGGGGGCAAAGTGTGCCAGTGTGTATCGTCGACCACAGGGAGCCATAGCATACTTACCAAACGCGCTGATCGGGCTTATCGTCGGCAGATTTATGGAGATTCGCCATGTGAGCAATTCCGGCCTGCCGTTCACCCGCTGCTTGTTCTTCTAGGGCAGTCTTGATCACTTTCACTTCCTCCGCCGTGAGAGCGTTTGCGACGAATGCGTAGCCCCATTTTATGAGATCACTCTTTATTTGCTGGATGTCTTCGCACGGCTTCGGCAGACTCTCAACGTTTAACTCGTCGCTGCTTATTATAGGTGATGGAGGACCCAAGGCAGAGAAGCGACTGGCAAAGGCACCCGGACAAGGAGGTCGAGCGTAGAGCCTGAATGCTTGCTGGGGATTGAGGCGACCTTCCATGACATCAAGCACAAACTCAGGCAAAATGGTTGTTTCAAGGTCTGGTTGGACCTTTTCAGGAAGCATTTCAAGAACAATGGCTTTTTTCGAGCGGGAATCAATAATGATGGAATGCAACGGCTGCTCTTGGGTACCGTCCCCGAACGAGAGCTTCACAAGCATGTTGAGTCCATCAAAATTCTGATATAACTTGATCAGTCATGTGAAATACTCAAGTCAGCTAGTAGGGTACTTTGACCTTACCGTGTGCCTCTGGGCAATCAATTCGCAGACGCGCGAAACATGGTTTGTGAACTTTTGCGATTTCTCGAGTTTTGACACATCATATGGCTTGTCGCGGAATCGCAGACTTGGTGTCTGGTTTGTAGATGGTCGTGGCAAGCTGTAAGAAGCCATTCTGGAAGCAGTATAAAAAAACAGTTTGAGTCAGGGGAGGGTCTTCTTTTGGCAGATGGACAAGATGTGAAGTGTTTGTGGAAGAACAGGTGGTGAATGTGGCCAGGTTTTCGAATATCAAAAGTATGATTGGATTGCTGCTTGTGTGGGTTGCGGTACGTTCCACGATTTAAATGATGCTCGATAATTATTTTGAAGAAACTATACCTTTTCTAGCAGTATTTTGTGTTGTAACCTCGGGAGGAACTGTGGACGCCAAAACTTTTAATATCATTTAAAACTTAAGATCCACCCCTCCTCCTGATCTTCTCATTAGCCACTCAGTTTCTGCAAAAGAAGACACCATTATTCTAAAGTTGAGAGGGTCTCCGAGGGGATGCTCTTGACCTCTCGTTTATAAAACGCACAGTAAAGCAAAAAGTTAGTTAGAGAAGAGACTAAGACAAAGTAGTGCTATTATTATATTATATTTACGTCATACTATACTTATTTATTAATAGCTTTATAATAGATAATTACTTTTCTAGAATATTTTCTTAAGAATAAAATTTATTATATTAAATATAACGTACATGATAAGCGAGTGAGACAGACAAGCGAGTGAGACAGTAAACCAGACCTTCGCGACAATAATATCGAAATCTATAACAAGAAATCTTAGATTGATTAATACTACTCGGATTCCTGTTCTTCGGATGTTTCCTCAATAAATTGACATGTTCTCGCGTTGTGGCCTGTATTCCCGCATACGCCACACCGACGATGAGTCGTCTCAGACCTCACTTTGCGACCACTACTCCGTCGCGTTTCCTCTTGTAGTTGCGTGTCTGCCTCTCTTTGCGACTGTATATCCTCTCCAGTAGATATAGTAAGACTTCCTCCTTTCTGTAGACGTGTTTTCTTAGCCCTTCGACGCCGACTTAATATTGCATTCTCCTCTCGAAGGATTTGAACCTCTGACTCTAGTAATGCTACCCGATGCCCTAGTCCTTCTGTCCCTCTGGCTAGCTTACTCACAGCACTATAAATTGATGCTGGAGAGCTGCTTCGGTGGCGTGAGATTCGACTCTTAATAAAAGTAGACTGTGATCTTGCTTCGCTTGGGTTGCTCGGCGTCCTAGAGATCCAAGGGTCTGGTGTCTGAGGGACCCCCTCCTCAGGCGTTGGCGTTCGGAACTTTACATCCAGCTTTGAGAGAACACTTTCTGCATTCAAAGGGACAAGTCCAGCTCCTCGGAAACCTCCCTGGATATTTTTCCTCGTAAAAGACTGCTTAAAAGCTTCGTGAAATGCTGCAAAGAAATCTTCCTTCGAGATATGGGTTGTGCCTCGCCGCATCTTATTCTCAATTTGCCGACCGTAGGCATTCTTTAACGGCTGAAAACAACCAACATCTAAGGGTTGAAGTAGATGAGACGAGTGAGCCGGCATGCACAGTGTAATAATGTTGTTTTCTTGACAAAAGAGCTCGAAGGCTGCGGAGTGGTGACTTTCATGACCATCAACAACGAGGAGGCGATATTTCCCAGACGTACGTGGTTTTGTATAAATGTCGAAGTGTCTGATCCAGTCAATACCTCTCTCGTTTGTTGTCCATCCATTTTCAGACGTTGCAATAGCCCAATCGCCCGGAAGAGAGGTTTCTGTATACCAGCTTGAGAGGTGATACTGGCCTGCAACGATGATGTATGGCGGGATGCTCTCCCCTTGGGAATTAATAGCCTGGATAACTGTAACCCATTCCCTATTGCCAGGCTGTGTCATCTTCGTATTTGAACGCCTTTCAGCACTTGTAACAACCATTCCAGAAGCAATAACGCCCATCATAAAGCCGGTCTCATCAAAGTTGTAGATATCAGCATCAGCAATACCATACTTCGCAATTGTATTCTTCACAAGCGAAAACCAGCCACGAATCACCTCTGGATCTTCGCATTGAGCTCTCTTATAGTCATACTTGCGAAAGAAACGCGTCCTAAGCTGTGGTTGTCGCTTGACGAAATTAGAAGCCCAGCGCTTCCCAACTGGAGGCGCGTCGCGCTCTGCGAGAAGTCGATTGGCCATTTCTTCCACACCACTCAGCCGGGGAGGAAATGATCGCGCATCTAGGTCGAGAATATACTCAACTATTGTCTTCTCTTCTAAATCTGATAAATTCCGTGAATTAGGCATGCTGTCGCGTCGTGAGACTATTCCCTTTAGTCGCCGGCTTAATGTTGCGTGACTGACTGTATAGAGTGCACCTGCGGCCCGAGCACTAAGTTTTGGGTCATTTCTCATTGCTTGAAGGGCAATTTGTAACCTTCTTTCAATACTAGCTGATTCTATGATTTATTGTAGAGGAAAAGGTGCCGGTCGCGTCAAGGTGCGACGGTCGCGGTTTACTGTCTCACTCGCTTGTCTGTCTCACTCGCTTATCATGTACGTTATTTATCTTCTTATTAATAATTATGAAATCTTTTAACTTAATTTTAAATTAATATTAAAAGCTTTAGTCTTTGAAAATATTCTAAAATAGATATTTTAGAAACTGAAACTCATAGTTATTTTACTAATAATTAACTAACGTACATGATAAGCGAGTGAGACAGACAAGCGAGTGAGACAGTAAACCGCGACCGTCGCACCTTGACGCGACCGGCACCTTTTCCTCTACAATAAATCATGGAATCAGCTAGTATTGAAAGAAGGTTACAAATTGCCCTTCAAGCAATGAGAAATGACCCAAAACTTAGTGCTCGGGCCGCAGGTGCACTCTATACAGTCAGTCACGCAACATTAAGCCGGCGACTAAAGGGAATAGTCTCACGACGCGACAGCATGCCTAATTCACGGAATTTATCAGATTTAGAAGAGAAGACAATAGTTGAGTATATTCTCGACCTAGATGCGCGATCATTTCCTCCCCGGCTGAGTGGTGTGGAAGAAATGGCCAATCGACTTCTCGCAGAGCGCGACGCGCCTCCAGTTGGGAAGCGCTAGGCTTCTAATTTCGTCAAGCGACAACCACAGCTTAGGACGCGTTTCTTTCGCAAGTATGACTATAAGAGAGCTCAATGCGAAGATCCAGAGGTGATTCGTGGCTGGTTTTCGCTTGTGAAGAATACAATTGCGAAGTATGGTATTGCTGATGCTGATATCTACAACTTTGATGAGACCGGCTTTATGATGGGCGTTATTGCTTCTGGAATGGTTGTTACAAGTGCTGAAAGGCGTTCAAATACGAAGATGACACAGCCTGGCAATAGGGAATGGGTTACAGTTATCCAGGCTATTAATTCCCAAGGGGAGAGCATCCCGCCATACATCATCGTTGCAGGCCAGTATCACCTCTCAAGCTGGTATACAGAAACCTCTCTTCCGGGCGATTGGGCTATTGCAACGTCTGAAAATGGATGGACAACAAACGAGAGAGGTATTGACTGGATCAGACACTTCGACATTTATACAAAACCACGTACGTCTGGGAAATATCGCCTCCTCGTTGTTGATGGTCATGAAAGTCACCACTCCGCAGCCTTCGAGCTCTTTTGTCAAGAAAACAACATTATTACACTGTGCATGCCGGCTCACTCGTCTCATCTACTTCAACCCTTAGATGTTGGTTGTTTTCAGCCGTTAAAGAATGCCTACGGTCGGCAAATTGAGAATAAGATGCGGCGAGGCACAACCCATATCTCGAAGGAAGATTTCTTTGCAGCATTTCACGAAGCTTTTAAGCAGTCTTTTACGAGGAAAAATATCCAGGGAGGTTTCCGAGGAGCTGGACTTGTCCCTTTGAATGCAGAAAGTGTTCTCTCAAAGCTGGATGTAAAGTTCCGAACGCCAACGCCTGAGGAGGGGGTCCCTCAGACACCAGACCCTTGGATCTCTAGGACGCCGAGCAACCCAAGCGAAGCAAGATCACAGTCTACTTTTATTAAGAGTCGAATCTCACGCCACCGAAGCAGCTCTCCAGCATCAATTTATAGTGCTGTGAGTAAGCTAGCCAGAGGGACAGAAGGACTAGGGCATCGGGTAGCATTACTAGAGTCAGAGGTTCAAATCCTTCGAGAGGAGAATGCAATATTAAGTCGGCGTCGAAGGGCTAAGAAAACACGTCTACAGAAAGGAGGAAGTCTTACTATATCTACTGGAGAGGATATACAGTCGCAAAGAGAGGCAGACACGCAACTACAAGAGGAAACGCGACGGAGTAGTGGTCGCAAAGTGAGGTCTGAGACGACTCATCGTCGGTGTGGCGTATGCGGGAATACAGGCCACAACGCGAGAACATGTCAATTTATTGAGGAAACATCCGAAGAACAGGAATCCGAGTAGTATTAATCAATCTAAGATTTCTTGTTATAGATTTCGATATTATTGTCGCGAAGGTCTGGTTTACTGTCTCACTCGCTTGTCTGTCTCACTCGCTTATCATGTACGTTATCTAATATATATAGTTACTAATAGTTTTCTAATTTTCTAACTATACCTTTACTAAGCATTTCCAACTTTAGCGTGATAACCAGCCCCACTGTTACTGTCCAATGCTCTTTTGCACACTGGGTAACAGTGGGTCACCTGCTGCGCTAACATTTGAGATGGTCGGTTTATGTGGACGACGTATTAGGTGTACAATGTGGGTTTGTAATTATGTTCTCGAGTGGGGGAATTAATCGGGGGCTTTTTCCTGTTTGTTTCTTTTTGAGGACATCAGACATCTTCACCAGCAGTGACACCATTGTACCAGGATAGCAGATAAGCACCCAATACACGTATTTGTATCGTTTTACTTTTCTCAGTGATTTACCATGATCAGAACTAGAAACGTTTGTTTATTGAGAGTGAAAACTACCATAATTGAAACCTCTAAGCAGCTATAATCAGAGGAGCGAAGCGCCATACAGTAAGTGACCCGGATCCTTAGTTTACCAGAGAACTTCTGTTGACCCTTATCAACGTAGAACATCCTGTGGTAAGCTATGGGTGCGGTTGTGTTTACTGTTCAGCCGCTACCGGCCTCCATGCTAAATTCCGCCAACCCCGCTTCAATAAGTATAATTAGACATTTGCCTTGCTTAGTTTCCGAGGGCATAACGACATGTCTGTTCGAGGGCAAATCCAGGATTATACCTGCTCCAGTTAGTCTTCGCAGCATGCAACTGTATACTATAGTGCGGAACAGGGGGCAGGGATACTGGCAGTGCCGAAGATGCCTCGGGCACCATTACCGAGACTTTTTACTTGTGGTGCAGTAGGTTTCCCGACCTGCTCGCAATTTACAGCAGCCATGAATCGGCGCTGACGCCTGGATATAGCGCTATTCCTGGATGTAGTTACGCATTATAGCTCTTTATGGAGTTGCGGGAGTCAACTCATGTCTGTAGATAAATATTGCTCAACGACAGGAGGCTGTCTATGGAGAGACAAATAATTGCTTCTCTAACCACACAAATAGCAGCTGTAATGGACAGTCTGTATTTTACTTGATACTTCTCAGGCGCAAGCCCATTTCTTCTCAATTGAATTCGGTATCAAGATGTGGAACCGTGAACCCATCGCTATTGTCGGGAGCGCATGTCGCTTTCCCGGTGGTGTAGACAGCCCATCCAAATTCTGGGAGGTTTTGCAGCAACCTGGAGACCTTCAGAGTGAGGTACCTAAGCAGCGCTTCAGTGCTGAAAAGTTCTTTCACCCCGATGGCATGCACCATGGCAGTACAAACACAAGATATGGGTATTTCTTGAAGGAACCTCTCGGCGCCTTTGATGCGCCATTCTTCAACATCCAGGCGGGCGAAGCCGAAAGCATGGACCCTCAACAGCGCCTTCTTTTGGAGACAACATATGATGCACTCTCTTCCGCGGGGCTCGTACAAGAGCTTCAGGGTTCTGATACGGCTGTTTACGTTGGACTTATGACGCACGACTTTGAGACAATTAAAACACAAGATATGCATCATATGCCAACTTATTTCGCCACAGGCGTTGCCGCGAGTATTGCCTCGAACCGATTATCCTATGTTTTCGATTGGCATGGTCCAAGCGTAAGTTTCTGTGGTCATCTCGCTATCAATACAGCGGCTGATATTCATGTCGCAACTGCAGATGACCATTGACACAGCTTGCAGCTCGTCTCTCGTCGCCGTTCATCATGCGGTACAGCAACTCAGAAGTGCCCAGAGTAGAGTTGCGGTGGCTGCTGGTGCGAACATGATCTTATCTCCGTGTATGGAACAACTTAGACATAATCTCTTGACCCCGATTACTGGATACTGACGTGAAAATGGGTTCCAGTGAGTTATGTTTCAGAGAGCAAATTGAACATGCTCTCCCCGACAGGCAGATCGCGAATGTGGGATGCTGCCGCTGATGGCTATGCAAGAGGAGTCAGTGTTCCATTGGCTAACATTGTGTGTTTATAAATGATCATCTAACCGGAATTTGGATACGTACAGGAAGGCGTTGCAGCTGTGATTCTCAAGACCCTACAACAAGCTCTGAGTGACGGCGATCACATCGAGAGCATCATCCGAGAGACGGGTGTAAACCAAGACGGCAAAACAATTGGAATCACAATGCCGAGCCATCTGGCACAAGAAGCATTGATTCGAGAGACTTATGCGAGGGCAGGATTAGACTTGAATAGAATTGATGACCGTCCTCAATTCTTTGAAGCCCATGGTGAGTTCCTCTGGATTAAATATACACGTGGGCCGTTTTTGGACTACTGAACTCATGAATATCATCAATCAGGGACGGGAACGCCAGCAGGCGACCCCCAAGAAGCGGAGGCTATCGCGAACGCGTTCTTTAGGAACAAGTTGCCCGACGTCACGCAACCCCAGGATCTGCTGGTCGGTAGCGTGAAAACGGTGATTGGTCATACAGAAGGGACTGCTGGACTAGCCGGCTTGCTGAAAGCTTCCCTTGCGGTCCAGCATGGTGTGATTCCACCAAACCAACATTTTGAAAAGCTTAACCCTGCTGTGCAGCCCTTCTATCATCACGTTAGCATCCCCACGGAAGTACAACCTTGGCCACAAGTTACACTGGGTCACCCACGTCGAGCCAGTGTGAACTCGTTTGGTGAGTTGCAGACAGTATCATCCATATGCAGTGACTCAAGGTTGACGAAGACTTCACGCAGGTTTTGGCGGAACAAATGCACACTGCATCATTGAAGAGCATGTAGGATCCGGCCTGCAGGAGCTATCATCCTGCAAATTGTTATCCCGCGACCTGGAGAGCCAGCTCTCGAGTACTACGTACGGCATGCCTCTCGTGTTTTCGGCCAAGTCGCAGCGTTCCCTCAAAGAAAATATGGATGCCATGCTCCGGTTCCTTGAGTCAGATCCATCCGTTGATATGGCAGATCTAGCTTGGACATTGATGCAAAAGCAAGCTGTACTGCCCATTCGGCACGCAATTTCGAGCCACACGTGCGAAGGGGCCCGTCTCGCACTCGAGGCAGCCATTAAAGACAATTTAGGTATTGACTTCAGCTCCAGCCGCGGCCATAAGAGTACACCCCAGATCTTGGGCATCTTTACCGGACAGGGTGTACAGTGGCCACACATGTGCAAGTCGCTTTTAGCCTCTATTCCTTTGGCGCGGGATATTATCGATGAGTTGGACACCTCCTTACAGACGCTTCCAACAGAATACCGTCCTACGTGGACGCTCCAGCAACAGCTGTTTTGTGATGGGGTTGAGTCCAATGCGGCCGAGGCGGGCTTTTCGCAGCCGCTCTGCGCTGCCGTACAACTCGTGCTCATCAGATTGCTCGAGGCTGCAGGCATCAAGTTCACAGCTATTGTCGGTCACAGTTCAGGTGAAATTGCCTGTGCGGCTGCTGCGGGATATATCACGCCTTTTCAGGCCATCCGTGTCGCTTACTTGCGTGGGCTAGCAGTCACCACGTCGCGCGTTACATCTCCTAGCGGTGCCCAAGGTGCTATGCTCGCGGCTGAGATCTCATATGACGATGCCAAAGAGTTGTGCAACCTTGAAGAGTTCGAAGGGCGAATCTGCATTGCGGCGTATAACGCGCCCACCAGCGTGACATTGTCTGGTGATGTCGATGGTAAGTGTGACTCTCTTCCTCCTGTCCCTCGTATGCGCGCACATGAGCTTGATCTGACGTGGACCGAGCTAATCGCGTTTATATATCGTCAGCGTTGGAACATGTTGAGGCCATCCTCAAGGACGAAGATAAGTTCGTCAGATTCCTACGCGTCGACAAAGCCTACCACTCTCATCATATGATCTCGTGTGGTGACACATACATCAAAGCCCTTAGCGACTGTGACTGTGCCGTTAGTACCGCCTCCAAGGCGCCCGAATCGTGCTCGCCTGTTGCTTGGTACTCATCCGTGTACGAGGGGAGACTCTTGAAATGTACGGACATCACAGCAGATTACTGGAAAGCGAACCTCGTCTCCCCAGTGCTTTTTTCGCAGGCTGTCGAGCGTGCTGTGGGTGACCATGATGTCGCTTGTGGTGTAGAAGTGGGTGCTCACCCTGCTCTGAAGCGTCCTACTGTTGCAACTATTCATGCCATTTACGGCACGGATCTGCCATACATAGGATGCATGAAACGAGGGCAAGATGATATGGATGCATTCGCGGAAGCATTAGCCTATTTCTGGGAACGATTTGCCTGTTTTAACATACTTAAAGCTGACAGCTTCATGAGAACTGTGTCACCTTCAACATGGCCCCGCAGAAGCCTGACCAAGGTCATTCCGAGGTACGCATGGGACCATACACGAACACACTGGACAGAAACACGTGCTACGAAAGCTTTCCTTACCGGAACAGCTCCCCATCTCCTTCTGGGGTCCCCTCTTCCGTCGACTACGGACTTGACGTTCCAATGGCAATCTTTCATCAAGCCCCGGGACGATGAGTGGCTTGAGGGTCACGACCTTCAAAGCCAACCTATCCTTCCCGCTGCCGGCTATGTTGTGATGGCCATGGAAGCAGCGCTGCACGTAGCAAAGAAGCGTGTTCCGCATGATATAGACATCACTGTTCTCGAGGTATTGGATCTGAGCATCGACAAGGCCATCTCCTTCGACGACAAGAATAGCATGGCTGAGCTGCTTGTCACGCTTAAAGTGATGGATCAGAGTGATCAGCAACTGTCAGTGGAAGTTTCTATTGACTCTGCTCTTGACAGAGAAACAAAACCTTCCACGTCGGCCAGTGGTCGCGTCGTTGTCACTTTTAGCTCTTCCTTGACCTGCTTGCTGCAACGAGGCTTAGATGAGCCACTACATCCCAACAACATAGACATCAACAGCTTCTACCGGGAACTTGAATTCTTGGGTCTCGACTATACGAGTAAGTATCGTGGTGTCCGAGAGTTGTGCCGTGCAGATGGCAGAGCTGCGGGGCGGCTCTCCCATTACCGACTTCCGAACAGTTCTTTGCGAGAGATCGTTCTTCACCCAGCCACGTTGGACACAGCTTTTCAGACCATCATGGGTGCCTTTTCGTACCCAGGTGACAAAGCTTTGAGGTCTACAGTTGTTCCTGTGCACATTGACAGAATTGCCTTGGCTCCTGGAGCGTGCGCCTCCGCATTGAGCTCTTGTGATGAAGTCATTGTGCTCTTTAACTCTACATGCTCATCCTTCAAAGACTCGATTCTGACTGGACACGTCGAGGTCTTTGATGACAGTTCTGTTGTCCTCTTTCAAGTGGACAACATCGTTCTTCAGCCACTTTACAGACCAGAGCCGTCCGCTGACCATCTGATGTTCACCAAAACTGTGTGGGGCCCTTATGTACCAGATCGCATTCTAGATCGTCCCGAATTCTGGGCTACTGATGAGGACAAGCGCATGATACCTATCATCGAGCGCATTGTATATAATTACGTGAAGGAACTTCTAAGCAAACTCACACTCGAAGACCGTCGGAATGCAAGCCTAGGACTGCAGAGATACATTCACTGGAACGAACAGGTCCTGGACAAGGCTCGACAGTGGCAAACAACATTCTACGAGGCAGATTGGGAGTTGGACACAGCGGCTGATGTAGAGAAACTCTGTGACGAGTAAGTTGGCTTCCCCCAGTCGTAAGAATGCATCTTTCAAGTGGAGGCTAACACCAAGACTTAGAAATTGGTATCACCCCTACGTGCGCCTTGTCAAGAGGGTCAGCGAGAATGTGATCTCCACAATCCGTGACAACACGAATCCATTCCATTGGATGAACGCGGATGGGCTGCTGAGCGAGTTCTATGCCAGTCCTCTCAGCAATGGACCGTGTTGGAACTACGGCAAACATCTCATTGGCCAGATTTGCCATCGTTTCCCCAATATGAACATTCTTGAAATCGGTGAGATCGACCTGGCTTACTGTCTATTGGATCCATGTTCAAAAAGCCGCCATACTAATGCTCTAAAACTTCCTACCTAGGCGCTGGTACAGGCTCAGCTACACGTTATATTCTCGACGTCCCACAGCTAGGATTCAACAGCTACACCTTTACTGACATCTCAGCGACCTTTTTCGAAAATGCTCGCGAGGTCTTTTCCCAGTATAAAGACCTTATGGACTTCCGAAAGCTAGACATTACTCAGGATCCAGCAAGTACTCCTCGTTTCATTGTCTACGTCGTTTCTATCAGACTTACAGCAGGCGTGGTGCGTGTTTAGGCTAAAAGATAGGGTTGCTAACAGCCATTCAGGTGCAACAAGGCTTCACACCTCACTCGTATGATCTGGTAATTGCTTCGTCTGTTCTCCACGCAACACCACATCTTGTTGAAACTATGACGAACGTAAGGTCTCTGCTAAAGCTGGGTGGCCATGTTGTCATCGCGGAAGCCACATTTAAAGAGTATTTGCGCACAAGCTACATCTTTGGGCTCTTCCCTGACTGGTGGGCCGGTTACGAGGACGGCCGTATCCTTGACCCTTTTGCTTCGTACGAAGAGTGGGATGCGATCCTGAAGCAAGCTGGGTTCTCAGGAATCGACAGCCGCACATCTGACCGCGAAAGCTGGGTTTTCCAGAATTCACTGTTCAGTGCACATGCCATAAATCCCAAGGTGGAGCAGTTTGAAAGCCTACTTCACACGCCACCCAGGCAAAAAGATGACGGAGCGAACATGCCGCAGCTAGTCTTTGTCGGTGGCTGCTCTGGTCGATCATCAGCCTTACTGGACAAGCTTCAAGCCAAGTTAAGCCATAGGCGGATCCTCCGTCTTGACTGCTTGCAAACTATGTTCAAACAGGCTGCGCGGTTGGAGACAGGTTCCACGTTCGTCGTAGCCTCGGAGCTTGATGACGAAATGTTCGATGATCTCGACGACATCAAGCTCGAGGCTGCCAAATCACTTTTCTCGGGTGACTACGCCAAGGCCGTGATCTGGATCACGGAGGCGGCTTTCACGCACAATCCTCGTCAGGCTATGACCATCGGCCTCCTTCGGACGATACAGCTCGAGAATCCGAACATCCACGTCCAGAACATCGACATGGACAACGCTGAGCATTCGGACTACCCCGCACTCATCGCCCAGCACATTATTGAGCTCGAAGGGTCGCCGAAACCACCTGAGGATAGCAGTGACTTGATAGGGTTCCATGAACCCGAGATTTATCTCGTCGACGGGCATGCCTGGATACCTCGCATCAAGCACGATATAGCGCGCAACAATCGCTTAAACTCTGCAAGTCGTGCTATTTTCGCGGATGCCCGGCCAGATCGTGTTCCTTTGCGCTTCTGTCTTGCTGAGGATGGAGCGTCTTCGTACCTTGAGTTCATGGACGCGATGGTCAGCCCTTGCCCACCATCTCCGCCGTCCTCACTCTCTAATGTGCATGATGATGATTTGGTCCAGGTGCAGGTCAATTTTGCTCTAACCGGGGCCATTCGCGTCGGTAATCTGGGGTTCTTCCACCTTTGCCAGGGTTTTGCCATCGAAACCGAGACGCCAGTAGTGGTACTGGCAGAGAACAACGCATCAGTCATCCGTGTTCCAGCCAGCCGTGTCTTCTCTTTGCCGTCTGGAGAAAAATGTATTTTGCTCCATATTGTTGCCTCCCTCATAAGTCAACGCATTATGAGCAACGCAGTCCCGGGCACGAGTGTTCTCGTGTTTGACGCACCGCGGTTTTGCGTTCATGCCATTGAAAAACAAGCCAAGAGGAATAACGTTCAGGCACACTTTGCCACCAGTCAACAACTTACTGCGATAGAGCTCAAGTCAGGCTCCTCATGGACGTACCTAGACCTTTGGGTATCGGAACGGGCGCTGAAGAAAATGGTCACTGCGAAAGTGTCTGTCTATTGCGATTTCTCTTTTGCGACAGAGCACGGAGCCGCCGCTACCTTAGGCCGTCGCCTGGCTAAGATTCAACCACCACATTGTGCAAAGTACGATTCTGCTCACTTTTTCGCAGAGCATGGGTCCGGCACGCTTTATGACAATTTCAATTGTGGTGAATTTGCCATTGCTGTCGAGCAGGCTCTTCTCGCATCCTCAGCAGTTACCGATGATCACGTCATGGTTGGAGCAGCAATCATCAAGGTCGCTGATATGCAGTTCAATGAAGCCCCCATGGACCTCACCACCATTATTGACTGGAGGACCACTGACACAATTCAAGCCCGGCTTCGCCCTATTGACGCCGGGAGTTTTCTCGCTCCAGACAAGACCTACCTTCTTGCTGGACTTGCCAAAACAATGGGTCGATCGTTAGCCCGATGGATTGTCACACATGGCGGTCGCTATGTTGTTCTATCCAGTCGCCACCCGGAAACCCCGGACTGTAAATGGATCGAGGAAATGGAAGAGCTTGGCGGTTATGTTACAGTTTTACCCATGTGCGTTCAGACAGTCGGCCACCCGCATTCTGTCCTCAACCCTAACAGCCCTAGACACCAACTAACATGTTTATCAATCAGGGATTTGTCCAACGAGAGAGCTTTAGATGAAGGTTTGTCAAAGATCCGCAAGACTTTGCCGCCAATACGAGGAATCGCTTATGGCCCTTTGGTCCTCCGAGATACGATGCTCCAGAATATGACCTTGGCAGATATGAATTTAGTGCTGAATTCTAAAGTGATCGGTGCACGCCTTCTCCACGAGCGATTCTGCGATGCAAATGCAGAAACGCCGTTGAACTTCTTCGTCATGTTCTCGTCTGGGGCCACTGTCGGTGGCACTCCCGGTCAAAGCAACTACAACGCGGCCAACGCTTATTTGCAAGCCCTCGCGCAGTATCGGCGGACAAAGGGACTGGCGGTATGTGACCTCGACGCAATATCCAGCCTTCTCTGTTTTCTTCAAGAACGAAAAACAGACGGGGACGTTGAGGTGGGAAAACCGGATAACGCTAACAGTTCTAGGCCTCGACGATCCATGTGGGCGCCGTGATGGGCATTGGATATCTAGCCAGAACACATTTCGACGAGCAACTTCTCAAAGTCCACGACATGGGCAAACTCGCAGAAGGAGACTTCCATACCCTTTTTGCCGAAGCCATCGTCTCAGGACAAGGCGTGTTTAGACAAAGCGAAGGCAAAACCACCCGGATGTCCGTCACAGATATGTCAGACATCGAAGTGATAACGGGCTTCCCGGTATTCGAGGCCAAGAACAAGAACTCCTTCAAGTTGTGGGATAACCCTCGGTTTGGCCATCTTCGGACACCCGAAAACCATTTGAGTTATGTGGGCCAAGGGTCTTCGACTAGTAGGATTTCTATCAAGGACCGACTGCGCGAAGCAGCAACTAAAGACGAGGCACAAAATGCTATCATACGTAAGCAAAGATTCAGAGGACCCGCCCATCCGTATTTGCTGGGATAGCGCAATTCTAACATGTGTGGTTTATCAAGATGGGCTCGCCCAGAAGACGCGCGACATCCTCCTTATCCCTGCAGATCAAAGTGTCAATGTTAATGCCGCACTCCTTGACCAGGGCATGGATTCGCTCGGTGCTGTTGCAGTATCAGGATGGTATGTGAGAGAGATTCGCTCCTTCTCCGAAACAGACGCAATCCGTCATCATGTACTTGCGTTTTAATTTGTCTTCTACCCATCCGATGACGTTCGTTATGTAGTGGTGTTGGGACTCGTTAAACCTGAAAAAGCACCCATAAAGAAGTTGAGAATGCACGAGTCTGCGACGTTCACATCTATGTACATGGCTGATGTTTCGTTTATTGCAGGTTCTCCCAAGAACTTTTGGTCGATATACCCATCTTGCGAGTCCTCAGTGGTGCTTCTCTTGAAGATCTCGCTGAGGAAGCCGTCAGACGACTTCCACGTGATGCAATACCTCTGATTGCTCTCAATCCAGAAGAATGCCAGCCGGAGGCGTCAGTGTCGTCAACCATCCAGAGCCCGACCTCTAGCAGCATGGATTCGTCATTGACATCTGGGAAGCCGTCAGTAAACTCCGCCCGGACCAGCATGACATTAGACGCAAGCGGCGATGATCAGGCCAGCACAAAGACCTTGCGTCGGCATCCCCTGTCGATAGGGCAGACGTATTCATGGAAACTGCAACAGCAGCTCTCGCGCGATTGTACTATCTTTCACAACACCATCGCCTACCTGTTCGAAGGCTACATAGATCTTCAAAGACTCGGCACAGCTGTAGACGAAGTGATACTCAGACATGAGATCCTTCGCACTGCGTTCCTCGCCGAGCTCCAGACCAATGAGGGCAATGACATGACTCAAGTTATCCTGGACACGCCGACATGGAGTTTGAATTGCACAGCGGTCGCCGATCAAGCCTCGGCCGAGGAGGCAATGAAGCAGCTTCACAGGGAGGGTTACGACCTTGAGTCTGGCAAGACATTTAAGATTGTTGATTTTCACTGGTCGTCAGCCCATCATCATCTTCTCGTGATTGCCTATCATCGGCTCGCCGGGGATGGCGCGACCACATCTGCGCTCCTCTCTGAAATCTGTGCTCTCTACAACGGCGCGGTGCTCCCTGTCGCTGTTCCACAATTTTCGAAGATTTCCAATAGTCAGCGCGTCGAATACGAGCAGGGACGGTTGGATGCTGACATTGCCTACTGGATGTTCCAGTACAACAACAAGGTGGTGCCTATCATGCCCATTCTTGACCTCCCACATTGCCTGCACACCGATCGGAACAACAGTCCCCCCTGTTCTTGGTATCAACACACAGGGGTCTTCCGCCTCAGCTCGGCAGTGTCCACACAAGTCAAGGAGGCGGTGCGGCAACAAAAGGTCTCGCGTATGCAATTTTTCATGACAGTATATGCCGCGCTCCTGAGCAGATTAACAAGCAAGAACAGCAATAGTGAGGACGGAGCCACCAATAATAATGACGATGACGACGAAAGAATGATAACCATTGGAGTTGCGGACACGAACCGTGCTACGGTGGAGGACATGGCAGCGATGGGCTTCTTCGCCAACTTATTGCCTGTACGCATAAAGACGAGAGAAAAAGGAGGCAGATCATCGTTGAGTCCTATCCAACAGTTGGGTCTCGTCAAGAAGGCGATGCGCGGGGCAATGCAGCACGCGCGCGTACCGTACAGTGTGTTACTGGAGCGGCTGCCAGTAACTCCAACTATGGAAGTCCTAGCCAAGGACTGGCCGCACGCGCCACTGTTCCAAGCAGTGTTCGATTACGCTGGGGGCGGGGTTGAGAGCGTGCGCATTGGCAATGCAGTCATCACCGAGCAAGGCGGTTTGCGGGCTTCTGAGCTTGTTTCCCGCGAACGAACGCCGTATGACGTGGTGCTTGAAATTTGTGCCGATCCAACGCGTGACCCACTGGTTATTGTAAAGTTGCAGTCCTCTCTTTACGGCTCTGAGGACGTTATCGTGTTCCATAATGCTTTCGTTGAGCTTATCACGAAGTACTCGGCGGACCTCATGTAACATAGAGCATGATGAGTCTTCGAGCTTCCGGGGGCCTTGGGCCTGATAAACAATTTCTAACGCATCATTACGCGTCAAGTATTTTCTCAACGATTCTAGGTACAGCGGAGACAACTACACCGATGGATTCGTCGAAATACTGTCCAATCTCTGCATGAAACAAACTCCCAAGAACTAGACTTCCAGAGACAAGATTAGAGACCAGAAAGGGAACACAATCTACATAAACGGCATACTAGAATACCAGTAGGCGGTCAGAAAATACTTCGATGGCATAAGAGGGCTCACAGAATACGCCGCCAACCACTGCTATGAGAGCCACCTCCGGGGCACTTCCGACATTCAATCTCATAGAAATAAACCCAACGGCCAGGTTGTACTTGGCCTTGGTAAAAAGCAGACGTCGTAGCTTGTTCGCACAATTTTGATAGAACCGACAACCGAAATGCTTACAGCGACGCGAACAACTTATTCGCCGAGGGAAGAAATCTCGCCCATAGAATTCTCCAGAGTGTAACCTTTCTTCATTAGTTGTTCCAAGTGCTTTAGGGATAAAAGTTATTAACTGGATGAGATATGTAGGGCCTCTCCATCAGCACTGTTTTTTATTTGAGTAGAAAGGATATGCTGACAGATGTACTGACAGTCATCAAAGACGCATACTAAAACCTAGCTATTTCGAAAGCACCATATCTTCCTCATCACCCACATCTGTCACTTATTTAGAGCAGGGTGGTAATGCAGCTTGGTATATACCATCCAATTGGAACTGTAGGTGTCAGTTCGAGGTCCGAGACCGAATAGTTGGGAGAGAAATGGCTTAAACGGCTGGAAGAATGTGTGCAGCCGAGGTTCACAAATTGGGAACGTTCAAATATTGTCCCAGAGGAGCTTTCAAAATCTATTTTCGTAAGAACTAGCTGTAGTTTTTGTTTAGTCGTCTATTTAATAGAGCTATCCAGTCTGTGAAGCTTCACCGACTTTGAAGCCATGCAGTTGGAGATACTCCTCTAAGCCTCTTTGTTGCTCTAGTTCATACGTAGGGTACTCCGAATCCAAATCTGGCTCCGGGGGGAAAAACCGAGGCACATTGTTGATGTCCCAACGCTCCTGTTCCCAGGCTGTAGCCGGAGGCATGATTTGTGCTATCGCTTGATCCCAAGACTCTCTCGCCTGTGGATCTGCTGCCGAGGCTTCCTCGTGCTCTGGAGTGACACCAAGTCTTCGAGGCCAGATATAAAACTGGCAGAAGATTGTTCGGCTTTGGCTGTTTTCATTTGTCTGGTCCAATTGTCCAAACTTGCTTTCCACCCAGTCGTCTTCCTCAAGCACCCAAAACCACGCCGCTGTGAGATGAAATCGGAAATAGTGATTTCTTTTCACGGACTCTAATCCGCGTGGGATGAAGGTGCCAAACACACTGTTGAATTTTTCTTTCCACATCCCCCAGACGTCATCAACCTTTTGCGGTATCAAGAATGCAGTAAATGTCACCCGACCATCGACATTTGATGTTACGCCTTGTATAATGTGTTTTAGAGTTAGGAAGCGCGACGAAGCAGACGACGGCGAAGCGAACGCATCCCTCAAGCTCAGATGCCCTAGAGCATGACCAGACTCAACAGAGACTAGTGGATCCTTGCGTTCGGGAAGGTTTCGCAAAAACTCTGCGCACGCGGGGGAGGATTGGAAGTTCTTCAAGTCATCCAACGTGACCCATTCTGCGTGTGTCAACAGCAATGTTAGTCAACATCAACCGGTTTTCAATGGCGATGGCAATCACCAATGATGTAGGCAGCCTGCTCTGGGTTGTCGACCATTCTTCCCAGTGATGGATTTCGACAACCTGCTACGTTCGTAAGCGGACCAACGTGGACATCATCATAGTCAGCAGGCCACGTCGGCCACTTCTGTTCTGGCGATAGATAAAATCGTGTCCATGTTGTTAGTCTTTTTTGATAGGGCTTTGCTGTTTGCTTTGTACGAGCCATGCTAATAGGACGTCAAGAATCTCAGTGAGACAGAATTTGTTTGTTGACTAAAGATGGATGCCAACTTGAAATAAACCATGAACATATGACTCCTGCTGCCTGGCTTGAGCGCTCAGTGATCTGACGTACGAAAAGCGGGGTATATACAAAAGAGGCCGTTCAACAAGGCTATTCTCATTGGCTCACTAACGAATAGCGCAGGAAAACCCATGGGATTACAAGGGTTCCGGCATTAAGATTGGTTATAGTGGGATGAAGTATTAATGAGGCTTCACATGGGCGTCATGTCAAGATCAACTATCTAATTACATATCTGGCAACAGCTCAAGGCTACTACTTTGATTCTACCTTGCTGTACGGGCCTTTAGGTGACTGCTATCTCGTTGCAATGGACACTGGCCTTCACACGCTCGTGGAATATCATCATATAACCAACATCACGCTGCTTTTCAATGCAAACATAGTATTCCAGTCACAACCCCGGGCAGTCAGTCCCTGAGTCGAGGTTCCATGTGTATAAGCCACTACCAGACTAAAATCACTAGCAAATTGCGGTCTTTTTTAATGCATTGCCTACACCGAAATGGTAGTTGTTGGGAAGGTCCGAGGAAGACTTACTATGAGTTAATTTCCCGCTTTAGTAATCGCTCAGCAGCTGTTGTCGTTGTGGACAAAGCACAACTTCCGCAGTAGTAGTCAAAGATGCGACGACGGGTCGTCGAGCCCGGAAGGGAGATCGGCACGGACGAGAGCGGCTCGTCGGGTTATTCGCCACGGCGATAAAAGTTTAAATAATATGACTAATACCTCAACTTCGAGCATAATCGACCTCAACAACAAAAGCCTGATCTGTTGCCAAGGCCTTACAAATCTGATTAAGTTGACGTGTTCAAATGACAAGGCCCTGCCAAGAGAGTAACGACACGATGCTTCCAGAGTGGGCCATGTCCCTAATCTGCACTTCAGAACACCTCATCGCAGGCTGATAAGCCGCAATTGTCCTTCAGCTTGCCGAACTAAGAAGTCCACCCCAACTCTTCACAGAATTCCGACCTTGGCCGAGGCTTCGGAAGAGCAGGCATCCTCAGCCTCACGGTCTCCAGCCCTTCGCATGAGCAAACCGGTGTAGCCCATACTGCCCGCCCAACAATCCTGCCATTCCCCTCCACCAATAGACAAATGCCGCTTGGAAGGGTATTTGAGTAGCCAAGCCCGGGAAAACGATACATGATAGTACCATTAACCTCTCCATGCTCATTTTGGATGAATAAACCAGCGTCGTTGACGGACCGTGCACCGCAGGTTGTACATGCAACCCACACACGAAATCGACGCCATGTCAAATGCAAGACATTACCGGTGGTACCTTGGAAGTCATAGCGAGACTGTGACTGCCCTGGCCAACATTCCAATAAACCCAAAGCCTCGATAATACCAAAAATGTCATACGGGCTATCTGAAGGCCAAGGCTGTCCGAGGGGAACTTTTGACAGTGAGACAAGCGTATGCTCTAGCTTTTGTCGACGGTCGCCAACAGACAAAGCTTGCATCATGTTCTCCTTCAACCCGAATTGTAGTCGCGAGCCAAAAAGGTCTGCGAAGTCGTCTACATTCGGCGTGTCGAGACTTCGTGCGCAAAAGTGGGCAAGATCATCGTAAGACCCATCCCACTGCTCAGATTTCCAGACTTTACCAGCGTTTTGCATCTTGAGGGTTATATCACCATTATCTAGGATATGGAGAGCTTCGTGGTACTCTGGTGGTGATGTCATATGCCCTATAGAAAATGCCTGTGAGTCTGGTCAGTTACCATTTGCGCGTCGTTGTTTTCCAGAATGTTAAGCTCTCCTAGATGGAATCAAGCTTTTCAAAGGTGAGATTTCAGCAGTCTGAAGGGTGAAAAAAGATAGCTGAAAAATGGTAGGGGTAGCGAGACTGACATAAACATCATTGTAACCTTCAGCAACATTGTTTGCTGGCATATTCCGAACATCTAAGCCATCTTCTGGTCCAAACTCTGGTGTCATCAGCAGGGGAGTATAATCGCCCTCCTTCAAACACTGTTGTGCTAGATTCAGATACGATTTGTCCCAGTTCTCACCGTCCAGCTTCGTAACCGAAGACCCGGTTATGATACCCTGGAGTGCGTAGAGGAAGTCGTAGTTGTCGCGGCAGCCCCGACGAGACAGTAATGCGAAGGCGAGGCCGAAGTTCCGGCTGTTGGAATCTGCGCGGCATAGGCTCAATGAACCCAGATTCCAAGGCACGATATTTTCGCCAATGTCTAATCGGGCTTCCAATTCTTTCACGTCACCCTCGTTTTTAACGATTTGCTCAGACCAGAACTTGTTAAGCTGTTCTTGGTAGACCTGAGCGGACTCCTCACCATGTAGTCGAAACTCTGAATCCATAATTCTCACTTTCGCGCTTCGGATGTACTCCATTGCAGTCCACACGCGGCTGTACCATTTCGCATTGCAAATCCCAATCATGCCTTTCAGGCGAGCTTCATCGTCTTCACCATCGAGGAATATGTCCATCATAGTTGGCGTGACATCTTCTAAGTGAACAACTGTAAGAGCCGACTCAGCGTAGACCCGATGCATTGCCTGCAGAATTGCAGTTTTGACAGTCGGTGACCACTACGCCATCATAGCGTCAGTTAACGAGGGGAAAATCCAAAATAACGAATTCGGAACTTGGACCTGGCTCAAACTAACCTGAGGCACGCTTATGTAGTCATGCCAAATCTCAACATCCTTGCGCAAAGCCTTGGAGACACTCTTTGCTATCTCGGTGGGGACGTGCAAGACCAAGTGTTGCACGTCCGGATCCTGGCTTTCTGAGGGTCCTTGAATCTGAGTGTCGGAGATACCTTTGTGCCAGACATGCGAGATTGTAATGTACTGGACATTACCTTTCAACAAACAAGAAAGATGCCGGTCGTATAGAATAAGGCATTCTCCGTTCGTTGTCTGCAAGGTCTTAGTACCATGCTGCTTTTCTTCTTCTGGTTGGAGAACTCGGAAGGTTCGAATCAACGGCTCCTCAGAAACCGTCTGCATGCACATGCAACATTCCAAATCAGGCTGCTCTTCAAAGCACCAAATACTTTTCAAATCTAGTTGTATTTGATTCGGCATTTCCATTCTCATCTCAGAGCTTCTCATCTGGGGGTTTGCAAAGCTTTACAGGTTATCATAAAACATTCGAGGTGAAGATCTAATGTAGGTAGATGGTAAACCCCGCAGAAAGGCGAACAGGACTATGGGTCTCGATCAGGTGCTTTGCTTACATTTTAAACTGACCTGCCCTATGTCGGCTGTGCGTTGCTAAAATTAACGCAGAAACATGTCCAGCTCCGGAGCTGGAACCCAGCTCCGGAGCTGGAGCACGTTCAAGGAAATATCTCCGAACGCATTACTCCCATCATCGCTCAACGGCGTTAGCTAACAAAGGCCCCAAACGCTTCATTGAGGTCGCTAATTCAAACCCACCATTGGGCATATTCCTTGCCTTTTTCCTCCCGGAATTGGCTACTATTGGCGTAACCGGAAAAAGTATATATATAAGGGGAAATGTTCCGGGGAGAACTAACTTATTATTTACAAGGTTTCGGCGGAGGAGTCTGGCTAAAGCCTGTATCCACTTGGCTAGGGGGATCTGCAACCCTGCACCATCTCGTGGTGGGCCGATACCTAGGTCTAGATGCTTGCCTGCCTAGAAAGTGTAGCAGTGCACAGCAGACCGTTACACTGTTTGCTACCATTAATCGAGGCAAGGAGATTTATGTGACCGTCAGAGGTTGGTGTTAGCAGTCCACTGGGGTATCAGTAACCTTTGGTCATAATTCAACAGGCGTAATAACAGGCAAGATACGAGCACAGAAGAAGTGAGAATAATCAGTATCGACTATAGTGATTTTTCAAACAGGATGCATTACGGTTTAAAGATCCCGTAATGCGTTGACTCTGCATGCTTAACTTATGTAGACAGGAAGACGGCTATTGAAAAAGTCGGCCTTTGATATCTGAGCATCGTCAGGGTGGAAGTCGTGCAGCCAGAGCCAGCAAATCATGCGAAACATAAGCAACGCCCAGGCGTTAGCAGCCGAAGCTTTGACTTGACCGGGTAAGAACCTTCTGGGTTCTGTGAAATTGGAGTCCTGCTCTCTTTGCCATGGTTCGGCGGCGTCTGGAGGCTCAAAGGTCTGCGCACGTCTCTGACGCGCACGGTCAAGTCTTGACACGACACGATGGAGAATGACGTCCGTATAGAACTTTGCCAACTCATTTTCGCGCCAGCCTGTGGGCATAGTCCTGATTTTTCTATGGTAAGCTCCAGATGGCATGATATAAGAAATGGTCGAACTGATGCCATCCTGCGAGTGGTCTTCATTGAGCAAGCCAAGTACAGCGTCTATGTGTGCCCTAATCACATCCAATAAGATGTCTCGGGGAAATTCGGACGTGACCACAGATGTAGTCCATTCGATGGAGTCCTGCAGCTCATCCATAAGCTGAGGACTCAAGGCGACAGTGGTTTCCGACTCCTGCCTTGAGTTCTGAGCGTTTGCCGGCACGTTTGCCGTTGCCGATATATGCAGAAGCCGGTTGCTCAAAGTCGTGATCTGTTGCACTGTTTCATCTTCCGAATTTAAGTCATCAGATAAAGCTAGATGCTCTGAGAATGATTTTATCAACTGGTCAAACGCAAGCTGCGAGCTATCCCACTGGTATGGCGTTGGGTTGGGGAGCACTCGAAAACACAGTCCTTTGATGCAGACCACGCTAGCAGCCATGCCGATAATCTCAAATATAACTACAGATAGTAAGAAAATATAAAAGTCTGTATACAGGATCGGGAGGTCTTACCTGGGAATAGATGGGTTGTAATGTGTCGGCTTTCCAAAGCAAAACAGTCTAATGATTCCGGATAGCACCCTAGCCTGGAAAGGGTTTGAACAATGTCACTATTGGTGCCCAGTTTTAAGCTATCAGGATAGTCGGGAACTCTTCTTCTCCATCGAGCTTCATCATTTGCGATGAAAATCGTAGGTACCATCCCGAAGCAGTAGTACTTCATGTCGTAGGAAGGGATGACACGACCAGCCTCGAATGTGGTCGAAGTATGGGTTGCAAAGGTAAACATTAGCCCCAAATGGGGTATATTTGTACCTGTGATGAGAATGCCATTGCCATCCGCAATATACCTGTCATCGCGACGGCTGAACTGTTTCCAATGGGAGCCGAGAAGAGCGGCCATCTCGATCAAATGACACATGGCTGTGACAGCAAACGGCTTTTTGACGCCATCTGGCATCAGGTCAAGCGTGTATAACTGTCTTTGAAATGCCACTGTGAATGTTGCTCGAGATGAATAATCCGTACTGTGTCTGTACATGTCCAGACCTCCCTCAGAGAACTGTTGCCTATTCCAAGCTCGACTTGTATCCTCCATCCTTGAGATATGTGGGTGGCAGGCCTCGCCGGCCCGTCACGTGGGCTGACGGCCGCCACCACTGGTCTTAGCCAGCCTCCACAGCCCTCTAGCCAGTTAGTTAGTTCTTCCAACCAACAACACCACTTTTCCCATTCTGAGCGTTCTGTGCTGGTTTCGCCCACAAGATAAGAGAAAAAAGAAGGAGCCAAGAGGCAGAAGCACCGCCATACTGCCCTAGGATACCCTTTTCTTTGGAGCCAGGAGCGAATTTCTCATCAGATATGCGACCGTCCATAAAATAAATCGGTGCCCCCTTCACTGGACCCATTCTGTTTGTCGGTTGACAGAGGAAAAAAACGGGAGCTTCAAAAACGACCTCAAATCGGAGCTCCCACGGACGGAATCGTAGCTTGGTGTACTTGGCCCATGGCCCCATGACCCGTTCGCCGCAGTTAGAGTATCCCACGGCGGTTGCGAGATATTGCTGACAGAGCTGGCCCAGCGTTCCCACCAGTGCGACGAGAGAAACAGCTAGAGCGACAATGGCGAGAGCCATGCTGGCAATAGCAGTTCTAGTCTCCACGTCATTGCCACTGCTGTCGCTCATGGCTTAGCTCAGAAACCAAGGGCTTGGCAAATCAAAATAGTTGTTGAGTGAGCACGCTTGACAAGGTCGTGAAATGTTTGAAGATAAATTCTGTTCACAAGGCTGGCTGGCCGGCGGCAAAAATCAGAAAGCGTGGGATGGTAACCAAGCAGCCAACACCACCCCTGTTGAATCCTGACATAAGCACTTACCAGGGTGCGCAGCTCTATTGGGCTGTCAGCGTCCAGTTTATCCTTGTGCAGTAAATGAGCCTACAGTTTTTTTTTTTTTTTTTTTTTTTTCTTATTTTAAATACTAACATGCAGTGTGGCTAACCAGTCCTTGTATTATCTTGGCCTGTTCTTCCGCATTATTGCCGACTTACTGACTGAGAACGGGGATGCTGCTTTACTAGTCCATCAAACCCATTGCAAATGGAGGAAACCAAGACAGTGACGTTTGGGGTGATTTGCGATGGCGGCAAGAAATTAAGACAGACCTTAAGAAGAGCTGTGTCTCGATCAACATATAACCTCTCGAGAGCTCTTCTGAACATGGGTACGTCTTTCATAAATGACTAATCTCACATCCCAGTTCAGAATGGCGCTCAGAGTTTTCATGTGTATTGCTTTGTACTTGTTCATGAATTCTGGTCATTGCTGCTCATGGATACCGCTACGGCTAATGCCCTGCATTAAAGGATATCTATATATATTGTACAAACGAAGAGGAGCGGGCAGGTAAAGCTGTTCTATATTAAGAGGTGAATCAAGATTTCAACTTTTCCAAGGGAGATAACTGATCCTCTTTAGACGCGGTTTTAAACAAACTAGAGTTCGGCAACTTCTTAAGACCGCTGGAAATCTGTCTGGCAGTTAACAAATAATTGAATGTCAAATGAGTGTTCAATAAAGCCAGAACTACGTCACGCTCTACGGCCTTATTTGTAGGATATCAACTACCTTAAACTCTAGCCAGTATAACTATATGGTGTCGAACAAGCGATGACAACAAGGAGTTGACAATTATTGAAGCTTTGATATTGTTTCGCATGCAGAACACTTACCTGCGCGTGGTTGTTAAGCCCTTTCTTTTTAAAGCACGGTTATATATTATGAGCTGAGCTCGGTAATCGAATAACCCAAACATTTAGGTATTTGTTGTTCAATTTGCGTAACTTCTAACTCAACATTCACCGCTTCCCCGTTACCCCATTATTAGAGACTAGCTTATGAAGCTTTTTGTGGTACGTCTCTTCGATCCTATAGATAACATGGGTTGTGTAACCCACACCATGGGGATGACATATTCCATTAAACCTATGCTATTGGCATGGCAACCTCATATTGAAGCTATGCCAGATGCGTCACCATCTTTGTAGACCATCTTTAGTAACAATTCTACCGACATCAGCATCTCTCTCTCCTTCCACCACGCTACGTATAATTTCACCACCATCGCTTGGCTCTCCAGCTCCCAGAGCCCTCAAATCCTTCGGGTCAGCACCACCAAACTCGGTTGCCAGGAAGCCAGGCTCGAGCCCCCACACCTTCACACCGTCATTCGTCAAGACTCGGACCCAGTCTCGCATAATGATATTTAATCCGGTCTTGGAGGCACGGTAGCTCGTCATCGGAATGAATGTTTCCTTCTTCGGCCATCCGGCCGCAAGTGGTTTGTTAAGAGCCTGGGTTGCCGGATGGTCCGTATGGAGGGTATCGGCCAGCGACGAAGTGCCAGATGATACAAAAACAAGACGAGGGTTAGATGAATTGATCAGCAACGGAGCCAAATGGGTTGTCAGGATTTGTGGCCCGACAACATTCGTATTCCATGCCGCATTGTAGGCATCTCTCATGGAGATTTCACCGCTAGCCAATTTAATGTCGAAGGAAGCGCCAGCGTTATTAACAAGGACATCAAGGCGTCCATACTTGGTCTTGATAGCCTCGGCCGCCTTTTCAAGTGACGAGTCGGACTCAAGATCTGTCTGCAAGACAGTCAAAGTAGACTTGGACTGGGGCACCTCTTTCTGAAGAGACAAAATCGCTTTTTCACCCTTCGACGGGGTGCGGCTGCCAATTATTATCTCGTATGACTGGGAGGATTTGCAGAGGGCCTTGACGGCCTCGTAGCCAATGCCGCTGTGGCCTGGGAGGATTCAGTTAAGCACCAACGTCCGCGGAAGTCAAAAATAGCTTACCACCAGTAATGAAAACTATTTGCTTGTCGGACGACATTGTAAAATCAGGATGACCGAGTCAATGTAAGCATTAATTGTTTCTCGTCCAAGTGCTTAAGATGATAGATTTCGAGATTCGTATTTGGACGGCGAAACGAAGCCTATAAGTAAAGACGCTTCACTCTATATGCGTTCTTGATACATTCGGTCATTTTAGTCAGCGGGCGACGGCCTTCGGAGGAAGCCCGCTACTAGTGGGGGCTGCACTCATAAGCACTTCACCAGGGTTCTCATGATAGCGGGGTGAAACAACTGCGTCGTTACTTTACATAAGAGTGTCATTTTGGATTTCCTAGTCAAAGGTGACCCACAGAAGATTCGAGGTCCTTGTGCAGAACATTTTCGCTAAACCTTGTAAGAACCACTGAGCGAGTTATTTGTCTCAGCTTTCGAGCCAATGGGGTACAAAAACCATGCCGACTCAGCTCACGATCTAACCATGATGCAGTACTCATGCTTATATCCAGCGTACAGTATCTCTGTTTCTTTTTGCAATGTCTCAACTCGCTATCGCTCTTAATCTTTCACGGCTTTGAGAATGTTCTTCCCTTGCTGTGACAATTGGATTACAGGTCTCGTTTCTATTAGGCCCTGTTCAACTCTTACAGACGCCAACATCTATAATTCCAAATCATATTAGGTCTGGTTATCATGACTTCCAAATCGTCGGATCGTCCCTTTATTTCACAGTCAACACCTTGCACGATGTGCTACACAAGTAGCTACAGCGGAATTCATAGCTATTCTTCTTTGACAGTGTTGCCGAATTGGCCAATATCTCTTGTAGATAGTGTAAAAGCCGTCCTACTTGGATAACTTCAATATGTATTGACGTCATCCTGGCAGTAGAGTAGTCACCTTGCCCAAGGCTTCGAAGCTTGTATGGCCAAACTAGTGAAAACAAAGTCTAACTGGTAAATCATGCTACTTCACGAGACTTGTTCCTGATGTCATACTCGGATATTCGGCATGCGACATCCTGCTAGTCCCTGGTCCAAGAACTGAATGCTTGAAACGGGAGCGGCGGGCTAAGGGAAAGCCACGCTTCCCTCGTTTTTTGCCTAATTCGTTACAGAACACTTGGAGGACTTTGATAACCGTTAAATGTGCTGTTTAAATTGGACGCCAGACGATTGCTGATTCTCTTCTTCTAACAGGGCCCATTCTTCGTCTCACATTTACTCCTCAAGCAGGTGCGTATTACCCTACTACAACCATCACTCAATATCCAGGCGAAGAATAGGTCTGCAAACTACAACTGGATATAATGGAAGTTCGTCTTTTCTGGAAATATACCAACTATCTTCATGGCATCCGCAAAGGGTTGTGTGAGGCTAACGAGTGTGCTGATCGTTTCCCTAATGTTGACGTACTACAGGGGTTCATCACATACATAGTACGTCTGTCACAGCGGAGACGGGTGTAGTGGGGTATGCTACGGCAGTCCGCAGGGCGCACTAGGTCAAAATTCAAGGTAGTGATAGGAACACCCTATAAGCGTAAACATATATAATCTCGCGTAAAACGATTTTTGTTTTTATATATTTCTAGGTAGGTATTTGCCTTTTTAGGAAATAAGGGTTTACTATATAGAACCATAGTGTTACGGCCAGCTAACTGACAGTGGGTTTGTGTTAACAGTAAGCCAGGGATTGAGAGTAGTAACAGTCGTTCCGTGGTCCTGGTCGAATAGATCGTAGATCTTCAAAGGTCTTGGTGATCAGTCAAGGCCTCAACAAGAGTCGTAGAGTAGTCGTCACTTAGGTATAGCTGAAAGTACCGGTTAGGGTAATCACAAAGTTGATTGCTGAAGAACTAGGAAAGGTAGGACTCGAGAGGACTCGAGTCCCAACTATATACAAGTCTGGTTCCATGCTGAACACTTCCTGATCCTGGGGGACCGACACCCAGGACGTCGGTCCATCGCCATGGACCGCCCTTGGCACCGTCGGTCCTGTGATTGATTGATTGATTTATTCCTACTCGGTTATGAAGCCGCTCTTATGCCAGCAGCTATGCCCGGAAAGCGGGGTTTGGCAGGTAGCCGAAGCGTCGACAATGAACAGCGACGCCCCACTTCGCCCTGATGTTGCATCAGGGCCAGCTATCCCCAAGCTCCCCACTATGTTCTCTATTCTGTGTGTTTGTGCCCTCTGTTGAAGAAGTGTGTTGCTCTCCTGTCTGCTTTCTCGCTTTTGTGTTGCTCTCTAGAATGCTTGTTTTGCGTCCTCCTGCTTCGGTTCAGTTGGTGCTGGTAGCACCGTATCTGGTTCTTTGTACCTACAGTCTCCCCCCAGCGCTCAGCTTTGTCTCTTTGTTTTGTCCGTATCCTCCCGGACTTGTATATGCCGTTTTCTCAGTTGCATCTGTAAATTCTTTGTTGCCTCCTGCCGGGTTCCTATGTGGCCTCTTGTTTCTTGCCTGTTGACCACTATTGCCCTCCACCACATTGGCCCAAGGGTCTTCCACGAAGCACAATGCTCCACTGACTCCGACATGTTCGATTACTGGGTATGAGAGCTCCCGCACAGATTCCGCAGACATTGTCGCGCGTTGAAGGGACACCAATCCTTCTTCGCAAAAGGGGCGACAGGGGACCAGTCTGTCTGTGGTCTGTAGTATTGTGTGGCATCGATCGTAGCATGCCTAATGCCTGGTGCTTTCTCCGTGCGGAAGGTGATACTGTTCTGTCGGACTCATCTTCGTCGTTGTGGGACGTTGCAAACTTTGTCGGGGGTGACAGGTGACCCAAAACCTGTCGGCGGCTGTTGTGTTGAAGTTGATTGTTTGGGCGCAGTCTTAGTGCTTCGTGTAGCGGCTTGTGGCTCGCCTGTGGTGGTGGTAACAGTGTTGTCTATTGATATGTCGTATTTTGCGGCTTGCTCTCAAGTTTTTCATTGTAGTCGGGGCGTGCTCTGCGGCCATCTTGGGCCCCTTTGGGACGTAGAATCAAGGCCGAGGATGGCATTGCATCGAAGGGGGCTCTGTGGCCGCGAGCACGCGTATTTGGGGCCGTTTTTGCTCCGATTTTCAAAAATTTCGTTCTCGCTGTTGTTGATGTTTTTTCCCGTCGGTCCTGTCCCAGGACCGCTTATCGTCCGTCGGTCCTGCTTATCGTCACGTGACCTGTATCCTAGTTCTTCCGTTCCGTGGGGGTTGTTACGACGTAACGGCTGACGGCCGTCCCTATAACCGCTGAGCCCCTGCGGGGTCGTCGTCAGTGGTCTGTTAACTGTCGGGTCGTAACATCAGCTCCCCTCTTAAAGGTCTTGTCCTCGAGACCTGAGTATAAGTAGGTCGTTGGTCCCAGGTTGGGGATCCACAAATTTGCTTCCTTTGTTTTTCATGATGCTGACACCATGTCAGGTCGCGTTCGAAAGACAAAGTCGCACTTGACTGTGATAAAAGATCGTGAGAGAGCTGCGCTTATTGAATACGTGGAGTCCCGATCGATTGCTAGCGACATGCCTTGCACTCGTTGTTTCCGTGCAAAGGTCCCGTGTCGTTTTGGCGAGAAGTCTACACGCTGTAGGACTTGCATCGAGGCGAAGAAACCTTGTGACGGCGTCCTCGTGGCGTCTACTCGTAAGTCGTGTTTTTGTGTTTTCGCTGTTCTGGGGGTTGCTAATGTTTGCTTCTAGTTCAGAAGTTGAACTCTCAGCAAAAGGAGTGGGATGAGAAAGAAGAGAAAGCGGGTGAGGAGCTATTCGCGCTTCATCAAGAGTTTGCTCGTTTGCAAGTTCAAATGGCGGATGCTGCGGGTCGTCTGAAACGGATTCGGACGGTCCGTAAGATGGTTCGGGAGCGGCAGACCGAAGTTTTTGAGCGTGGTATGCAGGAGGTTGACAGGGAGGATGGCGTCCTGGCGGACGACGAAGTCCTACCTGCCTTGGATGCTCACGAGAGGTTCGTCGTTAGTGACCTCCAGGCAGTGGGTCTCGGGAATGATCCTCCTTGGTCCCTTTTTGGTTTTGGTGACGAGTTTGTGGGTTTGGGTCCTCTGGTGGATGGCGCGGGTGCGGGGAGTGTTGGAGGTTCCTCGGCTACTTAGGGCTAGGTGTTCCTAGGCGAATGAGAGGGTGTTTATCCCGTGGCTTGTTTGATCGTGGTGGACGGATGATGGGTTGTGGTTGTCGTAGTCGAAATTGACTTTTTGGCGTTTGTTTTTCGATTCGTACTGGTGCTTGTCTTTGTTGTTCTTGTTCTTGCTGTCTCTAGTAACGTCCGAGTTCTTCCTGTGCGTTTTCGAGGCTCTGAGGTGGTTCCCATGTGTTGTCTTCGTGTCCGTATCCTTTCCACTTGACAAGGTAGCGGATACTTTTTTGTTCTTCGATGTGATCGATTATCCGTTCGACTTCGTATTCTTGTTCTAGATCTACTTCGATATAGTCCGTAGTGTACGATCCCTTTGGTGCTGATTCGAGAAGTGAAATGTGAAAGACTGGATGACACTTCATGCTGTCGGGTAGTGCGAGTTTAAAGTTGACGTTAGATACCTTCTTCGTAATTTCAAAGGGTCCAAGTTTCTTGAAGTCCAACTTATCGCTTGGTCGTTTTGTTTTGATGTTGCGGCGGAGAAGGTATACACTATCCCCCTCCTTCAGAGTTGGTCCCTTAACTCTTGTCTTGTCAGCGTATTTGCGCATGCGTTCGCGCACAAATTCAAGGTCTCTGGGAAGATCTCGTTGGATTTCCTTGAGTTTGTTGATATCTGCCACAGCTTTCAGAGCTGTTGGGCCTTGTCGGGGTTGTCCATAGGCTGTCGGGTTGAATCCGTAGTTCAAGTAGAATGGTGATTCTTTTGTACTTTCTCCTACTGCGCTGTTGTAAGCGAACTGGGCCATAGGTAGCAGTTGGACCCAGTTGTTTTGCTGATAGTTGACGTAGCAGCGTAGGTAGGTTTCCATGATCTGATTGATTCGTTCTGTCTGGCTATCGGTTTGCGGATGGAAAGCGGTGGACATCTTGTGGTTAGATCCTAGCTGCGAGATCAGGGATCTCCAAAACTTGGAAGTGAACAGCTTGTCTCTGTCGGATACGATTTCCTTCGGCATTCCGTGTTGGCTTACGATCACCTGTAGAAACTTGTAGGCGAGGTCTTCTGCAGTGCTTGACTCTATGTACGGAATGAAGTATGAGTACTTTGTGAGTCTGTCGACGATGACGAGGACACTGTCGTAGTGGACGTTGGTCATCGGTTCTCGGGACTTAGGTAACTTAGTGACGAAGTCCAGCGAGATGGATTCCCATGCGGTTTGCGGCACTGGGAGCGGCTGTATCTTTCCATAAGGCTGATGTCGGCTGGGTTTGCTTTTTGCGCAAACCTCACAGTCCTTAATCGCTAAAGATACTTCTTGTCGTATAGCCGTTTTGTCGTAGTGTTGACGGATGCGTTTCCACGTTTTGGTTACGCCTTGGTGACCATGTGCGGGTGCGGAGTGTATCTCCCTAATGGCTTCAGGAGACATCCTTCCAGTCGTGCTGGTACTGTCTCTTCTGGCCATCATTAAGAGTCTGGCTGCTGGCATAAGGTCTCCGTTTTTGTCTGTTTTGAGGATAACTCGGGTTTCCTCAGGTACCTGGACCTCATGGTCCGGTCTTCGGCTGAGGGCGTCGGCCCTGCCGTTCTCCTTGCCCTTTCGGTAGATGATTCTGAAATTGAATTCTGACAAGAATTCGGACCATCGAATTTGTCGTTTGTTGAGATCTTTCGATGTGGTGAAGTATGCGAGATTCTTGTGGTCGGTGTATACTTTGACCTCGTACTTGGTTCCTGAGAGTTGCGGTCTCCATTCTTTGAATGCCTCGATAATTGCTATAAGTTCCTTGTCGTGTATCTGGTAGTTGAGTTCTGGGCCGTGTAACTTGCGTGAGAAGAAGGCGTAAGGGTGTAGTCGTCCTTCGTCGTCTCGTTAGCCTAGTTGTCCTCCTATAGCGTAGTCTGAGGAGTCGGTCTCGACTTCGAATGGTTTCTCGGGGTTTGGTATAACAAGTATTGGTTCCGATGTGACTTGTTGTTTGATCTCGTTGAAGGCTTGTTCTTGTTCTTCTTCCCATTGCCAGGGAACATCTTTCTTCGAGAGTCTCGTGAGAGGGTCGTTTTTGTCTGAGTACCCTTCTAGGAACCGTCGGTAGTAGTTCACATATCCAATAAAGGATTGTACGTCCTTAACGTTCTGTGGTATAGGCCAGTCTCGTACTGCTGCGATTTTGTCTTTAGACATTTTGAGGATTCCTGGGGCTATCGTAAAACCTAGGAATTCGACTTCTTTGGCGTGAAACTTGCTCTTCTCGGGTTCCACTAGGAGTTTGGCGTCTTGCAGTTTCCGCAGTACTTGGTGTACGTGTTTTTTGTGGTCTTCTAGAGTCTTGGAGAAGATTAGGATGTCGTCGAGGTAAACTACGACGAACACATCTAGAAATTCTCGTAAGACGTGGTTGATCATCGTCTGGAATGTCGCGGGTGCGTTGGTAAGTCCGAAGGGCATCACAAGGTACTCGTAATGTCCTCGGCGTGTTCGAAACGCTGTCTTCCATTCTTCACCTGATTTCATCCGGATCAGGTTATAGGCTACTTTTAGGTCGAGTGTTGTAAACCACTGGGCTCCGTGCAGTAGATCTCGTAATTCGGAGATAAGCGGTAGTGGGTAGCAGTTCTTGATCGTAATGTCGTTAAGTTTCCGGTAGTCGACGCAGAGTCGTAGTTTGCCGTTCTTTTTTAGTACGAACAGGATTGGGTATCCTGCTGGTGATGTGGAGGGTCTGATGTATCCCTTCTGTAGATTTTCTTCGAGGTAAGCGTCGAGTGCTTCCATTTCTTTCTGGTTGAGTCCGTAGATTGCTTCTAGCTTTGGCTCCTTCCCTTCCTTAAGGGGTATCTCGTGGTCGTAGTTGCTGTGTTCCGGGAGTCCGGTCTCGAGTTCTTCGGCGAATAGCTTCTGGTATTGCCGGTATTCTTCTGGGATAGACAGAAGTCGGTCTTCCTTGCCGATGTCTGTTGCTGATAACGTCCTGGCGTTTGCATCCTTGATCCGTAGGTATGCTAGAAATCTCTTCGCTTCAGGAGTCTTGAGAGGTTCGTTTGAGGCACCGTTCCGTGGTTGCTTCTCAGTGACTGAATCCTGGTCCCAATGGAGTTGGCCTGTTCTCCAATCTATCCGTGGGTTACTGTCGTATAACCATGGTCTTCCAAGGATGACATCGTACTTGTCTCCTATCTCCGTAATATCGAAGTTGAGTCGCTCATTCTGGCCATGGATCTGCATTGGGAGTTGCGCTGTCTCCATAACAATGCGTCCTCCGCCGTACTGGACTTGTTCTCCTTCAACGGTGCTGAGTTCGTAGCAGTCTTCGGCTGCTTTTCTTTTCCAGGTTATCTTTCTTTCATTCACCGTTCTTGGTGATATGAAGTTTCCTTGGGCTCCGCTGTCGATCATGGCGGTAGCTGTTCTTCCGTTAAGCTGTATTTGGACTTGTACATGCTCGTGTCGTTGTGTCGTAGGCGTCGTTACGCTACATAGGGACCTTGTCTGGACTGCCTGTCGTTGTCCCTTGTCTTCGGTAGGCGAGTCTAGTTTTTTGACTGCTCGTCCGTTCCTTGTTCGTCGTTTTCTTGCTATTTCTTCCATGCTTCGTCTTTCTTGATATAGTGGACTCGGCACTGGTCTCGGTAGCAGTGATACCACTGTATTTCTTCGTCAGAGTCCTCTCCAGAGCTGGTGTCGTCGACTGAAGCGACTTCAAAGGCGACTTCCAGTTGGGCATGTTGACGGGCAACATCGCGAGGTGTTTCCGAGTCGTTGGGGGTGTTCTTGGTCGTTTCTGATTCGACCTGTTCTTCTAGTTCTTGGTTGATCTGGCGGATCCGTGCGGGATCTCCTTGTGCATGTTGTCGTCGTTCGATGTGTGCGTCCAGCGCACCGAGTTGTCGTTGCTACATAGGGTTTTGTAAGTCCTGTTGAATCCGCTGCAGGTGGGCTTGTCGTCCTGCGTAGAGGAGGCTCAGCCTTCGCTGATTGTCTTGTTCTAATTCCTCGTTGTCGTTCATACTGTCGAGCCGTTCGATTGTCTTGCGCTCGATTTTGCTGTTGCTTCTATATCCCGCAGCGAGGGTCCGTTTAGGTACGTTGGTAGTGTCGTAACCAGATCGTTCTTGAGGTTTCTGGGGGTACCATCCTGCGTGTTCCTTACTGCTAGAGTGGATATGGCAGTTGTCATCGAAGCAGGTGGTCTAGTTGAGTTGTTTATGAGGGATCGTCTTCGTGGCGATACTCGCTTGTCGTTTCTCTAGTACCGGTTGGAAGCGTTCCTTCTTGGGTGACCTGCATTCGTATGCTAGGTGTCCAATCTTCTGGCAGTTATAGCACTGTCTGTCTTTCTTCCAACTGTCGTTCTTTTTGTCGTTTCTCTGTATAACACTAAGGTCTATTGGTCTACTATGGTGACTATAGGCAGTACTTTGTCGGGGGTTGTTCCAGTTGTTGCGGGGTCTATTGTCGTTTCGCTGGTTGTTGAACTGGTGCTGAGGCTGCCACTGGTACTTGCGTCCTGAGTTGGGGTTTTGTCGTTTTTCGCCTCTTTCCTTTCGTCGTTCGAAAAGCCGGTTGTCGATTTTGATGGCGAGTTCGGCGTACTGGAGAAAGTCGTCAGGTCGATCAATCTTGATGATCTCGTCCTTGACTTCGTCCTTTAGTCCTTGATAGAACATGAAGATCTTGGTTTCCTCGGTGAGGTCGAGTTGAACGCTAAGTTGTCGGAAATTGGCGGAGTAGTCTTTGGCGGACTTAGTCTGCTTAAGTTGTGCCAGATCTCGTTCGGCTTGTCGCTTTTCGTCGGGGTCTTGGAAGAGTGACCTGAGCGTATCCTCGAATCCTTTAAAATTGGCGTAGATGTCGCGGGTCTCGGTGGTGCACTCGTCGAGGGTCTCGCATTTGAGGTATTCTTCCTGGATTAGTTTAAACCACTTGAGGGCCTTTCCTCGGAGGTAGGTGGCTGCGTGTACTACTTTTTCGGTTTCGTTGGTGAAATCTCTATGGTGAAAGTTCTGGTAATTTTTGACCTGAATCAGGAATCCTTTAAGGGTCCCGGGGGTTCCGTCGTAGGTGACAGGCGCACTGAGCTTGAGCTTTTGTCGTCCTCCGTGGACGGGCGTGGTGACGATGTTGGCGGCGGCCCGGAGGGTAGTGATTTCCCCCTAGAGTTCCTAGATCTTCCGGAGGTTGGCGTCCCCCTTGATGTCTTCTTCCAGCTTCTTGTAGGCCTGTCCAGCGTGCTGGAGTTGCTCGTTGAGGTTTTCCATTGCTTGTCGGTTTTCGTTAACGATTTTCTATATGTCTTTTGTCTCGGCTTCTTGTTTCTGGATTATGCGTCGGAGCTTATCGTAGCTTTCCTTGGTGAAAGAGCCATCTCCATCGGAGTCGTACTTGAGGTCCGGCATGTCGAAGTCCTTAGTGTTGGCGGGCTCCTGCGCGAGGCTCTGAGGCTGGTTGCGCGAAGAGGATGAGGATCCTGGAGTAGGTGATTTAGCAGAAGCGCGAGAAGACATCTTGTCTATACTGTTTAGTAGTTCTCAAAAGGTGACTTACTGAACAGGAGCAATCAAAGTGTTACGGCCAGCTAACTGACAGTGGGTTTGTGTTAACAGTAAGCCAGGGATTGAGAGTAGTAACAGTCGTTCCGTGGTCCTGGTCGAATAGATCGTAGATCTTCAAAGGTCTTGGTGATCAGTCAAGGCCTCAACAAGAGTCGTAGAGTAGTCGTCACTTAGGTATAGCTGAAAGTACCGGTTAGGGTAATCACAAAGTTGATTGCTGAAGAACTAGGAAAGGTAGGACTCGAGAGGACTCGAGTCCCAACTATATACAAGTCTGGTTCCATGCTGAACACTTCCTGATCCTGGGGGACCGACACCCAGGACGTCGGTCCATCGCCATGGACCGCCCTTAGCACCGTCGGTCCTGTCGATTGATTGATTGATTTATTCCTACTCGGTTATGGAGCCGCTCTTATGTCAGCAGCTATGCCCGGATAGCGGGGTCCGGCAGACAGCCGAAGCGTTCGAATGTTAATCCGAGCCGCCCCACTTCGCCAATGCGAAAACATTGACCAGCTGTCCCCAAATTCCTGCTTTGCACTTTAACCTCTATCTACATTTGGCGGCCACCTAATGTTGATCGCGGTTTCCTACTAATGTGACCTCTATGATAGGATCTGTCGAGTCCTAATGCCTCGTTCTGTGGTTCTGCGTACCTACAGTCTCCCCCCAATGTTCAGCTTTGTCTGGGTTGTGACTCGATCCTGAATTGCCCAAGGATCTCGGTTTGTTCCATGAATCTGATGGCTTTCGCGGCTGCTTTGCGTTCGTTCAATACGACCCGGAGGTTATGTCGTCCTGGGATGGCTCCTAGTTCCTGGCGTCGGAGTTGTCGAAACCTACGGCACCGCAACAGGACGTGCGATACCGTTTGTCGTCCTTCCCGGCATTGGCAGTTGGCGTCCGTGGCGTCCGGAACTCTTCGGTTGAAGAGGAAGTCCCTGAGTCCGATCTTTTCCGTGCGCATCTGCACGAGGATTGAGCTCTGTCGTTTGCTTAGCCTACTATGGAGCTGTAACACTTTCTTTGTTGGTTTCGGCGTGTGACGATGGGTGGTTCTACCTCGTGTCTCTCTCGACCACTCGGCTTGCCACGTTTTATTTGCCTCCCTATGCGTCCATGTCTTAAGCGTTGACCGGAGTGCGTATAGCTCCTTTGGTGTGTCTGCCTTAGTGCCCGTCTGGCCGTTCTGCCGCCAGCCTGTGGCTTCTTTGGCTGCTATGTCAGCGTCTTCATTGCCCTGGATTCCCGTGTGAGCGGGTACCCATCGGATCTCTGTCTTAAGTCCATGTTCCTGGAGTTTCTGTGTCTTGTCTGCAATGGTCTTGAGCAAGTAGGAGCCTGATTTGCCCTTCGGCTTGGCTGACGATCTGATGGCTGCTTGGTTGTCGGTGTAGATGAGGATTTTACTTCTGTTGTTCCCTTTCCGTTTATCCTCTTCCGCAATCTCGAGGGCGAGGATAATGCCTCGCAGCTCCCCTGCATAGACTGTTGAGGTGGCGTCATCTCCCATATATGAGCTACGGGTTTGTCGTGTAGTGTGGCATACCGCCGCTGCTCCTATGTGGCCGTTGATGCCGCTTCCGTCTGTATAGATATGTAACGCTTCATTTTCTATATCGAGACTTGTCTGGTGTTCCTTTGCTGCCGTTTCCGCAGTGTCTGCGATATATATGCGCGGCCCTTGCCACCATGGAGGGGTGATGAAGGGTGGGATCTGCTCGCTCGGTCTGGTGTTACTGCCCTGTTTGTTGTGAAGCTCTTGTTCGATTGTGTGTCTTGGGCTTAACCTTTGCTTCTTCTTTCTTCTTCTCTTCCTCCTATTCTGGGTGCTTTCGCAGCCTTGCTCTGGTGGGCCTAGCCTGTTGATCGTGTCGATGTTGTGTTTCCATATTCGTTGCTCCATCGGTAGCAGGTTCATTTCGACGTCGAGTGCTGGAGCGGACGTAGCCCTGAAGGCTCCGCACATTGCCCTTGCCGCCCTTGCTTGTAATCGTTTCAGTCTATTGAGAGTTCGGTCTGTGTATCCCTTTCCCCTCCAGCCGGAGTTAGACCATGCTGAGCAGGCATACATCATCTGTGGTATTGCTACTCCTTGGTATATTGTTCGCATTTCTTTGGTCTTCACTCCCCAGGTGGAGCTCCCGAGGCTGCTGATCGCGGAGATGGTTTTTGAGACTTTACGCTCTATCGCATCGATGTGTTGTTTCCATCTAAGTATGGCATCCATCGTGAGGCCAAGGTATTTGCATGTCGGTTTGGGGTGTATTTCCCCCCATTTGCTCTGTAGTGGAGTATTGGTATTGATTCTCGACCTTGCCCTTGTGAAGTGGACTAGTTGGAACTTTTCGGGCGCGAAAACGGAGGCGTGGGTTGTTGCCCAGTCCTCCGCTTCGTCTAGTGCATCTTGGAGCTTGCGGCATGTTTCTTCAGTCGTTTCTGCCCATGCTAGGATCGCTACGTCGTCTATAAACCCAGTGGCCAGTGTTTCCTGGCCTTGGTTACATCTGTCGAGGATATCTGCATTATAGAATAGGTATAGGATCGGTGAAAGAGGAGAGCCCTGTGGGATGCCGGTGGTGAGCGTGTAAGGCTCTGACCGGTATCCGTCGATGTGTATTTGGGTTTGTCTGTTTCCTAAGAAGCTAGTAATCCATCGTACTATGGATTCGTTAATCCGTCTCTTCCTGAGGTTGTGTAGGAGTCTCTGGTGTGACACGTTGTCGAACGCCCCCGAGACATCTAGGAGAAGGAGGCTCGCCGCCATCCCTTGTCTAGTGTTCCAAGCCTCATATATCTTATCGATAATGAGGTGTAGGGCATGTTCCGTCGATCTCTGTCTCCTCCCGCCCATATGGTTCTTAGGCAACAGGTTGTATGTCTCTGCTAGGTAGCTTAGCCTTTCCGCTATGATTGCATCCATAATCTTTCCGACTGTGTTGAGCAGCGCTATTGGCCTATATGCTTTCGGAACTGTATAGTTATCTTTACCTGGCTTCCGTAGCACTATGGTAGTAGATTTCCTGAAGTGCTGGGGGCAGTAACCGATGCGGAGGCTCTGGTTAAATGCCCTGGCTAGGTGAGGGCTGATCCATGGTTTGGCGATTTGTAGCGCTCTGTTCGTGATGCCGTCTGGGCCGGGTGCCTTACGCGGTGCTGTTTTCTTTATTGCTTCCTCTACCTCGTTCTCGGATATTGGTGGGAGCGTGATCTGGTCTCTATATGTTGCGTTTTGTATGTCCTCTAGGTTTGCTTCTGGTGGTGCTGGGAAGAATGTTTCCCGAAAGAGCTCTGCTTTCTCTTCAGGTGTGGTTGCCGTATGATTACTACCTGGCTTGGCGATTTCTGGCGTGACTGTCGGCATTTGGTTCTGTCTGGTTCTGGCCCATTTAGCAATCCTCCAGAGTGATTCTGGTGATTCTGCTGCTGTTTCAACCGCCTCGCGATGTGCCTTTTGTAGCGCCTTTCTTATCGTCCGGCCTTTCTTGTTTCGGGCTATGATATATTCTTCCCAGTTCTGTTCTGTGTGTTCCGCATAGAACCGTCTTCGGAGTCGTTTGGTCTCGGCCAGGACCTCCTCGCACTCTTCGCTCCAGCCGGCTCGCGATTTGGGGGACAAGATCTTCTTTGGTACCGCTTCTTCAGTCGCTATACTGAGGGCTTCAGTGATGTCCTGGACATATTTATCGAGGGCAGACTTTGTTCTTGGCCTCCTTAGTGGTGGGAGCTCCCTTTTAATAGCCCTTATGAATACCCTTTCGTCTAGGGCTTTCCAGTTTCTCCTTTCCTCTGGTTGTAGTTGCGCGATTGTGAGGTCTAGCGACGTTGCTATCGGAAGGTGATCTGAATCGTGGTTTACTTCGTCTTCTATGCCGCACTTAATAAGCCTTTCGATGAGTCCTACTGTAAGTAGACACAGGTCTATCGTTGAGCTATAGTCTCCTTCCTTGTATGTGATTGTTCCCGCGGGTAGCTGGTTGATGAGGTCGGAGTCGTCCATGAGTTCTACCAGTTCCCTGGCTCCCGCGTCTGTCGTTCGAATGTCGCTTCCTCCCCATAGTTCGTGGTGGAGGTTAAAGTCCCCCACCACTATTTGCTCGATGTGATTGTTGGTTTCTAGGGCTGTTCGTAGTTGTTGTAGGACCGTTTTCTCTCCCTCTTCCTGATTTTGGGGATTATATATGTTGTGTATGGCAATTTTGACGCCCTGGTCAGTCTCTGATCCAATGGTGAGGGTACAGAGATCCTTGCTGTGTTCCTTAAACTGCCACTTAGAGTGGTCCAGCTTTTTGTTTACGAAGAAGCAGACCCTGGCTGGGCCTCCCTCTCTGTTCGACGGATAGCAGAGGTGGAAGCGGTCCTTTGCTGGGTGGTGTGTTGTGGCGTTAAATGGGTTCTTCCATGGTTCCTGGATAGCGATGATGTCGTATTTATCGATCCGAGGGTCGCGGAGGAGCGTAGCCATAACGGTGTCTCTTGATTTTCTGACGTTATACTGTAGTATTGTAAGTGTATGTTGTGTTATCATTCACTATCGTCGACTATTTCCATGTTGTGGCTGTTGTGTATCGTCTGCGTGTTTACGTCTATAGCTTCTAGTGCTCGGCGGGAGGGCATTATTACCCTCCTTGGTCTGGGCTTCTCTGGGGCGACTGTGATTGTGTTTTCGTCGTTTTTGTTGTTTTCATGCTGTGTATCGCCGCCTGTTGACTTTTGGCGTTTCTGTACTTTCTTCTTAATGGGTGATCTGCTACGCCCCGGGCGGGTATCCTGAGTTGGGCCTGGTTCCAGTACCGGCCTTGTTGTTATTCCAGTTTGGGGTTCCGTCTCCTTAGCGGTTGGGGATGTCTTCGCCTCTGGGTGGTACCGTGGTCGTTGTCTATAGGCCTCCTTGATCTTGGCTAACTCGCGCATCCTAGTCGGGCAGCGGCCGTGCCAGGCCTCGTGTTCTCCATGGCATGCTGCACACTTCCGGGGTGTGTCTGCGTCGCTCTTCGTAGGGCACTCTCGGGTCGCATGTTCTTGCGCGCAGTAGCCGCATGTTGTCGTTGCCTTGCACTGGGTTCCTATGTGGCCGTATGAGTGGCATCTGAAGCATTGCCTCAGACGGCACTGTCTGTCGTATCGTTCGCATTGGAACACCTCTCCTTGCCAGATAAGTCCTTCGTCGATAAGTCTATTGGCGTCTTCCGCTTTTGAGAATTCAACTATGACGGATGATGCTGACTTGGTGTTGGCGGATCTCGTCAGCCATCCAATGTATTTAATCTCTGCTGTAGGGATAAACGCCTTGTTGTCCTGTAATAGTTCCTCTCGTAGTTCCGTGAAGCGCTCCATGTCCATTGTGCTTGTGCGTATGCCGTGGGCGAGGATCCCGTATGTCGGTATCCGTACCGCGGCCCCTGTGCCAATACGGTGTTCCCAGTCCTCGGCGAACTGGCGTAGGGCTTCCCTTTCTGTGGCTGTGGCTGTTTTGATACTGAGGTCTCCGCTCTTCAACTGGTTTGCGGATACTGTTTTCAGTTTACGGATATGTTCATTGTTGCTCTGTTCGATAGCGCGGTCTACGTGCGCCTTAAGGGAGCGGGGGTTCATAGCTCTTATGCTGGCGATTGTAACAGGGTCTCTAATGTTTACAATGATTTCGCGGAGGGTCTGGACATGGTTCGGTCTTTGGTTCTGCGGGTTATGTATGCTTCCTACGAGTCCTCCTCTGGCAGCTACGCTAGCATAAGACTGCGCGGCGCTTCCCTGATTCATTGGTCCCAGTGCTTTGATGTCCCTCACCATTTTGGCTGTCAGTTCGCCAACTTTCAGCGCCTCCTTAGCGGTAGCGTTAGTATCCTTCGAGGTGTTTGTATTCTGTGTGATTTCGGCTGTGTTTTGCTGAATGGCGATTCTCAGGCTGCTTGTGGTACGGGTAGCGTTCTCATTCGCTGCCTTGGTCTCCACTCGCAAATTTTCAACTGCTTCGTGAACGTGGCTGATATCAGGGATGTGCTGTAGTTTGGCAAGGAGGGTAAGGGTTCCGATGAATGCGGATCTGATGCCCTTCGGCTCGATTGGATGTCCATTTGCGTTATCGATAGATTTCAGTGCTGTCTGTAGGTATCTGCTGAGTTCCGTGGCGTGCTCTCGATAGGGCGATGGCCAGGTCTGATCCTTGGGCCATGGGGTCGCCATGGTGCCTACGTCGCTTTGGGCTTTACGACGAGCACACGGCTATCCAGTTGACCGGTTAGATCGTGTTTTGGTGCTGTTTTAACTCCGATTTTCAAGAATTTCGTTCTCGCTGTTGTTGATGTTTTCCCGTCGGTCCTGTCCCAGGACCGCTTATCGTCCGTCGGTCCTGCTTATCGTCACGTGACCTGTATCCTAGTTCTTCCGTTCCGTGGGGGTTGTTACGACGTAACGGCTGACGGCCGTCCCTATAACCGCTGAGCCCCTGCGGGGTCGTCGTCAGTGGTCTGTTAACTGTCGGGTCGTAACACATAGCCCCCTACGAGGCTTTATAATAATCCGTCGGAGGTTAGATCTTCCGGTTCCGGTTGATTAGGTGCATAGTCTATACGCCTAAATCGATAAATAAATAGGAATTTAGTAAAGCTTAGAACTTCTTCCTTTTCCTTACGCTAAGCAAAGTTTAAGTATATAACCCCTACTATATAGAAATTTATAACGCTTTCTATACTGTTTTATAAAGATTTAGTTTTTATCTTTTATTATACTTCTATTTTCTTTTATCTTCTCTATTTTTGATTTTTTTTTCCGATTTTTTAAGCTTTTGTATATTTCTATATAATTATTTGCTAACTATTAGCTTTTATATAGATTTGCATATCCCCGGGCGCTAGGCGTCGCCCCCGTCATATTACGTATAGTTTTCTAGCAAAGCTTTATAATATCTTATAATATCTTATAACATCTTATAATATCCTTATAATCCCGAACGATACTCGATATTACTTTATACTACCGTATATCTGTTACGACCCGTTGGACATGGTCGCCAACACGACCCCGCCTGGATCCCGGCGGCTAACGCAGGGCATATGTAACCCAGCCGACAGGTGTAACCAGGGATCCTCGGAACGGAAGAACTATGGACAAGTCACGTGGCCTCGGGGATAACGCGGGGTAGGGACAACCCGGGCTGGATATGTTGGATATGTCAGATATCCAACCGATCCCCGGATATGTTGGATATGTCAAATATCCAACCGATCCCCGGATATGTTGGATATGTCAAATATCCAACATAGCCAAGATAAGGAGGACCGTTCAGGACTTGTATATAGGATGGACTCGAGCCGGGCTCGAGGACAGACTTCCATAGCTCTTCAGCAATCAACTTTGTGATTACCCTAACCGGTACTTTCAGCTATACCTAAGTGACGACTACTCTACGACTCTTGTTGAGGCCTTGACTGATCACCAAGACCTTTGAAGATCTACGATCTATTCGACCAGGACCACGGAACGACTGTTACTACTCTCAATCCCTGGCTTACTGTTAACACAAACCCACTGTCAGTTAGCTGGCCGTAACAGAAGGCTCTTGGGAAACACGCCTGGTTGGTAAAACAGAATGTGACGATAACGTTAATGCTCACCAGGCACACCGTGCGAGTTGTGTTTACGTAAGCCCTCTGAAATGCATATTGTTTCTTTCTGAATCAATTTACTCTTTTACAACTTCTCGAGTCTGATTCCTACGTGCCTAGTTCGTCCCGAAAGATCTGCAGGCTAACTAGTGCCGTTTGATCTCCTAACGACTCGCCATGTTAAAAATATCTCAATATCGGACGCGGTGGCCGATCGGATCAGTTCAGGGCGTCTTGGCGCCACAATATGGGGTGTGTTCTCCGATACGCAAGCACGATCAATGCATTTTGTACCCAAGGCTTCAATACTGAGCATTTCTTATGCTACAGTTTCGCTATAGTGTCAATATGGTCGTACTAGTTTTCCATAAATTCGAAAGAGGAACCATTTGTTTACTATTTCATTCCTAACGGTTAACAGGCGGTTTGATGGTGAGGGCTTGGCTTGATCTCGTCGCTCTTAATTTGGGCTATTCGCCAAACAACATAAATCACTCGATAAAATATTAATTTACTACAAGGTTGAAGTAAGATTTCAATGGTTTACATCATAAGACAGCGCAGCATCCAGCTGAGGTAAAAACAAGATTCTCCGCTATAACAACATCATGTTGTTTAAACATCACAAATGGTTCTCATTTCTAGTTTTTTATTAGCAGATAAATCATGTGGACCCTTGAAAAGATGGTATCACGGTGGAGAAGAGGACACTAGGGCGGCATGTTCGCCCAAGATCACCTAACCCGGTGCCACCAAGCCCAGGTCAGATTTGTCAACTTCACAGAATGTCAGGGACAAACGCACACGTGTTCCTATTTTCTTATTTCATTGATGTATTCATGCATCACCAGGTCAGGGCCTCTCTTGATAAAAGGCTTTGTTTGTGACTTCTGGCGTCTTTTCGGCATAAAGACAGCCGAGGAATGAGGGGAAAACTTGGCGATCTTCCTACCCCAGACTTTAACCACGCCTTTTGTTACCACAAATGACGATTGGAAGGATGAAGCAAGCGGGGAAGCGACCCAAAATAGGTTGTCTAGCATTGCACACCCGATCCATACAGGTTCTATATCTAAGAAATACATTAAGCCGTAGCCTTCTGCCATTATTGTTCCAGTGGCACTATGCGGACTCTAAAAATCATCAAGATGTTGTTCTCAATCGCTCCTGTTGCTTTGACCTTCCTGACACTCATATTCCCTGCAACAGCAACGCCACAACTTCCTCCTCGTCGGCCAAAGTTCTACTACGGCCATGACATTTCCAGCGTCAAGTGGCTTGAGGATTCTGGGGCGTCCTTCAAGGATTCGGCCCGCCATAACAAGACAAGACCACTCGAGGACATACTTGGAGATGGCGGTATGAATGCGGCGCGACTCCGGTACACATTCCATTCATTAGCGAACGGTTTCTCATTGTGTTTGTCGTTGACTGTGAACCAGCCTCTGGGTCGATCCTCCCTCAGGAGACCACAATCTGGAGTACAATCTTGAGCTCGCCTCTCGGCTCTACAAAAAGGGTTACGCAATCTATCTCGATTTTCATTTCTCGGACAACTGGGCCGACCCGGGAAAGCAAATTACGCCAGCAGCTTGGCCAACCACTTTCGATGCTCTGTCTAAAACCCTTCGCAATTATGTTAAGGACACGCTAATTGCTTTTCACAAAGCCGGCATCGACCTCGCCATTGTCAGTCTCGGAAATGAAGTCACCCATGGGATGCTTTGGCCACTTGGTTACGCAACTATTGATATCCATCCCAAATCGTCCAGAATCGCCAATTTCACAGACTTCGCCAGACTTTACACGTCTGCTCGTGGAGGGGTGGATGATGCGGTCCGTCGTGGCGTTTCCAAGCCTGACACGATGCTTCATTTATCCTTTGGCTGGAACTCGACTCTTCAGGAGATCTTCTACGAAACCCTCATCGAGACGGGAATCGTGAAGCCTGCGGATTGGGACGTTTTTGGCATCAGTTTCTATCCTTGGAACGGACTCCGAGCAACCTATGACAATCTGCGCAAAACAATTGGTGTTTTCACTTCGCCTCCATACGTGAAACCGGTCCATGTCGTCGAGACAGATTACCCCGTCTCATGTCCCGCTCTGAATATATCAAATGCTGATAGACTTACCCTTAGTCCCCAAGGACAGACAGACTGGGTTCGGGAGGTTGTTGACATTCTGAAAGAGACACCCAAGAATCTCGGCAGGGGTATATGGTACTGGGAACCCGCGTCTATCGACAATCCGCCACTGGGAAGTGCATGCGAGGATGTGCTTCTTTTCGACCGCCAAATCACAAGTGATTCCAAGCTGGTCGGTTACTCAAGAGAAAGCGTTAACATGTATAAACCAAAGAAGAGGCACGAATGAAGGGTCAGACCCCGACTAGGATTACAATGACAGCGACACACCAACCTTTGGTATACATGTAAAATACACAGGTCCTATCCCATTGAACTAAACATTCAAAACCATATATAACAAAAGGCTGAGCGTGATGAGGACGACGAGTAAAATCCTAAAATCTAACAGTTTGTATTTCCATTCGACTCAACTTGCGAGTAGCTAGGTACCTTTGCAATCATTACAGTGGGATAGCAAATTGAAGAGCACACCTATGGTATCTCAAGATTACATTTGGGTGGTTATTTTATTTGATCATTCTTTGTAGACGTAAGATAGCGGCTAATCCTCTTATCAAAAGTCGCCTCACTTGCGCAAATAGCCTTGATAATGCCATCATGATGCGCTGATGCGATCAGGTTACACGCCGTTCAAAGTCAGTCGAGCAGGATGGGTCAAGTTTAGTAGAGAACAATCTGTAGAAGTCGCATCGCCAAGCCAAGCATGACCGCGCATGAGAATAGCAAACATGTCGTAGTACAGCTCATTGCACTAGCCTATCAGCAATAGAATACTTACGTTTTTAGCTGTTAGAAAAGCATTCCCAGCCGATAATAGACACCTAGGCTCGGCTAACAATGAGCTCCGCTGAGGACGACTTATATTGTAACTGTTTTGCATGTAACCTACTTCTCCTGCTGTGCATGCAACCTATTTTTTTCTGAATAGAATGGGGTATGGAGCGTGGTGCTGGCAGCGAACGCCGAAATGCGAACCGGTGCAGGGAATGCTTCGACCGCCAGAATCCAAGTAACTGTGCTCCAACGGAGGCTTTTTTTGAGGTGTATCTAGTACCATGGAAGTAAAGATAAAAGGGCAAGCTAAGCGCCTCTTCGTCAAATCCTCTCACATCACAGCTTCAAAACCATTTGTCCAACGTCATAAGAGTCCCTAAAGCTCAATCTTTTGTCCCCCCTATTCATTATCCAGAAATCGACATCATGGCGACTGGTGGCGACATCAACTTCGGTCCCGAGAAGGCTGCGACACGGGTCGGTCCAGTTGACTAGAATATTTGCGGCACTTGCGGCCTGAATTACAACGGAACTGCTAATGTTTGCACATGCAATGACTCTTCCAAAGACACTCGCATCGTGGTGAGTCAAGAAAAGACTTTGCCACCGACTAAACTCACCTATTTTCAGTCCCGTATCGCCCGGTCTGGTGTCATTTTGTGCCCCATAGCAATGCCGTTGAATCTATCATACCGGTTGCAACACATCGTCAAGGAAAGGTTGACTGTGGGATATGTCCGGCTTTCAATGAACAATGTTCTTGGCAGCTTGTTATGGAAGAACAAACAAATAGAAAGATTAAACTTCAATGCAAAATATTGAACAACCTCCAATGCCTGGATGTTTCATCCTCTGTAGCCCGCCGGTAATGTGCATGACCATTTCTTTTTTTTAACAGGCTCATTGTACTGGACCTTCTTTCAGCCACTGATCCCCGCATCTTCTCCTATCCCATACGTTTAAAGCCAAATGAATTCCCTTTCGACTTTGATTGGAACTGCTGCCTCGTCAAACGGGTGTGGTTCACAACGCACAAGACATACAACTATGCTTCGCTGTGATGGAATATGTCGAGGGAAGTACTTTACAAGAAGCCTGGGACCAGATGAGCAGCAAGAACCAGCAATCCATTGTGGCTGAATTGGTTGGAGCTTTACGTCACCTACACACTTTACGGCTTTCCGACGGCCGCGTTCAAGCTCTGCTACGACAAGCATTGAATGAAATGCTTGCAGAAGGGTTCCAAGACGCAGTCATTGGCGGCCCAGGTATTGGGTTTCTCAGAGATGGCTCAGCTCTTCTTGGTGCCGTCAGCAAGAAAATGGGGTTGAAAAGGCCTTTTCACACGGCGGAGGCCACTACCTGTCCCGACGGCATTGTGCTTCGGTCTCACTATGAAGATCTTGGTCCCGTGAAGCTCGAAAGCTCCACCATGGCGCAATGGGGACATGAAGCCGTGTTTTGCCACAATGACCTTACTCCCCGCAACATAATGGTCCAGCTATTCAACAATACTGATGGAACCTCGACCTATAAGCTTAACGCCATTATTGACTGGGAACTTGCCGGGTTCTATCCGGCTTCGTACGAGCTGAGCCTACAAGATACCTACCTCAGTGGTGGTAACTGGCTGATTTCCTACTACCTGCTTCTCAAACGGCAGATGAAGGATTTGGTACCCAGTTCATCGTCTCAAGTTTCTTTGCTACGGGCTATGGAGCTCCTGTTCGAATCTCGACAGAGGAGACTGGCGGAGTGTTCCAACATCCCAGCACACATTCGCAAACGATTCATAGAGAGACTGCAACTGCGTCGCGATGAGGATCCTTACATTGGCTGAACGCCAGGTATACAGGGAGCGTCACAACCTTCATTGTCTGGTACCGAGGCCCAGAAGCTTGAAGATGACGTTGTTGCCGAAATGATTGCGATGGGGCAGTTGAAGTCGGCACATTGAAGTAACGCTTGGTTGATCAGGCGCATTCTACAGTTTCAAGCCGAAAGGAGGGTTATAACTTGAACTATGAAGCACCGTGAAATACCATTTTGTACGTCTTATAAGGACTTTGGACGAGATAAATACGTCGCTTACAATGGACACGATTGGTGGTTTTCTCTTAACCTATTCTATATTCCGTTCTCGCTATCAAGTTGGTAGAAAATTGGCTTCGGTTTGCCCTGAGTGGCTGTTGTCTCTCCTGCGAGAGTATTGTGGTCACACAGCACTCATTATGGGATAGGTTTTGCTTATTCATGATTTTTACTAAGCTTAAATGATGTCTTGGCCGATAATAGGCGAAAGTACAATTGGCTGGCAGGTTTTTCGCTCACCGCTATGCTTCTAACCTCAACAACAGTGGCTATCCCGAGAAGACCGCGGTCCCTAGCTAAGAGCAACAAACAAACCTAACTAACCCGACAACTATAGCCGGTCGACATCTATGTCCTTCAAAAACTACAACGAAGTACCAGTTAGAGAATCAATTCGCAAGCTGAACTCTGACTCTTGGGTCGTTGGCAACCATATTTTTATTCTACGAGTTCAGAATCCCTCCGCTTTTCCGCATGCATGGAGCGACGGCAAAGGCGCCTATTTTGCCGTTTCGTATTATAATGACCAGATAAAGACCAGCTCACATGAAGAACCACTTCCTGCAGATGGCCCCATTCAAAAGGTCTACGACACCGGCAATACAAACGCTGTCTGGAGCATCGGGGATGCCTTCCTCAAAATCCACACACTGCATTCGAACAACCATACCCGCGAGCATACTGTACTCAGGTACCTCCACGACCCAACAAAACCGACATTAAGTTTTCCCATACCTCAAACTATATTTCATGCGGAATTTGAGGGCCGCTACTACCTCATCACTAGCCGCGTTTCGGGCCAGACGCTAGAAACTGTGTGGCCTTCTTTGACGGAGTCATCAAGACAATTTTGCGTCAACCGTGTCTGTTATGGAGGAAAGGGGACTGCTATTTGTGGCGTCGATAACAAAGATCTGAATGAAAATTGGATGGCCCCTCCTGGTCAAGAGGACCGCAGTCCCCAAGCTCAGTTTGGATACTGTAGTGAGATTGGTATGGACTGCTCAGATCTAGTGCTGTCCCACAACGATATGGGTCCTTACAACGTCATTGTTGACTTGACCCGAATAGATCAACCATCAGTTGGTATCATTGATTGGGAAATGGCTGGCTACGTGCCGCGCGAATGGGTCAGGACCAAATTTCGCATTTGCCATGCCATGGACTTCGACTTTCCTGGACACGATAGCGAGCGGATGAGTCAGCGTACGGAGTGGAGGAGGCGCGTGCAATTGAGATTGGGAGAAGAAGGCTTTCAAGACGTTGGCGAGTCATATATGACACGGTTGCGCCAAACATGAACCTTTGGTGTTTTGAAATCGAAGGAAGAGCTCCAGGTTCCACTCCGCTCGATGCAGTCCATTCTCTTTCCATTACCTAGCCTGATGGAAAAAAAAAGAACACCCTCAAAACATACTATCACCTAGCTTAACACCACCCTACGTTCTCAGTCTCTCAATTTCTATCCCAATCCTAGGCTCAATGGCAGATGTTGTCCATTTTAACCTGTTGACGCCAAGAATTGCATCTCTGACCACAAAAAGTTGGAAGAATGGGAAAACACACAGTTGTGTAAATGGATACTATAGAACGTCAAGCCTATCGACAGGAATATAATGTATTGATTGAGATGAACTATTTCATAATCTCCAGCGAGGTTGTAAAGCTAAGCTTTTCTTTCTTTTCCTCTTGACTGGCTTCTTTCCATCGCCTCTAAATTTGCGTTCCTGACCTTGTGTTGGTGCACGCTGCCTTGGCATGGCTCAGAAGTTCCGTCAATCCTGAAATCCCTGATCTTCGGCTTCTCGCATCGTGCGCAAAAGTAGTTGAAATATCAATCCCAAAATCCTGTTTGTTGCATTCAGAGGCTGCCCACAATAACTGTAGCATCGTTATGGTAGACGGCTCCGTGTATTCATGCAGTGACGGCTTGGTAGCCCCTGAAGATGATGGGTCTTACCAGTAGGTGAAATATCTCTCTTCCAGCTGCCTACCTATACGGCTAGTGAAAAGTGCTTATCCACGCGATGTCTACATAGCCGATAATAGTCGGTAGCTTTGTCGGTCACGGAGCCACTTCAACCCGGGATTCCGACAATCGCAATCAACACCGAAGTTTTCCTATCAAATGCGGGGTGACCTCAACTTCGCCATCAAGTTTTGCCGAATCATACACTAAGATTTATAGTAGATCTACCATGTACTTACATGGTACTAAACGCCTTGGGTATGCCAATCACTATTCATGCATAATGCTACATTAAAACAGCGAAGAATTTACTGCTTGTGCATCACTGCGGTGCGGAGAAAAAGTGGCTCTCAAAGCAGGAACTCGAGGGCATGGCGAAAATGAGGCCACTCCGCACTCCGACTTGATGCGATGGCGTATTCGCTGATCTCATCAATTGCTACCACTATTGCGACATTAACGGATAACAGGGAGCACGGAACATGGATTTCATTTGAGTAAGGTCCACAACACTAACTGATGCTAGACTCAGTGTGAGAAACAGTTTGCGTGGACATGTACCCAGACAAGTTGTGGTGCTTTTTGATGAAGGTGCTATTCGTAAATGAAGTACTATCATCATCGCTTCTAACAGCGAGAGATCTCAAAAATTCATTTATACTATTTTTCCCGCGTCACATCATCTCCTCGAGTCTACAGTCTCATTTCTTTTCAAACCGATCAAGCCTGTAAGGAGACAACAAAGGGCCGCTCACATTCCTCAAAATCTGCTTGCTAAGCAAGTCGCCAACGACAGCAGCATTGGTTACACCAGAGTGCATGACAGCAACAGTTAGACCGCTCAGGCCAGTTGGGCCAAGAATGGGCAAGCCGTCCTCTGGGTCTGGCCGCACGCCGATGGTGTAATAATCATACTCGAGCTTGTCTCCGCCTTTGAAAGCCTTCTGCACCTTGGCGAATAACTCGTCTGCCGCTTTTTGGGGATCGCCGTCAGTGTCACCGCCTGAAAAGTCTTTGCCGGACCTGATGCGTCCCTCAAGTGTCTGGCGCATGTGCAGTTGGTCGCCATTAATCAATGTGTTCAGCAGATTCTCCTTAGTTGGTCGGGTGTTGATGAGCAGACCCTCTCGGCCTGAAAGGGGAAGCCTAATATTCTCTGCCGCTAGAAGCGGGACGCTCCCGAGGCCGGCCGCAAGGACGACATGGTCGGCCCGCACCTCTCCGTCAGGTGTAATGACGCCTCCGATGCTTCCGTGTTCGTTTTTGATGAATCCAGTGACCTTAGTTTCCAGAAGCTTTGCACCAAAGGCAGCTTCCGAATTTTCGATCAGTTGAATGGCAACAAGCTCTGCTTCCATAGCGCCCTCTTGGCCAGAGAGAACGGCCCAGTCAGGTACACCGTTACTCTCTAGCTTGGGTTCGATGTCGGTAATCTCGGTCTGGTTGACGCGGACAATGTCGTAGCCCCATGCTGCATGATTTTCGAGGAATTCCTCAAGCTCGTCTTCGGGCTGGTTCCAGCTCAGCGCCTTACTCCAGTGAATGGGCAGGTTGGGCAGCTTCTTGTTTATCTCTATCCATCGTTCAATGGAGCGAATGCGAAAGTCGTAGTAAGTTTTGTCTTCCGTCGCCGCATTGATCCACGCAAACGAGTTTGGCGTCGCGACGCCCCCGAGGTCTTCGGCGATGACGGTAACATTCGCCTCTGGAGCGAGATGCCAGGCGATGGAGGCGCCGACGATGCCGCCGCCCACAACGACAACGTTTGGCTCCGGAGTAACGCTCATGGTTTCCCAACTATGGTGCAAAAAATTACTTAGCTGACGATCGAAACCAAAGATGTAGTGAAAGAAGTCAACGACGATTAAGACATAGGAGAAAAGCTTAAGCCGAGGGTAGGAAATATTCTGTCTTTAAGTACAATCTTCGCTTCCATTGACACTCTGAACGGCACCCCCGACTTTAGCTGCATTCTCACTCCACCTTATCTGATAGCATTGTGGCCAGAGTGCGGAGCAGATGGCGGAGCAGCCAATAACGGAGGTTGGCAAATCGACCCCCAATGCATGTCACATCCGAAGCCGGCTCGGATGCTTGGCATTAGACTCCCTGTCCGTAAGACAGCGGGGTGCCTATCATCTAGGCGCCGGCATTTTTGCAGTTCGCCTGCAACATTTGTGCCCGCGGCTCACAAGGCTGAGCCTTATGATTCCACATGTAACTTAAACCTGTCAGCCAGCAAACGTGAACAAGCATCTAATTAGCAAAGACCAGGCGTCTGCTGCCCTGTGACATTGCTCACATGTCTAACCCCTTAGACTACACTGTCGGCTGGATTTGCGCAATCACTACGGAGTTCATTGCCGCCCAGGCTTTTCTCGATGAGAAACATGAGGATCCCGACGCTGTTGCTCCGAACGACAATAATGTCTACGCTCTGGGGCGAATGGGGAAGCATAATATTGTAATCGCCGTCTTACCGAAATCGTCATATGGCACAACATCTGCCGCAGTAGTCGCTAGGGACTTGGTTCAAAGTTTCCCGAACGTCCGCATCGGATTGATGGTCGGCATTGGCGGCGGTGCGCCCAGCTTGATGCACGACATCCGCCTCGGCGATGTTGTAGTCGGATGTCCTAGTATTAGAGAGGGCGGCGTTATTCAGTACGATTTTGGTAAGATGATTCAAAATCAGGCTTTCGCTGAAACCACCCATTTGAACCAGCCACCTCAATTGCTGCTTACAGCTGTAGGCGCTCTTGAGGCCAAATACGCCCTGGAAGGCAACGAGATAAATGACGCGGTAGAAAGCGCACTAGAACAGAGACCGCGGTTACGGAAGACACATTCACGGCCACCGACAGACAGCGACAAGTTATATGCCTCTGACTATGTCCACCCGGTGCAATCTACTGCATCTTGTTCAGAAGTCTGCGACCCAGATCGTGTCGTTGTAAGGCGGCAGCGCGAGGACGATGATGAAAGTCAGCCTGCCATCCACCATGGATTAATAGCCTCGGCAAATCGGGTCATGAAAGATGCACTGAAACGAGACGAAATGGCTGCCCAAAGAAGTGTGTTATGTTTTGAAATGGAGGCAGCTGGCTTGGTGAACCATTTCCCCTGCCTAGTGATCCGCGGTATCTGCGATTATTCAGACACACACAAAAACAAAGCCTGGCAGGGTTTCGCGGCCATGACTGCCGCAGCGTACGCAAAAGATCTGCTCAAGCAGATTGCACCCACCAAGGTTGAAGCAGAAACAAAAATCACAGATGTACTGCAATCTAGTAAGCGTCATCAGACTTTCTGTATCTGTTCGTCGGAACTCAACTCACGCAGAACATAGTTGAACAAAGTCAACTCCAGCACACCCAGGCGTTGAACGAAACAAAAGCTGTGATTGAAGACGTGAGGACGGGTGCGCACCTCAATCGCATCAAAAAGTGGCTTAACCCTCCTGATGTATCGGTCAACCTCAATCATGCGAGGCAACTACGTCACCAAGGCACCGGCCTATGGATCTTTAACTCATGGACCTTCCAGCAATGGGGCATCGGGATACGCCAGCACTTATGGCTCTATGGCTTGCCGGGGTGTGGTAAGACTGTCCTCAGCACCACAATTCATGATGCACTTGTGATACAAGGCATTCGTGTCGTGTTGCAATTTTTCTTCGATTTTGGTGACGGGCAAAAGCAGACAGTGGATCATTTGGTCCGCTCACTCATATTCCAGCTTTATACCGTTACAGTTGGTACTCAGAACCTTGAAATCTTGCAGAAGCTTGATAGTCTATTGAGCTCAAGCACTAATGGAAGCAGCCAGCCAACGATGACAGAGTTGTCAAACTGTTTTGCTTCAATGCTAGAGGCTGCCGACGATGTTTGCATAATCATTGACGCGCTAGATGAATGTTCGAATCGGAAGGAGCTCTTAACCTGGATAACATACCTCGCTTGCTCCCCTTGCCTCAGACACATCAAATTCTTGATCACGAGTCGTCCAGAAGAAGAATTCCGACAGAGAATTCCACTCATAACAGGAGTAGATAACTGTAAATCTCTTGATGTGGCCCATGTCAACGCAGACATTTGCTCCTACGTTCAATCTAGGATAAGAACAAGTCCCGGTTTTAGAAGATGGGCGTCCCGACCTCTGGTTCTTCAACAAATTTGCGACCAAGTTGGACAAAAGGCTGATGGAATGTGAGTCTTCATTCAATCTCATTTCAACGCATATAAGTTTGATAAATGACTAATCCATGTGCAACAGGTTCAGATGGGCAGCTTGCCAATTGGATTGCTTAGAAGAGTGTCTTAGTCTCGAGGAGATTGAGGCTACCCTCAGAAGTCTACCCAAGGACCTTAACGAAACATACGGAAGAATAGTCGATCGTATTCCACAGAACCGTAAGATGAAAGCGACGCGGCTTTTACAGTTTCTTATTCATTCATCTCGACCTCTACTCTTGGAAGAAGCGGTGGACCTACTAGCTGTGAAGCCACAAGGATTCGACCAGGAATACAGACTCCCCGATCCGAAAGAAATTCTTCGATACTGCCCAAGTTTGGTTTCGGTGGTAGTTGAAATGTCTTGGAACAAACGACTACGGAAACTTCAACTTGCTCACTTCTCTGTAAAAGAGTACCTTCTCAACTCCGGACGGAAGGAATTTGGGCCATACGACACTGGTATCGCGATCACTCGCACCCTTCTTGCCTACTTGAAGAGTTCATCTGGTATCCCGTACCCGAAAAGCTTGTCTGAGTTTCCTCTACTCAGGAAGGCTGCATATTGGACAGAGTTCGCTCGCCTTTCAGATGACTCAAGGGACGTAATCGAACCTGCTGTCACCTTCTTGCAGAATGAAAGGCTGTTTCACTTCTGGGAGAAGCTGGACGAGGATACTAGACGCAAAGAGGATAAAAACGGTACATTATTGCCCTGGCCAAAAGAAACTCTACGGAAAGATGCCCTGTCTCTTGCCTGTGCGTATGGGCTACGTAACATAGTTAAATCTCTGTTAGCTTGTGGGGGATATCTAGACACCCCACACCGGGCGATGACTGCTCTTCAAGCCTGTAGCTTCTCTGGGCTTTGCGATATAGCAGAACTCATCCTGAACATGGGATTTGATGTCAATACCGAGGGAAGTTATTGTGTTGTGGCATATGCCGCAAGCCACGGCCGAGAAGATATGGTCAAGTTGTTCCTTAATCGAGGGGCAAATGTCAATTTGCACAAGACAACCTACCAGTTCACTACTCCAGTCGTGGAAGCTTCCAGATACGGTTATCAAGACATCCTGCAAACGCTCTTAGAAACCGGGGCTGATGTTGACTGGGATGGTCGCGAAGGAGCACTACATGAAGCTTCGTACTTCGGTCATGAGAGAGTTGTTCAGCTACTCCTAGCTTATGGGGCAGATGTCAATGCGAAAAAAGCCTGTGGGAGCGCTCTGCTATCTGCCACACGCGGCAATCATGTTGAAGTTGCTCGCCTTCTTTTGCAAGCAGGAGCGGATGTTAATTCAAGCTCGGCCACGAATGACACTCCGCTCATCAACTCTATAAGAAATGGGAATGTAGCGATTGTGAAGCTACTTTTGGAACGTGGCGTAAGAACCCGGCCACCAAACCGGCAGCTCCTAGGTCATTCTACAGATACAGCTCACAACGCCTGGGCACTGAAGAGATTGTCAAGGAGAGACGATCCTCTTAGAGAAGCTGCAGAGTATGATCAACTAGAAATCTTACAGTTAATCATACGCCACGAGAAAATGAATGAGAAGCGAGAGAAGCAAGACTGCCTGGAGGCATTGAAGGAAACCATACGTAACGGCAACTTCGAAGCCACCAAGACCATGCTAGAATACGGAGCCGATGCAAATGCGGAAATAGAAAATTACGGCTCCGTAATCATCTATGCATGTTTGCTACACCAACAGGAGATTGTTCGACTTCTTTGGGAATTCGGCGCAGACATAAGTGTGACAGTCCCTACCAACGCCTGGGGCATGCTTCTACCTCGTAGAGATACTGGGGTAACAGCTTTTGAAATCTCCCATTACGCCCGAATGACAGTCCTTGAAATAGCCCAGCACGACGGAATGGCGAAACTGGTGAATTTGTTTACCCATTCAAAAGAGGTGTCAAGACCTTTGCCTATCATGCAGTCACAAGGGAGCGACTCCATGAATTTCTAAGGTAGCCCAAGTTATTTGAATTGCATCATAGGGGTCCAGAGATTGGAAGAGAAATACTTCTTAATTATACTGGATTCTATATGCAATTGTTTGTTATAAATACTAGTTAAATACAGGATTAGTTAGCAAATTATAGCCCCAGAAAAAGCAGAATCTGGGTCTACACACGAGTAAGTTGGTTGTATTAAAACTCTGAGATTAAGACTAGGTGATAAAGTTTAAGGACAAACTTGACTAGTTTTCCATAGCGCAAACTCCCACCCCATCATAGGTTCGTAGGACTATACTCTTAATTGCCTACAGAGGGAGTAATCGTATCGAAGTTCTCCTTGGAAAGGTACAACAAGCCTCTTAGGTCCAACCCTGCAAAAAGGCTGGCACTCTTGTAAAGGAATCATTCGCCTACATAATGAATACAGGCTGCCTGTTTCCCATCAGGTCACTGCTAGGAACTTGTATGTCCTTCTTGTCGAATTCATGCAATATGAGCCAGCAGATCATTCTGAATACCAATGTATACCATATCTGAAGACGTTGAGTTTCTTCATGCCTGGTCAATGCCGCCTTCAATCCCAGTGTATAACGTTCATCTCGTAAGTTGGCTTTGGGATCTTTGATAGTTGACCTTGAAAATGAGAGCGCCTGATCGTCCACCTCAGGAGATTCCTGGCCACTAAGAATATGAGATTTTCGTTTGTCATCAACATGGTGAATGGTTCTCGACACTTCTTCTTGATCGTCTTTCTCGGAAGAGTTCGTAAACATTGGGATTACGAGCCAGAGTACTCGATTGAAATATATATCCATGAAACGTTGCTCTCTCATTTCGGGAGGAACATCAAGTATGTCGCCAAAAGACGGACTGTCACCTCTGTCAGATGTATCCTTATTAACAGCCGCCAAAACCTCTTGTAAGTGACGTCGGAGAACGTCTAACACAACCTTTTGATTGCTAGACGGTGAATCGCCCTCTGTTAGTAACTTGTCGGCCTTGTCTATCGAATCGTGGACCAGGTTCAATTTGAAATAGTTAAGCTGGTCATCGGTCATAATTTCTCCTAACAAGGATTGAGAATCCTTGACAAGTTGATCAATCCTATCGACTTCTGACTGAACTTCGCTTTCGAAAGTCTTTTGAAGAAGCTCATCCTGAATGGTTTCGTTATGTTTCTGAATGCAGGCGCAAAACGCAGCCAGCAGCCGAGTGAGTGATAGGGAATCACGATCCCAGGGAAATATTGTTGGATTCGGCAGGAATCTAAAGCATCTATTCCTTATATGGAGAGTTCTTGCAAGCATACCAATAATTTCGAAAGTCACTGCATACTTTTAGCACCTTCGTCAAGTGTCTATGTATCAAAACTACAACATACCTGGGAACAAATGCTGGTGCTTCTTCTCGTTCTTGTAATACAATGCTGTAGTTGCATTACATCCGATTTGTGTCAATGTTTCTGCGATCTCGTCACGACTTCCCAACTGAAGAACTTCGACTTTAAGATTTTTGTCCCCAGAAGAAGTTTTTGACAAGTCCTGCCAAGAGACATCTTCGGCCGATCCCTCAGGTTTCCGTCGATATAGTGTTGGTAGTCTCCCAAAACAGAGCTCTTTTACTTCCGACGTAGGTATGATTCGTCGACTCTGAAATTCTGGAGCGCCAGTCTTTTCGAAAACGAACACGATACCGAAATCAGGGACCCGAGATCCCATGAGGCTATATTCATTTCCTGCGGCTCGGTATTTGTTTTCGTCTTGGTCAAACACCTTCCAGTACAGTCCAAGTACTGCCGCAAGCTCAACTAAATGAGAGATTGTGGTAGTGGCATAGGGTTTTTTGATCGCTGGATTGGTATCAAAACTTCGCTGTTTTGGTTGCATTTGGATAGTGAGAGTTGGTTTTTCATAAATTGGCACCCGTCCAGGTCCTGCTGCTTTGACAAAATCCTTTTCCCACTTACGCGAATCTCTCTCCATTCGTTGAATTGCTACCAGCAACCATATCCAAGTAGCTTTCTCGTTTTCAACTGTGTGAACTGGCTCTTTTTTTTCTTTTTCATTTTGCCCTGGCTCCTCTTTCCCCGACTTCCATGCCACATCCTCCGGATCAATGTGAAATTCAGCGCAACTTTGATCGGTTCCGTCCGCTACGCGTAATTCGCCGTCTGTGGGTTTCTTGGGATTACTCGCGGGCGCCAGAAATATGATTGGTGCCTTAAAGAAAACCTCAAGTCTGAATTCTTGAAGCCTAAGTCGGGTCCGGCTGTGGCGAAAGGCCCATTTTTTGAGCGCCCATTTTCCAATGACCCTCTCATCGCAATTTGGAAGGCCTCGCGCCGAGGCGAAGATAGCCTGCGCAATCTGAGAAATTGCCGCAAAGAGGGCAACCACAGAGATAACAAGGGCCGCAATGGCAACGGGGTCGCTTTTATCAGGATCTGCCATCTTAGCTAGGTTTTAGCCTACCTAGACACTGATGCACCGTTTGCAACGGAGTAGACTGGACCGTCTATTCCTGGTGTACGGGTCGGATTCTAGTAATTAATTGGTGCCGTCAAACAACACGAAAAATTCTTGATCTGCGGAGAACATCAAAAGCAGATAAGGCAGATTGCGATGATGAAACTTCCTGAAATATGGAAAATATCAAGTATGACTGCGACGATGTAGACGTTCAACCGAGTTGAAGGGGGTGGAAGCGGACCGCGTTTGCGCGGGCAGTGAGGCTCTGAAACTCGGTGTCATGCATTCCATATCACCTCAAACAAGGCTGGGAGTGAGTGCACCTGACTTAAGCCTCGAAAATAAATGTCCATACCCGCATGTAAATCAAGGCGCGGTTGTTTAACAATGCTGCGGCCAAGGGAGCCGATATCATACCTAGCCTGCAGAGCCGTTGCACCCTTATTGGTAGCCCTATTGCAGGGATTATGTTGGTATAAGTACAAAATCAGGTTGAGGCTGGCTTTGGGTGCCACGTCTTACTTCGCGGCGTGGGACAGCATTTCAAAACAGGCTCCAGCTGAGCGACCCATGTTGGCAATGGGGATGTCTCATGTAACTTGCACTAGACTGAAATTAGTCGCATCATGTCTCGCCTTCTGGCACGATACCATGGTTGTAGTTTGGAAGAAGCTCTATAAGTGCCTTTGTTTTCGGGCCGGAGAATACATGAAGAACAGCTGACCCGTAGTTGAGTCTTGATTTTGATTTCTTGGCAACCAAGGGATGTCAATTGGTGCAGATTCTGGTTTGATCTATCAGTGGGGAAAACACCACAATATGCGCCGCATTTCGGGGTTCACATCATGTTGTAGCCGTGTCCCCGCGTCACTGAGACTTGACGTCCCCTTCGGTTTCTCCTTGCATCAGTTTGGCCTTCCGGCTTGAGCCTAGTGCTGCATATTATGCATGTGTATAGTCCAGGTGCGTCAATGTCGACCAGTATTAGTAACACCACGGCTTGGCATGGATGAGATTGGTGAGGCTTTCTTGGAAAGGTGCAGAGATTGTTGGAATAGTTGGAACACAGAGGATTGTATGGCTACCCAGCCGGCCATACGGCTAGATGCCCGACACCTGGGACAAAAAGCTCCATTTCCCCCCCTTCCATACGGGATAAGCTGGGGCACTTTCTCCTAGGTACTTTCACTTCGAGACTATCACTTTTTTACGCTTAATTAAGCACCTTATGTTAGGATTACGAGAAATAAGCTCTTTAAGTCATCACTATTAAAAGGGGACTATGTTTTGCTTTATGTCGTGATGCCTTCGAGGCGAAGTGCGCAGCCTCACCATCACGTGACCCACATATCGCCTGTAAGGATAATCCCGAAATAGAATAACCGGAATATCTTTATTCCGCTTCGCCCATAAAACATATTTAGGCATGATATCGTTCTATAGTATAGTTAGGAGAAGATAAGCTACTTAATCTACTACTTTAAATACATGCCTATGTTTAGCACTTTGCTTTACTATAGTTATAAGCCTAGTTCTAACTTAAGATAAACCCTAACTACTATATAAAGTAGAAGAAAGAACGAAACCGATTTCTAGCTTTACTAAGGAATAAACTATAACGACTAAGTACTTATCGAAAGTATCTTTAGACACGATAGTTAAGCTTATAAGTGTTACGAGCAGGTCAGGGCAACCAACTGTGGCACAAAGCAAAAGTTTCGGTAATGATGACTCCGGCATCATTATCCCCTGTTCTGCACTATATAACTACGCCGGCCAGGCACCAACTGGTTGGGCCGTAACAATAAGCAGACGTAACTAGCTATAATAGTATAGTATGCTTTAGTATCTTGCCTAGGCGAAAGACGTTTAGAAATATATTAATCTAGACGAAGAAGGTTTAAATAAAATTCTAAAACCGGAGGAACTCCCTATGCTTAAAGTCTTTATTAAGAAGCAGAACTATTAACTATAAAAAGACTATAAGAAACGACTTAAAACCTAGACCGTACGTTATAAAGCCTTTAAAACGAATACTTAGGACGATACCGTCTCCTAAATACCGTTAGGAGAACGGCTATCTCCTCTAGACCTAGTAACGAAGTAGATACCGGGGATTTTCGATAAGTATGCTACTTAGCTAAGATACTAAGTAGCATAACAAGGAAGCCTTATAAAATAAGAAAAAGTATACAAACTTATTAACTCTTAAGTCTCTGCTATAGTTAACTAAGCGCTATTAGTACTAGCCTATATAAAACTCTTTAAGACGAACAAAATCAACTTTCGGAACTTAATTACTATTTTTAAACGTAAATACGCCTTAAACAAGACAAGTATGTTAATAACTATATAAGAAAAATATAACGCTATACTATTAAAAGCAAATATAAGCATTTCTCTAACTATATAGCTTATAAAATAGCATAAGGCTTACTTTCGTAAAGTAGAATACTAGATACCTAAAGTATAAGGAAGTCTAGCTATAAAGGCGTTCCTTAAAGCGGTAGGATAGAGATTTATACCGACTTAGGCGACTTTAAAGCTTACGTAGATTATTATATAAAAACGCTCCGGAGAAAAGATTTATAGCCTAAGTAAATACGGAGAAATTCTTACAAACCTACTTTATAAAGATAACCTTTATAAGAAAAGTCAGAACAAAACTACTGGAATCTATACTATATTAAGGGGTTGCTCCGTAGAGAGTATAACGAACGATAAATCGAATAAAGCTATACCGAATAAGTAGAAAGGAAATAAGTCGTACCTTTATAACGAAACCTATAAGTAGCTTATAGCGAAATACGCGAAGGTAGAACTTATAGTAAAAGGGAGAATAATACTTAAACACGTATCCTTCTTAGAAAAGGAAGCAACCTTAATAAGAGACCGACTCGATTCCGACCCCTAAAGCAACCTTTAAGCTATGCTTATAAGAAAAGGATAGCTCCGCGCGAACAGCCGATATACCCGAGGAAGGCTACGAGGCGAAAGTAGTAAGCAAAGCGACTAAGACTAGCCGAATTATCCTAGATTAATCAACGTAGTTAATATCGATCCCTTACTTCTTATAGAAACTATAGAGAGAGAAGACCTAACCCCTAGGATCTTCTTAACCCTATTCCTAGGTCTATACCTATTATTAAATAGCATAATAATAGATAATTACGGTATAACCTATCTCGTAAATAACCTCGACCTCCTAGAACTAGGTTTATATACGAAGGTCGTTTATAATAAAAGAATAAAGTCGGGAACGATATCGTTTCTAATCCTAGGAAAGGGGAAAAGGGTACTTAAGAATATCTTAAATAGGCCGAAGGGACTAAATACTAAAGACTTTACCTTAGAAAAAGTCTATTACGTCGAAAATTTCTATGTTAATATCGTCTCTAAAGCAAGGCTATGCAAGACAGGTATATAATACTCCGGATTAGACTATATACTTCGCTTCGGAACCTATAAGAAAAGCGCTATAGTTAAACAACTCCTCCGCAAGGCGAACCTAGTCTTCCTTAAATATAAACCCTGTTCCTCGTACTATAGTAAAATCCTTATAAGTAATGCTAGAATCCTAGCATTCGAGCATAAAGTATAAAGCCGTAAGAAGTAATTATACGAGATATATAGCGAAAGGATAGACAGAGCCGAACTATAGCACCGCCGCTCCGGATACCTCGGTCCGGAAGTACTTAAGCGACTAGTTAAAGCCGCTCGGGGGGTAAGAATCAAGGCGCTAGAAAGGATTAAATACGAATACTACGTAACGACTTATACTAAAACGGTAGTTTTAAGACGAACTTTAAAGCGAAAAGCGATAAGACTATACTACCGTATCGCGTAGGATCTATTTAACTACCTATTAAGGTTTGATAATAGCAAATAGATACTAGTAATTAAAGACGAATACTCGGGACGCTACTTCGCGTTTCTACTCTTAGATAAGACCCTCCTATAAGTACTAGAGACTCTAACTTTATTTAAGAAATAGGTAAAAAGATAGAAGGGTCTTTCTATATGCAAGATACGACAAGACATCAAGCGCGTAGTAATCGCAATTAACGGAGAAACAGCTTTCTAAACGTAGGCAGTATAAAAAGGGATTAAAATCGAGCTTCTACCGCTATATATATGTTACGGCCAGCTAACTGACAGTGGGTTTGTGTTAACAGTAAGCCAGGGATTGAGAGTAGTAACAGTCGTTCCGTGGTCCTGGTCGAATAGATCGTAGATCTTCAAAGGTCTTGGTGATCAGTCAAGGCCTCAACAAGAGTCGTAGAGTAGTTCGTCACTTAGGATAGCTGAAAGTACCGGTGAGGGTAGTCACGAAGTTGATTGCTGAAGAACTAGGAAAGGTAGGACTCGAGAGGACTCGAGTCCCAACTATATACAAGTCTGGTTCCATGCTGAACACTTCCTGATCCTGGGGGACCGACACCCAGGACGTCGGTCCATCGCCATGGACCGCCCTTGGCACCGTCGGTCCTGTCCCAGGACCGCTTATCGTCCGTCGGTCCTGCTTATCGTCACGTGACCTGTATCCTAGTTCTTCCGTTCCGTGGGGGTTGTTACGACGTAACGGCTGACGGCCGTCCCTATAACCGCTGAGAAAAAAAAAAACATCAACAACAGCGAGAACGAAATTTTTGAAAATCGGAGCAAAAACGGCCCCAAATACGCGTGCTCGCGGCCACAGAGCCCCCTTCGATGCAATGCCATCCTCGGCCTTGATTCTACGTCCCAAAGGGGCCCAAGATGGCCGCAGAGCACGCCCCGACTACAATGAAAAACTTGAGAGCAAGCCGCAAAATACGACATATCAATAGACAACACTGTTACCACCACCACAGGCGAGCCACAAGCCGCTACACGAAGCACTAAGACTGCGCCCAAACAATCAACTTCAACACAACAGCCGCCGACAGGTTTTGGGTCACCTGTCACCCCCGACAAAGTTTGCAACGTCCCACAACGACGAA